CAACGAGTGAAACATCTGGAAGACGAAGGAAGGCTAGAAAGGCTAGAAAAGTGAGGAAGGGGGCTGGATCGGCACCGCGTGTGCGGTCTGGAAGTTTGGATGAGTGGGTTCATAGTCATGGACCGTCTATCATGGACGGGGACATGGCCATAGGCATGATAGGCTATGTACTGTCGTAGAATAGTGGAGTGGAATCAGGAAATGGAGTTCGCCCAGGAACGAGCCTACAAGCCACTAAATAGAGACTACTCCGTCCTGACGGGCGACTAGTACGCATCGGAGGTTTGGAGAGTGGGCTGGCGCAGAGACTGAGGAGGGGAAAAGAAAGGGAAAAAATAAAGAGGCTGACAGCCAAGGAGTGTAACGAAGGCAGATCTAGCCCCAAAACGGTGTGGTCCAGTCTCGGAGTGTGACCGCTATTAGCTGCAGCGTGGTTAGTGACGGATGTCGCTGAATGTTCATGTTAGCGATAATGGACGGAGGACGGAAATTTCGTTGTAGAAGCGAGAATAAATTAACTGACTATTATTCAATTGATTATGCATTTTAGATCACCCGGGACTTGATGGCCAAGAAAACATGGAACGGGGCCTCGGATCTTGCCAGGTATGCAGGGCCATCAAGGTTTTTCTGCGGTACGGCTAGCTCTCCTGTTCGAGGACGTAAAGAGCTTCCTATTTTCTTGTCTTTAAGATGTGTTTGTAATTCTACGCAAGGCAACAAGTTCTTCTATCTATAGAGCAAGAAAGGCACCAGTATGGCGAGGCTAGGTGGATGATCCTGCACTTTGTCCACTTGTTCACACACATTGGCCGAACTATCCTGGGCGCCTAGTAAGATACATTGCCAGTCCAACCCATGCCCCCCTTCCCCCTTAAACTATGGTGACATTCGTGCCGTTTCGGTCCGCGGTATGCTAACATACTCTCGAGATCGGCAACCTTCATGGAACTTACGTCCCCAATATCAATAGGAAGGGATGGGAAAAAGGGCTCCACCAAGGAGAGCTTACACTACCACCTCTTGGTCCTCTTCTGGGCTTCTGGAAGTAGGTGGATGCGTGGACGATGACCGATTCTCCAATTTTTCGCTTTTCAATAGTGGGCCCCCTCCAGTGCAGAAAGTGGGCCCTGCAAATGCGTTCCGAGCGGTACAGGCCTTGGGATCGCTTTCCTGCTGCGGAATGATGTGGCCAGGGTGGACTTGGGGTGGGTGTTTTGCATTGGTTCTGGTCCCCTGAGCGCCATCAAATCCCTGTCCAACCGAGTGAGCTAAGCTTGATTGAGGAGTTGATAGGTGGATGAGGTATCCCATGATGTTGCACATACGGAGTACATTATTATTATTAGACTAAGGAAGCATCAGATAGTGATGGATGTATTTTGTGGACTCGATCGAGGATTATGGAGAATGTGATTCCGGCATCTGATTCATAGGTAACTCCCGGTTGTTGCTAGGCATAGACAAGTACTACGTACAAGCTACCAGGTGTTACCCTATACATGCGAGGGATGGCTCCTTATCACGCAACAATAAGGAAAACCATGCTTCACGATAAACGATTATTATTGGAACTATACAGCAAGGCAGAAAAAAGCAACCTTCTTCCCTACCGTAAGAGAAGGCAATTAAAAAAAGAAATTAAAAAAAGGACATCCGAAATGTCAAACCTGCTCATCCGGAGGGCCCGGGCTCCCTAATGAACCCAAGGCTAGCTTTTGGCACGGCGCTAAGCACGATCAGATCCGCCCGGCCACGTTGTGAATGGTGGCTCTACCGCCCGTTTCCTGACCCGAAAAGGTTTTTTTCCTTTCATTTTGCTCCTCCATTTTCCCCTTTTCCTTTTTTCCTGGTCAATTTTTGATTGGGATAACTTCTTTTGTTGCCTCTTAGGCTCTTAGCGTCTTAGTCAATCTGCTCACAGACCACGAGGGCCACGATGTTTTATTGAACTAATCCCGTCTTAGTGCCACGTTAGTGTTCGGGAATCCTATCTTCTGGAAATTGGCTCCGACCTTGAGCAATTTCTAGTCGGTCGGTCACTCTCTTCCGTCATTTGTATAGAGCACTCTGGATCCGGAGTAAATCCTAGACCACGCCTACAGGCCTCAGGACCTATTGGCAGGAGTCACAACGAGAGAAGGACTGATCACATTCGAATCCTTGCTCCTAGCCCGTACTTTTCTCGTCCCCCTCTGTACATACTACATACGTAGATGACCGCCCAAATCGGCTGACTTTGAATGGTTGAATTACGTTGAGTCACTTAGGCTGTGTTCAAAGCTCGGTTCCCTAGGAAATATCCAAAGAACTCAAAAAAAGTCAAAATTGATAGAACCCCCCATCAACCCGAGAACGAGATTATTCATAAGAGAAAAAAAATAATTAAATGAAAATTAAAATTAAAGGTAAAAGTCCACGCGCAACGCTTAGGATTGCCGAGCTTCCCGCCCAGGAGAGTCGTTAAGAACATGGGCGAACACCGGTGGCGGTACGACGGGCATTGAAACAAGGCCCACTATAACGCCTCCTCGGGTAATGCAGTCCATGCAGGCCAGCAAAACTTCTTGAACACTGTGCCAGGGCTCAGGTGATATTAAAGAATGACTTTTCTGGCTGGTTGCGGGGGCTTTTTAATTCTAGGCGTTGATCGCTTGGCCAGAAAGGAATGTAGGCATATATCCATTACTTACCCACATCCTCGACGGAGCATGGTTCCAGGGCGGGCGTATAAAGGATCCAATCATGAGTCGAAAGTTAGGATGCTGGGGATCGGAGGAATAAGAAAATAATATTTGTAAAATAAGTAGTAGATCGGGGGTGGCGATGATGCATCTCCTGCATCATGTACTCCGCGGATGGACTGAGGGCGCCTGCAGCGGAGAAAAGAAACATCACCGGGTATGCACGGTACAAAGAAGGGCCCAAGAGTATTTGCTTGCTGCTGTTCTCTTTTCCTTTTATTTTTTTCTCTGTGTCTTGACTGGATACGGAGGGGTGGGCTAAAGGTAAGGGTGGCTGATGGCTGACCGACATACTAGAGGTAGAATGTTTCTTGCTACCCGTTGGTTAGTTAACGCCCTTTGGATCTAGACCACTTGGGAAAGCCTCCGCGAACGATAGTCATCAGAACCATCAAACCAATTCGAAATCTGCCTCCGCCCTGTCGTACTCGGTCCAGTGGATGCGGGTACATGATTAGGTCGAAGTATAATAATAACAAGACCATCATGACGGAGTCAGGTTGCCTACCGAACTCCACTTTTCTTTGAATGTGAATAATGATACATGGAAAACGAATTTGATTTTTTTTAACTCTCTTCCTTTGGGGCGCGATGACCACCCCCTGTCGATATGCACAGGAGCGACACGAAAGGATGTGCAAGTCGATCTTTGAGGGAGCCCATCACATTACATTGTCTGTCACCCTTGCGTAACGGAGTTGGTGGTGACGCTATGGAGGGGGAGGGGCTAATAGTAATAAGATGAAATTTTTGACCTCGGTCGTAATTGAACAACGAATCCGGGATATACACCCATATTAAGGTCTCAGGTCAAGTACGAAGCCTAGCTTACCGATCATTGAAAAAAAAAGTCCATGATCCATCACTCATACATGCAAGCGGACCAATGTAACGGAGAGATAGCATGTCAGACTGGCATTCCTATTGCAGGGCTGATCATCTCCGTAAAACCGATACAGAAGAAAATCGCAAGCCCCAGGGCCTCGCTAAACAAGGAAGTCGTGGCCGCCGATCGAGTCAGATCACGGCCAGGCGGGCATTCCAGGAGCGGGTACAGGGCCAAGGTTCCTGGCTCCTGGGACGGTTTCTTGGGGAAGGTTTTTTGGGAAAAGAGAGGAGACTAACCGAGCTAGTAATAATAGTAATAATAATGGATGTGAAAAGGAAAGTCAAACAAAGTGTAGCCCCAGACTGGGCCCGTGTGAGGGTCCACTTCTACTGTATACTCTGTAGTCTGTACAGTGTAATAGTATGCACTGGATAGTAGTGAAGTGTACAGTTAATACAGTATCATGACGGAGTACTGAGGTTATGATTACCATCCTCATAGTAGAGATATACTATGCAGTATCATAAACCACCTCTGAATGAATAGAATCCAGGACACGATGGAAATACTGTACAAACCTAAACCCCAGTCTCTTAAAGTCTCCAAGCCTCCAAGACCTAATAATGATTCAAAAAGACAACCCAAGAAATACCCAAGACGCACGCCAGTGGACCCTCGACTGGAGCCTTTTCCCCATGTTCGCCGCAAAGGTCTACGCTACGACGTATAGGTCCGATCATCCCTCCACTGGACCCGTCTTGGTACACTCCGGAATATTCCCCTTGCCCACTCTCCTTGGTTCGTGAGCCAACTAACGTTAGTTTAGCTGCCTGAGCTGGTTCTGGTTGGCTTTGGTTAGCGACTGGGTCCCCAGCCGAAACGGTGGAACCGCCTCCCAAGTTAGCTCTGATTCATCGATGACTTGGATCATTTTGGATTTTTATTTAACATTCTCTCTTTTTTCGAATTTATGGATTCGGGATTCGGGATTTTGGTTGGACTAGGCTCGTTTCGTTAGTGTCAACGTCGTGTCATCTTAGTAGTTAGCATGTGCGGTGGGATCGTGGACCTGGGTAGATCGCCCTCCCTGGATCTCGCTCCCCTTATATTACTGTCGCCCTGCAGCCTCCTGCCTTTTATTGGAATGATTAAACGTCCACGACATTAAGATCCCCCCGTGATAAAAAACCTCCCGCTCCTGCCGTCGTTCCCTCGCTGGAACTTCGGCTCTCACCATCTCTCCTTCCTCTCCATCAACCATCACCACCACCATCTACAACCAACCTCACCTCAACTCTCCCACTTCACCTCCTCTGGAAATCCAGTCAACTCTGTCTCCTTCTCATCGAGTCACTTTCCAGCGGATAATATAACGTCATCTTTTCAACTCTCTCTCTCTCCCAACAACTCCATCAACTTGTGTTTTTATGGCCGATTATTCCGACTACGGTTATCAACAACCTCAGGCCTCTTCAACAACAGGCTCACAATGGTTCCCCGAAATGTCGTCTGATCAACTTTCCAACGCCCAAATGCAGGACTGGATGCGTGCTTTCCCTCGGCCGCGACAAAATCGGGTCATGAAGCCCCGTAGTGCAGGGAACAGCCCGTCGTCGGCCGTCCGGAGACGCACCGCCATCGCTCAGAATGGCATGTATGGAATGCCCAACCAGTATCATCAGTCAGCCCTGGAGGCGGCAATCCTCGCCTCGAACGCGCAGAACACTCGACCCATCTCCTGGCATCCCTCCTCGGCCAGGACCCGCGGGTTCTCTAACCCAATCCGCCTGCCTGATTATGCCTCGGAGGCTTTCGTGACGATGACCATGCAAGATCAGCCCATGCACGGCCTACCCACTGACAGCATGATGTCTTACCCTGTCTCCGCGGGTCCAACTTTCTCAACTGGATATTTCCCCGAATATGCGGACATGCAGGATTCCCTGGCCTTTCAGCAACAGACGCCCTCGCTTTCCGTGGCTGGCTCGCAGGTCGAGCCAATCACTTGGGATACCACTGCCAACGCTGACTTCTCGGGAATCGACCAATCTACGTCTGATGGCTGGACCCTGGACATGCTCTCGATGGCCAACAACATTCCTCCAGCAGAGACAACTTGCCCCAGCTACGCCAGTGTGCCCTCCCCCGGTGAAATGAGTGGTCCATCAACACCGGACTTCCTTCCCATTCAGCATTTTGATGACGAGTCAGCATTTACTCAGAAGAAAGTCGGCAAGCCCGAGGAAGAGCTTGTTGGTATGGGCTTGTACAGCCACCCCAGCAATGCTCTTGGCCAAATCCACCAGGGAACTCTGGGCAAGGGGCTGAAGCTCGAGGAAACCTTTTCGCCATCAGACGATGAAAATGACGACGAGGCCGATGCCGAGGGTGAGGTGGATGATGAGGTCAACGATTTCGGTTCGACTCAACCTCAGTTCAGCCCGCAAGAGCAGCTCCCCATGGCGCAGCCCTCGAACTTCCCAATCCCGAAACAGTCATCCAAGCAAGCCCTCAACCTCTTGCACAAATCCTTTTTCTTTGATAACGACGATTCCGACCAGCATGTCAGGGCTCCCGTGCAGCGTTACCCCGACTTGACCCAACCCTGCATGACCTATGGTTACTATCGGGTCTGAGCTCATCAACGACTGCAACACACAACATTTCCCTTTTTGCCGTTCCCAGTCTTACAGCGAGCATAGCGTGGAGTTTGATGTCCCATTTTTTGTTTCTCTATCTTTTTTTTTTTTTTTCGCTCCGGAGTTGTGACAACATGGCAGGATACCCTGGGACTTACTCTTCAGTAAGATGGCTTTGACCAGGAGCAATCGCTCAACCTTTTCTTTTTGTTTCAACATAGCAATAGCTGGCGATGACAGACGATCTCGCCCAATCAAACTAGCTTATCAAGCAACTCTTCCTTGCCTGTCGTAGACTTGCTTTTTCTGTTGTAATGTCGAAGTATACTTTCAAACCTGTTGATTGGCTGTGGAAGCTCTCCCGATCCGGATAAACTGCCTCGATGGATCAACTTGCCTCCGAAGATATCTTACCTGGAGAATGGTTTTGTCTATGCTGATTGAAGTAGAACTTGGGGACATGTAAGGTCTGGAGAGGCATACAGATTGGCGGATATCATAACATTTTTATTGAGGATGACGGGGGTCTCAATGCTTCTGCGGATTCTATCTACAGCCCGGCGCCCCGGATCCGCATACAAAAAGAGCCCCCCTTGTTCTCGGTTCACCAAGACAAAGCTGGACAATTTAAAAAAAAAACTTGAAACGGCCTCGAGAAAGAAAATGCTTTATATTTCCGTGCCTTGGAGTCTAGGAAAATCACGCACCCGATCAAAAGCATGCTCGACAAAGGGAGATGGCGGGGGGTTCGGCGAGAGAATGGGTGGACCGACGTCATACCCACTTTCTCCCAAGTCCATACCGTTTGCAACCTTGTAACCGGCCAGGTCGGAAGCTAAACAGCACCCACAATGAGAGCCTGAGCGGCGCAAAATAAACCTGAAAAGGAATTGACGCGCGATGGCCGAAGATTACGTGCGGTCGTCCTCGGGCGCCATGGGCGAGGTACGTTGATCGCTGCGCTGTGCAGGATGCGGGGGATGGTCAACGTCGCGACACTCGGTGACTGACTTTATGGCATCTGTAGAGCCACGGGGCGATGAGCGACTCTGAGATGCAGCAAAATCAGTTGGAGGTACGAGAGCAGTCCCTATTCTACTGATTACTCATTTACATTGATGCTGATTGCTAACGATTCCCGTGCTTTGGGGGTTCTTGCTTTGCAGGTCGTTTTCTACCCCGATTCTAACCACCGCCGTAAATCATCCCTCGTTACAATGGAGAAACCACGATTTAGACCTCACTTCGATCAACATGACAAGTCGACGGCCTGTTATGTGCATTCCCTTATCGCCGGCGAATGGGCCGTACCGTCGAGCCATGTGGACGAGACGCAGGATGTGATCCGGACATTGAGTGATGAGGAGCCCAACGTGGACACAAAGTCTCTCGATGAGGACGACGTGGTGTCCGTCATCGATAGCGATAATAAGATGCTCAAACCCGTGCCGACCGTCATTCAATCGCGGCACCTGACCAAACGACAACTCTCTGATATGGCATGGAACGTGCGGAAACTGTCAAAGAAACTCGGCAGTATCAAGCTCAAGCTCACGGTCAATAACGTATTCATCGTGAGCAAGACACACGATGAGTCGCTGGTCAGTCTGACCAGGAAAATGACCCGGTGGCTGTTGTCTAAGGACCGGGATGCGCCGTATAATGTCTATGTGGAGCGCCGTCTAGAGACACATCCGGACTTCGGAGCACTGCAGCTGGTGCAGGAGGAGCCATCGGCCAAGGGCCGATTGCAATACTGGGATCCAAAACTTGCACAGGAGCAGCCGCACCTGTTTGATTTTGTTATTACTCTTGGAGGAGATGGGACGGTCCTCTATACGAGCTGGTTATTCCAGCGTATCGTACCGCCAGTTCTATCATTTGCACTCGGTTCACTAGGTTTCATGACGAAATTCGATTTCGCCGATCACCAAAAAATCCTCGAGAATGCTTTCCGGGAAGGCGTCATTGTCAGCCTCCGACTGCGCTTTGAATGCACTATCATGCGAAGCAAAGCGCGGTTGAAAGACCCCGACTCGAGAACTCTCACAAGCCGGGATCTGGTAGAAGAATTGATTGGAGAGGAAGGAGAAGACACATTGACACATACCCCGGATCGAGTCTACGAGATTCTCAACGACGTCGTTCTGGACCGGGGTCCAAATCCAAGTACGTGAAATGCTACTATTTCCCTCCCTGCAGGCCGAAGTTCAATGGGCTCTCTTTCCCCCCGCAACCATGCATATCTAACAAACCCTCTCTTAGCTATGTCTCAAATCGAACTGTTTGGCGACGACGAGCATTTCACTACCTTGCTTGCGGACGGAATCTGCATTGCAACCCCGACGGGTTCCACGGCGTACAACCTCGCGGCGGGAGGCTCGCTTTCGCACCCTGAGAATCCGGTTATACTGGTAACCGCAATTTGCGCACACACCCTATCCTTCCGCCCGATTATCCTGCCAGATACTATTGTGCTACGTATGGGTGTGCCTTACGATGCGCGGACCAGTTCGTGGGCTAGTTTCGATGGACGGGAGAGGTGAGTCAAATCTACGAGTTCTATTGGCTCCGGGTCTATGAGCATTATTGGGCTAACAAGGTGCTTGCAGGGTTGAATTACATCCCGGTGACTACGTGACTGTGTCTGCATCGAGATACCCATTCGCCAATGTGCTACCCCAAGATCGACGGGGCGAAGACTGGGTGCATAGTATTTCCAAAACGTTGAACTGGAATTCAAGGACGAAACAGAAAAGCTTCAAGTAGGTCTTGGGGGTTGGGGGAGCATGGTGAGATTGAAATTTTGGGCATATTGGCTTGGTTTCTGTTTGTTTTGTTTCGTTTTGGCTGGGTTGCAATGGCCACTGGATGGCCTGTTTAGGAGTATATACTGGGCACATATTGGAATTGACATTGGCTTGAATAGCATTGAAATTGAAATGCATTTAGACGAGACTTTGGGTTAGCGTAGCCTGCTGTTGCAGGGACTTGCGTAATGAGGTGAGGGTCCGGACCTAGTCTCCTTTGATTTTTCATTAAATCCCTCTGTATCATAGTAATGAAGAGATCTCTCCTTCGAAACAACTTTCGATCCGCTTTCAAGTGGATATTCCAGAATTTTCGAATTCCCAAGCTCTAGTGGAGTCGTCGAATATTGATGCTCTGTTACACGTGATATATATCACATGATTATAACACTAAGCCCAGAAAGGAAAGCCCCACTCGGCTCAGCAAATCCACTCGTCCCTATAAAATCCTCTCGATATTTTTTTCTGCTCTTCTCTTCTCTTCACTCTCATCTTCACCGTCAACCCGTCGAGCAAGAAAGTCTAATGCGATCTTTCCTGCTCTCGGGTTCCGGAAAGAGAAAATCCACAGCCTACCGTCTACAATTACAATAACTACTAACTTGGTAAGTTTGATTCCCATCGTCGATATCTCGCGCTCGACCAGCAAGGGTTGTTTCGTTACTCCGTGACGAGACGACCTCCATTTCTATGATGAAAAACTTCCTACATTCGCAGTTTCCACGCTAGCCATCGCCGAACCTAATCTAAGATGGTGTTGAGCGCATAACTTCCTTGGATGTCTGATTGAAATTGCTGGTCGCTTTGTCGATTTTTTTTCTCGACGACTTTTGTCGTGGTGTGGAACCTGGCTAACGTGCTTGGTTTTCAGAATTGAATAGGGATATCTTTTTCTTGTCTTGCGTTGCCATCGGCAATCGTGATATAGCGAAAGCTTTTGCATTGTCGCTGCTGGTTTTGGTCGTGTGCTTCAAGCTGGTTGGAAGGATTTTTTCCATTCGGCCTGGTGGCTCTATATCAGGATTCAGCGGCGTCGAGGTAGAGCTATCGTGTCTAGAATACATGAATCAATGCAGTCAATATCTTCAAAATACTTTTTTTTATCCCCGTAAAGGCAAATTGTAAAATCAATAGACTTTTTTTGCTCCGAGCTTAAGCTGAGCAAGACAGCTCTTCAACTGGCAGAGACTTGCACCCTCGGGGGATGTGCTCCACCGTAGATCGCATCCACAGCTTCGCTGCGGACTCCCTACCTCATCTCCCCTCCCTAATCACCGCAATTCAGATACCACGATCCTCTGAACCTGTGCAATCACGAACTGGCTCAATTCTCCTTTTCAAACCAACATCATCGACTCGACTGAACACACGCAATCCTCCAAACCCCCACCACACACCATGGCCGCACCGCCTAGACACTCGGCGATGCTATCCGTGAGCAACGCCGCAGCCACGCCGCAGTCCGGATCAAGCGACAAGTCACAGACACCACAGCAGCCCTCAACACCCCAGCCAACACAAGGCCTCCGTGTCCCCTCAAACCGGAAGACTATCTACGACCGACACCTGAACCGGAGCCGAAATGCAGAGCTCAGCCGGGCGAGTTTCGCGTATCTCTTCGCGGAGATGGTCACATATGCCCAGCGGCGAGTAACGGGCATTCAAGATTTGGAGAAACGGTGCGTCCTCCATAGAGATTTGGAACACATTGTGATATATCATGAGTGTAAAGCCGCTAATAACTTAACCCTCTAGATTAAATGAACAAGGATACCCCCTCGGCCTCCGCCTCCTCGACCTCCTCTTCTACCGCACAACAACAACCTCCTCCTCCGCCCTCTCCAGCTCCTCAACCTCATCCTCCCCACCAAACAGACCCCTCCGTATCCTAACCCTCCTCCACCTCATTCACGGCCCCCTCTGGCGCCTCCTCTTCGGCCGTTCCGCAGATGCCCTCGAGCACTCCGTCTCTCCCGATACCCCCAACGAATACATGATCACGGACAACGATCCGCTCGTGAATACGTATATCAGCGTGCCGCGCGAGATGAATCAGCTCAATTGCGCGGCATTCGTGGCGGGCATTATTGAGGGTGTCTGTGATGGGTGTGGGTTTGAGGCGAAGGTTTCGGCGCATAATCAGCCTACGGAGATGTGGCCGAGTCGGACGGTGTTTTTGCTTGGGTTTGGGGAGAGTGTGATGGAGAGGGAGAAGGTGCTTGAGAGGGCGGGTATTAAATAAGGGTGTGCGAGGATGTATTAATGCCTGTTGTTCATGGCCGGTCCTCAGGTTCGGTCTGGGATTGATATGTAGCTCCTACTTGTCTGCTGGTGATTCGGGCAAATATAGGGGGTTGCTACGCTATATTGCGTACCTGTGGGCAGAGTACACCACAATATACTCTTTCCCATTGAACTAGTTGGCATACATTGATGATCAAGCTGCGGTTGTTTACGTTGTGCATTGACGGAAACAATACTGGCCTGGGAACTGGACTACCATGGGGGCTGACGGTGAAAATCATGTACAAAGACTTAGCTGGCAGTTGGCCAGCGACGATTGATTAGATCAATAATAATGAACCCTCCGGGAGAGGGATATGTCATGTCTTATAGAATGTGTATCGATGGCTCAAAAGGCCAGTATATTACATAGACTTGAATCCAACCATGCAAGCTTTTGATCAGAAACGCCATGCCAACACCATGAAAAGATCATCTCATCAAGAGCTCTCCACTCGTCGCCGTTTATCACGATCATCATATGGTGACGGGCTGCGTTTCCTCCGCTCCCTAGACCGACTCCTCTCATCACGCCGGTCTCTCCTGGGAGACCGCGATCGCGATCTCGACCTCCGTCGCTGCCGAACAACACTGGCGTTAGCACCAGTCGGCCCCGATGGTCCCTGACCCCGATCATCACCACGATCAGGCATAAACCGCTCGTCCGTAATTCCAACCGGAGGCGCATTCTCCCGCCTCCGATTCTGATAGCCCTCGCCAAACCGGCCCGTATCCTCCGTCTTCAAATCGCGGTAGCGCGTACGTCCCTTCTTTCCTAGCTTGGTCATATCCCGAATCTGCATGTACTGAGGTAGCGTCTCGACCGCGACATCGTCCGCGAACCGACGACCCATAACATTGCGCTGGTCCAGACCCTCGCGCTCCTGGTCATCCCGGAAGAAAGCACCCTTGTGGAAATAGCGTTGCATGAATCCGGTCTGGCCGCGGGTTGCCTCGCGCTCTTCGTTCTGCTTGGCGATGAACTCGCGGTCCTCACGCTCGCGTTCTTCAGCGGTGAGATTGCGCCGGCGCTCGATCTCTTCGCGTTCTTTCTCGGCTTCTTCGATGGCTTCGCGCTCGCGCTTGATGCGCTTGAGTTCGCGCAGTTTCCAGGCGGCATACTCGGCTTCTGGGTCGACGTCGTCCCTGTCATCGATGGCGGTTTCTTCATCGGCTTCGGCGAGGTCATCATCGTCGTCCCAGGCTTTGTTTGCGGCGGACTTTGCAATGGCGTCTTTCTCGAGTTGGTCTCGTACCAATTGGTCGGCCTTTTCTTGGCGTTGAGCACGTCGTGCTTCGTTGTCTGCAGCGGAGTCGGCACCGCTGATCGGTGCTTGGGCTGCGGCTTCTGCGCCTTGTCCTCCCGCATTGCCTCGTTTATCTTTCTTAATGAATGTAGGCCGAATCAACATTCGTCGTGGTGCTTCGTCCTCTGAACTGCTCTCTTCCTCGGAGCTTTCCTCGTCCTCTTCGTCGTCGTCATCATCCTCTTCCTCATCGCTTGCTGCTGGCTTTGCGACTGGCGCTGGTTTAGGCACTGGAGCTCGCGCGGTATCAGGTCGCGCTTGAGGCGCGGTCTTTGCGGTTGGTTGAGCTGCTTCGTCGTCCTCTTCGTCGGTCACGAATCCCTCTTCATCCTCATCTTCCTCTTCTTGGGCTTTCTTAATCGCAGCTGCGGGGAATGAGCTCGCTTTCGGCGCCTGCTGTCTCCGTCGTTGTTCTTCCGCTCGACGCTTTCGCTCTTGTTCTTTTTGCGCCTCGATATCCTCTTCCTCCTCGGATTCTTCCTCAGATGATGGCTCCTCTGCGATCGCTTTGCCGGGACGATACCGACCCACAGGCTTCAGTGGGTTTGCGGTCATCCCACGATGATGGGAGGGGAGTGGAGGTGGCATCGAGCTGAGATGGATGGAAGGTGGTTGACGTTGTGCGCAGAAAGATGGCAAGTACTCCTGAAAGTTAAAATTTAGGCTGAGTGACAATCCGACCGCCAACCGGTTCGGTTTGAGGGCACTTGAAGCTTTCCTGTCGACGTTGCTTCTCGGAGAAAGCAGAGCTTCGGGTTGAAATTGATATCATCACGTGATGATATCAGATTATGACCAGTTGAGTGATTAAGTTGGAATTGAAACATCAACAACTCATGAGGAACGTTTTAATTTCGATATTCCCCAGTTCAACGGCCTATTCAATTTAGAGCCTACAAACATTTTGTTGAAATCTCCTTGTAGGGCATTTTCTCTGTGCTACACTATGGACATTATCAGCCGTAAGTGCATCACGATCAGCACGTGATCACGCGTCCCGCGCACCGCGTCAACACAAGAAGCTTCGAGTCAACTCCGAATTGTAACCAGCTATTCGCACATCTTCAAAATACTTCAAACTCTCCATTCTACCACGATATCCCTCTTTGCAAACAGATAGAGAATCGCGAAAATGTCCCTCCAAACCCCCCGCATCCTCCCCGCCCACCTCAACGCCTTCCACCCCTCCAGCTCAGGCCCGCGCTCAACACACACCGTCCGCATCCTAGGCACAGTGACCGGACTCCGCGGTGACCAAGCTACGATTACGTGTGGCAATAACGGCGATGTGACTCTCCTCTTGAAGCCGGATTCGCATTTGCAGATGGGCAAGCTTGTTGAGGTTGTGGGGAAAGTTACTGATTTGGAAGATGGTCAGGTACGTTGATTTACATTGGATAAGATCGGGGTTTGCGTGACGCATAATCTCGCGAGCACTCGTGTCCGGAAGTACTATATATCACTAACATTGCATCCCCAGGGTCTTGGTATTCGGGTATTGGGCACGACGGACTGGGGTAACCCTTCGGACTGCGGTTAGTCTCTCTTTTTTGCTCGTTACAGCTCGCCAACGGGCTGTACTTGAGTGATTGATACTAATATTGGTTACTACAGACTACAAAATCTACGAGCAAGTCGTCGAGGCCACCCACCGCTTCAAGTCTATCTTCTACGACGCCGAGTAAAAAGTGACTGAAGTAGGAGGAAAGATACACCGTGTTCTCGGAATCCGAATATTACTTAGGAGTCATGTCTTGAAGGCTGGGATATTCGATGCTACCATTTTTACTTGTTTCGTGTCCTATATGGACTTTGCATATTACCTACGATTTCATGATCAATGGAACTTTTGTCGATGGCAACATTGCGCAATGTAACCAAAAAACCCTTTATGTGTTTTTGATGTTGGAAGAGTAACTCGGCCTTGATACGTTGCTTTATTTCAAGCTTCTTTGGGCAAAGGTGAACCGGGATTTATGCTCATAGGCTAGTGCTAGAGCTATAGATTGAAAATATTGCAGACTATTGTCGCGATTGTAATACCGTGCATTCACGCTGACTATAGAATGGAATCAAGATTCCTGCAATACACAGTAGTCGTCAGGACTTGGTCGAAACAAATTAGAACTTAAAGAATAAGAGCTCTAACTGTCACATCCGGCTGACATAGAAGTGCTGTCTTGGAAGCGTCCTCGATCGCCCATAGGTGATTTGTTCTCCTATGTGTCACTTAAGACAACCTGCCCAGCGACTTAACATCTACTCTATTCCGACCGAGAGGAAATTACGTAGCAAAAAAGCTACAAGTTGAATCAGTCAATCAAATCTCATTTTTCTTTCAAAAGAAGGTTTCTTCGAAGTCCCTCTAGTTGGCACTCCTGGTCATCACATATAACAAAATGAAAATCATCACATAAAAGCCATAGGCCCACCCGTAGGTGAAGGCCGACAATGCAGTAAAAGGTAACAAGATCGTATACCTCACAAAACCCAAACACCGACGCTGAAAATAATCCAATAGGATGCAAAGGGGAATAATAAAGAGAAAAAGAAGACATTAAGAGGAAAATGAAGGCAAGGCCGTCTATGCTTATGCCGGGGAAGAGGCAGCCTGGCCACGCTCCTTGGGAGGCTTGGTGGCTTTGGCGGTGGCTCGACTCACGGGGTCGGTTTGGAGAGCATCGGAGCTGAAGAAGCCCGAGTCGGGGACGACGTTGTCGTCAAAGGTGAAGGGCATGAATTCTGAGTTGTGGAGATTCTCTTTCAGGATAGCCGGATCCGAAAGGATTGCGTTGATGAGCTCGTCGGATGGATTGTTGTCTTCATCGGACGCGGCGGGGGAGACATAGTCGGAGGGAAGCCAGTCCGCCCAGTTGTTTCCAGAGAATTTGTCATTCTCGAGTTGAAACGAGTGGGCTTCGTCAGCAGCATCATCGAAGATGTCAAGGATCATGCCATCCAGAGGCGTAAAAGCCTCGGAGTGCAGACCAGTATCGGGCAGTGCTGGAACGCCTTGTTTGGTAGGAGAGCGATTTTGAGAACCAACGGAGCGTGGAGAATGCTGTGGGCCATCCTGAATGCGCTGTAGTCTCTCAGCAGTGAGACGAGCGGCGGCGGTGGGCACCCCGACATCCTTGCGCCTATTGGCGGTGGGTGAATTGCATGGAAGTGAGTGACGTCTCTCATGCATGGCAGCCGGACGAGTGTGGCGGCGTCGAGGAGTTGGGCTGACTGGTAGATCGAAATCCAGCGAAGGGCCTTCAAAGAGGTTATCAATGTCATCCTGGGGCGTAGGCGCCAGGTTTTCCTTTGACTCGATCTGCTTATCACCCTTGGTGAGGCGGGGGCTGCGACGAGGCGAGCAGCTGTTCACGAATGAAGAACCAAGCTCCTTCAGTGCCCCTTCCTTCTGGGAAGACGCAAAGAGAGCACGGCGCACAGGTTTCGGGGTGAGCTTGGTCTCGTCGGGGGCAGGGAAGTTGCGATTCTCAATGTTCCTAGCTGGGCTAGATTGAATAGCGAGTCGCAAAGCCTCAATGGCTTCTTGCTGATCCCAACGAGGTTTCTCGCTGGATCGTGGAGGCTCAGCACTGTTTGCCCTGCGCCGCTTGTTAGGATACTCTGCTTCGTCATCCTGTTCTTGAGCTTGATCCTGATCCTGATCTTGATCATGGTTCTCCATGTTAGGAGTAGCGCCCTCCTCGTTGTGCACAGAGGATGCCTCGGTGGGAGCGGGAGAAGACTGTGCAGTGCGAATTGACACAGCCTTGCTGCGGGTGCGCGTAGAGGGCTTGGACAGAGGACCGCCACTCTGCTTGCGATTCCTGGATGGCCGCTTTTGCTTGCCATCGCTCCCACACGCAGGTGGCTGTCGATTCCATCGGTTCTCTGGACGCATAGTCTTGCATTTGTGAAGCCAGAGACCGCAAGGGTTGCAAAGCAGGAGTTGTGTCCATCCCTGGTCCTCAGGGCTTGTACCGGTACCAAGGCCCTTCTTGTAGATCCGGAACTTCACAACCTCTTCCTTGTCATTCCGCTCGATCACTTCCCAGAAGAGCAGGCCTCGCGTCTTCATCATGCTCTTCGCATCCTCTTCGCTGCCAGGGAAGTCTTTTGTCCATGCCCGTCTCCATGTAGGTGTTTCGATAGTACCACAATTTTCACAGTACGGAGGAATTCCGCCACTTGCAATGGCTGCGTCGAGTCGAGCCTGAACCTGCATTGCTCTCTTCGCCGCACCTCCGCTGCGAGGGGCCCTTCTGGTGTACTCGGGTTGGGGCGCAGGTGTTTCGACGATGGAAAAATCGCTCATGGGCCCCGCGCTGGTCTGTGAATAATAAACAGGCGGCTGAACGGGAACCACCGGGTCGCTGGCGGGGATAGACCTCCTAAACTGTTCAATTTCACTTTGTGACATAGGTGCGGGTGCCAGCGGTTTAGGCGTCGGCCGGCAGCTCATGCGCGAAGATGGCCGAGAGCCTGCTGATGTGCTTGGGCGTGGAAGAGAGTTCATTTGATTGGACTTTTGCTCCGTTAGACCATCGCTCACTAGCATGGGATCATTCAAACTCTCTGACACCAGACCGATCGCACTAGCCGGAGAAGTTGCTTGCACTGCAGAACGAACTGACCGGGGGCGCTTCTCACCAGTCACAGGCCGTGAATCAGCCCTCTGGGACTCTTCCACGGGAGTGCCAGCTCCCTCATCCATAAGGTCATCCAGACCGCCACTCATGAAACCAGAATCAGTGTCCAGAGAGATGGGAGGCAAGTTGGGACTAGACCGAGACGGGAACCGGGACTCCAGAACTGGAGGCGAAGAAGGCATGTTGAAGGGAGGCTCAAACAGACCCTGGTACCGGTCTTCCGGCGAATGAGCTGTCTGATCCGTGGCCACATCATCGCTATGAGTGTAAGGAGATGCGTACGAGCTGCTGCTATGCGTGGAGCTCTCTCGTAGCAGACTCGACGGCAGTCGTGTACGCCTTTGGAAATCGCCAGGTCGAGAGATGGGAGTTGGAGGGCGAACAGGTTCCTCGTGGGACTGCTCTACGGAGAGAGCAGGGTTCACCGGGGTTGGGCGGTGGATTCGTACAGAGGCTGCAGTGCTAGCAGCGACTCGCAGGGAGCTAGGCTGCCGTTCAATGTTCATATCAGACTTGCCTGGCCATCCAGCTTGGTAGAGCTTCGCCCGCTTCCGTTGCTGGGGTTCCGCCGCATCTTCACCTCCACTACCATAGCCCGAGTTGATTGAATCTCTTCGTGAATGGAGGCCAAATTGATGAAGTTGGAAATCACTGTCCTGCATAGAAGCACTAGATGAAGGGCGGATGTTGTCACTATGAGAAAAGCTTTGCTTCGGTTGCAGAACCTGGTGGTGTTGTGTAGGAGTGCGAGTTCCTGCGGGAGTGGACATTCGGCTAGGAGGGCCGAAGGAGTGGGTTGGCGATGAAGATCGGACAGACTCGTTGGTAGGATAAGTCGAGTAGTCCCGCGGTGTGGCGCTCTCACTCAGAAGCTGGTGGACTCGTTCGATGCCTGATTGATCCATTGGCGAAGGCACGCGACCTTGTTGCTGGCTCCGGGAGGCCTCTAGAAGAGCCGGATTCTGCCGAAGAAAATTCGTCCATGACTGAGCGTCAAAGTCGTGAGGGATGACATTGCTCAATTCGCGGTACTTTTGCATACTGTCGAGGTATTCGCTTTGCATCACTGTAGGGACTGGGACCAGCCGCAGTTTGACTTCCAACGTCTCCTGGGCGCCCTTGGAGAAAAGTCCAAGTGGATTTTTGCACACCCGACCCGTCACCATAGTCTTGGACTGGTGAGCAGGAGCATCCGGTGTTGGCGAGGCAGATGCGAGAACCCATGATAGCATTCCCTGTCCAACCAAAGGGGTTTCATATTCGGAGTAGTCATAGGCGTAGACTGTGTAGTCCTTTCCCAACTGTGCCACCAATTCAGGACTAGATCGGTCTGTGTGAGTACTTGGATAAGATTTCTACAGTATAGGGGTCAAGGTAGTCAAACCTGGCAGAAACTATCGCCTGGATGCATGTCTTCAACTCGATCACACCGATCTGAGTTTGCTCATCCAAAAAGGCAGTTTGAAGGTCGAGCACATGGGGCCACCGAGCGAGGCAATTCGTCTTGTTCTCGTTGTCAAACGTGTACAAGACCTTTAGCCTCATGGGCCGGACGGTAATTCCGTCCTGAGATTCCATCTCAACAAAATCTGCTTGTACACCATGCACGACAGCGGGCTGAAAAGCAATGTCGAAAATCGAAGGAAATCAATGATAGAGAAAGGTGGATGGGCGAGTCTCGTAGGTTTAAGGAGGTAAGTTCGCACTTGGTCGTTGGTAGGTAGGGCGTGAATGTGTGGATATTGAATCCGGAAGGACGAGGCAATAAAGACGGCTTAATGCACTGCAGGTAGTACTCGGAAGGGATGGCAGGGTGGTAGCGGGGCAGTTCCTAGCCAAGCAACTATTGAAGAACCTGGTCGTCCGGGAGAATCGGTAGGTTATGCTGCAGGAGGTGGAGTAGACTACAGCATTGGAATGTTAGCCGGGTGATTGACAGGTGAGAAGGATCCTCGGCAGGGTGAAATTATAGACCGCCTCTTAGGATGGATTGGTTGCACGGGATAAAAAGGAATTGGAAGAGCCAAAGGGACATACAGCCTGAAGAGGAGAGAAGGAAGGGTGAGGAGAAGTGAGGAGTGAGTAAGGAAGAAAGAAAGAGGCGGGAACGGTTGTAGAAAAGAAGCCTTGCATACGCGGGTTGAAGCTATCCGTCGATCAACAAGCGTGTACGCGACGTGACTAGCCAATCGCGCACGTCTTTAATTTGCCTGAACCTTAAGGCATCCAACCTAGCAGCTCGCCTGGTCACGTGATAGGTCGAACTTGACCGCGCGATCTTCAACAACCCGACGAGACCATCCAGGCCCTTTTATATTCCCAACCTCCCACACACCATGTCGACAGCTCCGGACCCCAAGATTCAGTACGTTTTGCAATCAATGACTCATCATGCTTTAATGTATCTCAGCTGACCCGTGTTCCCCGAACAGAGACCTGCTCAACAAGCCGAAGAGCGAGCTCACGTATGTCTCTCAACCTTCCTTCCCCCCAGACCCGACCACCTTGACGAGGTTTCCCGATCGCTCGACGGATGAACATCCCCCTACCCCCCTTTTTCCCTCCGAGTGCTGCCTAATCGCCGCAAATGCGGGGTTGACAGTATCTCCGAACGACATGCTCTTGCTCTCTCCCCTCGATCCCATCACATTCCTATGCATGCAGGCAAAGAGTGTACATGAAAACTAATCGTGCGTCGCGCATCTCACAGAGAATATGAGGTCGGTCTCGTCGAGGAGCACGAGCTCACCGCCGGCCCCCTCTCGCTTCTGCAGACCGCTACCCGCACACACACTCAGGTCCTGATCTCCTGCCGTAACAACCGGAAGCTACTGGCCCGTGTCAAGGCATTTGACCGACACTGCAACATGGTTCTGGAGAACGTGAAGGAGATGTGGACCGAGAAGCCCAAGGGCAGCAAGGGCAAGGGTGTGAACAAGGACCGATTCGTCAGCAAGATGTAAGTCTGGACTGCGATGACCCCGAGCGCACTATCTCAACTACCTGAACCGGGTTGGCGGGATTCGTGATGATTCGGGCCCTTTTTGAGTTCCTATCGACTAACCTTGTCCCCCCTCCTACCCAGGTTCCTGCGTGGTGACTCTGTCATCCTCGTCCTGCTGAGCTGAGCGCCTTATTTCGTCATCCTATCTTTTTATCGCGCACGTTCATCCCACCAGGGTTCCAACCCTGGTATCTTAGATCCGAATCTGCGGGACGCTTGATCTTCCTGCATCGTGCGCCGCCTGCCCACAAAGAGAACAACGCTTTGTTCGCTTTTTTTTGCCTTGTGGGATCAAAAAAGGATTCCCCCATGTAATCGATCTCGATACCCTTTTTTTCTTATCTATGTTTTCTTCCCGACTCTACAACAACCCTTGCCGCCCTTGCTTCTAGCCACCGCTAGGGCTTTTCCAGATCAACGCATCGTTCCGTATGAAGTAACGTCGTTTTGACGTTACTTTGGTCGATGCTCCTGGTCAAAAACTTGGATGGATAAAAATGAAATTATCTCCGGCGTTCAGTCTTTTTTTTCAGGTCGATGGATGCACGCTTCTAGAGGCAAGCGTTGGGCGGCGTCATATCCTTGGAGTAGCAGATGATGGTTAGCAATGAACTTTTTGAAAGACCATGGATGATTCAAGTACTGTTATATGTATTATGAGGCCCGACTAGCCCATGTAGACCTAGTATGGCTGGCGGAGTAACTTTTGCACCATCACCCTACCTATAGCCCTAGGGACTTTGGACAATATTCATCTACATAGTGGCATAGCATCTAGATGTTGTACGGTGAGTACTATCTACGCATGTTCGAGACCAACTCAAGATCCATTGTCATCATCATGAGATTATATTAGAACAAAACCACGAGGCCGATGGCCCCTGAGCCAAATGAAACGCTATTTATATCGAAAAACAACACACAAAACGGGCACCTTCCCTTCACTGCCCATCACCAGGCAGTCCAAGATTCCCTTCCAACCAAAGACAGCTTATATCAAGATCTAAACCGCCTCCGCCAGGCCAGTCAAAAACTCACTAAGCCCATAAGCACCAGGATCAGGCACCTTCCCAATCCACTCCGCCTGACCACCAACATAAACCGACCGACCAAGACTAGCCTTCATACTCTTGGTCGACTCAGTGCCTTGCTGCGCGGCAGCAGCCGCAACGCGCACATCCTGCGTCTCGAGAAGGGTATCGCAGAATGGTACCAGCGCATCGATCATCGTGCGGTCACCCGGTTTCGCGGGCGTGTACTTGGCCAACGCGGTGACGGAGTGCTTCAATGCTTTGGCCCAGACATCGGTTGTGACGGGGAGATTGGAGCCGGTGTCTTGGTCGCGGAGGCCGTGGACTAGAGCGTTTAGGAAGATTGCGTAGATGGCGCCGGATGTACCGTCCATTACGTTTTCGACGACGTCGATGATGCGGAGGACTGTGTTGACGGCATCGTCGGTTAGGGCTGGGGAGGCGCTGTCGAGGAGTTTCTGGATTGCTTCGGCGCCGCGCTTGAGGCCGATGCCACAGTCGCCGTCGCCGACGATGGTGTCGTAGCGGGTGACTTCGGGCTCGGCAGCGATGACGCGCTTGAGACCGGCGCTGAGGACTTTTTTGATGATGGATGGGTCGACTACGATGAGAGTTAGGATTAGTGAGAGGTTGTAAAGGGGACAGGTCTAGAAGTATGACTTACGCTTCAGGTTGCTGGGAGTATCCTCAATGGCATTAGAAGCCTTGAGCTCCACCGGCGTGTCAATACGCTCGTTCCATGTAGAGGGGTCAATGGGGGCAGACCAGCCCACGGCCTCGGCAGGAGCATCGATCAGGTCAAGCATCGACTTGCCCTCGCCCAGGCCATTGTCAGCCAGTTTCAGCAGCGAGAGGCTGAAGCCCATACCGTTCAAGCTGGTCAGGAAAGTGCCCTGGATGACCCGGACGGGCTTGACCTTGTGATCGCGGACGAGCTGACGGTGCACCTCGTCAGTGATACCGGCCAGCTCGATAGGGCTAACACCACCCAAGTTGTTGATCAATAGAACAAAATCATCCCCCGGGGCGTGCTTCACGAAGGCGCGGTCGGTGTCATTCGGGTCGAGCAGCTGCTTGAGCATAGTCGAGACCGTCTCGTTCAGGTCAGCCTTAGTGCGGTGAGACCCAGGTTCATTGTGAATGCCCATGCCAATCTCGACTTCGCCATTAGGGATGAAATCTTCCGGCACGCCACGGCCAGGGACGTGGACGTGCTCAAGTGAAGAGCCAATGGAGACCAAATTCTCATTGGCAAATTCTGCGAGCTTGTGAACCTCCTCCAAAGAACCACTAGAAAAGACGATCGTCAGAGCCTATTATCTTCCAAATTTATGGGAATCAGCGCAAACTTACCCTGCCTCGGCGAGAGCACCGGTCATCTTCAGAATAAGCACACCACCAGCGATACCACGACGACCGACCTTACCACCCTTCTCCCGACCAACACCCACATCATCATTGATCGCAAAGAACTCGGTGCGAATACCAGCAGCGCGGCACTTCTCCGCAGCCATACCAAAGTTCAGCACATCACCGGTATAGTTATTAGGAAGAATCAGGACGCCAGCGTCCGTGGGGACTCGATCAATTGCAGCTCTGCGAATCTGCTCTGCCGAGGGCGAGGCGAAAATGGTTCCAGCCACGGAAGCGTCACAGAGACCTTTGCCGACGAAGCCCGCGAATGCAGGCTCGTGGCCCGAGCCACCGCCGGTTATGATAGAGACCTTGCCGGGCCTACGGGGAGCATCTGGGCGGCGGAAGATAATCTTGTTCTGGGCGTCGAATGCTAGGGAAGGGTTCGTGAGGGTGAGGGAGTTGAGTGCGGTGAGAACCAGATGGTTCGGATCGGAAAAGAAGTGCTTGGCTGGAGAGTGACAGAAGGTCAGATTCGAGTTTCTTTGCCGTCTTGTGTAGATCCACTGGATCGACCAGTATGCGCTCCACTAGAGAAAACAAGGCAGTGGGGATCAGAGGGTAGAGGAGTCCTACTCTGCATTATTATGGATCACCAAGTGGACTTTTTTCAATATTCTTGTCCGAATATTACTTTCGCGTTGTATTTCAAAAAGCGAATCGCCGAGGTATATCAAACACGGAAATCCGGGGTAGTTCCACGCGGGAGAATCCACGGTATTTATACAACGTTCTCTTTGCGCAATTCGTCGTACGGTGCTGCCAAAGGCCAAGTCGCCAATCGGCAAACTGTTGTGTAATTTCACAGGTCCGGGAGTCTGTCAACTAAACCAGGTATCGCTGTTGGACAACGGGTCGCGGATTGGACTTGAGGCGATGCGAAGGCGGGGAAAAAGTGGGGAGTTGACGCAGCGGGGACGCTGGGATTCAAGTTAGCTGATTTCCAAGAGACAAGCCGGGGAGAATGGGAAATTGATTTGGGGGATTCGTGGGGTGATATCGAGGGGTCGCAGGATTGTTGAGTGGGGGTTTGTTCAATCGTACATTATTGGCAGGGGGGAGCAAAGAAGGGAAACTGTACCGATTTGGGAAGTATAGGAAGTATACACGAGAACGGGAAGTATACACACCACCAAGGTCAATGGGAGTTCAACAATTCTACAACCACGAAGAGGGGGGATTTCCTTCTCTTTAAGCCACCAGGTCTAGCTTGCGACTCTCTTTCTATGTTCCTTGTTCTTTTTTTTCTGCTGCTCACATGAACCCATCTCCATCCACATCGTACTCCGGTCTGGACCGTAGGCGCTTCGGCTTACCCTCTACGGATATCCCGCCTACCCGCCAGGCACCGCATTCCGCGACCGGCTCGAAAAAGCTACGACTTGACTACAATGTAATACTTAACATACTTCTACTACGAGACAGCGGGGAAAGCGGCTGACTGAGCTTATCGTCCGAAACATACACCGCTAGGGAACGGGCGCAACCGTTCCACGACTTGATAGATCGCATTCAATGGTTCATTCTCGCCCGAGTAGTAGACAACGGCCATACTGTGCTCCTCCCCCTTGCACAGCTGGTCCCCTAACGGCTGAAACAGAAAGTTAGCCGGGACTACTCTATTCTACCACAAATATCGTGAACAATAGAATTGAATCCCTGGGTTCTATCTTAATAGCACAGTAGTCCGTAGTGGGTAGACGTATAATCCACTTGAAGTATGAGCTCTATGATCAAGTACTCGGTCACTGCTTATAATCAAACCAATGATTCCGTTCTTCTTCCAAACTTTCAGTCATGATATGTCTATACCTACCAAATCTGTCCAGACCAAAGCGGGGACCAGGATAAGGGCCCCAGATGCACAGAGTGGAGGCAAAGGGACATCATGAGACCAGCAAAAAAAAAGACGTGCTCCAGATCGTGCCAGTCCCGCGCTGTCAGATCGCCGAGGTGGGGTCTCCTGGGGAGAGGTTCTTATATACCCCTGGCGAAAATAAGAATAGCACAGTAGATCTATTGGCTGTGATGCAATGGCCATAGAGTTCATGGGGTTAAGGAGCGGTGGTAAGTTGCATTGTCTGATCCAAATGGATGGATCTGGCTTTATATTCATGTGTTACTATATTCTCTGCTTCCTCAATCCGATAGACTCCCTAGATGCTGAGACCCTGATAGCCATCGAAGAAGTAATGGTGCTAGTAATCATGTGCTGGCCCCACCACGAAGTCACGAGCAGCCCCAGCGGGGCTCAACGCATTGAGATACAAATGCGCCAGGGGAATCTTGCAAGGCAGATATTTGAAGACTACATCGTGCTTCTTTATGGGCAGTTCAGTGGTCAAGAATGATCTGATCTAATTGAACTAGCAGCCGTAAGACTTGGATAGCTGGTCATTGTTTTCTTATTGCTCTCTGCGAAAGGGTCTAAGTCTGAGCCTTTACGAACGGCACTGACCAAGCCCCCACGAGTGCCGAGCAAAAGTACAGAGTATACAAGCTGTCTGCGCGCCCAAGGACCCGTTCTGAGTAGGTCTAGCAGAGTAATTGCCTCACTTAGCAGCTTAATCTTCTTCGTTTAACGACCTTAAGAAGGGGGGGGATCCCACCCTAGAACCCCCCAGTCACGCTGGTCGCTTTGCTTTCGCTGAGTAGTAGAAGTATAGTAGTTGAAGTAGGAGGGGTAGTAGTAAATCTACCAACCAACTCATCTACCAACTCAGTTCGTATTTAGTCTGCTCGGATGCAGTATTCTACCTCCTATCGAGTAGTCCTCTGATAGTAGTCCACTGTCCCGGCTCGGCATATGGGGACTCGGAGCTACTCCGACCGTCCTTCCGTCTTCCACTCGGGTTCTACCGAAAGAGAGTAGTACTCATTGGACGGCTATGTAGGACGATAAGTGGTGAGTTCAAACCGTTTCAAATCAATGAATAATTTATCACGCCAGATTCATATACGATCTTAATGGCAATGAGTATTACTACTGTTCAATTGCACAATCCTAAGCGCAGGCCCAGAACTGGAGGAGAAAAGAAAAAGACTAAAAAACGGCAAATCCACGCGCCCTTCCGGTCCCAAAATGGAAATCCCACGCACCGCTAAGACTGGAGAGAAAAAAAAAAAAAGAGAGAAACTATTAGCCCCGCCGGCCTGAGGCATCCTGCTCTATGCCACGTATCTGTATTGATTGTTCTCGGCTCGCTCCATATAGTCCTTTTCGATCAATCTGTGTTGGGGGAAGATGTTAGCCCAAATGCTCACCGGACGCAGAAACAGACAGTATTCGACAAGAAAATAATGATGGATTCTTACTTCTCAATGTTGGTCTTGATCTCGGCAGGTTGGAGGGTACCACGGTGACGAGTGGCCTCAATTACCTCCGCAATCAGCTCTGCATGCTTGATGGTCTTGCGACTCTTCATGATGCGCACAATCGCCGCCTGGGTCTCGTAGTGTCGGTCGGCTGCGACTCGTTCGTGGGTAGTCTTGTTCTCCTCCTTGGTCTCCTTCAACTGAATCTGATTGATCTTGATGCGCATCTTGGCATCGGTGAAGCTGGCATTGTAGGAGAAGACGTCGGTTGTCTCCACCTCCTTGCCCTTTGGTGTTTTCGACAAGACGCGGTATTTGGCACATGCGAGAGACTGCAACGTTCGCTTCAATTCAGGGTCCGCTAAAGGCATTGTTAGTTAGGCTCCAATTACAACGAGGAGAATTACGTACAGAGTCCTGTTGCGGCTTGAATTTCCGAGTAGGGCAAAGTTTCTCCCTCGCCAATGTCGTTAAAGAGGAGCAGCACGATTGCCTGGAACGAGCTAACCACTAGTTCTTTGGAACCCTTGGGAAACTTGGCTCGCAATTGGCAGTGTGCGAGCTGGTGCTTCCAGTTGAGCCGGCGACCGGTATGTTTGTTACAATAGAATTCTTGGAAATCATTGATCGAGGTCGCGATGATCGATGGGATACGCACGGGAACGTCAGCGTACGTTGGCCATGCGGCGGCGGAGAGTACATTGACACTGAGGTCAACCGGTGGGCGATCCTTGCGACCACGCTCTCGGTTGAAAGCAGTATATGCTGCCATCTCGTCGCGTGCCACTTCCATGTCCTTGAACATAGTCTCAAGATTATGTGTAAAGCTTGATCCACATTCTAACGAGAGTCAGTCAAATGAAAAGCACGGATAAGGATGTGTTTGAACGGGCATATACCTCTCTTCAGACGACCCAGCATACTCTTCTCGGCATCGTCGCTTGCACTTCGGCCCATCAATAGGCGCCTAGCAAGATCGTTCTTGTAGAAGGCTTCGAACACAGCCTTTCCTTGGACAAATCGGAACAGGTCCAGGACTTGGTCGAGTTGGCGATTGATTTCGGCATCCTCATCCGCCATCGCGCCTTCTTGCTGGCTAGCAGGCATCTTCCAACCTCCTTTCAACAACCGATCCACGTACTTGGCGATCATCTCTCCGGTCTTGGGGTTGTCGGTACCGGCAGTGGATTCCCCCTTCTTGCTAAGGTTCATGAATTGGCCGAATGCCTCGCGCAGAGTATGGCCCAGGTCTTCATTCCGATCGAACGACTCAGCTAGTGTGTCGTCCAGCTGTTTCTTAAACTGCAGTAGATGGATGACCATATCCGCTTCGTTCTTCTCGTCAAAGACAATGTTGGAGCCCTCTTCGACAATGAAATGACCGAAAGCAGACTTTAATTTGGTTGCCAAGTTTCGCCGGGTGAGAAGGCTGTATAGCTGTTTCAAAGCAACCTTTTTGCCGGACCGCATCAGGCCGAGCACATCATTCTCACTGAGGAGAACTGCCTCATGCTCGGCGACCAGTATCTCATCCAACAGCTCGGACAGCTTCTGCTTGGTACTCCGATTTAATGAGAATAGCCCGCATCGTTCGACTTCACGTTCGATCAGATGCTGGCTGTTTTCGACGTATGAAGCGAGATCCCCAGTAGATTCCCGTTGTGCCCATGAATCAACGAAGCTGCGCGAGTCACCAATGAATAGCGGCTCAAAGTCGCTGCTGTAAACCTCGAGGCTATGGAAGAGCTCTATAGCGTCTCTGAGTAATGTTGCATCGGGGATGATGCTAGTCTCGGCGCCGCGATCAGCAGCGATGAGATCGCAGGCACCTCGTAAAATTTTAGGCTTCAGGCTCTGATCAGCGAACACGTAGGCGCGAAACTGGATAAGTCCCATTTCCTGGATGACAGGGAAATCTTTGGAGTGTAAGAGGAATGACTGGTCAAGATAGTAGAAGATCCACCGAACTGTGATCTGTAACAAAGTTAGTCCATAGGTCAATGACTCCCAGAGTCACTAATAACATACTAGTCTCGAGTGCCAGACCGACCATGCCTCGATCACTGCCCGCAATGTATCGACATCGGTTCCACCTCCAGCCCTTGTCACCAAGTTGTCCCGTAGCTTCCCAGCTACGTAATCCTTGCACCTCTCCTGTACCTTCTTGGCTAGTAAGGCCGCCCGCTCTTGACGACAGATGTTCTCCGCGCCCTTGTATAGCTCTTCTAACGAGATTTCAGGCTTCTGACCATCAAAAATAACTGACAGTGCAGCATCCAGTTGCGCCCAGGTCTTGTCGAAGTATGGCTCTTGGTTCGTCCGAGGTCCCGTGCGGAGGTTCTTGACGACAAGCTTCTTTGCTCCTGCATGAGGGCTGAAGTTGTTCTGACGGGCATTTGCAGCGAATGGCTGTGTCTTTGCTAAAGGTGTATTCGAATTTGATCCCGTCAATGTGCGCACGAAAGCAGCACCATTCTTAGGTGGGGAACCAGAGAAGTTATACATCTTGTTTGGGGACACTGGGTGACCGGAAGCTGGGCGCGAAGGTGAAACGGAGAAGCGGGACCGTTTCGAGGACGGAGATAGGTTCTGCGAGGGGTTGCTGCGCGAGGGATTCGAGGAGAGAAGCTCCGAGATGGTCCGCTGCGAGTGCGATTGTGATGGCTCTCCTTGATCGGAAAGCTTCCTCTTGCCGCTCGATTTGCGCTTACCGCTCCGCTGATCGGGGTCGGCGCTCGGGGTTTGCTGCATCCAGCCGGTTCAGTCCGACACGGAGGAGATGCTCTTAACGGTGGAAGGATGGCGATGATAGATCGATCATGTCTCCGCCAGGGCGGTCTGGGCGGAGTCGTGCGGGTTTCGGGTGTTGAGGGGAATTGACGTTGCTCCTCTCTGGCGAAGGTTCCAACCTCCGCACGGCGATAAGATAGCAACAGCTCCGGGGCCTGTGCAACGCCGTCATAGATGCTGCTGGAAATTATTATTCGACCATTTTGTAGCCTCTTGGATCCTAGTTCAATATTCTTATATACATCAACTCAAAGATTCGAGACTCTTTTTTTTCGAATTGTCTCCCAAATGTGACCCGTCACTCTTGATTATGCGGGCACGTGTGATCAATCATGGTTAACATGCAAGAAATATATCAAGACCTATCAACGGGGTACTAGGTGGGTGTATGGTTATAGGTACAGTATGCTCCTCGACCGCCAGCTTAACCATACTGAAAACTACTCAAGTCTAGAATGAAAGGACAAAATTATGCTCAGCGTACTGGCTAGACGGATATATTCATTCATCGTCGAGCCAGAAACGAAATGTAATGCATTCATGAAAATGTGTCTCGAAAATCGCTTAACCTCCCACTCCGCTGATAAATTACACGCCATTTCTCCTGGACCTATCCATGCACATCCCTAAAGCCAAGGTCATGAAAACAGAGCGGGCCGAGTGCTCTGCTTAATTTCTTGGTCCTCGAACTGTGAACTAATGAGCAACAATATTCAATTGAAATGAGGGCGGGGGAAACAAACCTCGAGGAAATCAGTAGCGGTCACGAGGGCCATAAATGACTTGACGAGTTCGCAGAGAGCTTCGTGATGGGTGGCACTGGTGCTGCCACCAATCTTGGCAAATCGCTTGAAGACACCGACCATACAGGGCCGATTCTCGGTGATGAAGGCTAGAGTCTGTGCCTTGATCTGCTCATTGTGGGCCCCCCTGGAGAAAACGGCACAAACGATGACACGGATGACGGATAGAAGCAAGTCATAGTACTTCCGGAGAGCATCCGGATTGTCAATGTCTAATCATGTCAATAACGGTGCTAAGAGGAGAAGACGTCTTGATAAAGGAACTGACCAATGCCAATGTCGGGATCCGCAGCAAAGAGTTGCGACTCGCGAACGGAGTCGAAGAGACCGGACTTGAGAACGTAAGTGGCTCCGCTCTTGGTCTGAGACAGTTGCTGGAGCAGTGCTAGCAAAGATTCATAGTATGCCAAAAGGGAAGAAGTATCTGCAAACGTGGTTATGAGTGATGCCCGCAGAAGATATCGGGGCCAAGAACGAAACTTACCGGCTGCCTGCGCATTCCGAAGCTCAACGGGCAGTGACCTGATGGCATCGAGGAAGAGACTAAGATAGTTCGACTGAGATATCAGCTCAGCAAGAACGCAATCTGTTCGGCTATCCAGAGCTGCCAGGCAGTTCAAAAATAGTAGAGCCGAAGCACGACAAGCCTCCTGCCCGGTATAAGCATCGTCGCAGACGGCCTCCACAAGACCAGGGCCTGCAGTCTTGACGATTTGTTGGCTGTGACGGCGGAGACTCTCGTGTGTAACATCAGAGGACGTGATGCGAGTGATGTAGTGGGAGCAGATGCTGTAGAGAACTTCTCTCAAAGATACATTCCCCGAAGCCAGCATGATACCACGGACGGACACTTGGAAGAGCTGATGAAGCTTCTCATCAATGACGTCTCCACTCCGAGAGGCGGGGGCTTCAGGAAGATCGGATGCAAGCTTGCCAATTAATGTCTCTGCCAATCGCGCGAGTTCGATGGCTTCTCGGGATTCGCTTTCAATTGAGACTTCGAGCTTGGGCAGAATCATCTGAATGGCATGTAGGATGAACGTCGGCCTGGTGGCGTCGTCTAAGACGGAGCAAGTAGTGATGGTAGTGACGAGCTCTGCCCATGATCGGAGTGCGAGATACCGATTGTAACCAATTTGCCGGCTCTGATTGGTTGCGAGAATAAAAATCTTCAAGCTTTCCGCTTCAGCCTCGAATTGTTCTTCACTGTGAGGCCGTGCTGGGCCAGCAGCAAGTAACTCCGATTTTCGAATGTGGATCAACTCCTCAACCTTGGCAATGTCGTAAAGAATCAAATTGTCCCGTTCTTGGCTGGCGCAGTCGTCAACGGCAATGTTGCTCAAGAACACCAATTGAGGCACATGGAAATTGCGCGAGACATCGAGGTCGGCGAAGTCAAAGAGATCAAATACTGACGCATTGGCGACAGATTCACCGTTATCCAGGGTCGAGCTTCCAAGAAGAGTGGAAAGAATCCCGGCCTGGAGGGTCGGTGATCCGACCTTTGCTGCAGAGCGTATCTCCGTGGCAGCATATGCAAACAGATGGCTTCGGTAGAGTAGGAATTCTGCCAAAGCCGAAGTAGCATCAGTGACCCAGAATTCGTCCGTGAAAATAGGATGACCATTCCAGAGAGTATTGGGTCCGACGATGGGCTGTCCCGCGAACATGTTCATCAAGAACCCATACGCACGCATCTCAGTAAGAGTGAAGTAAGTTGCGAGCTTCGAGGACCATAGATGCTTCAGGACTTCGAAGGCCATGCGCTTAAGGTGCACCGTGTATGATGTGATGGTCCCATCCAACTCATCAGGGTAAGCCTGCAGGAAGCCAATGATGGCATGGAGCAATGACATCCCATTGGCGAACAAGCCATCCGAAGGTATATCAAGAATATTTCCCAGGCAACTGAAGCCGAGCAGAAGATGAGCTACAGTGGGGCGATCTGTGATCATACCCAAGCAGCTGTTCAAGAGGGCAAGAAGGCTTTCCCGAATAACATAGCCAGCTGCCTGAGGCCCACACTCTAACTCCCTAAGGTCCGGGTCCATCATGGAGACTAGTGAGCGCGCTACACTGTCAACATCCACCTCACTAGCAAGGACCTCCACAATCTTGTTTGAGGACTGCCACTTTGTGATCTCAGGCGAGGACATCTTGTTGAGTTTGCGTGAACTCGTGAGCTTTTCTAGCAGAGCCATAGATGTGACGGTAAGTTGCTCGTGCCCCGTGCCACAATACAGACAAAGCGCAGGTATCAAGGACAAATTGTTGAGAACGCTATCTTCAAATGAAGCGAGCGACGAGTTTGCAACGGTAGAGCGATGTCCCACAGACTTGGACCTGACCATTGGCTTGACGATGTTGAAGTAAGTTGACTGAAGATCCATAATCAAGTTCATTACCTCGACGCTGCGTAGCAGTGTCAGGGCCAAAACTGAATCAGATGAAGCCTCAGCCACTTCTGATATATCCAGTTGGCTGATTGCGAACAGCGCTTTCAGTACATCTTCGTTGAAAAGCCATTCCATCACACGGGAAAACGCATGAAGGCGAACGTAGGCCTCGAGGTTGGAACTCTTTGCAGCAGATTCGGCAAGAGACGGCTGGCTAAGAACAGTAACGAGATCCTCATTGAAGGTTCGCAAGGTTGTCACAACAAATTCCAAACAATTGAAGGTCAGCAGGCGAGATTGATAGCCACTGAGATCTTGAATTCTCCGAGAAAGAGCATGACCCAGGATAAAGTCCACGTATGGTTCGATTCCAGGCATGCGATATGCTGCTCCTAACGACTCTGGGAATGCAAGAGACAAAGGCTTTTCACCAAAGTCGGAGGTGGGGGTTACTAAGGAATTGATGAGAACCACAAATGCATTGGTTTGATCAAAACTCTCCCCAATCTTCTGCAACGTTTGCTGTTCGTACCACAGGCTCTGATTGGAATGGACAGGGGCTTTCATCAGGGTTGATGCCTCCCCGGCCGGTGCACTGACCAAAAATGTGTTGATCGACTCCCACATTTCATTGCCATGACCGGGACTTCTGTCAGTCATCAATGCGGAGAGCGTAGTGAAAATAGTTGCTCTGAGATGACTTGGGATAGGTCCTTTGCACAAAGTCAAAAGTTCCTCTGCAACCTTGAAGGATTGATTTTGAAGCATCCATTCTCGGATGGCTGAAGACTGTTTGCATAAGTGACCCATGAGGCGGAGGTAACAGGTGAGCATAACAGGGGACTCTGGTTCGCTCATGTCCACGGGTCCCGGCTTTCGAGCACGCATGAGGCCCGGAGTAGTATGCGAGGTCTGGCCGCTGGGGGTAGATTTTTCCGTGACTCGAGTAGCGTAGAGGTGTAGTTCGGCGAACATCTGTGTCCAGTTCATGTTTGTAGACCGCTTCAACTTGGAAGATAGGAATTTTTCCTCCTCTGTCAAGAACCTGTGTGCAGCAGCAGCGTTTTCTTCGCCTTCCGAAATAGAGCAGAGCATCTCGCAAAAAGCGCTGACTCGAGGCACCGTTTGACGCTTAGAGGCCCATTGAAGAAAACCGTAGAGGTTTCCTTCAACATCACCCCAAAATTCCTGCGCAGCATCTTGCCGGTGTTCAAAAGCAAATGAAATGATCATCAAGAGGGACTCCAGGTGAGTTCGAGCCTCCACCAGACCGCGGTTCGTACTCGACGTCAGACCATCCCTCAACGCAGTTATTTGATCCAATCGTTGAGTGTCTTCTTCTGATTTGAGTTTTCGAACAGCATCCGGCATGTTCGCAATGCATGACTCCACGAACACCTCGAAACTTTCCATCAATAGTTCTTTCATGTAAGCACTGCAGGAGCTAGAGTCGGGTAGGCTGATGAGACTTTCTTTCAAAAGCAATGCCACTAATTCGCTGCGAGCGGGGTCGGCCCATTCTTCGCTGTTGACACTGGCGCAAATTGCCAACATCAAGTCGAGTGCCCCATCGTCAAGAGATGCCATGAACATCTTCGTGCGCTCTTCGGCTTCTTTCTCAAGATCGACACTGGGGACAGGATCTGATGGGCCATCGTCAAAGTACCACCCACTGTAGATGGCTAGCCACAATGCGGTGATAGCAGCATGGAAATTGGGGAGGTTCCAGGTTTGGCCATCGGTGGCTTTGGTGATCACATCGTGCAAGGACCGAGCCTCGACGCGGGTACCGGAACTCTCAGGAGATCCGTGGCGAACAAAGGAGGCGATTGCAACCGGAAAGTAGTGAATAAGTAGCCCATCCAGACGGTCTAGCTTCTTCAGATGGGTGATAAGGAGTCGAAAGTCTTCAGCGCTAGTGAAGGTACCCTTGAAAAGATAGAGTAGGATGGCCCCGAGCGACTCGTGCTGCTGCTGCAGGCTGCGCCGTTGATATTCAATAGCTTCCATGACGTCGCGATCCTCCTCCTGCCCAACGATAGAGGCCTTTTGAACCTGGTCTCCGAGAAGTGACAACCACCTTTCGACGTCACCCATAGACTCCAACGCTTTTCTGGCGAACAGGGACGCGTTCTGCATTTGTCGATTCTTGGTGTTCAGAATGAGCGCTAGAGTCTCCTGCATGATAGGCTGAATGTTCCCTGGCTCTTCCGATTCGAGAGATTCGCGGCAGATCAGGCGTAAACATTCGAGGAGAAAATGGCGGCGCTCGTGGAATCGCATAATCGCAGTAATCAGAGGAGATCGGTCCAGGACTTGCGAGTCTTCTTGTGCGGCGAGAAACATGACCGCCGCCTCCAGCTCGTCGATGTTCAAGGCATCGGCGAGCTGGAGTGCGCCTTGTTGGAAGTCTTCATTGATGGAGTACTCGACGTCGGCAACCGTGATCTTGCCTAAGTCGTGGCGACGAATATTAGAGACACAATTTCGGGGGAAAAACCGAAGCAAGACAGCGTAAATATTGGCGACCACTTACCAGAAAGTACTGTTTGGCGACTGGCATTGCTCTTCGCGGGCTTGTCTAGGAGTTTTTGGAAGTCCTCAATATGCTCTCTCAATTCGAAGATGAGTCGGTCAACATTCAGAAATGAGCTGTCGGAGATGGCTGAGAGATCCTGGTACAAGCCTCGCAGGCCTGCCAGATTCTCGTGAAGCTCTGCCATGACGGCGCGGGGTGGAGGAAGTGGGAAGGGTAGCTTCGAGCTCTGTTGTTTCCTGAAAGGCGGAACGCGATCAAAATTCCGGGCGGTCATCCAGTTTGGCAGTACTGCCGCTCCACAACACCGCAACGGACGAGAAGCTATTGCAGACACGCGAACGCCTGGACCACGGCACGGTTGCCTGGGGCGAATCATTCTATCTTTGGAAGCCTGGATACTTGATGTCGACGTTCTACGCGAAAGCTCAAAACGAGCGGCTGCCTGGCCCAGCGCAATGGGGGAGATCTATTTGGACAAGGCGCTCAGCCTGCTTTCTTCAGATAAGCAGAAGGAACGAGTTGATGGTTTAGCAGGTCTGATCCTCTCATTTTCTCACTATAGCGAGTTGGGTTTATGTTAATGGGTTTTTAGATATCAAGCACATCCTGCAGCAAAACAAACAAAGCCCTAAGCTGTAAGTGCTGCCTTTTAATTAATGTTACTTCCCCCCAATGCACAAGCTAACATGCGGCCTGGATCACCTCAAGACTGGAACTTAACGACAAAGCCTGCCACAAGATCTTTGAAGCCCTCTTCCGTTTTATTGCGATAGAACGATCGATCTACATTCGCGCTCAACGGTCGAATACTAAAAGCCCATCGGCTACCCGGTTGTCAACATGCGCCTCGGTGCTTCGAATAGCAGTCGATATCTTTTTGCGCAACATCCGAGCCAAAACAGTCCGCGCGATCATTGATCACATCACAGAGGCCATACCGGTGCCTGGGGAAGGCCTGTGGGAGCCACTCAGCGTGGACTACATGAAATGCATAACATCTCTTCTTCAGCACCCTGCCCATACCGAGCATCTGGGGGATGCAGACTGGGAAAGGCTCATTGATTTCTGTCTCGATGCAATGCACGTACAGGAGAGCGATGAGAGTCAACTCAGCATTCGCAGTGGACACCGGTCGGCCCCCGAAGACTCTCTGGATGCAAGCGATACCCCCCGACCCCTCAAAGAATGACCCCCGCTCCAGGCAATAGAGAGAAATTCGTTGGCGATAGAAACACCGTCGGAGAAGTTTTAGCGTGTATCCAGATTTTGACGTCAAGACCTGGCGCCCCTATACAGGCTGCAGCGGAGAGTATCCTGCAAGGGCTCGTGGAGTTTGTCAGGTCACCAGCTTTGATGGCCGGAAATACACATCAACTGGCATTCAGTAGTATCAATACAGTCATTTCCAGAGTTTTGTTCGATCAGTCTGAGCTGGCTCGGTCGTCCCTGACGGATCTGATCCCAATAATTCGACGCCTGTGGACCACTAAGCTCCAGAGCCTCAAGGATGAGCTTCTCACGACGATCATGTTGTGTCTGGTCATTTTCGCGGATCTGGCTCATAAGAATCCATCCGAATTGCTAGTTCGCTCGATTGAGGGACTGGCAAACTGTCTCCAGTTGGAATATGTGAAGCGGTCTGATAGGGAGTTGCTCCAGCCGGACGAGACGGTCTTCTACCAGAAAGGGGGGCACGGTGGTGGACCTGTCTATGGGCCTCGCCTAGGGAATGCTCGATCTGAACACAGCTGGACTGTGCTATGGGCCCTTGCAAACTTGCTGAAGCTGACAGAAAAAGCTGCCGCTCAGAAGCCCGACCATGCCGTTTCTGGGGAGCAATTAAGCAAGAAACAACGTCTTACATCGGGAATGGATGATGTGTTTCGCGACGCAATATCGGGGATAGGCTCGCCAAAAATCTGCGCGTTGCAGTTGATCCCTTTTCTTGAAGCCGAGATTGACATTGATACAAAAGATTCTTTTATTCAGCGAGCTATTCCAAGCATCCTCGATGATAACAGTACAATCGCGACTTGGACCATGATAGCATTGACAAGGTGAGTTGGTATATTGCCCATCCAGCTGCTGATACTAATCGAACGCTCGGATAGTATTGCCAATGGCCCCAGTGGCCAACATCACCAGCTGAAAGGATACTGGCCCCAAGCTGTAGATCTCGCAACTCGCGCCTTCTCCTCCTCGGTAACGTCTAGAGCGGCCTGCAAACTCTTGAGCACAATACTTGAAGCGGATTTGTTGGAATATTCCATCGTGTCAGAGAACATACGATCAATGCTCTCGTCTGCAAATTTGAATGGCCCCTCCGCCATTTCCGACTCGGCTTTGAAGATGTGGTCATTAATAGCCCGGAAAAGGTTACAGCTGAGCCCGGGGACAGCGCAAAATGCATCGCAGCAAATTTGCAGTTGGCTAAGAGAGGTATGGGCTATTGGTACGTCAGCTAAATGTTCTTCATCTCAGCCATTTGATTTGCTGATATCCTGGTGCAGGTAATGTCACAGATCGGCTTCAAACTGCGCAGATCGCTGCGTTTGCTCGCCCGCTTAATTTGCTCGACCTCTTCATGGCATGCACCAATCGATCTTTCGAGATTCCGGATTTCCGATATCGTGGATCATCGGGCGTCATTACTCGGATGTGGTTCTACTTCCATGAAAACAAGGAGCTTCTGGAGTATATTTTCGGAACAGGCTGCCGAATCCTTCGTTCGAATCCTTGGAATTATGGAGACTCATGGTCTTTGAAACCCTCGGCTCGCCAGGATGCAGATGACTCGGTGATAATTGATATCTTGCGAGCAAAGTCCGAATCTTTCCTTCAATCATGGAAGACGATAAGCGGAGACAGATCGCTTCACGTTACCGCGGACATCTTGCAAATTTTGACTTCTTTCTGCATTGTTTGTTCTCTGTTTGGGGCATGCCTTCCCCCGCAGTCGAGATCTCGAGTGCAAGGTCTTCAACAGAATTGCAATACCCTCTGGAATTCCATTTGCGAATTTTTGTCAACACACGGGTCGACTGCCATTCAACCATGCCTTGAGATAATATCACCAATCCTTGCGTCAGAGTCTGAACTGGAGATGTCCGGCATCTGCAATGCTCTTTACCCACTCCTCTGTCCATTGGCGGAAACCCTTGAAAAGATTCGTCAAAACCTTAAAGCGGAATCACCGGGCGAGAGAGATATCATGGACTTGGATGATCAATTGCCCTACAAAGGGGACGAGGTCTTTGCCAACCAGGCAATTCTTGCTTCGAACCGAGCGGCGACTTGTCTCTTCTCTGATGCAGCTACATTTCAACGCTGCGAGACCATTCGACTATCAATTATTTTGAGAACGCAGAGGGAGAATACCACTCTCGAAGACTGCCGGTCAGTCATTGTGGAATATCTGACGGGCCTGGACGAGTCTGATCTCCTATCCACCCAAGGTATTTTGCCAGCAGTTTATCGGAGATGTTCCCAACTACAGCGGGATGACATGATCCAAGTTCTAGAAGATCTCGGAGAGAAATGCCTACAGTCGTATGAGATGGAGCGTTGTGAGGCTTCACACAACGTCTGCATTCGTATGATGACCGCCTTTGCCGCGTCATGGACAGATTCACAGGCTGACGACTTGAACGATTCAGCGATGGACTTGTACAGCTGGTTCATGGACGCTCTGCTTGCCAAGAAGAGGGCGTCTACTCACGTGTATATCGCTCTTTCTGAGCTCGTGCGGGCTGTCCAGGAGTTATGTCCCTCATATGGCAATCAGCAATCTCTCCCGTCTCCACGAACCACCCTTTTCATGATTCTACAAGAGGGTGATATTCAGGTCAAATTTAGTGTTGCTGATTTTCTACCATCGTTGTTTGAAAGATTCCTTCTCAAAGACCACGATGCGATCTTTGATGACGTTCTAGAGAGCCTGCCAAGGGATCCAGATTGGATCGAAGGAATTGCTCTTCGTCTCCTTGTCCTGTCAAGACTGGCGTCTCGGTGGCATACTCTGTTGCGAAGGAGCATTTACCATATGTTTGAGACCCCAGCTCAAGTCCCCGATTCTCTCGGATTTGCTCAAACATGCATGGGAACTACATCGACTTCTCTTGGTTTGCGAGATGGAACAGAGTTGTTTCGTCTCTTCGCTTCCCAAATACTCTACACTTGGACCGAAACGCAGAGTGTCATGTCTATGCCGTACCGCATCTTCGGATATGGCACCCTCAAAGATATGATCCTTGACGTGAAAGATGAGGTTGTTGGACAAATGATGATGCGTGCCAAGGAATCAGAAAGCCAGGAACTTGCAAGTTTCCTTGATATACCCTATGTCGAACTTCTTGAGGCGTCATTTCATAAAGCAGAGGCATACAGTATCGCGCGAGATATAAGCACCCCTCCCGAGCAGGGAAGTCAACCTAAAGGTGTTGAGATCCGTTTAAGGAAACTGCTTGGACAGGAGAGATTCATGGCCCGAATTGAGGACAATTTCCCACAGATTATCGCAACTTTCTTCAAAACTCTTGATCGACATGATCAAATAGAAAGAGCATATTCAAAGCGTCCAAGCTTTCACCATGCACTCGATATCCAGACCAGAATTAGCGCGAAATGCGCTTCGCAGAGCTCTCTGCCTGCAAATCAACAACCATCTTTCCGCGCTCGGTACTTGCTAGACGAACTCGAGTTTTTGTGCAAACGTGCGGGCTTTGAGCTTGAAACAATCTGGTCACCAGTACTTGCTACATTTGTCTGCCGGTCTCTTCTGGAGTCTATTCACCCTGCACTTGGATCTCTGCATACATGCTCTGTTATCCGCAAGATCAGGGTCCTTGTCTGTCTTGCAGGTCCAATCATGCTAGAAAATTACCCACTGGAGATGATTCTCAGTGCCCTTCGTCCTTTGATTGTTGATGTCCACTGTTCTGAAGATGCCCTAGGAATCTTTTGGTATCTGCTTGAGGCAGGGAAAGCTTACCTGCTGACGAACCCCGAATTCACAGCCGGCATTTGCGTCTCAACCTTGGTGACCCTCCGCAAGCTCTTCTTGTCATTTCCAGAAAGTACCACGCAACAAAGTCAGTTCCAAGCTGTGCTTTCGATCGCGCAAACATTCCGCGAGTGGCTTTGTGCGTTCATGGACGATTGTCAAGGTTCAGAATGGAGCAGGGAAACCAAGGAGTCTTTTGCAGGATTGCTGGACTTGGCACGAAATTTGCCTTCCCTTGCGAACTCGGAAAGCACCCATATTGAAAATGATCTGGTATTTGCCATACTCAAAGATCGCGACTCCGCGCAGTCTCTTTTGAGTAAGCCATCCGCAGATCTGGTACTCTCGTTACTTTGCCCCGAATTCAAAGAAGATGGGAGAGACAATGACAGCAGCTTGGGCAATGATTTGGAATCTGGATCCCACATCTTTTCACTTTGGGAAACGCTTCATGAGTTCAACGACGGTCCAGAGTACCAGCTGTGGGCCGCTCGAATGATCGGGCGTTCCTTTGCTGCCACGGGCAAAATCAATGAAAGATTGGTGCGCGAGCAGGAGAACGCTTTGTTTCAAACGCCGGAGTTGAGTGACCACTCGAATCTTGCTCATCATTCCAAGACTACTGTTCTTCAATTGCTCTGCAGCAAGCTCCAGGTCCAAGATCATACCAAGACTGGCTTAATTGAGAGGACACTCCAGGTTATTATCAGCCACATCACCGATGCCGATGATTTGCAGGACTATGTCGATATCATTCCCGAATCACTTATGCCCGCCCTCCTCTGGAACCCATATTCCTGCCCGAAATTGTCGCTTCCTGCAGCGAAGCTCGATATTTGCGACCTTGCCCTTCACAGAGGTGCTGAGCTTGCGCATATTACCGAGTGGGCTCGCCATGCTTCTCTATCCTTGTCCATTGCTGCCTCGCATGATCCCGTCATTGGGCCGTTGCGTGCGGTTTTACACATGATTCCAGGATTGGCAGTGCAGGCCCTGCCATACATCATTCATGAGGTGCTACTATCTGAACATGATACAGAACGTCGACTTCGACAGTCGATCTCCGGTCTTTTTAAAGAGATCCTCGGTGAAGTCACTGTAGACACCATGCCACATGCTCGACTTGTTATCAGCTGCATCTTGTATCTTCGAAACCGGCCTATTCCTCAGGAGTCAACAATTGTTGATCGCGACAATTGGCTCGACATTGACTATGGCCAGGCATCTTCAGCTGCCCATCAGTGTGGGCTGCAAAAGACAGCTCTTCTTTTCCTTGAAATCGAGGCATCCAGGGTGATTTCGGGATCTCGCAGATCCTCCGTGGCAAAATACGAACCGCCAGCGGGGCTTCTGCATGACATCTTTAAAAATATCGACGATCCAGATCTTTTCTACGGTATTCAACAAAGTTCATCTTTGACTACCGTGATGGAGAGGTTAGAGTACGAGAGTTCAGGCTTGAAAAACCTTCTCTTTCAGAGTGCGCAGTACGACAGCGAAGTCCAGATGTCCGACAATGCAAATCCCTTTGGAGTTTTGAGGGCCTTGAACGCGACAAACCTTCAAGGAATAGCCAATACAATGTTGTCTGCCTCTGGAAGTGCTAATGGCGTGCCTGCGTCTTTCGACAGCATGCTACAAGCAGCGACAAGTCTCCAACAGTGGGATATTCCAGTCTCACCACTGGATGTTTCACCCTCAGCGACAGTGTTCCGCGCATTCCAAAGTTTGAACACATCAGCATCGTTGTCTGAAGTCGCTCTTTCCCTAGACAACTGTCTTTTGGCAACATTGAAGACTCTTAGCGAGACCGGTCAATCGACGATTGAGTTAAGAAATACGATGCGTGCACTTGGAATCATGACTGAGATGAGTGATGTTTTACAAGCGTCGTCAGCCCAGGATATGAAGGACGAATGGGAGAAGATTATGGCCAGAAGCAGTTGGTTGAAGACCGAGAGGTGAGTTTGACTATTACTCCTTTGAACCCCAAAGATTTTCTAACCGAAGTAGCTATGCTGAGGTCGGAGAGATTTTGAGCTGGCACGAGGCATTGTTTTCTTCCATCAGAAAGAATGCCTTCTTGACGTCCAAGTCAACCCTAAGTCCAGGAGACTCGCGCCTTCTCGAGGCAAAGGTGTTCCGCCAATCATTGGATATCACAAGGAGTCATGGCGTTTCTCAGGCTTCTTTGAAATCCGCGATTAGCTTGTCTAAGCTCGCCGAACCTTGTGCTGAGTTGGGAATGAACATTGAGGGGGCAGCGAGATTTGACCTTGCGAACGTTCTTTGGGACCAGGGAGAAATGACTGCATCGATCCGGATGTTGCAACAGCTGAAGGGTCAAACTGATTTGCATAAACAAGCTATCCCACTCAGTCGCGCTGAATTGCTTGTGACCTTGGTAAGCCATTTCGAGAAGAGTGCCATCTTTCACGCCTAACGCATCTACACTAGGGACATCACGTCGCCGAGGCGCGGCTAGAAAAACCAGACTCAATCCTCCAGGACTATCTATATCCGGCTGTCAAGGAATTGAAAGGTGCCTCAGGAGGAGAGTCCGCCGGACGAGTCTACCACGGCTTCGCGAGTTTCTGTGACCAGCAACTCCTTAACGTTGACGGAATGGAAGACTTCAAACGAGTTAAGCAACTACGTGATCGCAAAGAGAAAGAACTCCTCGGCCTAGAAGACATGATGAAGAACGCCGAAGGCCGAGAAAGGGAATCTCTGAAGATCTTCCGTGCCAAAGCAAAACAATGGTTCGATCTCGACGACCGTGAATACCAGCGTCTCTTGCGAAGTCGAGAGGCTTTCTTACAACAATGTCTCGAAAATTACCTGCTTGCACTGCGGGAAAGTGAAATTTACAACAACGATGCTCTTCGCTTCTGTGCACTTTGGCTCGACAAATCAGATAGCAAAACTGCGAATACGGCAGTATCCCGATATGTCAACGACGTACCCAGTCGCAAATTTGCATCTCTCATGAATCAGCTTTCATCGCGCCTTCTTGATGTTTCTGATGACTTCCAATCTCTTCTCACTGAACTGGTCTTCCGAATCTGCGCAGAACATCCATTCCATGGAATGTACCAGATCTTCGCCAGCAGCAAGTCAAAAGGTGGAAAAGATCAATCCTCGCATTCTCGCTTCCGAGCGGCGAACAAGCTCGTCGACCGCTTGAAGAACGACAAGGACATCGGTCCGACCTGGATTGCAGTTCACAACATGAACATTACGTATGTTCGTTTCGCGATTGACAAGCCAGACAGCAAATTCAAGACCGGTGCGAAGATTCCTCTGAAGAAACTGTCCACCGGAGATCGCCTGGGGAAGGATGCGGAGACGTATAAGCTGCCTCCACCCACAATGAAAATCGAGCTCCGCGCAGATCTCGACTATAGCGACGTTCCTTCGATCGCCAGATTCAGCTCTGAATTCACGCTTGCATCTGGTGTCAGTGCTCCGAAGATTGTGACTGCCGTTGCCACCAACGGGGTTCGATACAAGCAATTGGTTAGTTCTTTGGCTCCCTTCGTAACACCGACTACGCTAACAAGCCCCTAGTACAAAGGAGGAAATGACGACCTCCGTCAGGACGCAATCATGGAACAGGTGTTCGAGCAAGTGAGCAGTCTTCTTAAAGATCATCAGCCTACACGCCAACGGAATCTGGGAATTCGGACCTACAAGGTTCTTCCGTTAACGCTGAATGCTGGAATCATTGAATTCGTGCCAAATACCATCCCCCTGCACGACTATCTGATGCCCGCACATCAGCGATATTTCCCCAAGGACATGAAGCCCAGCGCGTGCAGAAAGCATATTGCCGATATGCAGACCAGATCATTCGAACAAAGAGTCAGAACGTACCGCCAGGTCACGGAACATTTCCATCCGGTGATGAAATACTTCTTCATGGAGAAGTTCAGTAATCCGGACGACTGGTTTAGCAAACGATTGGCATATACCCGGAGTACTGCTGCGATCTCCATTCTGGGTCATGTCCTCGGACTCGGTGATCGACATGGTCATAATATCCTTTTGGATGAAAAGACAGGAGAGGTGGTGCATATTGACCTGGGTGTGGCCTTTGAGCAAGGACGCATTCTTCCTGTCCCTGAGGTGGTTCCTTTCCGATTGACCCGGGACCTGGTTGATGGGTTTGGCATTACCAAGACGGAGGGTGTCTTCCGGCGCTGTTGCGAGTTCACCTTGGAAGCGCTCCGGCAAGAGTCGTACAGCATCATGACCATTCTGGACGTGCTTCGATATGATCCATTGTACAGCTGGACCGTGTCTCCCCTTCGAATGAAGAAGATGCAAGATAACCAGGATGCTGGAAATGGTCCTCCTCTTCTGCCTGGTGCAGAGGATAAGCCTGCGACCAACGAACCCAGTGAGGCCGACAGAGCTTTGACCGTGGTTGCAAAAAAGTTGAGCAAAACCCTGAGCGTCACCGCCACCGTCAACGAATTGATCCAGCAAGCGACCGATGAGAAGAACTTGGCTGTCCTTTATTGTGGTAAGTGATTGTGACATATATAGGACTGGCTGTGCCATTCGCTAACTTGCTATTAGGGTGGGCATCTTATGCTTGAAGCGAATTAGGCGGTTTGGTTTCTAGCGTGTAAATATTGCATCGGTGCCATGCATGTTGAGAAAGAAGACGAGCACCAGGAGTGCCCGCGTCAATAACGCAGCTTCTCAAATTCTCAAAGCCTATATACTCCCTCGCAGCCGTGTAGAAGTAAAAATTCTCCTTATCCGGGGTTTCTGTAGGATTCTGCCCCCATACTAGGGAGTGGACTACGGGGATTTCGAGCAAGAATGGAAACTCTTCGGATCTAGCTACTTCAAGATCTAAACATCGCATGCCAACGAAACATAGATGTACACCCAAAATCGAAGTTAAAGCTCAATTTGATCTTGGACTGGGATATTTGAGTTTCAAGACTCAGAGACTTGGCAATATCCTGCGGTTGGACTTCCGGCCGGGCCAGAAGGCCAATAGAACTGCTGCGCCTCATCGATGTCTTGAATTTGTCATCTATATTTGTCGCATGAAATAAAATTATCCTTTACGTGGTGGCTATTCCTAGCCAACCGTCTATCTTGGGTGCCTGCTGCCGAGACGGCCAAGCTCCAGTGGGTGTCGTGGCGTTTTCCGGGCTTAGGTGTTCAGGTGTTATCGCGCCGAGATATACCAGTCCCTAGTAATATCGGTTGAGAATTTTCAGTCTTTGACATTCAACTGCCTCATTTCCACTTTACTGCGTCGCACAACTCGAGTCCTTAACCTAACGCGGCCTATCAATACCGGCGATATCCGCCATGGCTGACACGCCCAATCGAGGGATTGTCGTCATTTCCGGAGGTAGCGCCGCGAACAACCTGGTCGATGTCTTCGACGCTGTACGAGACAGCAAGAACTGCTTGCTCAGTTACATCATTCCAATTAGTGATAATGGTGGCTCCTCGTCGGAGCTGATCCGAATCTTTGGGGGCCCTGGAATCGGTGATGTTCGAAGTAGGCTCCTTGACACGCGACACCTAACGAGAACTGTCCCGAAGAGTATATTTGGCTAACTCCGTTATCACAGGTCGTCTTGTTCGGTTGATTCCAGACTCGCCTGCCAATTCTGAGCGGACAGCGATCAAGACTCTCTTCAATCATCGCTTGCCTGCTGAAGCAGGGGCAGCAGCGCATGAATGGCTCACCATCGTAGATGGCACGTCCAGCCTATGGAAGTCTATCACCCCCGCTAAGAAAGAGTTGATCCGCTCATTCTTCAACATGCTGAATTTGGAGATTCTTAAGCGAGCCCGACCGCCGTCTTCTACTTTTGACTTCACCTCTGCTAGTGTCGGAAATTTGTTCCTTACGGGTGCGCGACTCTTTAGCGGAAGTTTTGAGAGTGCCATCTACCTTCTAGGAAGCATATGTGGCGTGCAGTCGGACATAGTGCGTGTCATCCCGGCGATAAACTCCAACTTCTCACACCACATATCCGCCACTCTAGCCGATGGAACTGTTATTGTTGGCCAAAATAGCATCTCCCATCCGAGCGAGACTACGGCCCTCCAGCGCGACCGTGGCAACAAGCCCAGACGACCTAGCCTACTCCTTGCGGACGGAGATGACCTAGAAGATACCGGCTCTGAAGCCTCTGATGCGGTGTCATATGAAGAGGATCATCTCCCGGGATCTCTCGCTACCTTGCGGAACAAGAATATTTCTTTCAGCAAAACACAGAACGAAGACTTACCCTGCCGGATCAGCCGGATTTGGTATATCAATCCATACGGACAAGAAATTCGACCACCCGCAAATCCGCGAGTTCTGGAAGCATTGAGCGATGCCCAAGCTATCATCTACAGCATTGGCTCCTTATACACCTCTATCATACCGGCCATCATTCTTCGTGGGGTTGGCAAAAATATCATGACCAGTCCAGCTCGCCATAAGATCCTCATTCTGAACGGTTCTTTAGACCGCGAGACTGGACCTCCATCTGCGCCGTTCCTAGCGTCCGATTTCGTCGAAGCTATTGCGCGTGCTTGTGAGGAAAGCCGTGGACGACATCCACATAGACCTTCTCACCACCATGAAGAGTCGCCGTCATCACCGGACACCATCCGGCCACACACGCCTATTCCATACACTGCCTATGTGACCCATATCTTACATCTAGATGGGCCTGGAACGCCTCAAGTGGACAGGGAAAGGCTGACAGAGATGGGCATTGAAACCTTGCGCTTATATGGGCGCAAAATCACTGCTATGGAGGGAGGCAAGGAGGTGTGCGTGGGTATGAGATACGACCCGAATGCCCTAATACAAGCGCTTGAGGTGGTGTTGGGCAAAAAAGGCGATGCAATGGTGCGTGGAGGCCTTGGGAGTGGGTTGGGCAGGAGAAATACCCTGGACCCCGGCCGGCGCGATAAATAAGTGGAGGGAAGTGGACAAAGGAATTCAGAAAATTAAGCAGACATAGTACATTGAATCATTCGATAATCTTAATGAGAAAAAAAAGGAGATTGTGCAATGAGTATACCGGGATTCATCGCCCACTCCCAAAAGGCATATATCATCATATTCGTAAAGTGCCGGGAAAAACAAAACACCAAAATGATCCAGAACGCCATGCTAGCCCATGCTCCACCTTTACATGCTCGAAGAAGAGTATCGAAGAGAGTCATGCTTTATTAGGAGTGACCAGTCTCCTCTTCTTGGTGACCACCTTGAGCTTCAATGGGATGAGGCTCCTGCGAGGTCCACTCGACTCGTTCCGAGTGATAGTCTTTCGACACACCGGACATGTTCCCTTGGTCTGCTTCCCTTGCTCAGCACGTTGAACGTCGATTGATTGAAGGTATTCGACGATACACTTATGACAGAAGAGGTGACCTGCAATTAGATAGTCGTCATGTTAGAGCAGAGTCGGTGGGCAATAAGAGTACAGCAGCGATGATACGTACCACATGATGTGCTGGTAGCATCCTCTAGCGTATCCATACATACTGGGCATTGGTATGCAGTCAACATGGACTGAGCTTTGTCTGCTTCCTCCTTTGATTGGGCCTTGACGGCATCTTCGCGCTGCTTTGCAAGTGCTTTGGCAAGAGCGGAGGAGCCCTCAACCTCAGTCAGGTCGATAGACTCTATGGGACTTTGCGGGCGATTCGGTGGAGCTGAGCTACGAGGACGACTTCCATCGTCCCGGCGTTTTCGTTTCGTACCGCGAGCCATCGTGTGTGGTTCCGGGGAGCTTGAGGATGAGGGAGTTGGAGAGGCGGAAGGAGAGGAGGAAACTTGTTGATAATGGCGAGAGGAGGGATGTGCCCGCGTGGACGTGAGGTCAACGATAGAAACCCGTCGACTCATCTTGGGGAGGAACCTAACAAGCAAGTGCAACTGGGTCTGTCGATTGGGCGCTTTCCACAGGGCAATGGAGTCTGGCGAGGCTGTCTCTTGTTAAACATAGGGTAGAATAAGGTCCAGATTTTTTGGAAAGACCTAGAAACAATATAGTCACGATATAAGCAGCGCACTAGCGGCAAACAGAAACAAAGAATCGTGAAAGACGAGGGATCAAGGCAGTTGACAAAGGTACAAGAATGATGGATGGCAAAATGGCCATGGCGGCATGAGTTGTTATCGATTAGCGATAAGCCACTTTAAAGAGGAAGGCGGTCAACGCTATCGGCAGCACATTTCTTCCGCCTCCTGCATGACGCTCAGATACCGCGATAGGCAACTGATATGGAAACAGCTCCACGATCACTCTACGCCATCAATCTATCCTGAATACCAAGCGCAGGGTTCGACCAGGCTGCAGTCGCACGAGCTACCATGACTTGAAACGTGCAAATTCAGCTACCGTATGATGTTATTTTGGAATCCCTCCTACACTCCTTATTCCAGGGGTGTTGTGAGGTCGGCGCGCCTGAAATTGCGCCCAGTACCGGTTGTCCACACACAGAAATGGCTTTTGCCTATACGTGGGCGCGGAAGGCTATATTCCACGCCAGCAAACGATGAGACAACCCAGAAACGCTCTCTTTCTGGTAGGTCGTTGGCGCTAGCATTGTCGCAACCAGAGTCAAATTTCTCAAGATCGGCCAGACTAACCAGGCACAGTTCCCGCTTTACCTAGGTTCAATGAGATCGGCGTTCAGCATCTCAGCGACTATGTCCATCCTCAGATTTTCCCAAACAAGGGTCGGGTTCCCGATCCCGAACTCGTTGCCCTCTCAAAAGATCACCTAGCCAGACATGACCTTCTTGGCAAATCTCAGACCGGAGCCGAGCCGATCGCCTTTGATCTACCGCCTCTCCATGGCCAGACACTTGACGAACACTTTCACAAGCTTGGAATGGACGCATCGGAACCATATTTGACAAATGCCAAAGCCTTTGCAGCTCTTAGCTGCCCGACAAAACCGCGCAAGTGGGTCACGCGCAGTGGATGGACAAAATATAATTCGGACGGCTCATCGGAGCCCGTGGATGCGCCCAACGAGGAAATGCTGACCTTTGATACCGAGGTCATGTACAAGGATAATCCTTTTGCGGTCATGGCTTGTGCGGTGAGCCCGACAGCTTGGTATGCATGGTTATCCCCTTGGCTTTTGGGAGAATCGGAAGAAAAGGTGCAGTTGATTCCCTTGGGAGACCCTTCGCAGCCAAGAATTGTCGTTGGACATAACATCGGTTATGACCGTGCCCGAGTCTTGGAGGAGTACGACATGAAACAGACTCGTAACTTTTTCCTTGATACAATGTCGCTCCACGTCGCCGTAAACGGCATGTGTTCGCAGCAAAGACCAACTTGGATGCGTCATAAGAAGAACAAAGATTTGAGGGACAAGATTGCGAGCGAGCAAAATTCCGTGGAATTGGCGGCGTTGCTTGAGAACAACATGCTCAGAGAAGAGGAAGAGGAGCTTTGGGTGGGAAGGAGCTCAGTCAACTCCTTACGGGATGTCGCCAAGTTTCATTGCGATGTCACGATAGACAAGGCTCAAAGAGACTTTTTCGGCGAGCTTGATCGGGAAACGCTTCTCACAAAGTTGGACGAACTAGTCGACTACTGCGCTGCCGACGTTGCAATTACCCATCGGGTCTTCAGGAAAGTCTTTCCTAACTTCTTGGAGACTTGCCCTCATCCCGTCAGTTTTGGAGCCCTTCGCCATCTCTCCTCAGTCATTCTTCCTGTGAATCAGACCTGGCAAGAATATCTCACCCAAGCTGAAGAGACCTACCACAAACGACTCGACGAAGTCCAACGAAAACTCCTCGAGCTATGCGACGGAGCTTTGGAGGTGAAAGCTCAACCCGACGTGTACACGAGTGATCCCTGGCTACAGCAGCTGGACTGGTCTGGCCAGGAGATCAAAATGGTCAAGGGCAAGAAAAAGGGCGACCCTCCCCGTCCTGCTGCTAGGCAAAAGAAACCAGGCATGCCCAAGTGGTACAAGGATCTTTTCCCTTCTAGCAATGCCGACATCAATCTCACCGTCCGCACAAGGATTGCTCCTATCCTGCTCAAGCTGTCTTGGGATGGTTACCCGCTTGTTTGGTCTGACAAGTATGGGTGGACTTTCCGGGTTCCTCGTGACCAAGTCAAGAAATACGAGAACCAACCGGTTGTTGTATGTGACATGGCCGAGGAGAAGAACTTGCAGCTACGCGACGATCGAAAGAACACTTACTTCAAGATCCCTCACAAGGATGGCCCGCAGGCTCGGTGCACCAATCCTTTGGGGAAGGGCTACATGCAGTACTTTGAGCGTGGAATCCTGTCTTCTCAATTCGAGCTTGCTAAGGAGGCCTTGGACATGAACGCCTCGTGCTCTTATTGGATCAGCGCGAGAGACCGAATCATGGGTCAGATGGTGGTTTATGAAGATCAAATCCAAAAGAGTGGCTCCGCACAAGATCCGACCGAAAATCGGCTAGGTTTCATTCTACCCCAGGTCATCCCCATGGGTACCATCACCCGCCGTGCCGTGGAGAATACCTGGCTCACTGCAAGCAATGCAAAGGCCAATCGGGTTGGGTCCGAGCTGAAGGCGATGATCAAGGCCCCTCCAGGTCATGTTTTTGTTGGCGCGGATGTTGATTCTCAAGAGTTGTGGATCGCCAGCCTTGTTGGAGACGCTCCGTTCCAGTTGCACGGGGGTAACGCGATTGGCTTCATGACGTTGGAAGGCTCCAAGGCTGCAGGGACCGATTTGCATTCCCGCAGTGCCTCGATTCTGGGCATCTCGCGTAATGACGCTAAAGTCTTCAACTACGGTCGAATCTATGGAGCAGGCGTCAAGTTCGCGGCGACGCTCCTACGCCAGTTCAACCCTTCCTTGACCGAGAGGCAAACACAGGAGACTGCAGCCAACCTTTATAAGGAGACCAAGGGCACGCGTACCTCACGCCGAGCCCTGAGCGAAACCCCATTCTGGCGAGGTGGCACTGAATCATTCGTGTTCAACAAGCTCGAAGAGTTTGCCGATCAGGAACGGCCGAGAACCCCGGCACTCGGCGCTGGGATCACTGAAGCTCTTATGCGCCGGTTCATCAACAAGGGAAGCTTCATGACTTCTCGCATTAACTGGGCTATCCAATCGTCAGGTGTTGACTATCTTCACCTTCTCATCGTGGGCATGGATTATCTCATTCGACGGTTCAACATCCAGGCCCGCCTGTCTATTACTGTTCATGACGAGATTCGCTATCTAGTGAAGGATGAAGACAAGTACCGGGCTGCTCTTGCACTCCAGATCGCCAACGTTTGGACACGTGCTATCTTCTCACAGCAAGTTGGCATCGACGACCTCCCTCAGTCTTGTGCGTACTTCTCCGCTGTCGATATTGACCACGTCCTGCGGAAAGAGGTCGACATGGACTGCATCACACCTTCACATCCTCACAAAATTCCTCATGGGGAGACTCTGGATATCTCCAAACTGCTGGACAAGAATGATGCTGCCTTCTTGGACCCTTCTATCACCCCTAGATCTCCTCCCAATCCTGAAAAATATGACTATATACCGCGGGAGTCGGTCATGTCTACCCTGCAGGCATCCAACGATCTCGCGTTTATCAAAGCTCAAATCACAAAGGATGACAAGGAGCTCCGTGAGATTATCAGAGAGAAAGCCCAGGCTGCTAGTGCCGGCAAGCCCACCACAACCCGCTCTTCGCCCTCAAAAGCCAAAGGTAAATCCAACGGCTGGGTGTCTGCGGAGCCCCAGCGCGCAGTGCTGATGGACATGGAATCTGGCTTATACCCTGACTTCCGAAACCCTCGACCATCCTCGAACGGAAATGGCAAGCATCAACATCAGGTTGGCATGTACCGGTCTTCTTGGAAGCCTCGGCCTTCTGCTCGTGCTTAGCTCTAATCCGCTTTACTCCACCCTCTCCTTTACTTTCTTTCTTTATATTTTCTTTCAGCCCCTTTTCCCTTTCTCTTTGTGTACCTAATCACTTTTTACCCTCTCATGTTTGAATATTGGGCTGGCTGTATGTTTTATGCTCTTACGTGGATTGCATCAGGGACTAGCATTGGGACGGCGTCGAAGATGTTACCTATAGTGTGACGATAATGTACAAAATGCACATTCATCTCAAGTCTTGGCGTACAGTAACAGTATCTACTACCAACAAGACAACTGCTTGTTGGACCTCCATATCTCGGGTTTCTATACTGGTTTCAAGTCTCCTTCCACATCGAAGGCACACTATCACACTGGGTTAGCATTCGCCTGAGACATAAGGCTCTTCTCACTTACGCAACCTCAATGACAGCACATCTGCCCTCTTGAACAATTCTAGTTCCCTCTTGCAAGGCTTGATCCAATTCGCTTTGCACCTTCACTGTAGCACCCCAGGCGTTACCAGCAGCCGCAGCAATCCCTGGATAGTCAGGGGATGGCTCGAAGGAGATGTTTAGATCTGGATAAAGGATTGTCAGTCTCCGCACAGATGTCCTGATTGACTAAAGTTAACGAGTTGACAAACCTTTCCTATTGGACTTTGACGCCAGTCCATCCTTATGGACTAGAAGGGCAGACACTTTAGGCGCGTTCCAGCCTCCGTTGTTCAAGACAATCATCAGGAATGGAACATCATAGCGGCGGGCGATCCAATAGACGCTTTCCATCTGCGAGAAAAGGTATGTTCCGTCTCCGACTCTGGTAGTGGATTAGTATACTGTCCATATATTGGATAGGGGTTTACACACATTCCGCAAACAAAAGAATTTGGCTGTGCTAATTTCACTCCTAGAGTGGCACCACCACCCCAACCGAGACCACCCGCACCACTGCCAACGAGGCTTCCAGGCTACGGTATAGTGTTAGTTCTGCCGATATTACGGGTAAGGACGACGGCCTACCATGACCAAGTTCAGGTGATGAATCAATAATCCAGCATTGGTGACAGCCTCCATGACAAAGGTCGTGTCTTGGGGAACGTGCTGTCGCAGACGAGATGTAAGATACGGGACGCTAATCACACCATCTTCAGGTGGGGACTGCAAGCTGCGAAGCTCCTCCCGCCATGTAGCGTAACGAGTGGCGCGAGCCTCGAACTGGACAGCATAGTCCGCTCTGTTCAGGGCTTGCTGATCCAAGAAGGTGTTGAGCTGCTTAAGGGCAAGCTCGCAGCTGACTTTGATCCTGCGTATAGCGTTGATCGAGAACACTGATTATGAATTATTAGCAACATACTAAGTCAAGGCCTAACAAGACTTACATGGCATTTGCTGCTTGAGCGGATCAACATCGAGATGGAATATTTTGGTTCCTTTAGTCCGTCAGTTAGCGGATACTCGAAATGTTGAGGGTAAATTCGTGCCTTTTTGAGGTTTGCCTGCAGTGGGAATCCATGGCACATCACAATCCAAGATCAGGATTACATCGGCTTCTAGAACTGCAGGGTGTGTAGTAACAGTCACGCCTAGATAGGCTTCATGGTCGCTTCTGATGCAAAAGTCAGACCCAACCATCTCGACGACACCGATAGGCAGCTTGTCGCAGAGCTCTTCCAACAGAGGAGGCGCGTTACGGTTTCGGCCCAGATAACCGGTGATAACAAGAGGTCGCTTTGCGCTCATTAGGGTTTTCGCAATCAACTCAACCTCTGTAACTTGTTAGAAGCTTGCACAGACTCAAGGTCAAATATCTTACCTGGCTCGGGTAGGGAACTAGGCGTGATAGGCGTCAGTGTTTCTTCTTCGAGGAACTTCCGGTCCACTTTCTGGAAATTCGGTGTGAGCAAAGTGTTGTTTCGTTCAAATCCAAAGCTGAAAAACATACCTCTTCCAGCACCTCTCTCGCAGCCATAAGATACGTTGGGCCCTTAGGATCAGACATGGAAAATTGCAAGGCTCTGTTGACCATCTCCTTGATGTTGCGCCCTGTCTTGATTTCCCCGGAATACCGGCAATATTGGCGGAGAATTGCCGCCTGATCAGGCACATCTTGCAACCAATGGATAAACCTTGAGCAATGTTAGCTTCTGAATATGACTAGACTTTGAGTCTCGTACTCTGTTCTTGAGCCCGTAAGTTCACCTCTTTGGGTGAAAGGGCTGAGTCCAGCAAAGCACAGAACCGGCACTCGACCGACCGATGCATTATGGATAGACTGGCCCAATGCCAAGGTACCGCAGTCAACATGAACAAGCACGCATTGCTGGTGTAGATCGGTCAGTTAGTGGAAAGAAAATTTGCATACAAGAGATGATTCATACGGGAATTCCAGTGACCTGGGCATAACCCAGTGCAGCCGAGAGCGCGACCAATTCTGAAGGGCAGGTGATGATGTTGGGAAACGTGGTTGAGTTTTCTATGCCAATATTAGAGATAGTTGGATCATAGGAATCTTTTGGAACCGACCTTGTTTCGCTTTGATCATAGCCTCGAGCATGGCAGGATGGTCACTCCCCCTGTTTACATTGTCAGACATGTCTTTTCTTGCCGTCGGTGCATGAACGACTCACAGATTGACAAAACAATGCGTAACTCCAGCCTCGGCTTTGAAAGTGAGGTTAGCGAAAGCATGATGACCTTAGGAGCACTCAACTCACACAGGGCTTCAAAGAAGCCTTCAGCCGCGGAATTCAAGCGGACATCATCGCCGTTGACGTCCTCATCATAGCGAGCCCTTTTATTGTTTCTGGGTTCAGTCATAATGAAATAATACCTGAGAGTTAGGTATAGTAGGGTTTATTCTCAATGGCTATTATTGCGGGCTGGACAGGATAAAAAGCGAGTGCAACCCAGGGTCCCTGGGAGAATTGAGGAGTGTACATCGCCAAGCTGGGACAGTCGCAACAACTTTCTCCACGAGCCAATCATTTCCCCCGGAACTGGCCCCACTGCGGCCGCGATCCGCATCCCCGCCCCAAGTGAATTTGTGCCTCGGGCATCAAGGTCTACAAATGCTAGTTACTAGGGTCTAGAAGTACCGAGTTCCTATACCGATACGGGTAGTCCCAATTGACGAGGCTTGGGCGAAATAGTAACGGAAATAGCAGCTTCGATGGCAAATTTGATAACGAAGAGACAAAGCAAAGATGAACACAAGCGGGTTGAAAGATATATTTTAGTGGTGGTAGGGTGTAAATGGATGACAATTGATGTTTCTTATTGAAAGAATTCATAATTATGCATTCAATCAAAGTCAAAGCAGTGAGACAGGCAGTAGTATTTTGAAGATTCGAGTTAAGAGACCAAAGAAAGCCCGATATACCTTCTGCTACTAGCTAGCTTTCACTTCATTCCATGAGAAGATCTTGTCGACAGTCTTCCATTCGAATTGTCTTCCTGAGTAGCATAATAGGCAATATCTCTCTCGAGTTATCTTTCAAATTAGGATTGATGTGAGGATTTTGGTATTCAGCCAAGGATTGAACTTGTAAATCTACTGTCAACGCCTTTCAAGGACTCTAGATATGTCCAGTAAATATTCAAAAAGGGTGACCCGAGATCTGAAATCGTGAGTAATCTCGGCGTTTATTTCAAGCCCGATCCATTATTCACTTAGCGCTGCCACCCCTGCTCATAACCCCAATTACTAAAGATCGCGGTTCGGTCCTCCGAAGCTCCGTTTACCATGATTAGAGGTTCTAAACAAGAGCTTTAGACACCTCATGTAAGCTTACTCGAAGCAATGCTAAGTGCGCACAGACCATAGTTACTCACTCGATGGAATGATGATATCATCGTAGAGAGGCATATAAATCAGCGGTGCTGCTCCCAGGGAGATCCAGTATGGGCTCTTAAGCATATTGCAATATTTCACCATGCCAAAATTAATCGCGATCATTGCTGGCGTTGGCCCGGGTACAGGCAGTGCCGTTGCCCGTCGCTTTGCGCAGGCTTATCCAGTAGTTTTACTGGCTCGGTCGCAGCAGTCTTTAGATCCTGTCACAAGGGAGATCAAGGAAAACGGAGGTTCAGCAATCAGCATTCCAACCGATGTGACAAGCGCCTCGGGCATGACAGCGACTATGGACCAAGTCAAAGCTCATTTTGGCTCTGATATCAGTATTGCGGCAGCAGTCTACAACGTTGCCAGCAAGTTCGTGCGGAAGCCGTTCTTGGAGCAAAGCTCGGAGGAGTTTCTGGGTAGCCTTGAGCCCTCTATCAAGGGTGCTTTCAATTTCGCGCAGGCAACGCTTCCTTTTATGTTGGATGCGAAGGAAGCGCAGTATCCGCCCACGTTGATATTTACAGGTTGGTTGCGCCGACAGTACTGCTATTGCTATTGCGCTGCTAAGTATTTCATCCAGGTGCCACGGCAGCGCTTAAAGGAGGTTCGGGACTTTCTGGCTTCGCGATGAGCAAATTCGGAATTCGTGCCATGTCACAATCTCTTGCACGTGAATTCGGGCCCAAGGGTGTTCATGTCTCCCATGCTATCATTGACGGCATTATTGACACTGAGAAGACAAGGGGATACAGTCAAGATATTGCCGACTCCAAGATCGATCCAGAATGGGTGAGTTAACTAAAGCTTGACGACGACCTATGCTCGTCCACTGACTTCTCATAGATAGCCGAGTCTTACTGGTTTTTGCACACCCAGCCAAGAACTTCTTTTACTCACGAGTTAGACCTGCGACCATATTCTGAGACATGGTAAAAATTAGATGTTCTCTCGTTTTGGATGAATCGAAGAGGAAATACTAAAAATCATATGTGCAGAGCATTACTCTCTTTCATTACTCCCTATATTTCCTCTCTATCATCAATCTCTATCATTGTAACACCACGAGATTTCAACGGACGAAAGCGAATATTGATATTGCTTGGACCTGGTAATAACGACTAAAAACTAGTTATATGACATCCTCATTAGTCCTGAGACACAGTCTCACTTGCAATATCCACCTTGGTCTTCGCAAAGTCTCGTGCCTTAACCTCGTTCTTGAACAAAATATCCATTTCAGCAAAGGTGCGGTCCTTAGTCTCAGGGAGACGGAAGTATGCCCAGATCAAACCAAGACCCATGATAGATCCGTAGAAGAACCCAGACTTTGCTCCCCAGTTCCAAGACGCCTTTTGCATCATATGCGGCACAAGTTGACCGTAAACAAGAACGGCAACATTGTAAACAGCACGAGCAAGGACAACACTCTTGTTTCGGAGGAAGTTGGACGGAATTTCAGTCACAATAGTGTAGATGATAGGACCGATGGTGATAAAGAACACAAAGTATTCCACAAGAAGAATGGCGCCAATTCCATAACCGATGTTCGGGTGTGTCGTGAGGCTTGGAAGACCCAAGAAGCCGACCACGAATGTTGTAGCAGTCATGAAAGCCGTACCACTGAGCAACAAGGTGCGCCGACCGGTTCGAGGCACGAAGAACCATGCGACAAAGACACCCAGAATAGCCAGAGAGTATTCTCCCATGCCAAAGTCGAATGAGGTACTTGGATCAAGACCGGCCTGCTCGAGGAAGTAAACGATATAGGCAACAAGGGGAGCACACAGCTCCTGGATGAGGTAGGTGAAGACGGTGATCTCAGTACGACGCAGGTTGACACCCTTGAACAGGTCCCAGTAGGTGCTAGTGGCCTTCATTTCGTTCTCGATCCGGACAGTCTGGACCATCATGGCCACGGTATCTTCAATCTCATCCTCCGGGCTATCCTTTGCCCGCAGTCGACGGAGGACCTTGCCAGCATCCTCGGTGCGACCCTTACGAATAAGCCACCAAGGAGATTCTGGGGCCAGGTAGATACCAATCGCAAGAGGGATAGGAAGGATCCACTGCAGCGCAAAGGGAATGCGATACGCCCACTGGCCGGTCGAGGACAGGAATGCACGCAGGACACCAGTTCCAAGTAGGTAACCAATACTCCAGCAAAGAGACACCAGCATTGTCAAATACGGTCGCAGGACGTTCGGACAAACTTCAGCCGCATATGTAGTGGTGAGTGTTTGGAAGACACCCCATGGTAAACCGAGAAGGATTTCAGCACCGAGATACATGTAGATGCTGGTGGCGAAGAACTGTAGGAAGATGAAAGCCATCATGAGGAAGAGGCAGGCAATCATAACCCAACGGTAACCAAGATAATCGGCGAGGATACCATTGAGCAGAAGACCGATGATCTCTCCGGCATTGACACCGTTGCTAATGGCGGACTGCATAGTTGCAGGAACTTGATAGGTTCCATCCTTCTGCAGTGTACCGTAGTGTTCTTGGAATGCAGGGAAGGAAAAGAAACCACTGACGAAAGCGTGATCAAAGCCTTCCATGATCAGGGCCGAGGAGAACCAAACCGACCAGAAAACAGCCTTGGGGTACTTGCGAATACCCTCTCGAAGGCTCATTCCATGTTCATCGGCGGTAGCCCTCTGGGCGCCCTTGAGAGTATCGTCGACATTCTCAAATGTCTCCTCGTCCTTTTCACGAATCACCCTTGTGGTGGCCTGGTTATAGATGTCCTCCTGATGTTCGGCCATCTCGATAGGTGATGAGGATGGGAAGAAGAGGCCCAAGTCAAATGAAAATCAAAGAGGATTGAATGTTGACTCCCCGCATTCCAGGGAATAGCTGGGTCTCTTTGTAGGCGACGGTTCCACACTCTCCACTAATTTACTCCGCATCCCCAGACCACATGGAGATTGACTTTCTGGGGTCAACACCCTGGTTTAGCCGTAAGAACGGGCCAATTATCGACCGAAATTGAGACATATCCCTATCGATTCGGGCAGGAATAGGCCGAAATTTAGCGTGTCTGATCGCTATCAGCTGCACCGAGTAGCTGCACAATCGTATGCCACGAGTCACAGACGAGCGCTAGTTTAGTTTATTTCCTCACGATGCCGGATTACCGTTGGAATGGTAAGACAAGGACTTGCGATGCTGACCCTCTCTCGCTTCCTTACCCCCGCTCCAATGGCGTGATACGATTTGTATAACTACCCAACTTTTTCTGGCTTGAACCGACCACCACCAAACTTCCGCATATCCATCTCCCCCCTTGTCTTGGCCCACGCTTGGCTGTCTTGTCCCGCATTGCTTGATTCACGAGGCCCAAGCGCCACCAAACGCCACGAAGGATCACAAGTCTCTCCACAATTATTGAACCGAATTTCCCTTTGTTCGCAGCGATGTCTCCGGCTAATTTACGCTGGCTGATGGGGAATGGCCCCCACGCCCTGTCGGATGGCGTTTCGTTTGGAATGCCGTGGCCGCGGGGCCTGTACCAGCCAGGTCAGGGATTTGTGATCGAAGCGAAGGATGCCCAATGGCCTATTGATTCGCGTGAACTCGCCTATTGGGCCGATGGCTCTCTTAGATGGACTGCTCATTCGGTTAGTGGTAATATTGACTATGCTGAGGAGTACACGGTCAAAGGCGTGTCGCATCCACCCAAACCCACTGGCAGCATCACGATTGGACAGCAGGAGTCATCACTATCGGTGACTTCCCCAACTGGGCTGTATCTGAGGTTTGCTGCACCTGGCAGCTCATCAATCCTCGAGCACCTCGATATTCAAGGGCAACCAATTTGCTCTGGGGCCACGGTGGTCGCATCTATCAATGAGAAAGAGTACAGAACTCGAGTGGAGACGGTGAATGTGGAGAACTCCACCCCCAGCCGAGCTCTGATCAAAGTATCTGGTGTGGTGGAAGATGGTAATGGCAGCGCCCATCTCCCCTTCGACATTCGATTCTATGTTTACTCTCACAGCTCTTCGATTAGAGTCCTCCATTCGTTCGTCCACGATCTAGATTCAGACAAAGCTATCACGTCCCTCGGCTTACGGTTCAATGTTCCACTTGGGAAAACCGAACTACACAATCGCCACGTGAGACTGGGCGGGTCCAGTGGAGGCGTTCTGAAAGAGGAGGTGCAGGGTCTTTCAGGATTACGGCATGGTCCAACCGTTGCAAATCGAACGGATCAAACAGCGGGACGAGAAGTCATCCTACAAGAAGCCGAGTGGACTAGAACAAAACTCGCCAATGGGCTGTCGTATATCCCATCATGGGACTCGTATTCCCTCGCCCAGCTTTCTTCCGATGGCTTCACCATCAAGAAGCGGACAAAGCCGGGCTGCTCCTGGGTCAAAGTCACTGGTGGTGGACGCGCCGATGGAACTGCATACGTTGGATCAGCTTCCACCGGAGGTCTTGCAGTTGGCATGTCCGACTTTTGGGAGCGGTATCCCACACAGCTTGACTTGAACCACTTGACCACCGAGGAAGGCTCTGTCACTGTGTGGCTATATTCACCACTTGCAGAGCCTCTGGATACATCTCCGTATCACGATGGACTTGATCTCGATACCTACGAAAAGCAACTGCAAGCTCTTGATGTGACTTACGAGGATTTTGAGCCGGGATTCGTCTCCGCGAATGGTATTGGAAGGACCAATCAGCTCTTTTTGAGACCATTCCTTCATACCCCGTCGAATGAAGACTTCAGTTCCTTCTCGTCATTGGTTCGTGAGTCACCTCGCTTGATTGCCACTGCAGAGCACATGCAGTCCTCGGGCGCGTTTGCTGGATGCTGGGCCCCCGATTCTCAGACCTTGGGATTGAAACCATCACGCCAACAGGCCGAGATCGAGGGCAAGCTTTCCCTTTTGTTCAATTATTACCATGGACAGGTTGAGCAGCATCGCTGGTACGGATTCTGGGACCACGGAGATGTGCAGCATACCTATGATCCATATCGACACGCTTGGAGATACGATGTCGGTGGATTTGCGTGGGACAACTCCGAGCTCTCGACGGACCTGTGGCTGTGGCTTTACTTCCTCCAGACCGGACGAGCCGAGGTGTTCAAAATGGCGGAAGCGATGACTCGACACACCGGAGAAGTTGATGTCTATCACTCTGGAAAATTCAGAGGGTTCGGCACTCGACACGGTGTTCAGCATTTCAGCGACAGCTCGAAGCAGCTCCGTATTTCCAATGTGCTTTATCGCCGGATTTACTTCTACTTGACCGGGGATGAGCGCACCGGTGATTTGATTTCAGAGCTCCAGGATTGTCAAAATACCTTGCTAGTGCTGGACTCACATCGCAAAGTCCAAGAGCATGCCGGTATCCCCGAAAGGTTTGCCATGACAAACATTGGTCTGGACTGCGGAGCCCTTATCGCAGCTTGGCTCACGGCATGGGAGCGACGCTCAGAGGGATGGGTCCACTACAGGGACCTCCTTATCAAACTACTTGACGGTATTTCTGGACTCAAACATGGAATTGGGAATAACGCAATCCTCCTGAACCCAACCAGTGGAGAGGTGCGAGAGTGCCCTCCCCCGACACCAGAGTATGCCATCTCTCATCTATCTATGCTGTTTGGGTTCCCAGAGATCATCGCCGAACTCTTCCATTTTGCTCGAGAAGAGGTTCCGGATACCGTTGGAAGATTTATGAATGTGTGGCTTGCATACTGTCGAGCTTACAACGGGGGCCCAGACGTCCAGCGCGAAGAATTTGGGTTCAAATTCCCATCCCATGCAACATGGCGGCAAAGTCACTCGACTCTTACGGCCTTTGCAGCGGTTGAACAAGATGATGAAAAGCTGGCACATGCTGCGTGGGAGCAATTTTTCAACACCGATGGGTATACGGCAGACCATGATTGGAGTGCCATAAAATGTACGGCTCCTGAATATTTCTCAGAGGGGGAAGAAGCGCCATGGATTACAACGAATGAAGCTGCTCGGTATGGGGTATCTGCGATCTCCAACCTGGCGAGCATCGGGAAATTCTTGAAATAGACAACTAGCATGTATTATCAATTTAGATTGCTCTAGATACTCTTATTAGATGAATTATCGCCTTTGTACGGAAAATGCTCGGGCATAGGCAGTATCCTATCCTTACCTCAAATCTTTCAATCGAATATGTACATCGCATATAGAACATCCAACCAAGCTTCTCGCCAAGTGAAAGGCGTAATATTACTCTTACAGCCCACAGCTATGGCCTTACAGCCCAAAAAGCCACGGAATGATCCCAAAATTATGGCGAAGATAGCGTCGGTTTTCATTGACCCGTAGCCCCGAAACCATACTTCGAGCGGGGGTTCAATCTATTGCCTCTTTGGGGGTGAAGCCTGGACCCCGGGGAGTATCAAAGCTAGTCCGTGTCAAATAGGGTATCTAATTGATGGAAAAATTGTAAGCCACTCACTTTCGCGGGGTAGATCTTTTCTAGGTTTGTGAGGGGTACAGCGTGACCAACAGTAAGCCGAGGGCGACGCGAGGCATCGTCAAAAAAAGAGTTTGACTTACCAGAGGGAAAGGAATTCTTTATTTGTGACTTTCAATCTTTTGAAACATCAATAATATTGACCTGGAAATTTGTTGAGATTGAAGATGGCTCCAACCAGATATGCCGTCGTGGGCACTGGAGGCCGCGCCTCGTTCTTCTACAGCGCAATTGTTCGTGACTTCAAGGATACAGCAACGCTTGTCGCATTCTGCGATACCAACCAAACTCGCATGAATGTCGCCAATGTTCGAGTACAAGAGCTAGGTCTATCACCTTTACCGACCTTCAAAGCGGTTGATTTCGACCGAATGGTTGAAGAAACAAAGCCCGATACAATCATTGTTACGACGATTGATCGAGCTCATCACCAATACATTATCCGGGCAATGGAATTAGGATGCAATGTTCTCAGTGAAAAGCCTATGACGGTGGATGAGATCAAATGCCAGATGATCCTTGATGCTGTCAAAGCCACGAATCGGCAACTACGCGTTACCTTCAACTATCGATATGCGCCGCACAACACCAAGGTTCGAGAGCTGTTGATGGATGATACCATTGGAAGAGTTACGTCTGTTCACTTCGAATGGCTGCTCAACACTCAACACGGAGCCGATTACTTCCGTCGCTGGCACCGAGACAAGCGCAACAGCGGAGGGCTTCTGGTACACAAGTCTACGCACCACTTCGATCTGGTCAACTTTTGGCTAGGGAGTCGTCCCGCGACTGTCTTTGCGCAGGGTGATTTGAAATTTTATGGCAAAGAAAATGCCGAGCTTCGTGGAGAGACTAAATTCTACTGTCGTGCGCACGGCAGTCCTGCCGCAGCAGACGACCCATTTGCTCTCCACATGGAAGATCACCCTCAGCTCAAGGCTATGTATCTTGACGCAGAGCATGAAGATGGGTATTATCGAGATCAAAGTGTATTCGGTGACGGAATCAACATTGAGGACACCATGGGTGTCTTGGTCAGCTATCAATCCGGAGCGATCCTGACATACAGCCTCGTCGCCTACTGCCCTTGGGAGGGATTCCGAGTCAGCTTCAACGGTACCAAGGGTCGCTTGGAAATGGACGTTTTGGAACAATCTTACGTCAATGCTGGTGGTGAACAAGCTCAAGAGGGTGCCGTGGCTCATACGAAGATCAACGTGCATCCTATGTTCGCACCACCTTACGAGGTTCCCATCGAGGAAGGAGAAGGTGGCCATGGTGGCGGAGACCCTGTCTTGCTCAATGACCTATTTGGTACCCCAGCTTCTGATAGGCTGCATCGTGCTGCCTCGCATGTGGATGGGGCCATGTCGATCTTGACTGGTATTGCCGCGAACAAGGCTATTCGTACTGGGCAGGTCGTCCAAGTCAAGGATTTGGTGCAATTCTAAGCGAAGAGGTCAGATGAATAGACTGTGGTTAGTATGAGATAGAATTATGAAATAGAGATATGTGAAATAGATTCCTTTTTCTTTCCATATCCATTACGGGCGTTCAATGTCCATGGATTGATCGTAGTCAGGTCCGAGGTCTATGTACCTGTATTTCTTTGAATTCACATTAGGCAGCCGATTTCATAGCAAATTTCTATGCACCAGTAGTAATGCTCCGCGCGATAAGAAGTATTTTATGGCGTCCATTCCACAGAGGATAAAAGCCGACTGTCAGTAAGGTAACCCACAGCCAGATCTCGGCAACCACAATCCACGCAATAAAGAGCTAGTAATTGTTAGCAAATTATTCAGCTTCTTGATTCGGAAGTCACTTACTCCTTTGCTGAAAATGAATTTCGCCGCATACATGGGAAGCGGCCAGAGAACCCAATGGCCCAGGAAGGTAGCAATGGCCCAGAATAGCGCATATCTTGACCACCTTTTTTGGGTGGCCTCAGAAGTATCGTCTTGATCTTCGCTGGTTTCAGTGATCCGGGGTTTCTTTCCTGTTTCTGTCTCAACAGTATCCTCAGAGGTCCCATCCAGCTCAGAGACAGCCAGACTAGACTTGCTCAATGACGTCCAGTTAAAGTCCTCCGGGCTAAATAATGTGATAATCACAGAGTATAGCAAAGGGCTGAATGCAGATGCAACGGTACCATACATGCATGGAAGTGTCTGTCCAGTGGAAGACACTGTAACAGAGCCATAGAATCGATGAGCTGTTCCAAGCCAGACAGCGAGGCCCGTCAGAAGACCGAGATAGGCGGATGCAATGACTGCCAGTCGGCTCTGCTTTCTCCAGAGAATAGAGAGAATGAGGGGAAAGATGCCAGGGCAAGTGATCACTCCTGAATGATTTAGTCAGTAAATATTAGTTAGTAGACCAGGGTCTTTTCAGAGCTTACCAATCATGTAAAGTGTCCAGCCCATATCAATTCCAACATAGTGAAATAGAGCGGTAAGACCTGCTGCAACGAGACCAAATAGAACCACACCAATTCTGCTCCACAGGATAACTTCCTTGTTTGTTGCACTCTTGTTGAAATAGGTCCGGTAGCCATCGAAAGCAACGATAGAAGATACGGCGATTACCTGTGCTGACAGTGTAGAAGTGACCGCCATGAAGGTCATCAAAAGTGTAGCCACTGCGCCTCCTTTGCCTGCTACTGCGATTGCAGCATACGGCAATGCCAGTCCATTTGTCACTTCTGTGCTAGTCATCATCTGAAAATTGACCGTCAGCTTCCTGAACATGTTCTATTGACCGACTGAACTCACTCTGGGGTATGTGGGGAACGCTTTTGTAGTCTCCAGGCCAAGTGCGACCATGCCCATCACAGTTCCAAGAGCCCAAGGTATACTGAAATACGATATTCCTCCAATCACATAGCCTGGAACCACACCTTCTGGAGATGCGGCGAAGGCTTTTGTGAAGTACCCGGTGTCCATCTATACAGAGTCAGTCTCAGTTCACGATGGTCTCAGTAGGAGGAAGTACCAACAATGACGGCCCCAAAGTTCGACACCAACAGTATAATTGCGAAGAAAATCCCCTGTTGGGATGTCATAGTCAAAAGTGATCCTTGGTAGTTTCCATCCACACTGTGATTCGGCTGAGCTGCAACGACAAGATCATAGAGCCCTCCGATAGAGCCAACCTCTGGGCTGGTCAAGGCTTTAAGGGTCACGTAGCAGCACAGAATTAGAATGATGAAAGTGTGTATATAGTCCGTCAAGAATCTACAATACAGTCAGCTTCGTGCGCCCATCAAGGGGAACAGGCTAATTCATACGTAGCTTTGATACCTCCTGTCAGAGTATAGATAACGACTCCGAGCGGTAATAAAAATGGGGTTCAGCTCATGGCACTACAAAATCGCTCGTGACACTACATGACAAATCCACACTAGTCCTAATTAGGAATTAGATCTTCCCATCACCAAATGGTACATCCGACATCTACATAATATATGCCAAGCTCTTATGTATGTATATTTCTATACATGAGCGCTTCTCGCGCATACCCTCGCTGTCGCCGCCTACATATGATGAAATCACGTGACCGCTTTTGTTTACCTCCATACCCCTACATACCAACCACCACAACTATCTACCTACCACCCCCCTCCCTGACACCCTCTCCCAACGGCCCTTTTAACTACCCAAATCGCTCAAATCCGCAGAGATTTCGAAGAAGATACAATTTCCTAATTTGGAAGCTAACACACTGTTGATCTAGATCGATTTCACCTATCTCATCGCCTATTCGATCGACCTGCACGCCCTTTCCTTCCTGCCTGCGCCGTACGCTTCCTCACAATCTCAAATCCAGAAGGATCTCGCTTGGTCGATCGAGCTAATCGGGCCGATTGGCGGGTTGATTTCTTGATGGTTGATTTCTTGATGGTTGATTTCTTGATGGTTGATTTCTTGATGGTTGATTTCTTGATGGTTGATTTCTTGATGGTTGATTTCTTGGTGGAGGAGACATCGCCAACCTCCTTGATAGCCACTACCCGAGGGTCCTTTCGAGTATGATTTGCTCGCCCACGGGGGCGGCCTGCCGCTTTCGCAATCACTGGATCCTCGATTTGAAGCACATTCTCTATATCAAGTGGCTGGTAGTCGTCTTCGATTGAAGTCAGGAGCCACCATTGCCGGTGGAATTGATCCCTCGTGAGAGCTTTCTTGCCTTCAATTGCCGTCATAATCTCGTGGAGACACGGTATTCCAAGCGCCTGCCGATGGTAGTGGGTACAATCAGCCAACTTGATCTCTTTCTTCTCATATGCAACTAGTTGCCTAGCAACTAGTTGTAGGCCTGAGATAGCCACCCAATTGAGGACTCCGCGGAATAAGGGTTTAAGAAGGTTATCTGGCAGTTTCTGGCGTTCTTCCTTAATCGCTTGATTAACGGTAATATGGCGTGTACTGACCGCGGTTTGAACTCGGCACATAACGGTCAGAAGGTCTCCAATCGACGAACGGATAAATCGCTTTAGGTAAGCATGGGCACTCTCTACCCGCGAGGATGAGGTCTCTCCAAAGTGAAGGTGTTGATTGGTATGGCAGCGAAGGAAGCGTTGCTTAATACCATCTTTCATCCATTGGTCCGAGATATATTGTACTGCCTCTGCAAAAACCTCGTGTTTGAATTCCTCTTTAAAGCTTTCCCAAGCAGTCTCCATCTCAGCCAGTGTAGGTGCGAAGATGACTTGATTAAAGAGACCCTTAGCGCCGTTCCAACGCTCGTTGATTTCCTCTCGGATATCCCCCTTCCTCTCATGGTAGACTAGAAGATGCTGAGCAATCATCGGTCTTAACCTCTTCTCAATATTCTTCTGGATATGCCATATGCAGAGTAAAGAGATAGTAGTAGGAAATACCGTTGCCATAGCAGCTAGGAGACTCTCTGCATCATCCGAAAATATAGTGATGGGAGGAGGGATTGAACGGGAGTATAGGAGATCCCGAAGGGTCTCTAATACCCACTGGTAGGACTCCTCCTTCTCATTAGAGACAAAGGCGCATGCCACGAAGAAGGTCTGTCCGGTAGCTGCTTTGCCTACTATATTAACCATTGGCATCTTGAAGAGATTGGTTTTATATGTGGCATCAATCCAGAGTAAAGAGGGAAATCGGGCAAGGATTTCAAGGCCTGAATGAGATGCACAGAAGACATGTAGGACCTGGTTCGAATCCACACTTGCCTTCTTCCACGAGATATCCCAACCTGGTAGGCCCATAAGCAGTGCCGTAGTAGGTGAGCGGCCCTTTAGTAATCGTAACCGCGCGCGATGACGAAGGTTCTTGATGTCTCTTCCATTCAGTCGTATTAGGGCCTTATAGGGGTCCTCCAGGTCAGCCGGTTGCGCACCGAAGGCTCCTTCTTGGCGTAGAATATTGATGATCTCCGTATTCGTATACATCAGCATAAACATGCTGATTATCCTCTCTTCGAGATCCTTTAGCTGCCGGCGGCGGTGGATAGGATGTGTAGCTGGTTCAGAGGCAACGTGCCCACTATGAGATCCCTCGTTAACGGTAAGAAGCCAGCCCTCTGGGTGCCTAGCTAGGTAGGCAGAGAAGTGGCAACCACAACGCCGAGAGACCGGAGACCGGCGGGTAGTCTTCCGATTTGCATGCTTTCTAGGCTGCCCGCTGCGGTCACAGTGTAGGCGAACTGACCAATCGTTCGAATGGGCGGTAGTGATGGCGTACCCTTGCTTAGCGGCAAATTCGTTAAGGATCTTGCGGGCTTCCTTACTGGATTCGACCTTGATTAGCCAGTTATTGGGTGGTGGTAGGAGGGCCATCGTGAATAGAAGAAAGGGTAGTGGGAGAAGGGTAGATTGGTGGACTTACTAGTAGAAAAGGGTGATGGGTGGTAGGTAGGTAGGTAGATAGTTGTGGTGGTTGGTATGTAGGGGTATGGAGGTAAACAAAAGCGGTCACGTGATTTCATCATATGTAGGCGGCGACAGCGAGGGTATGCGCGAGAAGCGCTCATGTATAGAAATATACATACATAAGAGCTTGGCATATATTATGTAGATGTCGGATGTACCATTTGGTGATGGGAAGATCTAATTCCTAATTAGGACTAGTGTGGATTTGTCATGTAGTGTCACGAGCGATTTTGTAGTGCCATGAGCTGAACCCTAAAAATGTAGATGCCATAATATGCATCCCAGTCCTTTCTTTGTTAACTCTCTCGTAAATACCGGTTGAGCCTTATAGGCCAACTTACAAATATGTGATGGCTGACGAAGCCCCGAGAATCATATTGATGGTATTGAAAAGGTTGTTTACCACCGCCAAAAAGGTAAATCTCAGGTGAGCCAGTGTCCCTGAGTTATATAGTCAGACCGAATAGTGTTCAAGAACAAGAATAATACTGACCATATCGAATCTTGATGATCTCCAAAACGGTATGCGCACTCGGAACACGCCTCTTGCAGACTGTTCCGAGATATGCGAAACAGACGATCATGGGTGAACACCCAGCACCATACCAGAAGGGTCCACTAATGCCGTATTGGTAGGCCACCAATACGGCACTTAGTAAAGCTGTGCTCCAAAGCCACGACTATTAAGGAGTCAGAATTGATATAATGTAGCTGCCATTGAAACTTACCGAGACAACCGCCGAGGCGACTAAACCGGTACCAACTGACCGATTGGCAACGATGAATCTAGTCGCGATCAGATGAAATCCTGTACCAGGTGCGTAGTTAAACATACGTTTCCGCCTTTGAATTATCTTCGCCAACTGTTTTCTTCAACGTATTGGTAACCACCATCATTCCTTTGTTTGTTTAGTATCTTTCTCAAGGATCATATATCTACGACCTTACCTGCCGCAAAGGCCAAACCGACTCCAATCACAACCCCATATCCCACGCCTTGCGATAAAGGGGGAGATATCTGAGACATGACTTTTGAAATTGAATAAAGTGAAAGAATAAAGCTGACGGGAACGATAATTCCAATGCCAATGTTCTAGCTACGCTACTTATCAAAGGTTCTACACGACCTTCAGAAATATCGGCCGAGATCGGTTGGGTGTAAAGATGCAAATTCAGTTCCACTATACCAAACTAGTTTTAAAGAATTACTCTTTCAAGTATCTAAAACGAGAATAATCTAGTCGTGGTCGCGCCCAGCTTTCCTCGAAAAGCTGCCAGTGGAATGGCGTGCTAAGCGCGCTTCATGGCGATGCTTTCTCGTCATTTCTGCAAAGAAGCCACTAAAATGGTGCAAGCAGGGGTGGTCAATGTGATTACGAATTAGATCAGTGTTTAATGTGACTTGCGCAGGGATTTAGAACAATCCAGATGGGTCTAGAGGAAGCACACGTTGAGCGTAGATTTACACTCGGGGTCTGAACTATACTTTGTCTGGAGTCACGGACGGGCTCTTCCTCCTCAAATCCAGGCCATGTACTTCACCTGGACGGGCTTGCACGAGGAATTTTATCTAATTTCCTATTTATCAGCCCAAAAAAATTCGTACCTTTTCACTACTATGATATAGACTCTCTATTCTCGCTAGGTATGGCTCTGTGCATACCTCGCTTCTACTGAGTTTCCCGTTGCCGCAGAGATGGACTGAAACCTTGAACTTGCGATCATCTGGCGCAGGATACAATTTCTACTCTACTCTCCAATATTATCCTTGATAGGTATATCAGGCAGAATAAATGATCAAAGCAATCTCTACCGTTCTTAACAGTCTTCAGATTTTTCACGGATTGATGACTGGTCTGGCTACTATCATCGTCTCATAACAGTGACCTTGGCACTCCTCCTCATTGTCCTTGATATTGCGGCTCTCCAGGCCTGAAGCCTCGCCGACTAACCAATTAGCGGCTCGTCATTGGTCAATGAGCATGCTGGTGCCAACTACTGCCTGGAGCTGCCCGAGTCATTGAGCAAATCAGACCAACGCAATGGTGTGGGTTAAGCGATTTAGCCCCGACTACTGCAGGCAGGAATTGGCCCCCCGACGTCTCTGTCATATATTGCAGATTATCAGATTGATAGCAAATTCAATGTGAATCGTATAGATCGGACCTGAGTCGAATCTCCGGGCTGGCCCAGAATAAGGACCACTGGTTGAGAACCACTGGCACATGCTGGACCCGAACGGCCAGCGGCTGATGCGCTGCATTTTTGGGACCGCAGGCTGATTAGTCTTTCCTCCTTGCAATCCCCCCCCCCCATTCGCCCATTCGCACATCTTTTCTTCAGACACGAGGAAGCAACAAGCACGGGCAAATTCGAATCCAACTCCAAAGCACACCAGTTGCAGTGGGCGACGATCCCGAGTCCTGTCCAACTTTCCCTCCCCCTAACGTCATTTCCCCGCAACCACCTCCGACATGTTTCCCGCCCACGATTAACCGTGTCGTTGCACGCGCATTTCAATATTGTATCGCCTCTCCATTGATGTATCACTACCTCTAGCGTGCCCTGTCTGTGCCAAAGGGCCTGGTCTGTCGAGACCGATGAGGACACCCTATCCCGACTTCACAACACGGCACTCGACCGATCCTCCGTCACCATGAGCATCCACTCCGTCGACTATGCGCAGCGCGCCCCCCAACCAGATACCCTTCAAGTGGTGGACCTTGAGGCTGGTCCCCAATCGCCAAGCTCCCCGATCTCGCCCATGAGAAGGGAGGGGTCCGTTACGGACGCGTTCACCACCGCGGCAGCCAGAGTCAACTCCACCGATACAGCCAAACGCCGAGCGCGACGCTCTAATACTGCACGATCGTACCATCCGGATGGATTTTTGAGTGAAGTCAATTGGCAGCCAGGTACAGAACCGGGTATCGACCCCACAAAACCTCTGCCCCCATACAGCTCGGAATGGGCGTCGAACGTGCCGGGCGACCTACAGCGAGAGAGCGAGATTACAGTGGTGGACTTTTCCCAACATGAAATGCGACAATATGAGCTCGACAACGAGACACTCCCGCAATTCCTCTCTCGCGAGCGAGAGCCTTGGGTACAATGCCGGTGGATCAATGTGAATGGATTGAGCTGGGACGTGATCAAATGCGTCGGTAGTCATAAGGGACTCCACCGACTGGCGATCGAGGATATCGTGCACACTAGCAATCGGACAAAAGCCGATTGGTACTCAGACCACGCCTTTATCGCCCTAACGTTGCAGAAGCTGGTGAAACTGCAAGAGGCAGATAGCAGTGACTCGGAGGACGAGGGTAATGGGCAAGAATGGGGCGGCAAGGAGCGTAAAAGCTCTGTTGCGAGCGACAAGAGCTCGGTGTCGATGAAACGTTTGACCAAGCGACGTCTTATATTCGAGGCTCTGAAAGATATCTTCCGATCCAAAACGCCCTCAAAGGACCAAAAGGAGAAGGCGACGGTTGGGGCCAGCGTTCGTCCTGGTCCAGGACGACCAACTTCAAAACGGGCCTCCCAGTTTGGGAATGTTGCTCCTCCTCGGGCCGCTACAGCTAGAACCCTGCAGCGATTCCGTGGTGGCCCGAATGAGGATCGAATTGATTTTATGGAACGACACGCTGTGCTGGCTTCGAAAGGACTCTGTGTCACTTTGGAGCAAGTTTCCGTTTTTCTACACGCTGACAACACCGTCACATCGTTCTTCGAAAACAGTGCGGACGATATCGAGGCTCCTATTGTCCGACGTCTGAGCTCACCGGAGACGATTCTCCGACAGTCATGCGATGCTAGTATGCTTCTGCAAGCCATTCTTGATGCAGTCATCGATCTTGCTATTCCAGTCACTATGGCCTATCAAGATGCAATCGGAGATCTCGAGCTCGAAGTGTTGACTGATCCGGATATCGACCAGTCGAAAAGCCTCTATATCCTGACATCTGAAATTGCGGTGCTGCGAAATTCGATGCAGCCAATGGTAGCAGTGATCAACGCACTCCGTGATCATCGATCTGAACCTATTGGTACCCCAGGCTTTGGCGCCCTGCGAAAAGGGATGTTCAGTCCGACTTCTACCCCCGGTGAACTCGACCTCCCACCACCTCCTGCCACAATTGGTACTATTACACCCAACCTAAAGAGCTTCGGAGGCTCGAGTGTCACGATTAGCTCGATGTGTCATACCTATCTCGGAGATGTCCTCGATCATTGTATCACTATCGTGGAGGGATATGATCAAATGCGGCGCGCCGCAGATAACATGATTGATCTCATTTTCAACACTATCGGAGCCTACCAGAATGAGAGCATGAAGCAGCTGACCATTGTCACTTGTCTGTATCTTCCAATGACCTTTTTAACGGTATGAGTTTTATATTTTCATTTCATGTTGCCATCACACTGGCTGATCACAGTTACAGGGTTACTTTGGAATGAACTTTACAGACTTTGCAGGCATCGAGCATAGTGACTCGTAAGTCTCTCTGGCAAGGCCCTTCTGACTTGAATAAAACCCTTACATAGTTTGACAGATACTTTTGGAAAATCGCTGTTCCCTTCGTCTTTGTGACAACTCTGCTTCTCATGTAAGGCCCGATTTCCCGCCTGACATCAGATACAATTGGTATTGACCCTTTTTTTAGGCGTGATAAAATCCAACGTTATGTCGTCATGCTCGCGCAGAGACGACTCATTGTTAGCTCCAGGAAGCAGAGGCGGGAGAGGAAGAAAAGGTGATTCTCATCTTGTCCTCGCTTGTCCTTTGCTATTACGATGTCATGTGGTTTGAAGAAGAGAAGCCCTCTCTATCATTTGTACATTTGCCTTGGCACAAGAGACCTTCAGGTCTTGTATCTATTAGTACATTTATTATACAACGGCTATGCCCTAATTTCTCATTCAATGTTCTTCCGTCGGAACGCCATGTAAGCCTTCCACGGTAGCCTCCAATCTCCACTGAGCAACTCAGGACGGAAAACGTCAAAGTCGTACTGCTGCAGCCGCTCAAGCCACAGACGTGTGGCAATCGCAGGCATGAAGACACCAAATGCCCGGTTGATCTCATCCAAGGGCGTCTCATTGCCCTTAGGTCCACCGATCACGGAAGTATCATAATCATGACCCTCCTCACCCTCGTGCTCAAAGTCGTGACCAACGTCCTTTCCAGCACGGAGATTGCTCAGCATTTGATCCACAGTAATCAAATGGTCACTCGCTCGCGTAGCAACAGCAAACACCGCATCACGAAGCCCCTCAGCCTCGGCGCCCCGTCGCAACACCTCTTCCTCCTTGACACCATGTTGCGCCATGATATCCAGAGGCAGCATCACCGCGCCCTGTTTGGCTCCACCACCGATGCCGGGAGGCCCACTGGGCGACTGAGGCGACGGCTGCGGAAACGCAACCAAGGGCAATCCTCGCAAAACAGCCGCAATACCAACCGCCTTGCCGATATGCGATGCGACATGATCCGCCGTGACCGAGGTCATTGGCAGCGCCGCCAGCGTCAGGTACATCAACGTGGAGTAGGTGTTTTCAGCATACGACTCGAGGGCCGCAATGTTCGGGTAGGGATCGTTGGTGAGTGTCTGCTCCCGCGCATTGATCAAACGGGTTAGCCAGCCCTTGGTGATGCTAGCACGGCCTTGGGTGCGCTCGTTGAGCTCCGAGATGGCGGAGGCGAGTAGGATCGCGACAGGTTCTTTGGGTGGAGCACCAGCGAGAATCTTCGTGACTGCGTCGCGCCAGAATTGTAGGCGCATTAGGCCGATTGTGGGTGAGGAGGTGGTCTCCGGGATCATGGAGAGGGAGACGTTTAGGGCGCGCAGGGCGATGTAGAAGGATCGGGCGTGAGGTGGGATGAAGGTGCTCAGGGTATAGGAGGGACGGTCATATTTTCTAGTAGGATTGTAGCTTCAGGTTAGCATTGTGGTCTCTCGGTATAATTTGATATCGATCAAGCAATCGTTTCGGTGTCGCATACGAGAGAAGGGAAACGCAGTATTTATGCGCTCCTTGGACTTCCTCCGCGGTCAAAGGCGCAGAGACCTTTGCAGTCCGACTGAATTGCCTTGTTTGAGGCCAGAAGTACCTTGAAGTGACTCGGCATGTCTTCGCGGCCCGACATGGCCGGGCGACTTCTCGGAAGAATGACATTGGAGGTGTGTGTAAAGGTGGAGTTGAAGCTGAGGTTGCGACGAGAGAAATGTAATCCACCCGATGGTATTGGTCCACAGCGCGGATCTTTTTGCCGGCCAAATAGATAGTATAGTAGAGGATAAAGCAGATTCAAAAGATACAGCTGATTGCAGTGTATTAACTGACTAACTGCATGGATGAAGCAATCGTAGTGATTTACCGGGGCTTCATCCTGAATCCGCAGGTTAATTGAAATTTGACTTTTTTGGGACACTGACGTCGATCGCGCCCGTTTCGCGTTCCTCGGCGCGTCTCCCCAACTCTACTTTTACTCCTTCTCAGCCCGAACCGAATGTGTCAACCACGAGTATGAACGAGGATCTGGAGCACCGGCCAGCGAAAAGACAACGCTTTTTCGTCGACAGCTCCGTTTCCCCACAAGATTCGGCTGCAGGGGTTGGGGACGCGTCTTTACCTCGCCATTGTCCTGGACTAGACGACCGTGAAACGGAGCACGATGGACATGCTGGCCTTCCAGAGACGCCTTCTAAGGGTGACACAGTGGCTTGTGGATTGACGAGTCCCATAAACGCGCTATCACCCACGCAAACTCCTAGGGGTGACAGAGAAGAGAATCCATCGACGAACTCTCCGCTGCACAACGAAACGATCCAACCAGCCGCAAGCGAAGCAACCATCCCTCCGACGACACAATCCTCAGCATCAAACGGTTTCGATGCAGAACTATTTACCAGCATTATTGGAGAAAACTTGTCTGCCGAATCGTTGCGAATTATTCAATCCGCCTCCTCCAACAACGTCGAGCGAGCGGTCAACATATTTTTCGACGGGTCGTGGAAGAAGCCGACGAAAGTGACTCTCAGCAGAGTGACTCCGACTATCCGACAAGCCCATGCATCAGCATCTACCCCGAGTGAAAGATCGACTACCCTTCCGACATCGAATACCGAGGATACCCCAACCGAGCATGTCTCAGTTCTGCGAAAGCAACCGGCCGCGAGGTATATAGGAGCCTTTGGTGTAGGAGGCTGGGCCACAAGGAGTGGACTTGCTCTCCTCAAGCATGGAGATCCAGTCAATATCGAACGTGCTCGGTCTCAGCCGGTTGCAAAACGTGGTCGAGGAGGCAAGCTCTTCACGAACAATAAGGGGGATGTTTTGACGCGGTTCACAAATGCTGCTGGGCAGGAAATTGGAAGACTTCCGCACGAGACGGCGGAGTGGGTCTCAACCTTGATTGACCAGAAGATGTGCCAGTTTGAGGGAGTCTGTGTGTTTATCCCAGACCGAGTACGGGTGAATGATACGATCTACTTGCAGCTGAAATGTTATCTACGCAAGGAGGCGTTCATGCGTGGTCCGTTCATGGGAACTACGGATGATAATCGATCCATGGGCTTGTTTGAAGAGAAGGAGAGCGCCGAAGAAAAAAACCTGCGACTTCGACAAGTAGCTCTCGTGAAACTATTTCATGAAATCAATCTCCAGCCAACTTCTACCAATCCCACGACGGAGAAGCACAAGCGAGATGGCTTACTCCGCGCGGCTGAAATGGCCGAACAATACGACGGCGTCAAGAAGGAGAAGGAGAAAGCCAAATCCAACAAAGACCCCAATGATTCTTCCTCTGAAGAGGACACCGCTGAATTGGAAGAAGATCAGCTCGACACCCTATATCGTAAAGCTCAGTCTTTCGACTTCAGTATGCCTGAGGCTGAGCCTGCCTCGACCTTCAAAATGAATCTACGCAAGTACCAAAAGCAGGCTCTGTTCTGGATGCTGTCGAAGGAAAAGGATAAAAAGGAAGCACGCGAGCGATCCATGCATCCCTTGTGGGAAGAATACACTTGGCCCACCAAGGATGTTGATGACAAAGAGCTGCCCTCGGTTGAGGGGATAGATCATTTCTATGTCAATCCTTACTCCGGTGACTTGAGTGTGGACTTCCCTGCTCAAGAACAGCACTGTCTTGGCGGTGTGCTCGCTGACGAGATGGGCCTTGGAAAGACTATCGAAATGCTCAGCCTTGTCCATTCTCACACATCTGAGCGTCCCTCCGGGGCTTCAGATGGTATGAACTCTGTGAACGATCTTGCAAGGGTCCCAGCCTCGTCCACTGGCGTGATTCCTGCGCCCTATACCACCCTCGTAGTCGCACCAACCTCCCTACTATCCCAATGGGAGAGTGAGGCGCTGAAAGCTTCCGAGCCAGGCTCCATGAGAACCCTTTTGTACTACGGAGCAGACAAAGCTGTCAATCTGCGTGATATCTGCTGCGAGGCCAATTATGCATCGGCTCCTCATGTCATTGTCACCAGCTACGGTGTTGTCCTTTCAGAATTCCGCCAATTTGCAGCACAATCTTCAACGGCCTTCAATGCGCCTGGTGGTCTCTTCTCTATCGAATTCTTCCGCGTCATTCTCGACGAAGCCCACATGATCAAAAATCGGCGGTCAAAGTCTGCCAGAGCATGTTACGAGATCCAGGCAACACATCGATGGGTTCTCACGGGTACACCGATTGTCAACCGCCTAGAGGACCTATTCAGTCTGGTACGCTTCCTTAAGGTGGAGCCATGGAGCAACTTCTCCTTCTGGAAGACGTTCATTACTGTGCCTTTCGAAAACAAGGAGTTCGTTCGTGCCCTGAACGTAGTCCAAAGTGTCTTGGAGCCTCTTGTGCTTCGGCGAACAAAAACGATGAAGACCCCCGAAGGCGAACCTCTAGTGCCCTTGCCAAAGCGTGCTGTCACTATCGAGGAGGTTGAGCTTTCGGAACAAGAACGCGAAATCTATGACTGCATTTACACTCGAGCCAAAAGAACCTATAACGACAACGTCGAAGCTGGAACCCTTCTGAAGTCATACTCCACCATCTTTGCTCAGCTGCTCCGTCTTCGCCAGACCTGCTGTCATCCAATTCTCACCCGTAACAAAGACATTGTCGCCGATGAAGAAACGGTTGCTGCAGCTCTCGATGCTACCAATAGTCTGACGGATGACATGGACCTGCAAGAGCTAATTAACCGATTTACGGCATCGACGGAGAATGCAGAAACTGAGGACCGGTCCGTCAAGTTTACAGCGCACGCTCTCCGGCAAATTCAAACCGAGTCCAGTGGAGAATGTCCGATTTGCTGTGAGGAACCGATGATCGATCCCGCAGTGACGGCGTGCTGGCATAGCGCATGCAAAAAGTGTCTCGAGGATTTTGTGCGCCATCAGATGAATAAGGGAGTGAAGCCTCGCTGTTTCTCATGCCGTGCAGATGTGGACGCGAAGGATATCTTCGAAGTCGTAAAGCACCCGCTTTCTCATTCTGTCACGCCCATGGAAAATTTTGCTGCTAGTGATAACCCACCGTCAAGCTCACAGCCTGCTCCTCGCATCTCTCTTCGCCGGATCAATCCTCTTTCTCCTTCAGCGCATACTTCAGCAAAGATCCACGCACTGATCAACCATCTCTCGCGCGTTCCACCAAACACAAAATCTGTCGTGTTCTCACAATTCACCTCATTCCTAGACCTCATCGGTCCTCAGCTTTCCAAAGTGGGTATCTCCCATCTTCGCCTCGATGGATCTATGCCTCAGAAAGCTCGCGCGGCAGTCCTGGCTCAATTCACCAAAACTGAGGAGTACACGGACGAGATCATCGACACCGAGGACGAAACACCATCACGGTCTGGCCCCTCGACTTCGAAATCACAAACTTCCGAGCCCACCCCGAGAGTCCTCCTTATCTCGCTTCGTGCCGGTGGTGTCGGTCTCAATCTAACTGTCGCCAGCAACGTCTTCGTCATGGATCCGTGGTGGAGCTTTGCCATCGAGGCGCAAGCTATTGACCGCGTCCACCGAATGGGTCAACTGCGTGATGTCTCTGTGACGCGGTTCATTGTCAAGGATTCGATTGAGGGTCGAATGCTTCGTGTGCAGGAACGCAAAATGAATATTGCCGGGTCGCTTGGTCTGCGCGTTGGTGGTGACGAAGGCGAGGATGATAAGAAGAAGGACCGCATTGAGGAGCTGAGATTGCTATTTGAGTAGTAATTTGGGCGTTTCGACGTCAAGGGTGGCATTTTGGAAACATGGGGTATATAGGGGTTTTTAACATATGGGGCTCGGGTGATTCCCTCTTCCTGGCGTTATGTATGGTGGGAAAACCATGCCTTTTCTTCAAGGTTGTTATAGGTTAACGGCAAAAATAGAATATACTGCTCTCTTCCGAGTCGTTAATCACTAGGTGTCTACTGCTCATTCTAGCTACTGGAAGCTGCGTGAAATTACATAGTGAGGACCTCATAGTTCAGAATTTAACTCATTGCCTAGTAATACATGAAGCCAAGACAGAGATATCAAAGTGAGTAACAAACTAAAACCACAAGACCGAGAAGGTATAGTAGAGAAGGTATAGTATAGACGGTAATAGTCACAACAGCAGACATCAGGGATATAGTTCAAACAAGAATCCAACAATCACAAGATCAACAACCAAAACTAACATCAAAAAGTCAACCATCCACTAAGCCTTGTTGCTCCCATGACGCGGATGCGCCACCTTGCTCAATTTCTCCTTCATCCTATGCAGTGGACTATGCTTCCCATTCCCATTCCCCTTCTCACTCCCTTGAGAAGACTTAGCACTCTTAGACGAACCATTCTCAACAGTGCCCTCCTTCTTCACAGGCTTCAGCCCCTTAGCCTCCTTCTCGAATTCTTCCGCAGGAACGGGGGCCGGGCCTTGCGGGCCCTTCAATGCCTCCTCGCTCACCTCGCGGTGGTCAGCGGCGTAAGAACGCTGGCTACTCTGTCCCTCGGTGGGTTCAGTTGAGCGCTGCTCGGTTTTAGGCTCGCCTGTGACGGCACTGCTTCCGCCTGCTTCGGCTGGTGTCGAGCTCGAAGATGCACCAGCGACGGGAACGGGAGAGAGGGCGGGGGATGTCAGAGTGGGAGGGGCGAGAATGGGGGCGCTGGGAGTAGTCTTTTCTAGATCGACGTCGTCGGTCTTTATATCCGCGATCAGGTCTTTACGGGTCGGATCCGGCTTTGCACCATCGAGTTGCGGCTCTTGTGGGGCGGTGTTTCCTTCTAAGCTGGGTGATCCGGGTTGTTCTGAGAGATTAAGGTATATAGTCAGCTTAATTCTGGTTATATCGGTTGGTGGTGGGGAATATGTAGGTTTTGTGGAATCTTTCTCCGGGGTCTAGATTCATGTTCTTCAAATACTAGGTGTAGATATGGATATGCACAACTTACCCTCGCGGTTACCAGCGTCGTAGGGGTCATTGAAGCTGCCCTTGCCTTGAACACCGGCAATGGGCTCTTCACCGTGTGGTGTCGACTGCTGCTGAACTGTGGTGCCGTCGCCCCAGAGGGCGGCCGTGGCTGCATTGACGACTTTGTTAACTGTTTCCATCTTGATGGAGGATTTGATAGTGGAAGGTTGATAGGAATATACGGATGATGGTTGATAATTTAGGAGGTAGTAGGGTAGGTAAAATAGATCAAGAGATCAGGAGGATTAGGTAGAATTTAAAGGATGGGACCTTAGAGGGGTAGGTAAGGTAGAGGGGAGTATAGATAAAGCACAGCTGTTTCGAGTAGGTCAAGATGTCATCAATGGCTGGAGAATAGATTAGCTGGCGTCTGCAGTAAGGGAAGTGGGATGGGGGCGTAACTAGGCCCGCGGCCAGAGGACTACGTCAGTGGAGCCCAAGATATACGGAGAAGACTGCAGATGAAAATCTTATTGAAGGAATTGAGTGATTCAATGATGAGATTCATTGGTCGATTGGGGATTGATTGGATGGCGACGTCGTGCGGATCCCTCAATGTATGGCATCATCTGACGTCATGTCACGTGAGAGAAGTATAAATGGAGAATCATGGAAACTACAGAAGAATGGGAGATGGGAGACAGCCCTGCATAATGATAGATACTCCTACTGGAAGCTTCCTAGAAAAATATAAGATCGGTGTAGATACAGCTGTTGGTCTAACACTGCTGCAGCCCAAAGCGAACAATGAATAATAACAAATTGGGAATCAGTAAAACGAGAAACAAAACTACCCACTATGTAATGCAGTCATTCTTTACGCCGTTATATCAGCTTTCTCTTTTGTTTCCTCTTTCCCCTTCTCCAAGTCACCCTCGCTCTCTGGTTTCGCTGCGTTGGGATTCAAAGGATGGTTGGGGTCATAGCCAATGCTCTTCACAATGCCCAGACCTTTTGTCTTACCCTCCCGGAACAGGACACGATCGCCTGGGGCCAGGAACTCGGGCCTTTGGATGAAGCGGAACGCCACGAGGGCGCGGTCGCCTGTCCTGATGAAGGGGCGGTCGATGTCGATCACTGCACAAGTTTGGCTTACCGCTCCAACGTGCAACATAGCCTGGTACTTGGGCTTGATGGTGGTTGCGTGAGACAAAATCAGAACTAGGGTGGCAGGTTAGGAAAGTTTCATACAGAAATGGTGTGTAATCTACGATAGCTTACCCTCGGCCACGAATTCGCGGTACACTTTGGGAGGATTCTCCATCTTCTTGAGTACCACCATACCCTTGCGAACTTCCTTGCGGCGAACACGTTTAAGAGCAAACGAGCCAGACTGACCTGCAAAGCAGGCGTTGACTTGTATTCGCTTGCGCTCGATAGACTTGATTGTAGTAGTGGTGAATTGGCCGAGAGAGTCGGGTCCAACAACGACCGAGTCACCTGCGTGAATCACACCGGACTTAACCACACCCGACACAACTGTACCTACGTGGGGCACTGAGAAAGTGTCGTTGATAAGGAACTCGAATGGAGCTTCCTGGTCGTAGTGGCCTCGGTGGGGGAGGATATTCAAGAATGTTCGAACAAGCTCCAGATTCTCGCCGGTAACATTGGAGACCTGGAAGATGGGGCAAATGCGCTGGCTGACGAATTGGGTTGCTGTATTGATAGTTTCTTCCATATCTTTGACGAAGATGGGAATCTTGCGCGCACCTGGCGACTTCAGAATCTTCGACAGTTGAGACAGGGTCTCCTGGAGAATTTGCGGCGGGCAAATGTCGATTTTAGTAACAATAACCATGACAGGGACGTTCAAAGCTAGAGCAATTCCCAAGTGCTCCCGGCTCATGCCAATCAAGCCATTGTTGGCGGCGACCATAAGCAAACAGTAGTTGGGGCTGCTGCTCAGCATGCCAAAGACTGTAGTGCGCAGGTATCGCTCGTGGCCAGCCAAGTCAGAGAAGGAGATGACCTTTGCAGAGCGCTTTCCAATCTCTTCCCAAGACAGTTTCCGGCCTTGGGTATGGCCCACGACTTCGCCGTGGCTATCAAAGCCCATGATCTCCATGCCAACGGAGCTGGTTCGCCCACTCTCAATCTCGTGCTTGTGACGGAAGAGGTTCACTCGTGCACGGCCACGACCATCGTCCAGCGTGCCTTTTACCAGCACACCAAGCATGGTACTCTTCCCTGCGTCGACGTTGCCTACGACCGCAATGCGGAGTTCGCCTACCTCCTCGATATTGGTTGCGACCTGGCGAATCAAGACTTTGCCCCATGCACCCTTGAAGCGGTCATTTTTCACTGCACATTCCTGAGCACCACCAACATTGTATGTGAGCAATATTCGGCAGTGGGCGGGGATCGTCTCAGCGGCTTCACGCAAACGCTGAAGCGCCGTCTCCCATTGCGCAAGGTCAAAGCCCATCGAATCGCCGCCATCTTCAAGTCCGAGGTCGAATATTGTCTCTCCATGGCCTTCGTCTATTCGGGTTTGTATCGTTGCGGCAAGTACCTGCAGACTATCCTCAGTTGTCGAGTCCCCCGTTCCGAGGAGGAGCTCCTTCAGCTTGACAGTGCGGGGTTCATCGGAGAGACCAAGCTGGTCGAGGATCTCGAGCTCAGCATGGTCCTCGACATCGCGCGACACGCTACCGGTCTCATATCCGCTGTCGCTAGGCGGGACCGGCACGGCCGAACGATGCGCTTGCTGCTGTTCAGCGTACTCGGCGAACTCGCTGAGGGCCTGGAAATCATGTTAGTGAGGGGGGGGGCCCTTGCTACGACAACCATGAGACACATACGATCTCGCCTCGCTTTCTCTCCTCGGCGTTGGTTTTCGGTTTCAGCTGGGGCATCTTCTTGTGGGGTTGGATCGGGAAAGAGGTAGTTAAATGGGTTCGTGTCGAATGACGGTGAATCGCTCCTGGAGTAGTGACGTTGCGGGCGGTTCGGGGTGTGGATCTCGCCTTAAGCTCTGGCGCAGTTCAAACGTGTATTCGAGGGATCATTGCTTGACACTGCTCTTTGGATTAGAAGAACAGGAGATTATTGAGGATGAGAATTTCTGAATAAGCCTTAGAACATAGCGAGAAGAAGTAAAGAAGAAGGGGGAAAGTAGATCCATCGAAGGGGCGGACCCAGCTTTATCGATAAAGAGGGTCGAGTCACTTGGCTTGAGTCATCCCAAGGGCCGACTGCCAAAACGAGCGCCCGCACCTCGAGCTTTACCCTCATGCGCTGCGCCACAGGGACCATGGAGACTAATTTAGAACCAAAAGGAAATGTGCTGTGACTAACAGCGGGGTTTGGAGAAGGTGCTAGAGTCATTGTCTAAGTCGTACAGCCTTGCGGCTCTGCGAGGGGCCTACGGGAGGAGCACTGGTGGTGCGGGTCATAAACCACAATTTCATGGTCTCATATCTAATGCGACGGAATCGTGGATGGTATCTTGTTCCATTTCCTCCCAGCTGGTATCTTCCAGACGCCGATTCCTCTATCAATTTCATGGGAGGCTGATCAGGCCTGGGGGGAGATCAATACGACCGAATCGCCTAGAAGTAGATTAAAAGCATGTCAGTATAAAGGGCATTTGGATCCAAACTTATCTGGAGAGGAGATTCCAGAAGCAACTCACCTCGCACGAACAGCATTTCTTCTTGCTTCTTAATTGTCTGTCCAAGTCTCCAATTAGCAACCGCTTCAACCACGATATCCCACGATCGTGCCCTACCCTTGTGATCTCCTGCTCGTTCTCGTCTTCCTCCACCACGTAGATGGTCTCTTCCACGTCGCCCAAAACAAGGTTGCAGTGGCTGTCATATGCCTAAAGAGTCATCGCAAATCAGTCATCAGGCCGGGATCATTGGGTCAGGACTGGAGGGGGAAAGCTCACGTGAAGGCGGCCCTTGAGTTCGCGGTCTCCGCGCAACTTCACAAACACAATCTCGTCTAGCGACAGACGGACAAGGTCGAGGGGCTCCGATACGGATGCGCCAACATCTTCGGTGTCAGCCATTGTGAGTGGTGGGCAATAATGTTCACACTGACCACCGAGTTTCCAGCTTGCGCGGGAGATCAGAATCGGCGAGCTCTGTCCGCTGCCTGTTTGGGACTAGCGCGTCCATGGAGGGGACATGCTGAGTCATCATTATTTACCCCGGGTTTTGTTGCCAATGCAAATTAAACATACGGTGCAAACACATTATAGTATATACAATCAAGGCATGGCTTACTTTTGACAGTGCTAGTCAGAATGGCCTTGTGCCTTGTATTTCGCTCAGATTCCATTCTGCAGATCTGGCACTAGATATTGAAAGACACTAGATATTGAAAGACACTAGATATTGAAAGACACTAGATATTGAAAGACCGAACCGCATACAACCCGTGAACATTTCATCGCCAGGTCAGGTTGTCGTCTAAGATAGCCATCTGGCAACTCTCGACTAAGCGATCATTATTTTGGCGAGGACCGTGAGCACCGGCAGCCAAACAACAGAGACCGACTGCTTCAACGATGTAGCTGCTCCAGTACTCGAAGTCTTAGAAGCTCCAGCAGCTCCAGCAGTCCCAGTTCCAGAACCATCGGATTCACCAGTTCCAGTCGCCTTGACCTCGTTGTTCTTCCACGGAGACGCAGTCACAGTGTACGTCACGCTTGACTGTGACCAGGAGAATACCGACCCACTAGGCGGCGCAGTGAGCGCAGTCGCAGCCCCAGTATTATACAGCGTCTGGGTGCCATTGGCAGGGAAACTATTGGGCTTGTAAAAAGTACTAGAATTGGACGACGGAGGCGCAAATCCAAGATTCGGGCATTTGTAGTTGTCCAGAACACTCCCGCATGTATCCCAATCGATCACCGCGCCATAGAGAGTTGCCGTGTTAAGCCAAAGGTCTGCGCCCATTTTGGCCGGGATTGTATCGGGGCAGGTCTCGTACATACTAGACACAGTCTGTCAGTATGCATAGCGCGATCGAGAAAGATTGAAATACGTACGCAGATAGTCCAGCGCTAACCTCGCAACATCCACATGCAGTGTCTTTGTTGCTTAGTTCAATCACCGAGGTCGAGGTATTGTTCGTAATGCACGAATTATACTCCTTCTGCGCGTTGAGAACCGACTGCAATACCTTGCCAAGATTGCACGAGCAGCCTGCAGGAGCATTATCTGGGGCTGGCCAGTATGGGATCGGTTCGGTGGCCGTGGGACATTCGAGGAAATATTCTGCTACCAGTTCGTCGTATTCGCAGGAGTATGCCTATCGGCAAGGTCAATTGAATCAATGAAAATAATATCTCACTAACATACCTGATTCCAGCATGACTCGGCCACACAGTTCATGTAGGACTGGTACATGGCACATCCGCAGCCAAGAACACAGATTTTATTCCCAGCACAAAGATTCATGCAGCCCGTACTGGCTGTTAGGGCTTGTGTCGTGCAGCTGGTAAAGGCAGAGGGGTCTGCACAGGCATTGGCGGTGATATTCGTCTGTGCAAAGGCAATATTAGCGGCCCCTAAGGCCGTCAATAACAGGAGAATCGTCCCAGAAAGCATTTTCAAATAGGCACTGCCTGTGTTCAAGTGGACTTTTTGCGATCAACCTCAATATACTCCGCCACGCGGTTTAAAAGCAGTCTCAATCTCTGATGAGGGTAACTTGTAACTACTTTGTACGTAAACTGCGATATCAAGGACAATTATAAGGCAGACTCCAGGGCGCAGCCCAGCACGGAGCTAAGCTTTCAGCTTCCCGGCTTGGTCTAAACAGGCCATTGATATGGAGCCGTTATTGGGCCCACCTGCAGGAAGAAGGGAACGATGCGAAATACGAGCACGTTGTTCGAATTGGCTGAACTCGGTGTTTCCGTTAATTTAGTCCCTCCTTATCAACTCCGAATCGGTTGTATCCGACACAAGCTGTGTCAAGTTGGGCATTTATATCCAATCGCTTCGATTTGCGGCTCCTGTGATCAGGGGGTGGAGCATTGTGGCGTTCCAACGAGAGACAGCCTCGCCTAAGCGGTACTGATCCAGGAAAGCGCCCTATCCTAGTCAATTGACAGTGCACTCATTCTGGCTACTATCATTATTTTGGAGACCCTGAATCAGTCTGCACCTTGCGGGGGACCCTGAATTTTTCCGGTCAGGGTCTGGAAATGCGGCATCGTAGCCTTACCAGATCAATGAACACTCCACCTAATAGTCACAATTTATTCCAGTCTCAAATATATGGTATACTATAAGGTCTTAGGTCTTCAATATCTAACTAATATAGTTAAAGAATAGCTTGGTAATCTAAAGAAGATAGCCCTGTTAATTGAAGACCTGAGAGTAAAGGCACTCAATCCTAGGAGAATAAAGTCTTACCTAAACCGGCTAATTAGGAACGGAGAATACAGAGCAAGTTAGTCGAGTACGGGAGAAGACTAGGATACTAGAAGAATTTAAAATTGGAAGACCATAAGTATATAATAAATTAAAGTAGCACAGTGGAGCTCGGACTCTCGCCATTAAAAATATAAGGACTGGAAGAATGAACACCGTGACCGCAGTCCGCCAAACAAGCTAGGCCTTTAGGGACTTTGATAGAGATCATACCACTATCCATCCCTAGACATAGTGACAGGCTCGGGCCTCGAAAAGTCCGAAGAAAACATCACGCCTCAACAAAGTACAGAGACTAATAACCGACGCCGAGTATCTGAAGGAATCCGGGATCTGGGAATTGACATGCTGGATATCATCGCGAAAGTCATCCGGTTTCGGGCAATATTGACAATAATTGGACACACCCGCGTATAAGGGTAGGAGAGCAAAGGTACAATCGGCATAAAGGTGGGTGAAGAGCGGAATTTGGGTCATAGCCGTGATCTACCTTTTATATCCAGGGGCCATTTCATAGCGTGGTGTTGGGTCCATCTCATGCCTCGCGGTTGGTTCCATCTCATGCCGCAGAATGGTCATTTCCACCTCATGGCGCGCGACATTTTCCACCTCGTGTCGGTCTATTGGATCTGCATCGATATCTGAGTATGCCTTTGGTTCCGAAGGTGCCCTGCTCTCTTTGCCACACCCCGTGCAAAATGGCGTCGTGGTTGTTGTACCATACAGACCTTAGCGGCCTCTGACACTGACGTCGGTGCGGAGAGGAACACAGACTGTTGCGCCAGTGCCTGCGAGTCCGTGTAGTCGCCCTGCGCTCCACTGTTATTCCCGGGATTATTGTGGGGAGGGTCGTGTTGCTGCGACTGTAAGTCCTGAAGTTGCTTTTCGCTTCTCTTCATACGACGCAAGAGAAGGACAATAATTGTAATAAACCCTGCGACAGCCGCAACTCCAAGGATGGAACCAACAATGATCCCGACTTTTGCGCCGTTCGATAATCCGCCCCCGACGACATGGTTCGACCCAGAGAGGGCTGTTGAAGATGATGAGGGGGGCTGTCTGGGTTGATGAAGCGGTATTAGCAGAGGCGGTAGCGGCAGTGGTTGCGGATGACGTTTCGACACTGGCCGGAGAGCTTGTTGTATCTATATTCGCCGTAGAGCCTATTGCATATAGCGAGCGTGCCTTCCCAGCCACTGAGGTGATATAGAAAGTCCCACCAACCACAGTGGTGTCAGAAACAGTAGCGTAGGTGGTGTTGAGGTAAAGTGAGATGGAACATGTCAGCGAGGCCAGGGTTTGATAGTATAGGCCAAGGGATGTGAACGTAGCCGCTGCAGTTTTAAGATTAGGGTCTATTCAATATTATAAAAGCAGGCAGAGATTAGTTCTACATCCCTTTCAAGTTGGATTGCTGGATACATAAGTTACTAACTGGCTATCGAGAACCATATACCCGTGTTCAAATAGTCGTTTTCACAGTTGGCCCCCACAATGGGGTGCTGGTCGGGCGTGATAAAGACAACCTCAATGTAATCGATATAGTTGATTGTTGGCAACGCCGAGGGGTAAAGTATAGAGAATGTTTCGCTCTCGGCGAGTACACTCAGAGGGAATATCCCCCAAAGTATTATCACGGATACCAGATTCGAAGACTTCATGATATAGAGCTCTGATCCACTCAATAAAAAGAGCGCTGCTGAGGGGACATCAGCGTAGGTTACTAATGTCCTTATAGGTTGAACACTCTCTCCTATGTCTAAGAAGAGGAACAGAGATGCGACTAATATACAGACGGGTGAGCTACCTCGTTCAACAATACAGAAGATCTTTCATCAAAGCAGGCATAGTGAGGTCTGGATAAGGAGGGGTCAAGCCCCTTCGTCTTTTCCTGGCCCCTGGACACTGACCTATCAATTCTAGCAGAGGAAAAGGTTACGTATGCCCCCTAACCTAATATGCTTAGAGGTATATTTAGCATAGAGTTGGAAAGTTAAAATACGAGTTGAAGCAGGGAGCCTCCTCCCTTAAGGCAGTCCAAGCATTCCAGAAACGTGCTATCCGGCTGTTTTCGAATGTGGAGCTGCCGCGACTTGAAGAGCCGCAGCGCCCCGTCACACCTGGTGTTGATGAGAAGCCCGGTAGGCACAAACCCTCCATATGGCTAGGTACGGAAGCTGATCTATAAGCCTGGCTGCTGCTATCTCAAATCGGAGTACGTCTAGGTATGCGGAAATAGAGTCGCGTGTCTGACCTTTCCCTGTGTAGCAGAGGTCAAGTCGTGGAAATGCTATAGGTTATAATGAACGGTAATACTTAGTAGTGGAGATCTGCAAAGTAGTAAGCGGGAAATTGGTTGCCAAACTGGAAGTCTTGGCTTTCAGCTTGAGAACTGAGCGACCAACGAACAGATGCCTCTGGCCACTTCTCATCCGGGCGGCACTCACCGAAACATTCTCTACATATTAGCCACACGCTGGCGGGTTAGTAGTTTAGTGGACTCCTTTACTCGGCTTGCCTCCTAACTCCCTAACGATATACTTAGGAACCCTCCTAAAGGTATTATAAGAGAGGGGGGAAGGAGTCGCCTATCTACCTATTAGCTAGATAGATTAAAGTGCACTTTATAGTGTTTATCCCTATCCATGGAGCTTAACGATATATCAAAAACCGCTGAAATCGTCAATAGCTTGAAACTCGGAATTACAGATTAACCGAGTCCATCCTCCCCAGAGTTCCAGAGTTGACGACTCCACTTTGTTCCGCTCTCCACTACGGGCCAGCCCCAGTGGAAGTGTCATCCGCAATGTATCTAGATCTGAGCTACGAATAACTATAGTAATATAGAATCATCAGTCAGCCAACTGCTATAACTAAGGAGGGCAGACAGTACAATGATCTATAGTTAACGGCTGCTAAGGAACCTCCCATATTGTCCCCTCACTGGTGCGGCCAGTCATAGCTTAGTACACGTAGTATTGACACCCCCTCCCCCCCCCCGGACCTGGATTGGCGTGGCCGGGGTCGATGCGCACCCCCTCATTCTCTTCCCCCCCTGCATTTCTATTTCTTTCTGCGTTGTGATTGTACCACCTTCATCCTCCTTCCATCACCTCTCTCGTACTCATGAGGAGGACTATCCGTGCTGGTGAGAGGCTATCCTCTCCCTGGCTACACCAATCGCGACCTAGAGCATCAAACGGTCGTCTCCATTTCTACACCTCCACCACGCGACACCAGACGCTTGATCTCACCGGGCGCACAAGATCACTGTCCTCGCTGAGCTCATCCCATTCTCAGCCATTGTCCTCCGCTCGTCATCAACGCAGACGCGAGTCCCATCCTAATGACACGGTCCGCGAATTCAATACCAGAAACAACAACGTTGGCGCCAGTGTGGTCTCCTCACACGAGGCCATCCAGCAAGAGGAACCGGACGAGGCCTCCCTTTTCGAAGGGGAAGCCGACTTTCCCTCCTGGGAGACCCCCGAACAAGAGCATGAATATGCGGAGAAATTCATTCGCGTCGTTGAAAATGGCCAGCCCGACCAAGTGATGAAAGCCATGACCGACCCACGGTCGGCGGGGCTAGTTGGGTCTCTACCCCAGACTGTCTTCCTTGAGGCGCTCCACCTTCTCTCCCCGACCCATTTTGTGGAGCCCTTCCGCGACCTCCACCACCCTTTACACACTTGGGCCGTGCTCGTCAATGGCCTCCGGCGCATCGAGGAAGTTTTCGACAGTTTTGTCAATAATTTATTTACCGTCATCCGCTATCGGACGTCAGGCGGGCAGTTTTTGCAATTGGCGGAATTTACCCACCTCCTGGATTGCGCTCGGGCCATGGGAAATGGCAATCTCGCAGATCAGGTATGGGACACCATGATGAAGATGGACGTGGTCCCCGACACGGTCTGCTACAACCACTACATGGAAGCAAAAGTCTGGGACCATTGCTATACCGGGCGAGAAGCGTATCGCATGCGCATGAATCCGAAAAGTTACAGGAAGCGGCGTACTGAGGAGCCAGTACTAGGATGGCAGGGTTTCGGGACTGCACAGAGGAGTATTCGGAAGCTTATCCTCCGTATCTTTAGCGAGATGCAAGACGAAGGTCACCTCGGTGATGAGCGCACGTTTATCAACTTGATGCTCGCTGCAGCGCATGTGGGCCACGACCGGGCGATGAAACATATTCTGAAGGAAGTTTGGAACGTGGATGCGGATGCGCTGAAGGTAGAAGCCGACAACTCAAAGCTGCCACCAGTGACAGCCTACGACCCGTGGTCAGCGCTCTATCCGAGCGAGAAGCTTCTTTTCGCAGTGGCTCACGGTCTGGGGGTGAACAATGACATTGCCGGCGCGGTTCGAACAGTTCAGTTCATCTCATCCTCTTACAACATCCCAATTCCCGCAAAAGTCTGGCACGAACTGTTCGAGCGAGCCTACGTACTATCACGCCAGCGATGGTCGGCATCGGAGACGGAGAGATCTGAGAAATACACCGAATGGGCAAATACCGTCGGACGAGTCTCTATTGACGTCGTGCGATCAGTCTTTGACACCATGACTTCCGAGCCCTACAACGTGACCCCAACGCTACAAGAGTGGCGGTTCATGATCAACACCAGTATTGACAGTGGTCGACTGGAGGATTGCAAAGACTACATCCGCGGCGCATACAATCTTCTAGAGGAAACTCGAAAAAAAGAGGCCGAAGCTCACACAGTCGTGATGCGCTGTCTCGCCCCAGCCCTCGAAGCCGCCCGTCGACAGATGCGACAAGGTGCCACAATGCCAGACCCAGAGTTATTCCGCTCCCCCATTCTCGCCGAAGCGATTCAAACCTACGACATTATCAGACTCGAGGTCTGGCAACAAATCTACCTCCTCCAGCGCATACTGTACCTGGTCGTACGCGTGCCCAGCTGGAAAGACATCTCCGACAAAGAATGGCATCTCCAAGAACGACCCAAAATGCTAGAAGAATGGGTCGATTTCATCCCGAGCAAGATCCAGCTCTTCTACGGCGAAGACACGGGTCACATCGAGATGATCGGCGCCAAGGGTTTCGGCAGCCGCTCCTACAAAGTCGATCCTCGGTATATCCCAACACGCCGACAAACCGACCAGAAAGGCCTCTTTGATCCAGGCCGCTGGCCCCGCTGGACCGAGCAAGGAAAATGGGACGATATTTCCGTGCGACATCCCTATCTAGATCGGACGGCGGCACCGCTGGATCGGTTATTCATGTTCCAATTGTCCGCGACGGAGGAGTTTAACAAGGCTTTGGAGAAGATGCGTAATACTTGGACTGAGTATCCGGATGACCATGAGTTGTCGACGAAGAAGAACCCGCATGCTGGGTTGTATGGACGTCTGGCCGCGTTGGATATGCTGAAGCCGAGGAATAGCAATAGCGTTTTTTTGCTGGATGAGCAATCTTGGATTTAGGGGATGCACTGGATGCATGTGGGGTGAATGTTGCTGGCGTCATTCGTCCTACTTATTTTGATACCCCGTTCGGATGGAAGATGAGAGTGAGAATATGGTCGATGCTGGGCTTGCATTTGGTCTTGGCTATAGATCTTATACTAGATGCATTGGATAGAACGTATTTTTCATCAATATTTCATTCATCTCATAGCTGAACTTTGAGACATTCTCGCTGTATCCTGGTCCTTTTTGAGCTGGGCGTGTATGCCACAGTTCATTCAGTCCTTGAGTGCCTCACCGTCCAAATATTTACACTCCTTGGAGAAGTTACGTTCAGGCTTATCTTACAACCCTCAGAAGCGCGGCTGATTCCTTTGTCAGGCAGTAGGTTCATGTATATAGTAGCATATTATATTCATTATAAGCTCCTCGGAATCTCTCCGAGTGCAGACTGTGTACAAGAGTCACAAAACGCGAACTCGAATCCAATCATACAAGGTACTTCCATCTTGCCTCACCACACCATAACGGCTCAGCGACGCAGAAAATCACCCTCTTGGCCAACGCTAGACATTCTCGCGTTTCAAATCATTCACAGTCATATATCTCCCGATGGTAATCCATCCCCACCGGAACCAGACCATCTGACTCTTATGACCCATAACCATGGCAGACTGCGCAGTCAACCACTCGCCAACGGAGCTAACGAACAACAACCGCGCCGGCCCCTCAGCAGCACTAGTCTTCTTCCCGCCGAATAGATTGCCCAAGACCCCCAACAACATCGAGTACGGCGCATCCAGCACACCCGCATACTTGCGCAACATCGACGTAGACGTCAACGTGTACAAGGTCACAGGACAATTAAACCCTTCTTTATCCGTCATCAGGGTACGCAGGAAATGGATCGCACCGTGATACAGCGAGCGGTGGTTGGGGTGGTTGCTGATGCCGTGTTGGTCAAAGGTGAGGAGGACATCGATTGTAGCGGTGGGCGCCTTTTTAGGATTCTTCTTTGCGGTTCCGTTTAGGGTTGCAGCGAGGTCTGGGGAGAAGGCTGAGGCTAGCAGGGAGGTTATTTGGTCTGCGGCCCAGGTTGCGGACATGCTGTCTGGGAAGCGGGTGGGGTCGTCGACGATGAAGACGTCGGATTCGTCACGGACACCGAGGAGGAGAGCGGATTTTTGGAGTTCTTTTCTGCGGGTTTCGCCGAGGCCGTCTGCGTCGCCTGTGGATGGATGGTGGTTAGCTTTGGTTTCCTTGTGGACGTGTGCACTCGACCTATGGGATTGAGATTGCCATTGGCATGCGTGAGCGAGCCCAATGGAGAGGATTGGTGCTTGTAGTGACGTACCAGTACTGAAGCAGAGGATCTTCAGGTGGTTGCCAAGCTCGGGCTTGGTGAGTGCCAGCACCGTGGGCGAGAAGAACATAGCCTCGTCATCGGGGTGCGCGATCAACAAACAGATGCGCTTGTTGCGGAGTTTGGGAAAGGAGCGAGTAAAAGGTGACGAGGTGGAGGAGATGGTCCAGAAGAGGAAGACTGCGGCGATGGCAACCGCCAGAGCAGTCCAATTGAACGATGGCGACATGGTGGAAGGAGATAGCAGGTATCGAGAGGCGGGGAGAGATCAATAGCGCGATAATTCGCCGCCAACAGTCCTTCGGTGGTCACGCGATGGCCGCGTTTATAATGACGTCTGCGTCTAAGAGTGTCGGATCCCAGAACCCTTCTCAACTCGAGCTTATCTCGATGATAGATCGAGATGTAAGGGCGATGGCGTTAGACTCGGAGGATTGTGGATCAATGTTTGCACTGGTTCAACCGTTAACCCTGGCACGGTGGGGTACAGCCAACATCCCACTTGGTCGACGTGCTTGAGATGGAATTGCGGTGGAGGCGGAAGCTGCCTATCTTCAGGAGACACGCGAGATGATAGTCAATTGAGGATGAGTTGAACGGGTACCGAGTCCCCTAGTTCCAAGGCAAGAGAAGGGTCGGGAGGGCGAATCAGTCGGCCATATTAAAAGAACACGGTGGCCGAAAGCTGTGGTGCCGGAATAGGGGAAGCTCAGATGATGATTCCTTTTGCGGGACGATCCCCCGGAGTGGGGGTCACGTGCCAGGGGTTCGTTGAGGCGATTGTAAAGGCATGGGAGGAATTAAGTTTGAATTTGATTAAGTCATGCCCTCTCTTGGCTTCTTATCTATAGATACAGAACGCATTATCGGCTAGGAAGGAAAAAGCAAGTGGTTGTCAGGAAGACGACTCTTATCAGAGCAAGTCACGAGGTCTGCGGGGGAAGTTCTGTTATCAGGCCAATTGTACCATGATCTGCGCGTGCTTAATGGTCTGCAGATTATGAGCACTGACCTTGGATACCTTAAATTCAAGTGCACCCCATGAGATGCCACTCGGTCAGCCGCGTGGCATCGCTACCATTGATCAAGGAGATTCTAGAAATCTAGCGGTGGTGTCCGTCGGTCTGCCCTGTCTGCTGTACCTGCCTATTTGGGCATATGGAACACTTCTAGCGGCATTCCGAATTTTCTTCTAGAGTCGAGCCAAAGTACGTACAGTATGTACTACGCTACACACAGACTAAGTCAATCGACATATGAGTCCTGAGAATGTTCTCTTTGCTCCTCATGCCAGGTCACTTCTTGCCTGTCTACCATAGGGAACAATAAGCAGTTAAAATTAGCAAAGTCATCTTGAAGATGACGTAGCAGAATGTGCAGATCGAGTCATCTCATCTTACGCCATCTTCATAAGCTTACCCCGGTACCTTGACGTCAAAATGGTGAAATATCGCGGACCGCAATGAGTCAATTTCCAACATCCAATCAAGACCTATTCTGTGCGAACATCGATCACCCAAGCCTTCCATCATGTCAGGACTCGTACCCCATCTGGCAAAATATATTGAAACATGTAATTACTACAAGCATATGTCCTCATAGATCAGCGCGATCAACATCAGGTCATCTACAAAAATACATACTGTACAACAAGATGTAAACAAAAAATCCACATCAACCTGACACTATCCACACAACCCACAAACCCAAATCCACCCGGCACACCGAAACTCCATCGGCCCGGCAAATTACTCAAAAAGCCTCACCCAGACCCTACGAGTTTCCCGGCGGACAACGCCTCGAGTACGACACGCCATCGGGCGCGACCAAGTCCACCGCCCCATTGCGACCGCTCTTGTACTCTATGCGATTGACGATCGTGTAATATTCTACCAACAGCATATGATACTAACTTTGTAGTTGCATAGAAAAACATATGATAATCATTAGGTACTACCTCCCCACTAGCTCCCTATTACATATCCGTGAGTAATACTCTGCGATATCGGTCTTTACAGACCCTCAATCTTAGTACGATACTACACATCCATGGCATGAAGAGCCAAAAAGGTCCCCATCTTGAAACGACAACGTAAACCAGGGACAAACCACACGTAGACCGGGTCCGCCGCCGCCACTGGCGGACCTGTTAAGCATCACGTTTCGTCGGGCCGAGTATAAGGTTCTGGGCGTGGGTGGGGGTTATGGGCGAAGGAAAAAAAAAAAAAAAAACAAAAAAACAAAGTCACTCAATTAGTGAAGGGGAAGGAAAAGAAGGTGAGGAGGGGCCGAGTCTAGTACCAGTGGGTGAAGAGACCAGCCTAACAGAAAATTTCTGCGCGGCACACTTCATTGTGGGCGGGGACCCGGGAGTTTTCCGGGCTGGCGAGAACACTAGGAAAAGTTTGATGGTGGTATGGAAAATGGATAATCGAGGATGGAGAGGACGGAGAATGTTTCTTTTCTTGGGTTTTATTATTTCTATTTTATTTTTGAGTGATTTAATTGTTGAAATGGTGTGTTGTTATTGTTTGGTTTAGGATGGTGCAATTGGAGATTATTGGAGTCGGGGAAGAGGTTGGACTTGTATAGTATGTCTGTATAGTATGTAGTATGAAATGTCAAATGGGAAACGCAATTCCTTGGGTGATGATGAATTCTTGCAAGACTAGAGCTTAGTTATAGCGTGATACTTGCAGGGCTGAGAGTTTGAAGTAAGTGATTTGGGATTAGGAAGGTAATGTGCTTTGTATATTGGATTAGGAAAGTAACGTTATGAAGTAAGGAGGTAATTGGCCTAATACTAGATTAATATAAGATTCATACTGCCATTCAACTGTCGTTGTAGGCAAAGCAATCATAGTCCATCACCGTCCTCCTTCCCTATAGAAGGGGTGACTCAGTCCTGATCGGAGGGCGTCTCCGAGATCGACCCGAAAGAGGAAGTTCGCCAGAGAGCCGACAATTTCGATCTTCACGGCAAGCCACCTCGTTCCATTGGCTCAAATTCCCGATCTGTCGGTGCTTATTGTCAGGCGTAGGGTGTAAGGCGTAAAAAGTGTAGAATGGCGAGTCATGTGGAGTACTCTGTACACGGTCGAGCTAACTGCTAAGCACCTGGGACAGAACGCGGCTGTGATTTGCACATCCCCGCGATAGTCCTACTGAAACGGGTTTCGATCCATCTTCGCCCATTTCTTCCCATAGCTTGTTCATTCCCACGGGTTACTTCGAATTGGCTATTCTATGCGGAACTGGAGAACTAAAAGGGGGGCTTATTTTTATGGTTGATCGACATACCGATCCTGATAAAAAGAGGCCAGAAAAGAGGTACATTATTTAGCCGCGAGGCTGTTACCGTAGAATCAAGGCGTGGGCAGCACCAGGCCTTTGCAGGCTCAAGAGGGGCCGCGCGGGCGACTCCGACAAAGTACTCCGTCCGGGGCTCCTCCCGACGACTGGACCGCCTGGACGATTTGCCTGGAGGAGCACATCTCCATGGCGTGATCGGGTCCCCGGTCGCCAGGCGTCTCACCGCAAGGAAAGGCGAAGGCACGTTGTTCCGCGGTCAAGGAGAGAAGTCGAGCTGGAGAGTCCATGCCGTCCACCCGGGTGCGCACGAGCCCTAGAAGGTATTTCTTCAGCATCCCAGTCCGACATAAGATGTCGGCCACAGGTCCGGAGTATAGGTCCTTGAGCTATGGGCTTCAAAGTAAGAAGCCATGAGATGCAGCTCGTAGCTGCAGGTCAGAGGTACCTGATACCAAGTGGACACCGTCCATGCTTTTTTTTATTATTATTTCTTTTTGTTTTTACCCGTCACCAGGGGAAAGAAAAGGTGATCCAGGAGGGATCTCCCGCAACAGGGTTGACAGGCGCAAAAAGAGCAAACTGTTATGTAATTAGTGCGGGCAGGGGAATTGATGATTCGCCCATGGCCCTGTTCGAGAAGCACAGAGCAACTCTTGACAGCTCCCAAGGCTAGGGGCGTGATGATCAATTTCAAAGATTATCAATCGTACCTGATCTCAGTTCTAGGTCTCTAATTTTTTTCCCAACCTGAAATTACATCACGACGAGGTCCTCCTTAGCTGAGAAAGAAAATTGCGACAGTCCAAATGACCGGGCTGCGCCCCGCAAAATGGCGCCAGCGTGCAGTGCGGGGGGAAAGAACCAATGCCAGCCACTAACCCCGAAAAGGTGAACCAGCGGTGGTGGTATTGACCTTGTTGGTGGTGGTAGTGGTTTGGCGACGAAGCCGGCGTAGAAAAAAAAAAGCAAAGAGTCAGAGAAGAAGTGGAGCGAACAGGGTCTTTGGGCCTTTGGCACGCGTTTTCATTGCCCAAAGCGGGTAAGCGGGAAAAATTCTCAGCGCAATCGTGAGGATCTGCCACTAGCGGGTGTATTTTATTGTGGTATTCGACTGTTACAGCCCCTGTATTGTGACAGTCAGAATGACCCAGCGGTCGGGCCGTCGCTGGTCCTCTGATGGCGCCACGTGATGGTTCAATGGCCACGGAGTTGTTTCGGAGTACATCATTTTACTACTACAAGTATACTGTACTATTGAATCCACAGTACTAGTAGGTGTTATTGTATCATATCTTCTATAGAGAAAACTAGCTATGGCTAGTCTAATAGCCATGCTGCTCTCGGGAATTAAATTGCAGCATATTACTTGGGCTGGGTCATCATACGGTATAGTCGGCATCATGCTTACTAGTTAGTTAAGTTATGCTAACAATATTAGTCAATTCCCTATTCTCCTAACTTAGGTAGTTACTCTATACTCAATGTTAGACCTCCGGGTCCAAGTTCCTACTCGAGCGACTCGGCTCCGTTAAAACGGCCCCTGTCCGGGGGAGGTTCTATCTCCTCGGGTTCCGCGGGCAAGGTTCTAATAGGGGCAGTCACAAGCCAGCAAAAACCGAACTAGAAGACTTTCGGTGTGGTAGCTGTACTACCCTGGGCGACAACACGGCACCACAAAGCCGGGGAGAGGAGCCCGCCCCAAGCCTCAGGTGATCGGGCAAGCCTCCGTGTTAACAAAGCGTCTTGGGAAAGCCAATGCGCCGACAAGGACGGAGAGTCGACGCAGACGCAGAAGCTTGGAACTCCGTCACTTGCAGAGATGGCCGATGCAGGGTGGTCCGACCGGGTCGTGCTCAGGATCCGGGGTAAATGAGCCCAGTACGAGCCTTGGAGGTTGATTGTTAAGCACTAGATGAGCGATGACACCATACTAAGGCCTAGTACTACTAAGTGCTGTCTTATTGGAGGATACTCATATTAACAAAGTATATTACATTTGCCTCAATGAATAATAACTAGATTCTTTATCATGATACTCCGTAGAAAGAATGCCACTCAAGGAGCCGAAGGAGACCGCGATCGGTCGTACCCCGCCGTGCCCCTCGGCCACATGCCTTCTGGGCCGAGTGGGAAGGGCCTCCCTAACAAACCTTGGGGGAAGATCGCATCCCCATCCACGCCGGGGCTCTAGCCGACAGTGACTCACTGCGCACGGGCTTTTCTTTGCTGGCTAGGAAGTTCGGACATCGAACATCCAGGATTATTATTATTATTGACAAGGAGTAGTGGGAGGGGTAATCGACACCGAAGGTTTCCAGGATGCGCACCATCAGGTGGTCTTACTAGATTGGTCCAGAATTTAAGATGATCCCAGAATGATGCCCACATCAGCCATCAAGGAAAAAGAGGATGTGGGGTAGAGTGTCTGGGCTGCTGGCATCAGGCGATCCCTCGATCTTTGTTCGGTCGAGAAAGTCGGGAGTCATTGTGATTATTGGTTCTTGCCGGCACCAGAGCCGAGTCAAAGAGTTAAAGTTCCTGGCCACCATAGGCTGAAGAAGTATAGGGCAAAGTATAGAGTCATCAGGAAGCCACGATGACGTGCGAGCCCAGAGGACGGGTCTACTTCGGCGAGGATATGATATCCAACTTCTCATGGTATATAGTCTAGAATTGAATTACAAAGATGGTGTGCTTGATCACAACAGCGCTCTAAACAAGAGTTGCTCTTTATTTTTACTTGGAATTTGCTTAGACAATCGGCCATCTAAGAATAAAGATGGCGGTGTAACGAGGTGGTATTGTGTCAGTACGCGTATGGTCAGACTCCACTATGACGATGGGCCCTGCCCCACTCAATGACTTTTTAAATTTTCTAATTTTTCTGTCCCATTTTTTTTTCCAGTTAGTTCAATTGAATTTCCCATTCCAGACACATTTTTTCTGGTGATGGTGGCCAGACCTGAGCGAATGGCTGCTCGGTACCTGGCTGGCTGCATGGGACAAAGTGGACAAAGTGGACAAAGTGGGAACCAACTAGAAATTTTTCTGTGGTTCCAAGAAGTTTTCCACGGATTCGGTGGCTTTTAGGCTCAAGCACATGATCTTCTACAAAGATTCAAAAAGCAGCGCAACCCGGGCCCTCTTGGACTACTTCCTTCCCCTTCTTACAAACCCTGAAGACTGGATTATGTTTTGCTTGGCTTCTTTTACTTCTTCACAACTCTTCCAGCACCGCACTGCTTCCTGAACATCAGCCAAGCCAATTCTATATCAACCCCCCACTACTTATTCGAGATCATTACCGCCATCTCACTTCGTCGTTGACACACAGCATCAACCACTATCAAAACAGGCGCTTTCACAATGCCGGGCCGTCTGATCCCCAACTTTGTTCGGGGCTCTGGCTCCCTGCACTCGTCGGTCTCCTCGACTCCCATCCACTCCAATTCATCATCGACCACCTCCGTCAATGAGATTCCCCATCACCCTGGCAAGAAGCCAGCGCATGGCACCCCGGACCGTGCTCGCTCACCCGAGCGTCGTCTATCCTTCAACATGGACCACCTGATCCACCCCCACCGAGACCACAGCAAGGACAAGCGCCGCAGTCTGGGACGCGCCGGCCGGTCCAAGGAGCGCCTTGGTAAGGAGGAGCTTGCGAAGCCATCCGCTAAGCTCGAAGTTCTGGTCGAGTCTCCTCCTCTGGTCTGCTATGGCAACCCCAGCAACTCTACCGGTGCTTTGTTCTCTGGCCGTCTGCGTGTGACTATCCCCGAGAGCGCTGGTGAGGTCACTCTCAACCAGTTCGACGTTCGCCTCATTTCCAAGACTTCCACCAAGAAGCCCGTTTCCAGCCATTGCCCTAGCTGTGCTACCCGCACGGAGGAGCTCACCCGCTGGAACTTCCTCACGGAGGCTCTTCACCTGAAGCCTGGCGCGCACGACTTCCCCTTCAGCTACCTGTTCCCCGGCCACCTCCCTGCTTCCTGCAATGGCGCCCTGGGCCAAGTCGAGTACTTCCTGCTCGCGCATGCCCAGAGCACCGTTGGTGAGGAATTCAGCCTGAAGCTGCCTCTGAACGTCCGCCGTGCCCTGATCCCCGGCAACGACAAGTCTTCTATCCGCATTTTCCCTCCTACCAACCTGACTGGCCGCATCGTCCTGCCTTCCGTTGTTCATCCCATTGGAAACTTCCCCGTGGAGATGACCCTCAGCGGCGTGGTGGACAAGGGTGACGAGACTCAGACTCGCTGGCGCCTGCGCAAGATGATGTGGCGCATTGAGGAGCACCAAAAGATTGTCTCCACTGCCTGCACGAAGCACGCTCACAAGATTGGCGGCGAGAACAAGGGTGTCCTCCACCAGGAGACCCGTATTATCGGCCACAACGAGGAGAAGAGCGGCTGGAAGACCGATTTTGACACCGCCGGTGGTGAAATCACCATGCAGTTCGATGCTAGCATCAATCCTTCTACCAACCCCGTCTGCGACATGGAGGCTCCCGGTGGCCTGGAGGTCAAGCACAACCTTGTCATTGAGCTCATTGTCGCCGAGGAGTTCTGCCCCAACCGCAACACCCGCCTCATCACCCCCACCGGCGCTGCCCGTGTCCTGCGCATGCAGTTCAACCTCCACGTCACGGAGCGCAGTGGTCTCGGTATCAGCTGGGACGAGGAAATGCCTCCTGTCTACGAGGACGTCCCCGCCAGCCCTCCCGGCTACTTCAAACTCGATGACGCTCGCAGCGTTATGGAGGACTACCAGGGCTCCCCCCTCCCATTGCCCGACTACGACGAGTTGGAGAGAATGGACTCTCTGCGTTTGGACAGCGACTCAACCCACTCCTCTACCAACTCTACCTCCAACAACCGCGGCCGTATGCGCTTCACAGTTGACGACTTGGTCACTGAGCAAACCCCGCATCCCTCTGAGCCTACCTCCCGCGTCACCTCTCGCGCTCCGTCGGTTGACTCTACCCGCCAATAATCCCTTCAACACTACTATCATTCTACCGCCATGACGTTATGATCTCCACGACCCAAAGAAAGATATCCCAAAGTCACGGACTTGTCACAGCCCTTTTTATTTCTTATTATCCCCCACCTTTACGATAATCAACATCTCGGGGGACATTGCATGGCTCATGATCAATGTCCCCGCATCATATGGTTTTTTTGCATTTCTCTTCTATCATCAATGGCGTCGGCGCGGTCTCAACAAAAAGCACGAAAAATCTGGTACTACTGTCATACCAGAAAGAATGCATCTCTTGGCTCGGACGGACGGGTTTCGTTCCACCCCTGCATTATACCCATCACTACTTCTTCTGTGCATATTTCATCTGCTCTGTCTTCAGCTATGATCATATTCCCCCTCTTGCCTTAGAAACACATTATTGTCTTATGGTTGATTATCTTTGTTTGCCAATGGGCTCTCTACTCTAACTTAATGCATTGACTTAAATGGTCCATCTTCCCATGATTATGTAAATTGTGTAACTGGTAACTACCTAGACTGCCAGTTTAAGCATGCAGTTGAGATATGCTCGCGCCACATACCATCTTCTGACTGGGCCCTTGGCATTTGACAAACTACCGATTGGCGTCTCTTATCTAGAATAGTAAAGCAATGTTATCCCCAGGTTTTATGATAACAAAACATTGACTCCACAGTTGATCGCCATTACAGTGGCCTTCCGAGGGACCAGACCTGCTAGCCAATAGTCTGAGTGTCGAGTGACAAGTTCTCCCTCAAGAGACACCGATGAAAGCAACCAGCGAGGGCATACAAACAACCCAAAGCCCCCTTCAAACTCTCCTCAAAGTTAATTTAAGGTTAATAATCAAAGTCTATACATAGCATGATTCACATACTCTGCCGGAACCGTCGGAGGTCTCGACCCGGCTTCCCGACCACGGGTCCCCACCGATGATGCCATGTATTTTCCGAACTCAAAACATCATCTGGTTGAAACCAGATGATTATTGGCCGTGGGAGCTGAAGCTATGTCCCAAGGCTTGAGCTAGGACTTACATGTCGCATGACCACCTATACCAAGATGTTCCTATCAGGCTATATGACATCATTCGCTTGGAAGAGGTTATTATATACACGGTTGCTGGTCTAAATACGTCAATCTACCAAAGAATTTGCAAACATTGCCTTGGTATACGTATTTAACATACTTATTCACTCACAATCATGTCGAATCTTTTCCGTAGGGCATCTGATGCCTTCCACCACCATCAGCGAAAGGATTCTGAGGACTCAGGCACCCAGGACAACCTCATATCTCCGTCCCAGGAACCACAAGAACCGCAAGAACCCCAGGTGCCACAAGTATCGCAAGTTACACAAGATCCACAAGAGCCCAAGGCTGAATCTGCATCTCGGGGTGAATCACAGGGTAGTGATAAAGACAAAGCGGGTTAGTATTTCTGGTTACTGGAAGCTTATCTTGTGATTTGTGCTAAGACGACTATACTTGATGTAGGAAATGGCACTCCTCACCACCATCACTGGGGCTTCTTCCGTCGTCTAAGTGAGGATGAACGGGCGAAACGCTAATTGAGTCAACAGGAGAAGGAGCGGGCGGACTGGGCTGCTTCGAAAAAGTATGATCATGCACGACGATCGAGCCAAGGGGCTGGAGTTGGGTTTGAGGGTGGCTGGCATTTATTGAATCAAGTTGATATCTTCGTTAGTTTTGTTCTGATATTCCGACTTACGAGGAACATAATTAAGTGTAAAGTTGCCTTGATATTATCTACAGACCTCCATAATTCAATATCTTATATCTATTAACTATTCACATTCTCAATCGTACAGCTCTATGAATCAACCATCTGCCATCATTAACTTCATAGCATCATATCTTCCACCCTTCGCCCTGCTTCCACTTCAAAATCCGCAACAAACAAAACGACACAGTCCCAACCGCAACCATCACAGCACTAAACAGCTGTCCCTTCCAGAACACCCCCCTTCTATATCCAACAATGCACCTGCAATAGGATTGCCAATCAACAACCCCAACCCGGCAAAGGTAAAGGACATCCCCATCCGTGTACCCAAGATGCTCATATTAGACGTGAGTCGGGCAAGAATAGTCGCCGGCAGCGACACGATCGCCCCGGAAGCAAACCCATACAGAATGGCGAACACGATAGTACCCGCCTCATTTCGAATTCCAATCCATGCAAAGGCTAGGACGGCTGCGATAAAGCTTATCGGGATAATAGTGTTCAAGGATCCAATGTGATCCGCCAGGATTCCGGGTGCGATGCGGCCGAAGACAGAGGCTGCGTTTAGAATGGCGATTATGTAGAATGCGATGCTACCGTCAGTGTGGAGGAAGGAGGTGAAGTAGGTTGGTAGGTAGAAGAATGGGAAGTATAAGCCAATGAAGGAAAAGAAAAAGGCTAAACACAGGATAAGGAAAGGTGCCTCTTTGAATGCGGACACGTCGAGTAGAGATCGAGATTGCTTGGGTGGTGGGAGACGCGGTTTCATCACGGCGATGGAGAAGATGAGTCCGCCTAGGGCGACGAAAGCGATAATTCGGGTTGTCCAGCCAAAGCCCACCGGTCCGATTAACTTGTGAAACATGATGGGATAAATTACAGATCCTAAGTATGAGTATTAGCTTCCCTGTCACCGGGGGTTTCACTTCTTCAGTATAGACTCACCGATACTACCTCCCGACGCGGTGATACCAGTCGCTAGTGCCCGTCGTGACGTGAAATAAGTCGCTACAATAGCAATACTCGGCAGAAACAAGCATGAGCAGCCAAGACCCACGACAAGCCCATGTGCCAGAAATATCTGATAGTACTTCGTTGCGAGTGAAGTCATCATCAGTCCGAACACGACTAGGAATGTGCCCGCCGCAAGCAGGGATGTGAGGTAGCCCTTGTCATAGATAGGTCCAACTACTGCCCCTGCCATCAAGAGTAGGAAGCCCTGGACTGTGCCGATCCATGAAATTGAAGATGCAGAGTAGTCAGGGAGTAGGGTGTCTTCATAGTAGCTTTGGTAGACGCCAAAGGTGTTCACCACTCCCCTGGGATATTGCGTTAGTAGCGGCTCTGTATGTGGATGATAAATGGCCCAATTACTGACCAGCAATTGAAGAACAAGAAGAATGCTCCTGCTACTTGGAGCCAGGCAGTAAGACCTCCATTCGGAGGTGGAGGTGGCGTTGCGGGTTCTTTGGGTGGTTGATTCTCGACTTCTGATCCATCAGACTCTGGAACTGGCGCTGAGGAGAGCGCATCACTCAAGACACCTTCTTTTTCTTCGTGTAAAGACATGATATATGATGTGAATCCGACAGTATAGGATATAGAGGCGCGAATACCACCTATTATATCCCAACTTCCATGACTGGCGTATTTGATGATAAGCAGCTATTAAGGCGAGTCCTCCTTCTGTGGTCTCGGGCTTTCGGCATTATCCCTCAGACATTGAATTATTAATGATGTAGCCTTTTCTTGGAGTAGAAACGTGGTTGTTGGTTGAAGGATTTTGTGATATTATCATCATGCCCCACTTTACGGGTATTTGACGGAATATGGGGGCCAAGCTTTGATGAGGTATGCCGTCCGCTACACTTGTAGGTCTTCTTCGAGGGGCAGAATATGTCCATGGAATTGATGTGAAGCCAGTGGGGGTGAGTTGAAGTTTGATTGGTAATAGATATATGACTTTTAAGGCTCATGATCCATTTAGCCGTGGTCACGCGTTGGTCGCCTCGTTGGGGTCAACGGATGGCGCAATACCCAAATAGCGAAGTGTCCTTTGATTACAAGGCCAGCCGTGAGGATGCCTTAAACAAGAGCCTTTTGGATAAAAGAAGTGGAATTGTGGTTAATGCTAAAGCGATACAGAATAATAAGCATGTTACTGTTCCCTGTCATGACGATCCGTCTCCCCACCAAAAAATATCATTCCATCGGCCCAGACAAAAGAAAAAGACAAAAGAAACACATCTAGACCAGGTCCACTTCATCAACATCGTAGACCAGATGACCCTGTCGCAGTCCTCTCTTGTCTGCACCAAAAACCCAGGAAAGAGTCATCGCCAGTGAGAATTGAACTTCCTTGAGCCACAAACCCCATGGGCCAGTCTTCTTTCGCACTTGAGCATTCTGTGCAGCCAACTTGAAAATCTCGTTGATGCGAGGTCGGCGAATTCGATCGTAGATCTCAAAGGCCTTCTTGAGTGGTCGTTCAGGGTCCTCAAGTAAACGCGAGAGCAAGAAAACATCCTCAAGAGCCATCGAAACACCTTGTCCAGCATGAGGGGACATTGCATGAGCAGCATCACCAAGCAGAATGCACCGGCCCCGGGACCAGACACCACCAGGCCGCAATCTGTAAACGGGATAGAAGTTCACGACCGAGATGCTGTCCACGACTTCCTTCATAGCAATTCCCCATTCACCCTTCGCGCTCTCCAGAGTTTCCAACATGGCGGACTTGAAGCCATCCACTTCTTCCTTTCTGTGCACCGCCCAGCCGTCGCGGCTATCCCCCGAGTTTGGGAGGCCGACCTCCTTGGAGAAGAAGCAGAACAGCTCATCTTTCCCTGCTGAGCATGGATTTACGGCAAGCATACCATCCTCGGTCAGAGTAGCGTCTAGGCCGGTGATCTGGGTTGTTGTCGAAGAAGATAGGATGCTGGTGGGAATAATAGATCCAAGACCCGACATGCCAGAGTACTCCAGGGTCTTTTTGGAATCGACGTAGGCACGTCGCACGAACGAATGGATACCATCACACCCGAACAACATATCAGCAGTATCGGTTGACCCATCTCCGAACGTAACATGCACACTCTCATCGCTCTCTTTGATAGTCGTCAACCGCATGTTGAAATGAATCGGGATCTTGGCCTTCTGCACCGCCCCCAGCAGGACATCCACCAGATCCGTGCGCTTGATGCGCATGTACCCAAAACCAGTCTGCTCTCGCGCCCAGCCAACGAAGTCCTGTTGAGCCACAATATGCCCCTGCATGGAATGCAATGTCAAGTTTGAGCTGATGAAGCCACGAGCTGCTGCTTTCTCGTAGACGCCCAGGCGGTCCAGGAGGCGTAGACCGTTGGGCTGAATACCAACGGCTCCGCCCAAAGTGGTGGGCTCTGCTCGTAACTCATAGATTGTGACTTGGATGTTGGTTTGCTGGTGTAGACGCAGCGCAGCTGCAAGGCCGGCAGGGCCAGCGCCGATGATGATTGCCTGGCAGTGGGTTAGCTCCGAGGTAATTTTTCTCGAAGGACGCATGGGAAATAAGGTACCTTTCGACTCTGAGGCATTCTTGGGGAATTGAGGTCAATTAGACTGGGTTGTTGAATCTGAATCTGAGGTCTCAGGTTGTGGAAAGCGCGCTTGATATACTTGCTGACGTCCTTCGAAGTCCGCGAAGACTACCCGATTGGGAAGGCCAGCCCGCGGAGTCCGCGGAGTAAGAAGGCAGCCATTTCTCAGCAAAAGCAGAAGCTGCGACTTTATGTGTCAGCCGGTATGTGTTCCTTCCAGATCTGTTGTTCCGCGCCAAAATAGAATACAAATATAAAACTTGAGTGGCTTTGTAGCTTTGTACTCCTGCGAAGGCGCTAGTCAGTTTGGGGAAATTGTTTCGAGCGGGTTCTACAGCCTCAGGAACCAAACAAATTTTCAACCCAACAGTTGCCCCCATCAACGAATTGGATAACGAAATGAGGTAAATGGTAGCGTTCCTTGTGAGGATTTGGTATTTGATTTCTTCTTTAGTCCTTTCAGGCGTAAAGCTTGCGTGGAGGAGGTAGTGGGCGGGATGCGGGGAGTCACGCACGTCTCCACGTCTCGTGCAAAGATGGACTAACGCGTATCATTCGCATTAGAGGTTCACATTCAAAAGTGGTAATTACGGGCAATTCAGACTAGGATGTTGTCCTTGTTATATATTTGTCGAGTGGTCATTTTGCCCATCAGATTGCCGCTGTTGTCTTCCCAGGATATGTTGTTGTGATCTGCCTTCCAGCATACAAGGATTACATGGCAACTCGGTTTAATTTGATGAATGCCCCATGGAAATTAATTGACTTGATTGATTTTGAAGTTTCTAGGCGTATTTATGTATGCAATTGAGAGCATGGGGGTAATGGAAGGTAGTAGATCCCTGTCTGTATCCGATACCTCACATGATGATCACCCAGAAATCAAGAAACCAAGGATGAGATGCAGAATGGCTTGCATATACGAGATAAATGACGGATAATACGCTTATGCCGCGGCTCTCATTTGGAAGCATCCGCCAAGGCCAGGTGTCCAGCTTTAGAATAAACTCGTAAGAGATACCATAGAGCCACGTGACTCTATACCCGATATTCTTCATTTGAGTCTTTATATTTTATCTATGAAATGATACATTATTCTAATCCGCTGGTGCAGTAGGACAAGAAGATGGTCTTCGGTTGGATGTTCGTTTCGAGTCTATACATTAAGGTGGAATCTGACAAGCGACTTAGCGCGAATGATTCAAAACTTCGTAGATCGCATATTTACTCCAAAGGCTGACTAGTTTTCCTCGACTGAAGTTAATTGTATTATTTTTCATCAGCCATCATAGAGTCCAAGGTGCATCAGCTTACAGTCCTCATACTGCCTCAATGCACGGAGGATTGCCTGCGCCTCCTATCTTCCTCCTTTCTACAAGTTTGACTCCACGGTCCACTGCAATTTCCACACTATGGGTCCGAATTTCACAGCAAGGTTTGGCCAGCAACTGTAGATACCATTATGAGCCAAATTGTGGACCATGGTAGTATCTTTCGTCGATGGAGAAGACCATTAGGGCCCTGTAAGAAATTTGGTGATAACCAGCTCATATGAACCGAGTGTGATTTGCGTCTTTATGATTGGGAAATAGGGAATATTGGCAGTAAGTTCGAAGACCGCACACAGATCCATAGTTGGTAACATCAATTTTAGACAGTTTAGTGGTTGACTTCTCGTATTATTTCTTCCTCTTCTAATCGACCTTCTCGAAAACGTCAACTCTTGGCGAGTCACAAATATGTCAAGGTCCCACTATGTACAGCCGACAGCCAATCATAGCGCGTAGTCACGAGATAGTGGAGCCAGGGAATTTGGAATTTGAAGAAGCACACATACGATCACGCATAAGGTTGCGGGAATTACAGCTCTTCCATTGCCTGCATGGGTTGCCTAACTGCACGGTCCTGGGTCCGAGCGACCCCTGGCCACAGATCCCAAGTTCCCGCCAGAAAAAAAAAGACACTTGGGTACAGAGAGCTCCAACCTCTTCCACCACACACCTTCCCCTTCAACTCTCCCCATGAGGATATGTGTGCGGTAAAGAGATGCACGAAGAAACTTCGCCGGGAAGTCGTTGGAGAGTGAAAACATGATATAACTCGAACCCCGAAAGAAATGTACCTAAAAAACGCCTGAGTGATCCCAAGGGGGTATAAGAAGAAAAAAACGACTAACAAACATCTAGGTGCAGCAATGCAAGAGCAGACTGAAAGAACACCAAATCTCGAGACGTTTATCATATCATGGGACATGCAAAAGACACCAAAACGATGCTCAAGAGTCGAAAATTGGACCGAATGCTGGAACCCCGCGCGCTTCGAGTTCATACACGATTCGGCGAGTCAGTCCAGGGTTACTGATCACGCACACTGCTTCGGCATCGAATTCTGCGACCAGTCGCTGCACGATTGGGACCATATCAACTCGTCCCATCTGATCGGTATCCATGATGATTGGATTGTTGTCCATCCGGTGGACGAGGTCAATCACCCCCTGCCCGTAAGTCTTGAGCGGAGCGCGAGTCTGCCAGAGAACACGCAGCTCGGGGCGATTATCATCACCCAGGAAGGACAGACAGGGGCCAATACCTGATCCCGTCGTCACCACGATCACCTTCTTGAACACGCGCATGGAGTATGCAAAGCCATAGAGGAGCACGCCGCGTTTCCAGAAATGGGTGGGCGGGTTCTTGATCGTGTCGCTCGTCCAGTCACCAGCCTTGGACACCAGACATGAGAAGCTCGGCTTGCCACGTGTGCCCGCTGGACTGGGGTCGGGGAAGGTGGCAAAGCCATGCCAATCCCGCAGAGGGTGCTTGGCTAGTTGGGTGCCCTTGCCAAAGGTGGTGACGGCATGGTCGAAGTGCAGACGCACCGCATGGGTAGACAGGACCTCTGCGCGGACAGGGACCTTTCGCAACATTAACCATGGCTGAACGATAGCAGCTACCGTCAAGACCAAAAACCAGAATGCAGGCAACTTGACGAGGAACAGACCCAAGTTCTGCCCCTGCGCCTGGCTGATCTCATGGGCGAAGACCAACAACAAGGCAACAAACAAGCTCACAATAAGCCACCCCAAGAAACGGTGGGTGAGTTCGAAATAATCATGTCGCTTCATACGGAACGTGGGGTGAGCCACGACTATGATGGCTAGCAACAGCACGAGGATGATGTAAGCTAAGGCCACCGGAGCAGCTGAAAAGCTGACGGCCGTTGCAGCGCTAACGGACGGAGGCGTCCAATACTGACGCGACATAACTCCGACGAACCCTACGTACCAAATTAGGGCTGCAACGCCGCACCCGCTATGTACGCCACCATAGTGGTAGACCTTGGAGGCGATGCGGCGCAATACAAACGGCGCTGACCTCGGCACGGACAGGACAATGCGGAAGATGCCGTTGACAACGAGTGGCTGCCGGGCCAATCCACATGCAAGCAAATTGGCGGCGGTGGCATTGACCAAAGCGAGGAGCTTCTGGTTGGACACCATGACCCAAATGAAAACGCCAACGTTCGCGAAGAATACCAGCGTGAAGAGACGCCGATAGAGTGTGAGGATGGCATACCGCAAGGATGCAAATCGCTTTGGATCAGCACTGACGGTCTGTGCCTCAAGGTCGACGGTATGATTTGAGCCCGCATCGACAGATCCCATCTCTTGGAAGAGGACCTTCTCGAATACGTTGGCTTGTTCGCCATCAGTGAGGGTCACCTCACTGGGATTCGATGAGTTGGTTACCATCCTTGTCATGGCAGGCTTAGGCAGAGTGATGGGGGGTTTCTCCGAGTCCGACATGGCGTGGAGGTGTTGCAAGAATACAATAATTGAGTTCGAAAGATGACTGAATGCAAGAACGGGCGAGGGATTGGCAATTTGACTAGGACAAGACCTCATGGAAGATCACAAGCAGGCCAGCATGTGGATCATGAAGGTGCAGCAATGAACGGAAACGAATGATGAAAGGATTCTAGTACTCGGCCCAACGAACAGGCGTGTGCTAGTGAGCGAGCCGGTGGATAGTGGAGATGCTGTCCAGCTGTGATATCCTCCCCAGTCATAGGCTGAGAAAATGAGGAGAAGATGATGATGGGGAAATGCTCTCCTGGGACTTGACGCTTCGGTTTCTCCGTCTCTGGCGGTCCTATCATCTTTATCACTATCCCAGTCGCTTCCTTTGTCCCGTCTCATTCTACATCCTGAATCCCTTTCAGACGCCCCTGCAATACTCTCTTTCGATTCCGGTCGAAATCGGATCAGATGCAGAAAGCGTAATATTCAGTCACCGGACGATCATCCTCAGATGCTTCACAAACCCCTCTCAATGGCTCCTCCCCTTGCGGATAGTGTGCATCCTGGCTTCCAAAGTTCAACAGTTGTATGACACCATCATGCCGGCTCACATCCCGCATCAACTAGCGGGAATGGGCCATTGCCAATGAATGCGCATGTTGGACCTCCTCTACCGTCCCTCAGCTCACCCTTGACCCCCGGACGAACGGCCCTGATGTCCGGATGGGGTTATAATGGGACCCGCTATGTCTAGGATAGTGTCGAATGTGGGCACTATCCTCAAGAGGCATGGAATAGACGGGATGGACCGGAATGAGAAACCATGTCAACAAGGCTCCATCGTTCGCCCAACGAGATGTAACCCAATCACGACTCCTGCTCTATCTGATCATTGACTGAGGGCCAGGCCTCAACGGACAACTTGCTTTATTGCCATGCAAGTTGCCACCAGTATCTCGTTCCTACATGGTCCTGTTGCATATAAGCGACCCTCGCGAGAAGTGGCTAATGCATGATGACCCAATAATGTCCATGGCAAGGCTTCATTGCCTGGACGATCCCGGTCACAATGAACAAGCCCCGCCGGGCGAAGCCAAATCCCTGGGAGCGGGGGTTGGTTGTTCTCGTCAAAGGAAATTACTAAAAATGACCATTATCAAAGCAAATCTGATACAATGAGGTTATCAGTGCCTTCGTCACCGAGGCTGTTTCCGCCCTCCTCATGTGCCTCGCATCCCTGCAATGCAAGTTACTTTTTTTTCTTTTTCTCCTGCGCGGTGCGGTAGATCCTTGCAGCGGGGGGAAACTCGGCACCCTTCCAGATTCAATGCGACCAGACCCAATTTCATGGGAAACAGGGCGTAAATCCCAGGAAACGCAGTGGACCTTGTGCTACACCACGAGCCTGGAAGGGGGGCGCATTGCATCCGTTGTGGCGCATCCTTATCGCTAGTTGATCCAGATCTGAGCAGAGAAAAACAGACTTTTGTCTCATTCTCAGCTGGCATTTGGGATTGTCACACGGAATGGAGAACTTCAGGACTTTTGATCTTGAAGATGCCCCACCTCAGGCGGGCCGAAAGCCCTTTGGAATGTCCTGCAACCGATTGAAGGGGGAAGGTAGAAAAAAAGAGATACTATCGGACGGAGCATCGAGGCCCATGAGACCCACGGATCCTGTGGACGGAAGATCAGCCTTTCGTACCCTGGTTGAGACTGTCAAGCTAAACATGACATGAGTGGGGGTTAGAACACATTGATGCGTTTGCATTTGTTCATTGGTGGGAGACGGGACGGGATTACAGCTGTGCACTACATCATCGAGAAAAGCGGTTGGGCCGCACTCTCCCCGGTTCCGCTAACTAACAACAATCCCTGTCTGGCGCCATCCGAACAGCACGGAGCAGCCTCGTCTCGTGGGGAGAGGGGTAATGTCCATTCAACTAGCGGCCAATGGTAGTGGGCGCTGCGAGGGAGGACTGCAGTGAGCGACCGACGTGCCGGTCCTCATGCGGGCTCGCCGCAATTTTTGGATGAGTTTAGGTTATGGGGATTTGCAGGCATGCGATCTGCTGCCTTGTCGATCTGCGATCCTCGATCGGGGCCCCTTCCGCTCGATGGAGACCCATGATGGGTTCCAGTGGTGGTAGTAGTAGTGCTGTAGCACAAAAGTACGTAGTAGTGATTTTCCGATGGCCCGTACACCCGAGGCAAAGCAATGTAGCAACCCTGCTAGTGTCAGAGCCTCGAAGGCCAGCTGTAATCGTACGAGACCAGTGATCCGAGCCTGTGGCTCAGCTGGTGTTCAACAATGCATGCCAGGCGACGATCCGTCGAATCAACGAAGAAAGGGGCCCGTGGCGCGAGTGTTGCGCCACTAGTGTCAAGTCTTGTAGGGTTAGCGCCGAACTACTCTAGTGGAGACCGGACGAACCTGTTCGCGATCGAGTGTGTCCACCCGTCCAATGACACATACACTCGAGAAGGTTGAACTGATTTGCAATATTGACCCAATGGTCCTTGTTGCGATATTGCTGAATCCGGAAATCCGGATATCTCAACCCCATTCTGGAACTGTCTTGATCCTTTTCTTCGCTTGTGATTTCACATTCATGGTCTGATGATCCTGAGAATAATCACCAGCATGATGAGATAGCCGAGGACGGGTTTCCTCGAAAGCCCTTTGACAAATTCTAGAAAGTATAGAGTGGTGGACCAGTCAAAAAGAAACGGCTGACAGTTCCTGCATGAAGGTGATTGGGTGGAACTTTTGGAACTCCCAAGGATGCGCTTATGTCAGCACGAAGTATTCCAAATCAGCCCTCCACCGACTTGTGGCAGGATCGCGCTTGCTTCAGGAAATCAAATTGTGTCAAATTGCTGTCTAATTGGAACTGGGCTCCGCTACAAGTCCCTGGCTAATATAAAACCCCATGGCAGGGATCCCTCTTTGTTGGCCCCCCACTATGTCCGGTGCTGTCTTCCTTTCATCCCGCCTATTCCCTACTTTCGACGGCGACTACTTCTTTTTTCCACATATATAAGACCTTATCGGAGTCCTCCTGAATATTTCTCTATACACAATGGGATACTGGAATCCCAACATGGCCGTACCGGCAGGTACCGCCGCAGATCCATTGCTGCACCAGGATTTATATACAGACCTTTTGACCTTTACATTCTGTGGTCCGACACCCTATAACCCAAACCAGCCACTATTTATCGATGCTGAGGATATTTCTCGTTCCTTTACCGCAACACAATTCCGACAATTAGTCCGGACTTTGATCACTGGTTTTAAGGCGCATAATGTGCGACAGGGAGATTGTGTCCTGCTGCATTTGGGAAATAGTGTAAGTGAGACATCATGCCTATCCGGCCATTCGGACTGGTCGAGAATCAGAAAAGGTCTTCGGAGATTATGCAATGCTGACTCGGCCTGGTTGAATATCGCATAGATCCTGTACCCTGCCCTGTTCTTCGGCATCATCGGCGCCGGAGGTGTCTACATGGGCTCGAATCCTCGCAGCCAGCAACAAGAATTGGACCATATCGTTGGCCTTGCCGAACCCAAATTGATCCTCACAACTCGCGACGCCTTACCAACGGTTAGAGAAGTTGCGACTGCCCGTGGAATTGCCCCAGAACAAATATGCGTAGTCGATGATCGTGCCGTCGACCATTGCGCCCAGTTGTTCCTGTGGTACGAACTGGGATATTCGGCGGGCACGGATTTCTTTGCCAACGCTGGTGGCGATAATGGGCGCAACCTCAATTTTGCCAATATGCTCTGCTATGGTGAAAGTGACTGGATGATGTTCACGGATCCCATGTCGGCGCAAAACACACCAGCTGCCATGTTCTCGACTTCAGGAACGGGAGGTCTGCCCAAGGCGGCCATTCTGTCGCATCATGCCATCGTGTCCCATCATCGATCGATTCAATACGACGTTCCTTACCCCGTCAGCCGCTTGATGTCCCTTCCCATGTTCCATCTCTTTGGCGCATTATGGACTCACCTTTTCCCGGTTCGCTATGGCCACCCGCTCTTTGTCCTGCCGCGCTTTGAGACAAAGCAGTTCCTGGCCACAGTCCATCGATTCCAAATCTCCGAGACGTACTTAGTCCCGGCTATAATCCATACTATCAACCGCTCCCCATTGCCAGTCTCCGACTATCTTGGCTCACTGCGCTACGTGGGTGTAGCGGGAGCTCCCATCGACGGTCCGTCGATGGTGCAGTTCCGAAGTCGTCTCCACCCCATGGCATATGCATGCCAGCTGTGGGGTATGACTGAAGTCGGTGTGACTTTCCAAACCCGCTATGGTCAACATGGAGATCCTGGCAGTATTGGGACTTGCCTGAGAGGATACGAGGTGCGCCTTGTAGACCATGATGGTAATGTTGTACGGAGTGATGAGCGTGCGGGTGAACTCCACGTGCGGGGTCCTGGCTTGCTCTTGGCATACAAGGGCCGCACAGATGCGAAGGATGCTCAGGGCTGGTACCGTACTGGCGATGTGGCTTTCATGAAGCAGGGTCATTACTTTATCGTAGGACGGACCAAAGAACTCATCAAAGTGCGAGGGTAAGCTCTACCTGTCCATTCCACCGGCACTCTATCTCCATCCTGTATCAGATATACTAACTGTCTCTATAGATGGCAGGTTGCTCCAGCTGAGGTTGAAGGTGTCTTGCTCCGGCATCCCGGGATTTCCGATGTAGCTGTCACTGGTGTGAATTTGAAGGACGGTAGTGGCGAAGTACCCCGAGCATTTGTGGTACGGTCGCGCGATCCATCTGTGAGCCGGTTGACGGCGGAAGAAGTATATAACTTCGCCCGTCAACATCTGGCCAGTTACAAATCGCTAGACGGTGGTGTGGTCTTTGTGGAAGAGATTCCCCGTACGGCGAGTGGTAAAATCCAGAGATTCAAGCTCTCGCAGATGAATGACTACAGGGAGATGGTTGCATCATTACTCCAACGCTTCGAAGGCGAAGGCACCTCGGCACTGGCTCGTGCACTACCTACAAGTGCGGACGTTCCACCCGTCGGCGTTGCTTGAAGGTGTGTCGTTGTCTGACGAAACAGTCCAGTGTCAAATTTCTCTCTGCATTTCGGAGGTCTCTGACATTACACTTTTCTCGCGTTGTTCGTTCAATTTTGTTGTCAAGGATCCGGTGTTTGTGGGAATTATCGTTGGTGTTGGGTCTGTGACGGGCGTTTTGAAGACTCAATCCTCTACTTTTGCTATTTCGGGCGGCTTATTGGCAAGCATGGCCGGGTGGGTGCTTTTGTTTTTTGACATGTTCCTTACGATATTTACGCGCACGATTCTATAATCTAGAACTATACCAGCCACCTCGGCGGATCGAATCTCGGCAGTCCTATAAATCAAGAAATACCAGATCAAGTGTCCAAAAGCAAATATTTCATCGGTGTACAACTCATGAATCTATTCCATAACACTACGTATTTTACCCCTCCCTCTAGCCACACAATAACTGCCCAAATTGCCCAATAATACATGCATGAAGAAGGTGGGGACAAAATAAGCAATTATAAGCCCTGGCACACCGCACTCTCACTGACGACGTGCCATCCACGCGGCCCTTGTTCGGGCGCTGATCCGCCGAGATCGAAATCGTGTGTAACCTGAGCCAGGGCCCCGGTTCCTGCATCCAGGATCCAGGATATCCTCACCTGATTGCTTTTCAATTTTCGCGTCATACTCTGGTGGGCAAGTTGTCCAGGTTTTTTTTAACTGATGGATGCCCTTGCGTCTTATCTAGTGGAGAGCGTCGGTGTTGCACAAGGGCGATATTGGCATTCGGAGATTACCTAAGCCAGTGGTCAGCTGGTAGTTGGAGTAGATGCGATCGATCTCGTTCAGAGTTAGCTGGCCCTTGCATTTCAATGCAGCTTAAACTAGGGCTGGTATATTTGTCCCACCGATGCCAATAGTTCTCTCCAGCGCCGAACAAAAGTCCTCTTTCAACTACCAAGACCAGACCGCCTATAGTTAAGCTGAAGCCCATCTTGTTAGGTAACTTCCAAAGGAGGCCCGAAGCTCTTAGTCATAGTCATGCGGGGACTCATTCCTCTTAGGTACAGCTCAGTCTTAGTCCAATGGGTCACCTTTCATCTTTCTAACTCAGTCACAGTTCTGGGCTTGAAATTTCTCGAGTCTTTTATTTAGTTATGGGCTGGCCAATCGGCGACCGACAACCGGTTATCACGTGCTTCCAACCAGGACTCCGCCCACCTACCTAGGCTGGACCCGACCGCTCATCCTGCTTAGTCATATAGCCTTTATGCCTGAGACTTTAGGCAGCTAGAAGGAGTCTATTGTCAAAGCATTTGAGTAAGAACTAAACTCGAATATCTGGTATCATAGATATTGTTGATATGACAATAGAAATGACTTTGCTCCATAAATTTTGAGCGATAAGCCAAAACGTGGCGTCAGCCTCTTCCTCCCCCGCGCGATATGGTTCTGTGGAGGAGATAATTGCCTCGTACATGTGGGATCTCTCCCCGACGATTGATTAAGTATTTCGCAGAGAAACTTAACCAAGTGAACTTTTGCGCTCTTCATGTATCTCAGAGAGCTCTAGGTCTTTGAAAGGTGTAATTTCTACTTTTCAGCAGCCATTTCGATTTTCTTTTTGTCATGGAGGATGGAAAGGGTATCATTTAATGTGGTTTATTCAGTCTAAAGGAAAAGGTCTGAGCTTCCGTATCAAGGAAGTATGTTTGTGTATGCGGCATTTCTCTGGCTCCTCTTATTCACGTTTCCCTAATCTCATACCCTTGCCTAACTTCTCACTCCAATTGGTTCGTTCCCACGTGCATTTTGACATGCTCTACTATAGGCTTTGTGTAGAGATAAGAGATGAAAACCATGAATCCCAAAGGAGCAATTAGTAGCTGAGCTTAAATACTGAGCAGCCCCCGTGTACTTCACAAGGGATTGAACCACCTATAGCAGGACGCAGGACTAGAGAAAAGCCAATATGTCTACCAGCACCGAGGATGAACCTCCAGAAGATCGCATGATGGATATCCATCCTACATCCAGCGCTGGTGGCGTTTTTTCTTCTCGTGCAACCCAACGCAAGGTTCACATCCATGCAAACAGAGCTACAAACACAAAAGAGATGGACCTGGAGGTTGCATCCGTCACGGATTCGCCCGAGATGGAGGAAAGAGACTTTCACAGCAAGCAGGTAACTTGGAATTATCTGCATTCTAGCGTCACGGAGTATACTGATTATCTGAGGATAGGTTTTCAAAGGATGGACTCTAGCATGGTTGGTGTCTCCAATTCCCAGAATCAGCTTATCCGCTCAGTGCTTACTCAATGCTTCATCATACATAGGCTCGCTTATCAGTCACTCGGAGTGATCTATGGCGACATTGGAACAAGCCCTCTATATGTCTACTCGTCTACATTCAGCAGTGAACCTAGCTATGAAGATATCCTCGGCGCAGTGTCATTCGTCATCTGGGCTCTCACCATCATGGTTACCATCAAATATGTTTGCATCGTGCTCAATGCAGATGATGAGGGCGAAGGAGGAACATTTGCTATATACTCTCTCTTGTCAAGATATGTATGTTATGCAGCGATCTCGCTTGAGAACTCCACTGACATGTTCAAATCACGCCTAGGCAAGACTTGTTCGACACGACCCACGCCACACCAATCTCCTCAAAATGCAGCGGTATAACACTAACGACCTGCAAAAACCGAATCGAATGGCTCGTGATATTATGGAGAAAAGCGCAGTCATCAAATGGACGCTCAAGGTCGTCGGTGCATTTGGAGTGTCACTGCTTCTTGCAGGTAAGCAAACGCTATTACCTGGAAATATATAGGTCCACTTCACTAATGTCTATATTTCAGATGGAGTTTTGACCCCTGCGCAGTCTATCCTTGGGGCGATTCAAGGGTGAGCTTTGCTTGACTACCTATGACAAAATAACCCCTCCAAAACTGAATATTTTTAGCATTACTGTCGTGAACCCAAACATCTCTTCCTCCACCGTGGTTGGCGTATCATGTGCAATTCTGGTCCTCATTTTCGTGATTCAACCATTTGGAACCAGCAAGATTGCAAGCGGTTTTGCTCCAATCGTGATATTGTGGATGTTTTTCAATCTCTCGTTTGGAATCTATGTAAGGCGGAAGCAAGACACAATCGAAATCTGAAAGGAAGCGATGCTAATCTCTTACTTTATTCTAGAATCTGGTCATGTATGATGCGTCCGTGCTCAAGGCATTCTCTCCTTACTTCGCGGGCTCGTTCTTGATGCGCAATAAGAAAGACGGATGGTTACAACTAGGAGGAATCTTGCTCGCCTTCACCGGTGTTGAAACCTTGTTCGCAGACTTGGGAGCGTTTAGCCAACGGTACGTGTACGCTTTCGGTACAATAGCCTCGGATTTACTCACAATTCATGCAGGGCAATCCAAATCTCGTGGCTCTTTTTCGTCTATCCATGCCTTCTAATCTCGGTTAGTTCCCACGGTACAACCCACACAGGACGGGAAAAATATTCTAACTGCCCCTTCCTAGTATATCGGCCAAGGCGCTTATATTAGCCGAGTGCCCAGCGCATATGCGAATCCGTTCTATCTCACTGTCCCGCCTGGTATGCTATATCCAAGCCTCGTGGTGGCAATCCTAGCGTGTATTGTGGCAAGCCAGGCCGTTATTACTGGATCTTTCCAGGTATGTGAATCGCCACCTCTACTTGATCAAATATATAACTCCTCTCAGTTGCTTTCCCAAATCATGAAGTTATCCTACTTCCCTCAGGTGAAGGTATACCATACTTCAAAGAAGTTCCACGGGCAAGTGTACATTCCATTAGCCAACTGGCTCATGATGATTGGAAGCATCATTGTGACAGCCGTCTACAACAATGTATGTGCTCATTAACTTCATTTGATATTGAATATTGATCTCACTGACTCTGCTATAGACAACTGCCCTCGGTGAAGCCTACGGAGCATGTGTCATACTCGTCTCGTTTCTCACAACCTGCATGGTAACAGTTGTTGCACTCATTGTATGGAAGCTACCCGTGTATCTGGTTTTTCCCGTGTTCCTTATTTTCGCGCTCTGGGATGGAATGTTCCTCTCAGCCGCCTTGAGCAAGGTTCCACATGGTGCATGGTTCACGCTGATGGTAGCTGTGGTATTAACCTGCATTTTTGTCCTCTGGCGGTATGGAAAGGAGGAGCAATGGAAAGCAGAAGAGTCCGATAACACACCTCTATCCCGGACGACTGCGTTGAGAGAAAACAAACTCGTCCTAAAGGATGGATCGGGAAATTCTACCATTACCCCAATCAGTGGGCTGGGAATATTCTTCGATAAATCCGGCAGCTCGAATAATACACCGACTGTTTTCCTCCACTTCCTACGGAAATTCAGCGCAGTACCTGAGGTGTCCGTGTTCCTTCATCTACGTCCCCTGTCTATGCCCACCGTGGCTCCTGAAGAACGATATTCAGTCACTCGTTGCTACACATACGGCGCCGGTCCGGGCAAGCAAGCCATTCCGAATTGCTACAGACTGATTGTCCGCCATGGATATACGGATGAAATAGTGACACCCGACCTAGGAATTCTTGTTCTCGATCTTGTTCGGGGCTATTTGACCTCTCAAAAGACTTCCAGATCACCAGAGAGTGATACGGAAAGATTGAACACTCTGCATCGAGCTTGGAAGTCTCAGGTCATCTACATCGTGGGAAAGGAGCAATTGAAAATTCCGGCAAAGACTAACTTCCTCCGTCGTGGCTTCCTCTGGGCATTTTTGTGGTTGCGAGATGCTAGCCGAACTAAAGTTCAACATCTGAATGTCGAGACCGACAGGGTGGTTGAGGTTGGCTTTGTGAAGGAAATCTAAAGCTTCTTTCGGCTTTGATCTTTTGGTCAGGAAGGATTCGTTATTTGAAATTAATTAGAAGTCAGACAGATGGTTTCAAGTTTTCACTAAGACGTGGATGCTAAAGTGCCACAAGTTGGCTAATTACCTTCCTTGGCTGAAGAGATTATCGATTCTGCTCATGCCATAACATGGCGGGGCTTATCCAGCTACATTCAATTAAAGCACCCTATATCCTTTCTCTTCCAAGAATAGGTCATCACTGAAAATTTTCTTCTTCGTGATCTGCTCACTCATGACTTGATAGGATCTTTAAATGCTAGAGAGGAGAGGAAATGAGTCTTAATTGGGTTCAATTTGAAGTAATAATGTATTCAGCGAGAATTATTAGAGACGGTGAGCGTTACTACTGCAACTATTGGTTTAGTAGTTCCGAGATTGGAATCTGGAAGCGATCTAGGAGATAGATGACGTGTTTTCTTGGCGCTTTCGGGCACCAGCCGATTTCGGGATTTGCCCACTTTCCTCGTCGGCGATTTTCGTGCCGACGGACCTCAACCTCCGAAGTCTGAACTAGACCGCATGAAATTGAAAAATGAGCCTGGCAAACGAGAGCACCGAGTCTCCAAGGAAGAGACAAAAAACGCTATCGTGTCAAAGATGTCGTTCTCGAAAACAAAGGGTACCTTGGACTGATCACGTTTGGGCGCAGTTGACGAGCTAACCATCATATATTGTAGTGCAGTGACACACGGCCATGCCATAATTGCATCACGGCAGATCAAGGTTCGAATACAGTCCCACATCACATGAGATATTCTTAATAATGTCTTTATGTAGAATGTATATCCAGTGAGCCTGTGTCTCGAAAATCTCGAATCAGTACCGAGTGAGTGACGTTCCCATCGGTATAGATATCTCTTGGCTAATGTTAATTCTTATAGATATACTAGATCCCTCGAGGAAAAGATCGCCGAGCTTGAGGCTCAATTACCACGGACCCACCAGGCCGAGGCCTTTCACTCACGCCGGCAGGTTGTGTTCCAGCCTTCTACAGGCGATAGTCCAGCCTTATCCACTGAGGCGGTTAGGTGTGATGAGCGTGCCATATCCGAGCCAGAAGGGAATTGTGTGCCATTACTTGGATCCCAGAGAGACTCTTCGGATAATCTCGGGTCAACAGAGGGACTCTGTGAGACTGAAACAGAGCGAGCTCAGCAACTTTGTGTTCCTGTTTGCACATCCATATCTAATATCTCAGTTTCTTCTCCACTGCATTCCACCGGCCTCATTGGATCACCAATTTTCGGCGATAAATGCGGGCACACAAGTCTCCTCACTAGTATACTAGCGACTCTTGCCAGGGGAAGTCCATGTGGGATCTCTGCTCATGGAGATCGTGCCTTACGGAATGTTTATCTGTCTCCACACATTACAACCCAGCTGCTAAACCCAGATCATTCCATCCGACTTCCTTCCGAGGTCGAAGATGCGCTTGTCAAGATATATCTGGAAAGAGTCAATCCTCGATATCCCTTCCTTCATGTGAGCACTTTTCTGGAATGGTACGAGACTTGGAAAGCTCGTCCGATGGAACGCCTTGCAGGGGAACAAAATGAAAGATGGAAAGACTTTTTTGTTAAAATGGTACGCCCGTTGAGTAATTTCTGCTTGTGTGTCTCAGATTGCTCATCTTCACCCCAGGTCCAAGCAGTCAGCATCCTCCTAACTCCCCAAGTATCTCAGAATGATATCGCCACCTCGCAGGTACGCTAACCAGAAAGGAAATTCAAAAAAATAATTTCTAACAATCTAGGTTCTTTACAATACTGCCATGAAATATCTATCTTTTGTTTTCACTCATCCGGATCCCGTTCTCCACGTTCAAGCGCACCTTCTCCTGACATTACATGCCCTTCATTCTCCGTCTTCTCAAATGATCATTACCATGGTAGCGGCGACTATGCGGCAGTGCGTTATTAGCAGTCTACATTTATCGGAATATGAGCCGAAGGCTTTGTTTCCAGAGTTCTCGCAAGAAGTGCAAATTCGTCGCAGAGTGTTTTGGTCCGCTTACGCAATAGACCGACTTATCAGTTGGATCTACCACATCCCTAACAATTTGACTGATGAGCACATCACTGTGGAGGTATGTCTGGAATTTTCTTCCTACGCTCTACCTCGCTGACGAGAAAAGCTTTTCTCAAATGTAGATGATGCAAGTCTCGCCCAAGACACTGCCAACTTGGCAGAACCACCCACTCGGGATTTGCTTCAAAGAACTCGTATATCGCCAGCCTTGCACCTCATACGTTGCAGATGCATTCAGTCTCGAATAATAAACACCATTCTACGGTCAGATTTTCACCAAATCAATTCATCTTCCGCATGGAGAGAGCACATGTTAGAAGAATTGGAGACGTGGAGAACTCAGGTTCAACGATTGAGTCACAGAGCTAATCGAGGGTACTTGAGCGACCGGTGGGTTGGTATGGCTTACAACTACACGATCGCATTGCTACACCAACCTACCAAAGATAATGTCTGCAATGGCTTTGGCGACCGGTCGGTTTCAGCTTCCGTTAAACTTGCATTGACATTTCGAGCCTTTCAGAAGGATCGACAAACAGCTCAGCTGTGGCCCGGGGTAGGTTCGTTCTGAGCAATTAAACACGATCGACTCGCTAACTCTTCTATCAGCTTCTGAGTCAGTTCACAGTTGGCGTCACGATTCTCTATTGCTTCTGGGCAACGCCGCCAGCATATCGTACACCCGCATATCGAGCCACAGAAGTTTCGGAAGCACTGCGGGCTTGTTCGACTGCGTTGGCCATTCTTGCTGAGCGCTGGACGCAAGCCGAACCTCTGCGTGATGTCTTTGATATTCTCGCAAAGGAAATTCCAACGCATGAAGGCCCTGATATGAGTCTTTCTTCGAAACACATAACATCGGATTCGGTCGTGCTGATTAAATCGCACATGCGTGCGATACAAGAGATCTCGAGGAATCGAGTGGTACTTCGCATGTTGCAAGAAATTATGGAAGATGACTTTCCGTCCAGTCCACAAGACTATCTGCAGCAAACAGACTCTCCAAGAGGGAACCATCTGTGCTCTGAACATTGCGCGATGTTCCATGGGACAGCATTTTTTGACTCAATGATGAATCTGAGCTCTGACACTCACAATGTCACAGGCAGCGAAATGAACGAGGCATACACAACGTTTGACGATACGATTATATTTCCTGCGTTGTTTGGCTCAGCCGAGTTCTAAAATCTCAAAGTGCATGAGTTGGGGGTGGAGCCTCCTTCGGGCATTCTGGCCCCGACGCATCGGAATGTTCACGCCGATGATGACTCGAATGGTCAGATTCTTTTATCCACCTCGGCACTCGTGTTCACCGTATCTTTTTCTTTCTATAAATATAGAGTCTATCGGTACTTGCAAGTCTCAAACTTCTTGGGATTTTTTTTTCTTCTTTCATAACACAATGCCTCAAAAGTTGAAGGTTGCCGTGGCGCAGGCCCGCACTGGCCCCTCCCTCTCCGCTACTCTCTCTGCGTTGGAGCGCATTACTCGCAATGCAGCTTCCCAAGGGGTGAGCCTCGTGCTTTTCCCTGAGGCATACCTCGGAGGTTATCCTCGTACCTGTGATTTTGGAACAGCAGTTGGTGCTCGTGCTCCTCATGGACGAGAGCAATTCTTGCGATATTTCCAAGATGCCATAGATCTTGGAGATACGCCCGCAGGTGCTGGAGATGACTGGGTGGAAAGAAAACTGCCCGTTGCTAGGGGATCTGATCGTCGCGGCGATGGCACGAGAGAGTTCCTTGAAAAGGTTTCTCGCGAGACCGGTGTCTTCATCGCTACGGGTGTGATTGAGAAGGCCGGTGGTACTTTGTACTGTTCGGCGCTTTACGTGGACCCGACCTCGGGTGTCTTGGGAAAGCGACGAAAGGTGATGCCGGTAAGTTTGCTATAGAACAAATTTATAACAGTTTCTCTGTGTACGGCTCACTCACTGCGTTAATAGACTGCTTCTGAGCGCCTCATCTGGGGCCAGGGCTCGCCGTCTTCTCTAAAAGCTGTCACGACCGTTCTCAATGGAGTGAAGCTTACCATCGCTGCTGCGATTTGCTGGGAAAACTTCATGCCTCTCCTTCGACAGAGTCTGTATTCTCAGAACGTGAACATCTACCTTGCTCCAACTGCCGATAGCCGAGACACATGGCTCCCTCTCATGCGCACAGTTGCTGGTGAAGGTAGGACTTTCGTCCTCTCTGCGAACCAGTGTGTCCGGTACCGCGAGTTGCCACCATGGATTACCGATCATGCTGAGAAGGAAGGAACTGCACTAGAAGGTATTAGTATCTACTATTTATTCTCGTAATCATCAAGCTAATTGGTTTGACAATACAGGAGACCAGTACATTGCTCGTGGTGGATCAAGCATTGTTGGCCCCTTGGGAGAAGTCCTTGCCGGTCCTGTCTGGGAAACATGTGTTGACGATGCACTCGAGTCTTTAGAATCGGGAGAATTCTCTGATAAGGAAGGCCTCCTAATTCAGGAAATTGATTTGGAGGATTGTGAGCGAGGCAAGCTTGATCTTGATGTTGCCGGAAGCTATTCCAGGAGCGAGTTCAAGCTGACGGTAGAGGGACTCGACTTGAACCCTCCTCCTTTTTGATTTGATCTTACAGCCCTGGAATGACCCAAAACTAGTTTTGCAGATGTATCATATCGATGGATGTAAAGAAGCCTCATATGGATGAGGCCGTGAAAACCCCCAACAGCAGTTCGCATCAAATGTCCAATCTTCTGGGTGCCGGCGATTAACGGCATCATCATATTGTATTCATAACTGGTGTGATATTCGCCAGTGAATCAATTGAACAGACTTGAATGGATCCTAGTTAGTGACCCCCGCCTAGGCGTTTGCACAAAGAAGAATACCTCGGCGCTGGGTTCTAAACTAACTTGATGAGCCACTATGCATGGCAATAAACCCCATTTTGTCATTTTTCTCTCGATTTGGAATGTTTGAGAATTCTACAGTATTCGAAAATCTATGAAGAACCGGTGGTTATGAAGATGGTATGGCGCACCCATCGGGAGCGAGCGGGTCACAGCGTAGACCACGATTTCCCTTGCTTGGAGCGAGATTCCACCACCCAAACATTATCGTGTTTTCATATAACGTGATTCCCGCCCGAGTGAAACACTATTTCGTTCATATCGCGCCCCGGCAATTGTGGGGCTGAGCTGCTGACAAGGCTGATCAGGTTGGCAGATGGATATGTGATGGTGGTTCTTTGCTTTTCTTTCGGGGACCAATTGGATTGAGTCATCGCCCTCGACTGCCTATTACAGTAATTCCGCTTTAGATCCAAATGATATAGGTCGAAACATGAAAATTACCGTATAAGCTCTTATGCTTCTCAGGCATCACAACCTCGTCATTTACTTCTTCTCACCCGCCCATATCATCTTCTTATACTATAGGCATTGGTTCATGCTATGAGCGGCAGGATGACCTGCTTGTAATAGTGGTCCGAGAATTAAGTGCTTCCATTGCTCCTGGCGACATCGTACCCGACGCTCTAAACCAGTCTACTCGCCTCGCAGTCCATACATACCAGGTCAGCCACCTAACCCTTCGTTACGGAGCATACTGTACCTCTCACCTAGACAACGTGAAACCAGGATGGGTGCCAGAGGTGGTACGATGCTCAATTTGAGTGGTATGTTCTATTATAGAGCCCAGCCTGACGAAGCAATAGGCATCACTAATTAATCTTGTCGCTGGGAGGTTTGATGGGACGGATCACGATACGCCTGCACAGTCGGTGGAGGTATGGGAAGAAATATTTTCTTTGATCACCATATATTATAGCCTTATTATATAGTGATAGCGACAAATAAATGCTAGTTCATCCATGGCTTCCCAGCAACAGCATTACTATAATACTGCCTATACGCAGCCTCCGCTGCTGGCCCCGCAGCCTTCGCTTGAGAATACGAATGATAATTAGGCCCTGTCATATTCGCCCCATGATTCGTGTTGTTGGGGTCATGGTACGCCACAATGTTATGTTGAGGATTCCCCGATTCATGAATGGAGCGCATAGGACCAGGGCTTTGCCCTGGAGCCCATTTGCCTTGTGCTGTGATGGGGAACTCCTGGAGGGTTGCTCCTGGTCTTGGTGTAAGCAGGCCCGTCAGGTCCTGGAGCTGCTCCCGATTGTGGAATTGCTTGGGGTAGCCTCGGCCGGTAGAAGGGGGTGTGGAGTCAGCATGTTTTGCGGTGTCGTCGGCGTGGTCTCTGGTGGTGTAGCGTAACGAGTGATTTTGCGGCAGACCTGAGAGGGAGTACTTTATATTCAATATTAGCAGTTGAATTGATTGCACGGGGATGGGGATGCGTAGTTGGGGACGCATACAATGGACTTGGGGGTGGTCATTTTCTGATCTCGATGCTGGGTTATAGCTGGTAACAGTGATAGTGATAGTGATACACGTGAAGTGCTGCGCAGATTGCTTTACAATTTGAGATTTCCCAAGGGCAAGGGGTTTTTATATACGCCCGACGTCTCTCGATCAGAAACCTTTGAGATTGCTTTCGCGGCCCAATGAATGCTTGCTCAACAAAGACTGTGTTGACATAGTTACAGTGTTAGACAGCCACGATATAAGGAAAGGTCGACACTGGAAACCATTGGTAGGAATTTGTGATGAACTTGCAGCAAAAGCAGTCAGCAATTCTCGATCGACACAGCCGCAGTTGAACCCGTATGTTGGGCGTTGTGTGAGGCTCGTATTCCGGTCACTGGAGTCACCACGCTGTATTTACTTTTTCTCATTTCGTGGAGGATGGGGGCAGGTGTATTAGCTAGTATCGGCAGGATCTAACTGGGGCGAGGAGGCTGTAGTGGAGACATCTATTGAGTGACCTCTAGCGGATGATGACGGCATGTTAGAGTTGTAAACGTGGATGAACGAACTCCCAGTTTACCGTACGAAATAATAGGATGAAAAAAATGGATGATTAATAATCCCGACGCCCATTAGGTAGTTAACTAACGAGTTGTTGCTGCGCCGTGAGGTGAGGCTCAGCTCGTCTTGATTCCGCCTTCGCATCCGGGACAGCGATACCAAGCACATAATTCACCATGAGCGAAGCACGTCTGCAACTACAGTCAATTCAGGATCAGGGAAATTTCTCTGATTTGGAACGGAAAATATTCAAAATTTTGAACGATGTTCTGCAGCCTGGTGTAACCGTCGACTCTACAGACGCAGCAAAGAGAATCGACGCACTCGGAACAAACTCCCTAGCAGAAAATGGAAACCAAAGTGAAAGCAACATTGAGGGCTTTCTCTGGTCATTCTGGGAGTTAGTTATAGAAGTCATGCAGCATGTTCCCCGCCACCATCAAGGCCAGACCCGAATGGTGGCGCTTTTGGACTCTCTGAGCCAAATATCCAGGGGCACGACGACGATATGGGGAGTAAGTCTATTGAATCACTTTTAAAATATTGGAATTTGGTCCAACTAAGCCTGAAATACAGTCTGAGGCTCGCCTATGGAAAGACCTCCCGTTGCTGGGACCTTGTATGAGAGACAACTGGATATGTGCGTTTGCAAATCCCCGCGCTGTAAAGATTAACTCTGACTTTGACTGGAAATATTATAGCACCTACATACAATGATAGTGTTCCGGACTCCCAGTTAGCTGAGAAGTGGGCAAGTCTCAATTCCTTTGCAGCAAGACTACTAGCGGGAGACCTCGCCCGATGGATAAACTTTGGAGTCTGGGAGTTGAGTGCTGCTCTGGAGGAAGAGATCCAGGATCCGACAATTCTCGATTCTAATATCGCCGTGGCAGAGGAATGGATAGTCCACGCTGGTGGACGACTGCTCAGAGAGGCAAGGGATGATTCTAAAGAGGATTCCAGTATCAAGAAGTCGGGTTCTCTCTACAAGGGCAAAGAAGGACTGAATTTGGACAGATGGCAATTTTGGAAGAAGCGGTTTGTTTATATTTGGAAGCAAACCTCCGGCGATGTCTCCAAGCGTTCTCACGCGGTGGCGACCAAAATGGACGAAATTGAAGGCAAATCGGAGGGGCAGATAGTTGAGGTAGGTAGGTAGGTAGGAACGCGCAATTTCTGGTAGTTAGCCGCGGAGGTAGCTCAGAATGGATCATCTTTCCCTCCTCCAAGCTTTGAGTGTTACAAAAGGGGTATGGGTACGCACATAGGTAGGGCCTAGAAGACCTTGTCCAATTCAATCTAGCTTTTATCAGATATAATTTCCCGGAATGAAGTCGCAAGAGTGGATTTCGACTTCTGATATACAGTACAATTGTGTCAGCATATATGCGTGTGCATAAGCTATTTAATTAACCATGTGGCACATACAATGCATCAACCTACATGCTGTATAGTAACCCTCACTGGAAAGCCTTGGCGTGAGTGGCCCCCACTCGGAGTCGGCGGTCTCCACTCGTCTCCGAATCCCCATCCATCAACACTATCTCTTTATGCATCGACTCCGAAAATTTGATACCTTCCAAGCATAATCAATGCTGAATCATACATCAGACAGCATCGGTAACAAGCGCTCAGCTTGTGACCGATGTCGACGCCACAAACTCCGCTGTGAGAAAGGGGATACGGGGCGCTGCCACCGATGTGAGAAAGCCCACGCCCAGTGTGTCATGGGCCCTGCGCTGAGATCCGGCCGGCCCACGCAAATATCGAATAGTCCGCTTCTGCCAGGATTCTCGGTGCTTGAAGGACATGAAACTCCAAGTTTGGTTGCAGATATCACACCAGATGGCTCGATGCGGCAGCCTGTTTCGTTGGACACACCCCCGGAAGTCCCGGGCTACGCAGCAAGTCTAGAGGTGCAACGTCTACTCTCGCCAGCCAACATCGACGACTTTAACGATATCTGGCCTCATCCCTTTGCCGCTGAAGAATTGGCGGGTGCTACGAATGAACGTCTCCCTGTTACTCCACCGTTCGCGCCACCCAATGAAGCCCTTAAGAAATTAGCTGATCTCCAAGCAAATATTCTTGCTGATCTTGAGACCGTGAAGTATTGCAAAACTGCAGATAAGTGTCCTGAGGCGATCAATGCCACTTATTCTATCACTTCCCAAAACGTCATGGTCGGTCGTATGCTAGATCATTCAACGGCTCTCATCGATATCTTGAACCACTTCCAGCCACACTGTACCGAGGGCGAAGTTTTCAATCTGTCATGCGATACGCCTATCACCATGACGCTGGTTTCATGCTACGTGTCTCTAGTGCGTATCTATCGAATAATATTCTCGTGTATTGTGGATTCTTTGCCCTTCCTGTTGGGTATTCAGCACCCGACTCCGCAATTATTTCCGGGCATGCATCTCGGCGGATTCAAGCTTGAAGCTCGGGTGGACCTTCAAGTACAGATCCTAGTGAAGATTAGCGAAGATATGCTGAGAAGTATTGAGACTAAATTTGGTCTTTCTGACAATGTCTCCGTGGCTAGCGAGAACATTCCCAAGCCCGGGAAAGCGGCTCAGCTGCTCCGAACGATGCTAGACCATGAGACCAGTGAACAACCCGAACTGTATGAGCCCCGAGGACACTGCAAGCCATTGAGAGAGCTGCTTGCTAGCCTTCGAGATTCCGATCGTGGAGGCCGAGCTCGTCGATGATAAACCCTCCGAATGTTATGATCGGAACGTTTCTCGGACATCCCACGCCCCTTATATAAAGAGACCTGGTCTACCAACAAAGTTGGGAATATCCCCTTAAAAGCTCTTGCATTGTTCAGGACATTTCAATTTAGAGTTGCGACGCCATGTCTTCCACGCCACCCGACGGAGACGGCCTCAATATGATGTGGTGGGCAGCCCGACACCCACCAACAGATCCAACGACCTCCTTCGCTGGTCAAACCGTCCTCATCACCGGTGCCAATACGGGTCTAGGCTATGAAGCTTCTTTGAAATTTGCTACATGGGGTGCCTCACGCCTCATATTCGGTGTCCGATCGCTTCACAAAGGCGAAGAGGCCCGAGCACGAATATGCCAACAAACCGGCTACGATGCATGCAACATCCAGCTCTACGAACTCGATATGAGCACATTTGCCTCTGTCAAAGCCTTTGCTGAAATGGCTGCCAAAGAACCTCGGCTGGATATCGCAATTCTTAATGCCGGAATCATGGCGCCGTCCTATCGTCTCAGCCCTGAGGGATACGAGATGTCTCTGCAAGTGACGGCTCTCTCAACCGCACTACTGGGTATACTTCTCCTGCCACAGCTCCAAAATTCACCTGCCATCTCTGGCAAGCCGGCACATCTTGAACTTGTGGGCAGTATTGCCGGTCGCAATGTAAAGCCTGATATCTTCTCGCGGTCCGATGCCAAGATCTTGGACCAAGTCAATGAACCGAGCTTCTTCGGGGTGCACAGACAGTACAACGTCACAAAACTCTTGCTCTTTTATGTTCTAGATGGTTTGGTGGAGTTTACGAGCAGCTCAGACGTCATCGTCAATGCTGTTTGCCCGGGGCCTTGTCGAACGGACCTTGGCCGAGACTTCTCGAGCTGGTTGAAGGTTCCCATGGCTCTCATTCAATCTGTGCTTGCTCGCTCGGCCGAGGAAGGGGCGAGAAGCTACGTTAGTGGAGTGACACTTGGTCAAGAAGCGCATGGTCAATTCTGGAGTGCCGATATGTTCTTCAGGTATGTATTGCTTAGCCATAGGGTTCAGTCCGCCAGCTAATTTTGTGTACAGCAAGGGAGAGCTTGCTACAAGTCCACCAGGCAAGGCGTTGCAGAAGAAAGTATGGGGAGAAATTCTTGAAGTGCTGCAACCTTATCTGCCTAGTAAATAGTTGATGGTTTTATAGATTAGACCGAAGAGTTTTGTACAGTTAATCATCTGAAATAGGAGTTTCAATACCTTGAAACTCATTCGATATCGGGTCAGATAGGCCCCATACAGATCCAAGCCCTAGAAACTTTCAAAAAATACCATATCCCATATAGTAAACGCCCCAAATCAATGGTCCCAGCGCCCCAAGAACCGCCGGTCCGAAGGACATCTCCAAAATACACCAGATCCACATAGTGCCAAAAGCAGGCGCCTTCTTCATAACAGCATAGTACGGCTCCCCATTCGTAATGGTAATAAGATGAGCTCCCAATAGCATTGAGATGGGAAGCAGAATTATAGTTCGAAGTGTTGGCGGGAAGACCAGACGCCGGAGGAAAAAGAATGTGAACTTGTCGCGCGTGAGCGGGAGAACCGAAACTGGCCGGGCCGCGAGGAAGCCAAAGCTGGTATGGAGTTTGAAAGAAACGATATGGCCGTGAACGAAGTGGACGAGGAAAGTGAGGAGAGGGAGGGTGATAAAGATCGATTCTTTGATGAGGACGGGGATGTTGGTCGATTCGGCATACTGATGTGCGGCGAGATAGGCCAGGGTGAGGTGAAGGGTTGTGAGAGGAATGGCAAGTAGGATGGTATCGAGTAGAGGAGGGAGAGGCTTGTCTATCTCCAGCTCGGGGTCGTCGTTATTGTCTTTTGGTTGTGCTTTGCGGCCTGGTTTGGCTTTTTGTGTGCCCATGTTCATGGGGATTGGGCTTTCGACATTGCCGTCAGCCTCCACCAAGTTCCCCGACGCGTCGACAGTTACATATCGAGTGCCTGTTGGTTTTGATGGCAGCCCTTTGCCCAACGCTGGCGCTGGCGCTTTCCCCAGGCTTTCTGCTTGTTTGAGAAGCTCTTTTTGGCGCTTCTCAATGATGTCATATAACGTTGGCTCGCTGCTCTTCTTGCTCGGATCGCCGCGTTCTGGAAGGGCGAGAGGAATGTCTGGCTCTTCTGAAGCTGTATTCATATTCGCTGCGGCAGCACGGCGCTGCTTTCGATTTCTTGGAGCCTCCATGATCTGTGGATGGGCGTTGTGGAGAGATTGAATAAGCGGGTGAGCTGGCAAGAAACAAAAACACGCGAGTGGGTCTGCGGACTCGGAGGATCGGCCGATCGGCGAAACTGCCCCAGTGACAACGAAGTATGAGAAATATTTGCATCGGGACTATTGCTTATAGGAATGCTAAATATAGAGGGCTGCGCGAGCGCTAATTACCGGCTCCGAAAGGCAAATATGTCTTCTTGTCACAATCGTGTCAAATAACTGCCAGCCCTTGACTACACCCAAGAGCAGATACTAAGCATGTCAAAGATGATGCAGAATCGCGAGCAACACACTGTATTCGGTTCCCAAATCACAATGCTCCCATTAACAACTTCCATTAAATTATATTAGACCCCCTTAGCTGCCAAACTCCCTTTCTTCGTGTTTCGAGACCACCAATTATCCTTTAACCAGCCTGGTAGATGGCAGGACCAGCAACAACGTGCGGGTTGATCAAGCTCAGGTTGAACGGAGTCAAGACCGGGTTAGAATCAGTGATAGCAATGAACAAGGTGCCGTTGATGGCTGAGTCACCCTGGTAGGTCTCCAGATTAGGCTGAATCGTGTATCCACGGCCACCACTGGTGCCGTTGCCATTACCAGTACTGTTGATGACACGCAGAGGCGTGTATGTCACGTTAAGCTGAGAGACCCAGACAACATACTTCGCGCTCTTTGCCTGAGTAGAAGTGACATAGCTATTGTTGGGACCGACTTCCTTGCCAGCGCTCTCCCATTGCAAAGCCACCTGGCGACCGGGGAAAGAGAGAGCACCAATATCACTAGTCACCGTAGCGCCAGTGCTGTTGCCGGAGCTGGAAGAACCGTTTGATGATTTGACAACATTGGTACCGGCACTGATAGTGTTGTTGAGGCCAGTACTGTTGGAACTGCTGTTGCCAGCCGCAGCAATGCTAGGCTGGTTGAGGATTCTCAGAGCCGGGAAGTTCTGCCACACCAGACGGGTCTGATTGCTTGGGCAGGAACTGATATATGGCGCCAGGAGAGTCCAGGCCCACGACTGCGGAATACCAACTTCGAACCATTCGGGCATAGGGAAGAGACCTTGGAACTGGCGGAAGATCATCTGCTGGCGTGCGTCGGTCGCGACGGACAGCGTCAACAGATTAGCTGCCTCTCGAGAGTCGAGGTGAGCCAGGAATCCATATACACCGGCCTCGCCGAACCGAGTTACCTTCTGGCAGAAGTCGAGGAATTCGTTGACGTTGGTGTATGGATAGTTGTATGCACATTGCTGCGGCGCTTCAGCGCCGAGAATGTTGCTGATTAGAGTTGCGTGGCCAACCGCCTGCTCGGCCATGAATGCAATCAGCTCTCTGTCTGCAGCGTTCAACCCAGCGGCCTGGAAGTCCTTCGCCGAGAAGCGCTTCAATCCATCCTGGAACAAGTCGACTTCGACCCATTCTTGATACAGTGCCAGGGCCTGGAATTCAAAGTCAGCAACAAAACATTAGAACGGTCAACGGCTTGTACAGTGAAGACTCACCAGAGATTCATAGTCATAGTCGCTCTTCGCATTATAGACGGGAATCGATCCATTGGTACCAACTCCTCCGGCAGGAACATATGGAGCTGGCTCGGCATTATGAAGCTTTCCATCACTGGGGTAGGTAGTAGCTGCCGGTGAGACGCTTCCGTTAGAAATTCCAGATCCGATCGATGAAGCAGTGAGTGCACCCGTAACCGACGGGGTTCCACTGAAAGGAGTATGCGGCTCAGAAGACGGATGGCTTCGAACTGGTGGGGCCGAAACAGAGGCTGACGAAGAAGTAGTTGCGCGAGCAATCACAATTCCATTGGGAACTGCAGAAGCAAAGGGCAGGAAGCCCAGTACGCTCAGAAGTGGAAGAATATCCCACATGATGATAGGAAGCAATTTGTCGATTCCCTCTCAAAGCTGATGTCTCGCTTTCGGACTATATGACAGCGTATAGGAGTGAGAGAGGTGTAAGATCCAGGAACTCGGACGAAGGTGGCCATCGTAAAAAGTACATATAATGTCCCAGGGCTGTGTCTCAATCCCTCATGAGCCCTACATCGACATCGGTGACGATTGACCCAGCAAAATTGACCTGACGAGGTCTGTATTGCGACATAACCCAGGTACGAAAGGAAATCAGGCTGCGAGATTCAGCACATCGAGACCTGGCACCAGCAATTTAGACTCAAATGGCGCATCAATCCGACACCCGTAGAGTCAACGACCTCATCGTAGCTACCAAATGCGTCGGTCGACTACTATACGACGAAGGGGCACTGTGGAGATCCCCAAAGTTGAGGTCAGCCGTAGGTAATGAGCGACTGTGAGCGGGATAGAACTCCCAACCGGTTGAACGGCCGTTATGGCGCGTCCTTTTTAAGTTTCGATTCCTACTTTTCTTCGATCAATCTTCGACGCTTGCAGCAATGGGCCATTGCACCATTGGTCGAATAGTGGGCGGTCTCCAGAATGCTGTCATACACGTCACTCCACAGGGAGAATTCTGACCCTGGCGGGTGGCAAGGGTATATAGTCTCTCAAAATCAGCGGAGATCCCGGATCTTAGGCTTACGTTGCGTTGACAGGCGTGGGTTATAGACGAATTGCATTGATCGATCAGAATATTATGGAAGGGAGCAGCATTTGACCAGCTGCAAGAGATCAAGATACTGATTCGTCTATGAGACTCTTCAAACTTCTTAAGTATCAAGGCACATTGCCTGCATGTACTTGACTCTTTCAAGCAGGTTGTATTGTTTCGGACGATAAGAACGGAGTGAGCGCTTCATAGTGGAGACGGTGATGACGTCGATCCCGTAGAAAGGAGAAATAATAGTACATGGAGATGGAAATTATCTCCGCCTCCCCGGAGCCTTCGGAATTCAGCGTTATGGAAAATATCAATTATGAAAAAATGAAAATGGTCAAGAATATTATGAACGGTCGATTCCTAGTCGTCTAATTGGTATAGGGGGTAAAAGTCTTCAGGAAGCGACTACTGTAGGACTCGCGTGTGCACGGTCCAACGGTTATTCCAAAGGTCTCTTGGCTGCAGAGTCCTTTATCCTAGCGCTGAATATCACCTCGAAATATTATTTCATCTGCTGTCTTTCGGTCTCATCTTTCAACTTCTCAGCCTGCGTCCACGAGATCTACCGGCCGTGCAGTGTAACTCCAATCATGGAAGAGTACTTGATCTTACATCTGCCATGTACAGCGTCGCCAATTGAAAGCAGTTTTCAAATCCATTGAAATACCTGGCTTCGAGGCCACACTCTTAAGGATAATCTGCCAAGCTATCACGAGAGCCGAACCCCTTCGGAGCTACGCCGACCGGGGGTGGAGCACGACGATGTTGTGCTTACCGATTAGTGATTATGAGGGGTAACCCCGTCACTCTTCCACACCCCTCTCTATTTGCATCGGTCTCGCAGTTTCAGCCCTCTATCAACACTCCTCATCTTCCTCGCCATGTCAAATCTTCAAGCCTCGCATCTTTTCTCCGTCCAGGACCGGGTCGTGGTCATCACTGGCGGAGGCAGCGGTAAGCCCCACTAAGGGGATGATGAATCTGGGGGATACCCACACTGATTGATGTCCACAACTAACATGAGACTATCTTGCTAGGTCTGGGCCGTATCATGGCCCGCGCCTTCGCCGCCAACAATGCCTCGAAGATCTTTATCCTCGGTCGCCGGGAAGATGCTCTCCGCGAGACAGCCGCTCAAGCAGCAGACGGAGTCATCATCCCGGTCAAATGCGACATCACATCGAAGGAGTCCTTGGTGTCGGCATACGGGACCGTTGCAGCACAGACAACCCACGTTGACATCCTCTTCGCCAATGGCGGTATCCTGGGTCCGCTCATGCGCTCGCCCCCTCCCAAGGCCGACGGCTCTCAGCCCTCTCTGTCCGAGCTCCGCGAACATCTGTTCAATATCCCAATGGAGGAGTTCACGCAGGTTTTAAACGTCAACGTAACCGGCTCCTACTACACCGCCCTAGCCTTTTTGCCTCTCCTCGAAGCTGCCAACAAGAGACGACCCGCGCCGCAGGTGGGTGTGCTTACCGCGCCCACCGCACAGATCGTGATCACCAGCTCTATTGCGGGTTTCAACCGAAAAGTGCCGTTCAGCTATGCATACAATGCATCCAAGGCTGCTGCCACTCATCTCGTCAAGATGCTTGCTACTAACCTGACCTCGTATAATATTCGCGTCAATGGTATTGCCCCGGGTCTGTATGACTCGGAGATGGCGAATAATGTCTTCACGGAGAATGGTGCCCAGGGAGGTGGTATTTCCGAGGGTTCGTTCCCGACCGATATGATTCCTCTTACTCGCGGTGGTAGCGAGGAGGATCTCGCTGGTTTGGTCCTTTGGCTGGCGAGCAACTCGGGCGGTTACGTGAACGGTACTATGATGGTTACTGATGGTGGTCGGGTCAGTGCGATTCCGGCTACTTATTAAGAGGAGGGATATATATGGAATACTGGATATCATTCCGATATTCCCGTTTCTCGTTTGCGATTTCCTATCGATCGATAGAACGGTACAGCGGAATAGACAGTTTATCAGTTCATAGATACGAATAGTTCAATGTGACTATGGCTCAGATGATCAAACTCGCCGCAATAACTCGGGTATCGGGCACAAAGGATAGTACGAAGGAAAAAGACAAAAGCCGTGCAACAAATATGTAAAGCCTTCAAGGTTCGCTGATCAGTAGGTGGCAGTCAGTCGCTGAACCAGGTAGTCGCCTGCCGTGATATCGGCATATTTCTTGGTCACGTTGATATCTTCACCAAACGTACCCGGCAGCGCCTCGATCACCTTGTTGTTATTCGGATTGCAGAAGTAAGCAATACTGTATCGAGAAGGATACGAATCCGACGTATCATCCACATCCTGGCCCTCCGGTTTGGGCGGCTCAATGACCCGATGGCGAGTACTCTTGATAGTATCATTTGACCACCGGGCCAGGAGATCCCCAGCATTGACGACAATGGTATCAGGGATGGGAGTCGCATCGACAAACGTCCCCTTGGGACTTCGCACCTGCAGACCACCATGTCGATCTTGGAAAAGCAGCGTGATAGACCCATAATCGCTGTGTTCGCCCGCACGAACCTGATTCGGGTTCTGCTTGAAGACATCCTTCCGAACGGGAGGGTAGTGCAATAGACGAAGATTATTATCCCCTTCATTGACAAAGCCGTCGAAAAAGTGCTCCGGCAAATTCATGCCCAAAGCAATAGCACTCATAACCTGTCTGTGCAGATCCTTGCACATACTAAAGAAGGAAAGCATCGTCTCCTTGAAATCCTTCCCTTCATCATCGAGATGATCCGGCCACTGATTAGGCAGACCATCGACTCCCTCACGGCCTATCTCCATGGTCTCTTTGATATCAGGTGCAGATCCCCGCAATGCATCCATCTCCCCCGTCTCTTCGAGGGTAGCTAGCTTCTCACGCCCGATCGCGACATAACCACGGTTCGATTGTGGGGTAGTCCAGCCCAGACCGTCCTTCTGGCTTTGTGGTCTACGGAAGAATCCAGCTGATGAAGCGAAGACTCGGGATACCACTGAGGGTGGAATGCCATGATCTTTGAGGTATACGAAGCCGGATGTCTTGAAGGCATTGGTGATAGATAAGGCGACGGCGTGCTTGTCGGACGGGGTTCCGGTGAAGAAGGGCCCGAAGTCGATAAGCTGGGAACAGTTTAGACTTTATTCACCTGAATATGAGAGCTTGGGCACATGTGACAGAAGACTCCCCTGTGAGAGAAGAGAGGACTAACAGGAATCACCAGATCGTCCTTGGCCACGGCAGTAGACGCTGGGTTGATATCTTGAAGGTTGCCCGCCATCCTCGCTAGATTCGGGGTTTCCTCTTAAACCTCGCCGCTTCAATGAATGCTAATGGTCGCTAAGAGTGATTCTTTGGGAGAGAAAGAGAAGGGAAGAAGAGGGAAGAAGAGGGGAAATGCAGACGCATGATGCACCCCTGCTTCAAGCATGAGACGAATGATAAGACCACAAGATAAGCTCGAGCAAACCAGTGCTCAGACCTCGGCGCTTTGGAGATAATTGATAGGTTAATTTAAACATTTCCTTCCGTAAAGCACGTTCCAGCTTCGTCATGCGATAGGCTAAAAAAAGGATAAATCGGGCTAATTACACAAATGTCTGCTAACCATATGGCACCTGGCCACAGTACCCCATAGCACCTCAACATCTTATAATGCACACAATCCGACCGAGCAGATTCAAGATCGCTTTTCACATATACTGATACCCGGTGAAAATACACCTGCTAAGAATATGCGGTCGGACTGAACATCGTGTACAGCCGTCGTGGTCGTTGACATGAGCTTTGCAGCTTCATCTTCGATCATCGGCTGCAGTATATACTGCTCCTCATCCGATTTTTTCGATCGGCCATTCTTCTTTTGAACCATCAGGACTGTTCCGGCAGTCACGGAGGCTTGGGGGTTTGTCGATGCTTCTTGCAATTCGACAGGGTCTGTGAATGCAGTAATGAGAATGTTTCCTCGAGAATCCACGGAAAGGTGATCAAGTGCTGAGCCCAGTGACAGAGCATCAATTTGAATAAGCTCATTTCCAGTCATTTTGTAGACTGCTAATGTCCCGGTTGACGACATTGAGATGTAAGCTAAGCCGTCGGGGCCCATGGCAATGCTATTGGCAAGATCGAAGCCCTGGCTGGCGACAGTCCGGCATAACCCAGTCTCTGTTCGACAGTAGGAGATACTCGAGCTGCCAAATTGAAACGGACCTCCACGGAAAGGTCCCAGCTTAGTGCGACCGCCGTTGATCACCAAGAATCCCTTTCCATCTTTATCGACGGCTAGGTTGTTGGGAGAATCCAGCGCTTCGCTGGAAATACTCCGGACATGCACAAGTTTGCCGGATTTCGGATTGAGATCGAAAACCTCGACGCTCGATTCAGTTTGAACATCAAGCGCTTTGCCTGTAATTGGATCCAGGACTGGCGTATGGTTGGTGAGCCAGAATCGAATTTTGTTGCCAATACGGCGCGCATCGAAGCCGTGTAAATTCAAATTCTGGTGAAGGTTGTCTGGAATGTCCAGGCGCTGAATCCTGTACTCGTTCTCCCGACCGGAGGGATCCAATTCCAAGACCGCGATATGATCTCTACGAGACCTCGCCCACGTAGTAGCAGCGCCGCCTCCAGGGTTCCAGTCCTTTGGAGATGTAGTGTTAGTACATGCACCGTAGAGTTTTCTGTCTCGATGATCTAGCCAGATATGTTCACAGCCCTCCATGAAGGGGTGGTGAATCTGCGAACATCTCCACCACCAAATAGGACTCTCTTTTGACTGAGCCGATCGGTCAAAACTCAGAAACAAAGGAAGCCGATCGTTGAAGAAGAATCCGAAGACGATCGCTATGAGAAGTACTATTGTACTCCATGGTAGTAGGCCAAGATATCGCCGTCTTGGCTGGTCCACGCCGGTCGCCATCGGGGGTGGAAGCGCCGGGGAAGGACATTTGGGAGGCACGAGCTGTATATTTCAGGGCCCTGCGCCCAGAGTCTGGGGCAAGTCTTAACCCTGCCGATCCTAGACCCTCGAAGGGCCCTGGCACCGCCTGGCTATTGCTGGCTGCCGTTGGCTGGTTTTGCGTGGGTCAAGAGGGTCTGGAGGGCGGCAAAAATAATCATTGGCTGACATGCTGACTTGGAATTGGTTGAATGTTTCAAACTTCCAGGGGTGGCTTACCGGGTTTGTTAACTAATCGGTTGTTTTGCCCCTGAAATGATGAGAATGAGGGGCAAGTGTACTGGATGTTGGCCTATAGATGTGCGTGAATGTATCTTTATGCAGTCGGCTTGGCAAAGCCGAAGAACAAGGCATACACTATAATGATTATGGATTTTTGATGATTAACATGAAGACAAAAAGTGTACATATTGTACAGTGAATGTAGTGTCCTCCAATTGGACTTACATATGTAGAATCCACTATGGCCCACATTGCCAATCTTCTTCATCTATCTGTGGAAAAAAAACCGTCCGAGAGTACACCGAGGCTCGCTGACTCTCCGTTGGTTGAAGGCCCACATGTATGGGGGGGCATCTCAACGTGTTCAGCGGACCTCGGACAGTTAAGAGATCCACCTCGCAACAATTATTAATAAGCCGATGATCCTCTACAACAAACAAGACTGCCCCTCATCTCTACTTAAGAACCCCCCTGTTGCACTCTAAACCTCCTTGTTTCTATTCTATACGAAACTCACCCTTTATCAATCCGTCACAATGACTTTCACCGCTGTCGTCGTTTACCCCAATGAGCCGGACACCACGTTCGACACCGACTACTACCTGCAGACCCATATGCCTCTGGTGGCCAAGCACTGGGGTCCCGCTGGTCTGAAGAGCTGGAATGTCGTCAAGTACGACCGCGATCTTGCCGGCACTTCTCCCAAGTACCTGATTGCCGCCACCCTAGTGTGGGAGAGCGAGGAGGCCGTCAAGGCGGCTGTCTCCGGAGAGACTGCGCCTATTATCTTCGGCGATATCCCCAACTTCACCAACAAGCAGCCCGTTACTCTCGCCGGTAGCACCATTGGAAGCCAGGAGATCTCCTAATTTGATTGATTTTCTGTCAGATTGTGAGTACTTTTGAGTTCGTTCCTAGGTGCTGGCCAGTGTGCTGACGTGATACATATAGGCCTGGTCAAAAATTTCCATAAATAACCATTAATATGGAGAATGAGGGGCTTTCATGCAGTTGACGATTTAATGTATGACGTTATTTTATGGACTATCAGCTCAATACAATTGTGTTCTTGGGTCAATCAGTGATTGAAATTTTTCCATTATCATACCCAGTACTTGAAGTAAATCCGATTCACCATTTTGGGAGCGAAGTCTAAACATCCAAATTCCTGCGTCTGGCCAATGCGTTCTCAAGTGTCGTGGATTCTGCAGAAAGAGGAAGTCTCCCAGAAGACAGTTCATTATATTACTCTATGAACTCGTTGAAATAAAAAAGACCGGCATTATCGATCGTTTATCAAAGTAAAGATAAGCTTAGATTGCTCAAGGTAACATCGAAGCGATAGGGACTTTGGAGATCCCCGCATCTCCGCCTCTTATCTGTCCAGGGAAAACACCGAAGACTGCAGCTGCACTTCCTGTACCCCTCACTTTCCTTCTTCATTTATTCCTCGTCTTCTTCGTCAACCTCTTCAAAGCTTGCAAATATCGTCAAAATGGCCAACCCATTGATCGTCGACATCCACACCCATGTCTACCCACCCGCATACATCGATATGCTCCGCGCCCGTCACAAGGTGCCATACATCCACGACCCATCCGACGGTGGACCACCCCGTCTTATCATCCTCTCATCAGACGATGACCCAAATATCCCCCTCGATCAACGCGGCCGACCAGTCGACTCTTCCTATTCCGACATAAAAGTCAAACTCGACTTCATGGACAAACACGGCATCGATTGCAGCGTCATTTCCCTCGCCAACCCATGGCTAGATTTCATCGGCGAAGAACAAGCTTCCGAGTGGGCTCAAAAGATCAATAATGATCTAGAATCTACCTGTGCACAAGTCAATAGCGCAACGGCCACCCCAGACAAACTCCCTCGTCTCTTTGCATTTGGAACTTTACCTCTGGGTGCACCACAGCAGGTCGCCGTAGCGGACGAGGTGCATCGAATCAGCGCCCTCCCCCATATCCGCGGCGTCATCATGGGTACCACCGGGCGAGGCAATGGGCTGGATGACCCCGAGTTAGAAGCAGTATGGGGAGCGCTGCAAGATACCCAGCTCATGTTGTTCTTGCATCCGCACTATGGCTTGCCGGACGAGGCATTCGGGGGACCCGAGATCGTTCGTCGCTATGGACACGTTCTCCCGTTGGCACTCGGGTTCCCATTGGAGACGACTATTGCCATTGCGCGTATGTATTTGAGTGGTGTCTTTGATCGGTTCCCCAAGCTTAGGATCTTGTTGGCTCATTCGGGTGGTACGCTTCCGTTTTTGGCGGGGAGGATTGAGAGTTGTATTGCCCATGAGCGGACTTTTAAGGTTAATGGGGGGAGTGTTCAGGGCCCACAACGGGGTATTTGGGATGTTTTGAAGACGAATATTTATTTAGATGCGGTGGCTTATGGGACTGCTGGGTTGAAGGCGGCTGTGGAGGCTGGAGGGGGCACTACGGATCGCCTGTTGTTTGGTAAGATGATGAGCCATTGTCCTCCTCCAATGACATTTTTTAATGCTGACAACTTTGAAGGTACTGATCATCCCTTCTTCCCGCCTCTTAATGAGGAAGATGACAAGTGGACTAGTGTGACTACCAACTACAAGGCTATTAGTGCGGCATTTGAGGGGGATGAAGCTGTGGCAGCAGTGTTGGGAGGCAATGCAGTTCGCATTCTCAACTTGAAGTAATTGACATTATTCATTATTCATTATCCTGGATAATTCCTGCTCTTTAATGAAACATGATATCATTCTCAACAGGAACAAAATGATGAGCGCAATCAGTTCTGAGAACAGCACGTTCAACTCAGCATTCGCTGTAACACGATGAGAGACGATCAAATGGAGTCACTCGAGCCATCACTGGCGAGAGGCTCTGGCAGGATCTAATATCTCCCAGCCAATCAGGCGCCATAGCTCTCCTGCAAACCATTCGGTAAAATCCAGTCGTCGATTCGGAGGTGCCCAACAATCAGCTGGAGGCGGAGTCCCGGGTCGCTCCAAGCCCCCTTGGAAGAGAGGATCCTCTTTGCCGAAAACTGCCTGAAGTAAGGTCTTCTTCATTGCCTCCTGGACCTTGAGGTTGAAGGGAAGTTGGCCACCGGATGCAGGACCTGCCGGAGGGAACAGAGTTTCATTTTTCAAAACTCTATCAAGGAATAAAATGAGCTTCTCTGCCTCCAGCTGGGCGGTCTGTCGCGACATATCTTCCTCCCTCATTGCAGTGAGGCCTTCGGGAGGTCGCATATCTGGGTTTAGATTCGTTGGTAGCTGGATGTCGTTGAAGGTGAAGAGGGCCAGCATCTTTCCGAGCCGGTCGAGTACGGTGTGGAAATACCCTTCCATCACCTGCTGGTCGCAAAATCGACTCATGTCCAGTGAAAGAGCCATCTTGCAGAGTAAGTCAACAAGCACCTGAGCTGTGTCCTGCTTGGCGCTGGTCGGAACCCCTGCTTTCATCTTTTGTCGCGGCTTGACCCTGGTAGTTCTCATGGCCCCGTTGCCTGCGACGCTCTCTTTGGATACCGCAGTACAATATTGTGCAAGTCCAGTCATGGTAGACTTGAAGAGACACACCAAGTAGTAGACGATCTTAGGCTGGGACTGGCCATCGTCTGCCGCTTGAGGGATTTTGTGAAGGGCCTGGTGGACAAGTTTGAAGGTCAAGTCAACGGCCTTCACGACAGCGAGGAAATCGGGCCCCTTGCTCTTGTTCTTCGAGACTCGGAAAGGCTTTGGTGGAGCTGGCGGTGTGGCCTCCGCCCGGATCGCAGTCAAAAGACCCTGCTCTGCCTCTTTGCACGCAATGACTGCGTCAACAGCAAGAGCCTTGGTCTTGCGACGCTTGGCCTGCAGCGTTCGCTGGAGGGCAAAGATGTGTCTCAAGAAGGAGACGCCTATATTGTGTCAGTCATTTTATACTCGTAAAGACCATTCAATGTCACCTCATACCTTGCTCGGTTTCCTGCTCACGATTGACCTCTTGATCTTGACTGGCGATGTCTCGTTGCGACTGGGTCCGAAGATTGCGAGTGTTCTGTCGCTTCCTGCCAGTCTCGGGCTCATTCTCAACGTCACTGAAAGCTTTACGCTTTGGTGGTGGAGTTGCCGCGTTGAGTTTGGCGACGAGAGCCTCATTCTGCTGCTTCAACTCAAAGATTGTGTTGTGCAGCTTGATTTGCTCACCCTCGGCCTTCATGTAGGCCCTCTGCCAGTGTTCTACACTGTCAAAGAAGAAGTTGGTGAGAATCAGCTTGGGGTTCTCCGATTCTCTGATGGACTTTCGGAGGTCAAGAATGTAATCTAGTGCGACAAGTGAGATGACGCTACTTTAGGAAGGTTCTCAGTAAGGCTTACTTACCCTTGACCGAGATGCCTGCTGGCTTATTCTTCACAATCGCCAGCGCAAGAGCCAGTGCGGCTCTTGGTGGCTTGGCGACGGGAGTCGTCATTTCGGACGAAAACAGTGGAGATTTGATGAAGAAAGACGAGAGAGAGAAAGTCGTAGAAGGTAACTGAGCACGTGGGGGTGTGCCCCGTTTGAAAGTGAAGCAAACGTGGTGAAGGCAGGTACGATGGCATTGTTGCCTCATTTGGTTGCCTAAGGTTTCTGACGGCAGTTTACCTACTAAATAGGCATCTAATCTTCTCTTCCTGAAAGATACTAGTTAGTTGAAAGCCTATACCATAATTTACGTAGGCATGAGTTGCCGTTCACCAAAAAGCCATACTTCAGTTATGCATAGCTGAAAGTTAGCCCTCTCTACCTTAATGCTTATGTGGTATTATCACATAGAATCTTCGAGGTTATTTAGCTATAGCCATTTTTTAAATAATGTTAAGTAAGGTCAAACCCCCGTAATCCGAGCTGAGCGTACTTTCGTCCGAACAAATTACAATTTGCACTGTGATCGTTTCAATTCTATTTAATCTCTTTCATGTCGCCCGATTCAGAGCTTATCTTTGACGTTTCACAGTCAATAGAAGCATTACTGGCAAGAAAACATGAGTGGTCTAAGTTCCGTTGGCTGGAGGGTTCAAGATAACAGTGTTGAGTGCATAATTCCAGCTCTACATAGCCATTCACTTAATATGTATGAATCATTTTTTCTTTCAGCCCGTCATCCACCTGCCTAACGAGATCTTGGATTGTCAATGCATCCTCTTCAGAGTCTATCGTTGAAGACCCGGCAGTCATCAACAGGCGCTCAGGGCGTGCAACACTTAAGTATTGACGAGTACGCTTACGATGTGCGCTTCGGAAAGTCTTACCAAAAAGGAAAAGTCAGCTATGAATGACGGAAGTTTTATGGGAACGTACTCGAAGCTGCTTTGCAATTTTCTCGAATTGCTCCGTCAATCCAAAGTTATTAGCCTGCTCCGCAGCGGTCCGGAAGGCATGGGCTTTGACAGAAGCCATAAATCTCCTCTGCGAGTGAGAAAAATATCTCATGAAATCTTGCTCGTCAAAGAAGGGTTCCAAACCAAGAAAGTAATCAAGGACATTGAACAAGACCAGATGGGCACCGGAGGTCCCATCATATTCGACATACTCGTCCTCGATGAATTCACCAGCGGCCCAGCCGTGGAATCCTTGAATATAGGCTGTAAAGACATGTCGAGGTATTTTCGATTCGACAACGTTTTCATAGTATATCCGGAAGACCGATTTTAGGTGAATGCTGATTCCCTGCAGATGAGCAAGACATGCTTGTCTCTGGCCCTTCTCATAGCATCTAATAGATTGTACTAGATGGTAATAGACTGGTAAAGCCTATTTTGATCGTCAGAAGTCATTTCAAAATTTCAAAAGAGTTAAGAGGTATAGCACCTTTCTCTCCGGCTCGGTAAATGAGTAAATAAGGTAATACTCGGCTGAAGGGATAGGCTCGGGCATGCTGCCATTGATTGCATAGGCCACTCTGCGCGTAGCATTATCGATATTGCATTGAAGATTAGACATCACATTTCCTCCCTGCGAGGTGATACCATATCGTCGACGGATGAAGCCCCATGGCAGGTCTAGCTCAGGTGGGAACTGGATAATCTTGTCTCGTTGAGCAACCTTAACGACAGGCACAGTACCCCATCTGCATTGATGTTAGCTATACCTCTATAGAGATTAAAAGATATTGTACCTGAAGGCATGTCGTAAGGCACTTATACATGCATAGAATCCGTTGTATGCTTCGTTCTTAATCACAGAAAAATGGCCATTTTCAGAGGTGGAAAGAACTGCCTTCACCTTTTCCATATCCACACGTTCTTGGAGCAGCCCTCGCGATCGGCATTGATACTCAGTCCGGCGGCTTTGGTTAACTGTGTCATTGAGCGAAACCTCCATCACCGGGAGTAGTGGAGCCAGTTCGACAAATATGTCATGGTATGGACGAAGTGCCGCCGGCCAAGATTCTCTATACGAGGCTTTAGGGGGCCAAGAGCCAGCACCATCTGTCTCTATCATGCTTTGTAAAGCTTGAATAGTCTCGTGGGTCCGAGCAAGGCTTTTGATCAAGACGACGTGTTCGATTCGCGGGTGAACCAGGGCAACCAAGTATTCGATACTAAAAGCTATGGTTATACGATGAAAGAAAGCCATCACTGCATGTAGTATTGGGTAGAATTTGTGGTTGAAGGACAACATATTGAACATCTTTGAGATGATGATGATCACGTTGCCTGCCTCGGGAAAACTTGGGTCTTATAGTTCCACATAAAATTATCCAAATCTATCTTAAAGGTTTCTATCATGAAGTCCCTTTGCCCAGAACCCTGTGTAACTATTGACTGACGATCTTAGCCACTTGTTGGGGACTAATCTCGTCATGGCTCGGGGCGATCGGAAATTTTTCTTCCGAGATTCGTGGCCCGCGCATTCTGCAAGTCATGCATGTCAATGACATCTGGCTGGTATATCACGGGAAAAAATATCCTCATTCACGTTCAAAAAGGATGCATACCAAGGACATTCCCAGAATGCCGCATATTTTTACCCAAAATATCGCCCGCCACGTCTTGTAGGTGACTATTGCGCCTGCTAGGAGTGGATCGATGGTGGGCCCGACTAGGGTTCCTGTGCAGAATCATGTGAGTGCACTGGCAAGATCAAGTGTTTGATACAGATCGCGGATCGCGGTCCAATGGCATGTATGACGGTGCCGGAGAAGGCGCTCAGCATTCGGACGAGCATGAAGGCGGCTAGGTTCAGTGCCATTCCAATTAGCGATGCGAGGAAGACTACACTACTTGCGAGGCAGGACTCTATGAATCGACCTTTCAGTATTCAATTCATCATCTTTTCTGTGAACATTAAGTCGGCTAGCTATGTGGATTGGGAGAAAATTCATGTAGATATATACCAATCATCATCCCAGGGCCTAGCACCACGAATCCCAGCAACAAGGACTCAAGGCCATGAAGATCATGTACAGGACATTAGTAAGACCAATTATTAACCCTGAAGTATGGTATGTGGCCGCCATATCGGGAATGGCCGGGAGAAGAGAGGTGCTTGATATAGGAGACAGCAGCCTATTCCACGTCATAACAGTCACCATGAGGATTTTTCGATATCGTGGGAAGCGGTCGAATTCGTTTCGACTGGGTCCTCGGCCAGTTCCCTGTTCTCATCTATCTTGGGTTTGCCCATTGTCTCGAGAGAGACTTTTCGCGGAAAGGTGAAAGTAGTGATAGGAGAAATCAATATGGAACGAACCCCTGGAAAGATACGACTGTAAAAGGACCAATTACTGAGAAAATTCCAATAAATGAAATCTACAATGGCCCACAGAAATGAATCAGATAGAGGAGAATAAGGGACTAGACCTAAATGTCAAAATTCTCCCATTTGGGTAGAAAGATATGATCGGTTATGCGAAGGGTCTTTCAGTGTGACTGCAACCCAAAGTACGGAGAAATTTCCGAAGATAGAAGTGCTAGAGAATGTTGAAATCCGGCCGTATGGGTCTGGAATGGAGTCCAGATTTACCCTCAGGCCGATCATCGAGTCCTTCAACCTCATGTTTCATCACTGATAAGTTCAGATCTTTTTGAGGCTTTTATAGCATTGTTAATATGCCCACCCGGTAAAGTGAAAGAGATGACCCCAAGTTTAGGACCTATAATTAACCTAGATTATCAAATTCGTATGACGACATCAACCTTGTTTCTTCTCGATTACAGCTAGCTGTACTTGCAGTCCATACTTCCTCGGTTTCAAAATATGAATGATCCGACTCATTAAGTAGGTCTGTCAATCTGTCAACTCATGGCAGTTTTTTCGCCTTATAACTATAAAGCATATTATGCCAAGTAACCAGCCAGCTTCTACTGCAGAACTCTGCTCCATATGCTGATGGTTCAAGGTAGAGGCCTGTGGTCCAGGATAAACTTTACAAGAAAGCTAGAATTTACAGCCGAGTATTCGAGTTATGGACCCATAGATATCATTTATATCTAATCTCCCGGCCCCAACGGGGGCCATCTGTCTGGACTACCGTGAATACATCCTCCCATTTTCGCCCATCATCCAGAAGGACCTCATCCTCTCCGTCCGTCCGAACCCCAATCTGCTGGAGATACGATCGTACCTCTTGAAGGATCTCCCGAGCATTTTCATATTCCCCCTTCCAGGCCTTAACCAGCATCAGACCCAATCGTTCTTCTTCTAAAAGCTGTAGCTTGCCCTCCTTCAGCCGCTGCGTATGGTACCCCCATGGATTCACATCCCCTGGAATCTCCGTCAGATCCATTGGATCGGTAGGCAACCCCCACCTCTTCGCTCCATGACTAGACGCATCCTTTCGCATCAATTGCCAGACAAAGGTCGCCCAATCCGAGAGATCGATCTTCGGAGTGAGCTCTGGGTACCCACTACCGGGAATGGTGGGGTGGTAAATCTCTACTTCGTATCTCGTCCCGTCGGGAGAGTAAGGCCATTCATCTGTCGGGATGGTTGCGTTTACAAATCCTGATAGTGCAATCGAGAGATCACCACGTATCCATATCGTACTCGCGCCGAAATCCATCAGGTAGACCGCGTGTTCGTGCAGGAAGGCTAGCATGGCGAGCGATTGCAATGCCCAGTGGTAGTAGAGCAGGAGGAGGGGCTCTCTGTCTCCCTCATTGGGTAATTCCTTATCATCGGAAGATGTGCGCGATGCAGGAAATGTGGACAGAATTGGCAGGGTCGTAGCGGCCAGTGGGCCGGGGTCCAGCTTCTCTAGCAGATATCCCACGGGGAGACGGCCAAGATATCTACTCCCACCACGCAGAATTGCAGTGTTCTAGCGGCGATTGCAAAAAACGAGCAGGCAGGGAGAGTTTACTCACTTGACGATGCGGGGGTGAAGATCAATCGGTTGGTCTACGTCCACATTCGGGATATTGGTGCTACGAGCGAGATGTTCATATACTCGGGGAATTCGCTCAGCAAGGTTAAACCACTCCTCGGGGTCGACACGGGTATTTTCTTTCTCGCATTTATGAAATGCCACAATGCAGTCTTGGTTGGCATGTTGTACAAAGTACATCTGTTCATACAGCTCGTCGTAAAAGCCCTCGGGGCGGTCGGTACAGACCGAAGGGACCACATCCCCGTAACAACGAGGGTATTTGGACTGGATGGGTAGATCGGGGGGCTGTTCTAGATCCACAGCTGAAAATGAGGGGTCCGCAGTGCGGTTTGATGACCAGCTGGTACCCATGACGGCGACTTGATCTATAAAAACAAGAGGCGTAAAAAAATAAAAGAAAAAAGAGAAAGGGAGGCGCGCGGGTGGGATACGCCTTTATATAGGGGATTGTTAAAGTCGGCCTCCCCTTATCATATTACGACCTTGCTACAAGTCGCCGAAGTTCAAATATCCAAGACACTTTCATTCAAATTTGGTTGGAAAGATAAGAATGAGTCTTGAAGACACTGATCATACCACATAAAATGGAGATCCTGCATGTGTGGTGTGGGTTGGTGCTTGGCGTTTACCGGAGCGAAGAGGCGCGACCTTCCGCCGATCTGATGCAAGTTTAAAGTGTGAACTATCTTGGCTCTCAATGATTTAGAATATTCTAGAGGCACATACTCCTAAATTAAATCCACTGTTGAATGCATGGAGAAAGGTAAATACTAGAGAGGCGGCGATAGAAGCGGTGAACTAATATGCGGCAAAAAAGGGTTATGATACAGTGGCGTCCGCTACAAACTGTCCTGGACTCTATCTCTCTTTCTTCCTTACACACATCCCATTCAGTTTCCAAGATGCCAGCGGACGACCTCAAGGCGCATGCCGCCTCCAATCAAGATTTCTATGCGCTGCTAGATCTCTCCCCCGCAGCCAACGAGTCTGAGATCCGGCGCGCCTACCGCCGCACCGCGCTGAAATACCACCCCGACAAGATCTCCAATCCCACCGCTGCCGACATCGACAAGTTCCACCTGCTTCAGATCGCCAACGATGTGCTCTCCGATCCCGCGATTCGGCAGCTTTACGACAATGCGCGCGAGGCGCGTATGCGCAAGCAGCGCGAGCGGGACCAGATGGACGCTGCGAAGCGAAAGATGCGCGAGGACCTTGAAGCGAGGGAGCGTGCTGGTGCGGCAGCTCAGCAGGGTGTCAAAAGGCCATGGATTCCCGGTGGCGAAGAAGACGCTGAGGCTAAGCTGCAGCGGGAGATTGAGCGAATCGCTGAGGACGGGCGCCGTCGCCGCCGCGAGGCGACGGATAAGTTGAAGCGGGAGTTGGAGGAGGAACAGAGGAAGATGCAGGAGGAAGAGGAGGAGGCACGCAAAGCGGCGGACCGAAGCAGTCAGCGTGTTGATCGATCTCGGGACGGCGGCACGAATGTTTCTGAACTCGAGCGCTCGGTGAAGGTGCGCTGGGCGCGAGAGGGCCGTGGAGCGGACTGGGATGCAGACTGGCTGAAGGCCTTGTGCGCACCATTTGGAGAGATCGAGGGCACTTTCGTGTTGAAGGATAAACGCGCCCGCGTGGAGGGCAAGAAAGGAAAGGTCACCTATGGCACTGGCGTCGTGGTTTTCAAGTCCATTGTCAGTACACAGGCCGCGGTATTGGACAGCGAGAAGAAGATCCGGCAAGCGGATGGTGACTGGGCTCTGGTTGATTCAGTTGCCTATGCGTCAGGTCAGGCACCGGATCTTGGATTCAGTACGAATGGCGATGCTGAGAAGCCAACGCCATCAGTGGGCTCGGAGGGATCCTCATCCAAGCCCCCTGCCGATACGACTGATACATCCACCAAGCCTTTCAGGCCTTCATTCAACTTTCCCGGAATCAAGCCCGGGTCCCACCCATCTGGAAAGGCGCCTTCATTTGGCTCATTCCCTTCCGCTACCGGAAACCCTCCGAAGGCTTCGTCTTTCAATCCTTCAGCAAAGACATCAACTCCCAGTCTCCAAGAGATTACTATGATGCGGCTCAAGAACGCCCAGCGTGAAAAGGAGCGCAAGGCTCTTGAAGAAGAGCTTGCCCGAGAAGATGAGGCCGCTGATGCTGCAGAAGCTGCAGCAAAGGCTAATGGAGCGTGAGGAACTTTAACATTGCATGGCGAAATTCTTTTCTATTTTTTTGTTCCGATTAGGGACGGTTTGTTGGCTCAAAAGATACCCCGGTCTACCAAGACCTCAGTTTACATGAATAGAGATACATTGATTATTTGCAAGAGTTTTATCTTATCATACATAGATGCATTGTTACATTTGACGCAGCTGTCCACTATTCGGTTCGTCGCTGCGCTTCTTCCTCTTCGAGCTGCTCAACTAGGAATCGTGCCCGTTCACCTTCGAGATCAACTTTCCGTGGGGCCGGCTTGCGTGCTCCACCAGCGATGATAAACTCCCTGGTCCAAGGCGGGATGAAAGCCTGCAACTTGATCTCGGCTGGCTGCTCCGATTCCGATGTCAATGAAACTTTGAACTCGCTTCCGGGGGTGTATTGTGTGCCTTCGCTGGTCAGCGCGATATCGGTCATCATTTCCAGACGACACAACGCAAGACCAATGTTGCCAACACCATCCAAGAACTTTCCAGCGCTACGACCCCGGCGGCCGCCAGCCTTGTTGATGTTCGATCCATGAGGTGGCAGAGCAAGCTCAACCGAGGGATCGTACACAGGGCCATCTGCTGAAGACAGATCCCCAGTGTAAAGCTGAACGGGAAGAATGCGCTTGCGCACCACGCCGGTGTGATGCGTCCGGATGGTCAACTCCTGGCCAACGTAGCAACCCTTGCGGAAATCAATGCCCCGTCCCATATCCATATTGCATTCCAGCGGCAGCGCTGACTCGCGAATAATCTCTTTCTGGCCCTCTGCGACACCATGCAGTATCCGGCGCACGGTGTATGATCCCAACTCAACCTCAGACCCAGCAACCTGCGACTCATCGGGTAAATGACTGCGCAGGTCGTCAGATCCGGGAGTAACGAGACGGGACCCAAAGCCCGGCGCCCGGGCATCGATACACCCGACGACATTCGAAGACAGAGAAAATGGTGACGCCGTCTCGGACTCGAGGTTATAAGCAGCCCACCGAGGCTCGGAATGATTCTTCCATGACGACCAAACAGTGCGCTCGCCGTCGTCGAGGGCGCGTAGCTTCAACTTCGCGCGCAACTTATGTTTCTTCAGGTGTTTCATCAAAGTCGGAACTTCATTCTTATCCACTTCGACCAGCCATTCGCGTTCGATATCACTGCCGTTCGAATTCGGGACCGGGTAGATGAAAGTGTCGTTCAAGACGCGGCCCTGGGAGTTGAGGAAGGCCGCATATGTGCCTGTGTGACGGATGTTTTTGTTCGGGTCATTAGCAACCAGCATGTTCTGGGTGATCAGGCCCTGAAGGAAAGTTGAGCTATCGACTCCGGTAATGGATATGAGACCGCGGTTTGTGAGCCGAGTGTAGCCGACATCTGGTGGGGGAGGGACATTTTGGAATGGTTCGGCGTGGTGATGTGTTGTTGAGAAGAGCCTCCTGTGTGTCAGGCAGCGGCTACAGGTCGAGGGACGAGGCCGCATCATTGTCGAGGTCAAATTTATCGAAGTGACTAATGTGAAGCGGCTCTCAGCATTTTGCCGACGGAACGCGGAGCGGGCAATGACGTTAGGCGGCAGAAAGTGGCAGAATCCGTCATCATCCATCTATACAACCCATTTAAGAATATTTACTTGCACGTGTAGTTTCAAAAGGACCTTCCATAAAATTAGAGACAGGCAGCTCAGATTTTAGATATTGTATTATTTGTGCTGTCTTCAAGTGTCGAGTGGAGACCCTGATGGCTCAATGTTATTGGCAGACTCCGATGGCTCGATACTCTTTCTTTTTCTCTTCTTTAACGGAGACTCAGCCATTGGCCCATGATTGTGCTCTCCATTTTTGATTCGCAGCTCCCATCCCGTCGGTTGGGGGCTATCCGAAAGAATAATATACCCAGGTTTCCGCGATACTCCAGCACGCCGTCTGAACTGAAGTCGGAACGGGCAATTGGTTCCATTTGTTTTCCGTTCGCGTGGGTTCGCAGGATCTGGCCAGCGAGAGCAGACTAGGTCAACTTTTGACTGATCTGAACGCCGGACAGTTAGGGTGTACCCGTGGCTGGCAGCAAATTCGTTGATATCTTTCTGACCAAGCTCGCGCGAGTCGTAAAAGCGTGGTGGGGGTGCTGGGGGTGGCACTTGGGGTAGCGCTGGCGGCGATGGCTCTTTTTCTTCCGGAACTTCGATGGTTGGCTCTGGCATTGGCGGCTCTGGGGGTGAATGCACGCCATCCTCTGAGACTTCAAAAAGTTGATCTAGCAAGAGCTCATCGCTTATTGGGAAGGAGATATCGGATTGGTTGTTGCCAATCATCCCAGTAGAGACAGGGGCTCGCGCGGAATTGCCAAACCGTCGTTTTGGCCCATGATTATGGGTTCCATGCTGTACTCGTAGCTGCCACACCGGCTCTGGTGGGTTTTCTGGAGGAACCGCAGACGCACGTCTCTGCGGCCCTGCATTGCGCTTTCTTAGCTGAACACGAAACGGGCAGCTGCATCCAGTGGATTTCCGATCTCGTATATTCGTCCCCTCATGATCTGCTCCTTTTGTCTTGGGATCGGGCCAACGAGAACAAACCAGATCAACTTTGGATTCGTCTGAGCGCCTGGTGTTCAAGGTATACCCATGGTGGGTAGCAAATTGCTTCAGATGCTCCTGGCCAGCTTCACGGGTATAGTAGAATCGTGGTGCAGGTGCTGGGGGTGAAGGTTCGCATTCTGCTGCGATATCGAGGATTTGATCAATCACTCGTTGATCGTAATTTGGTTGAGCACGAATGACATCGAGGATTCGTTCTATCACGTGTTTATCATAGATCTTCGGATCTGAGGGGGGTCATCGGGTGGATTGTTGGCCGCCATCTTAGTCAAGATGGGGGGGTGGCAGAGTGTGATTGTGAAGAGAGCTTTGGGTGTGCGGCAGGCCCAAGGATAAGGGTTTAGAGGGTTTAGAACACCCTCCCTTTACCACCATTGTACACCGACCACACCGCCTTCGTCATGTTAAATATCACTGGCAGAAGGGTCTTGGCAGTGCATACCGTTCAAGCCACTATACTCCTTACGCAGGGATCTAATGGGCTTAAATCAACACATAACTATCAGAAGATAAAGCGTTACGCCAAGCGGTTACTGGAGAGTGCCAGATGGTAAGGCATAATAATCGGGATACAATCTTGCCTCCATGTTGGGGAAGTCGACCTGATGGATCCATAGGTAGGTAGGCCGGTTCCAACCAAGCACGGAGTTACATAAGCCTTCACGCCGGCTCCCTGGCTTATATTGGCAAAATGACAGTCCATCACTTATGGACGGTTTGGCCGAGTGGTCTAAGGCGCTTGACTAGAAATCAAGTCTCTTCGGAGGCGGCGGTTCAAATCCGCCAGCCGTCGTTTTTGCCATTTTCGGCACATTACCATTTTATCCGCCCCACAGCACACTCTCGCTTATAGTACACTTTTTCGCCTTCATTCATCATCCAATCATATGACAGTTTGGCCGAGTGGTCTAAGGCGCTTGACTAGAAATCAAGTCTCTTCGGAGGCGGCGGTTCAAATCCGCCAGCTGTCGTTTTTGCTAATTACCCTTTTTATCCGCCCCACAGCACCTTCTCGCTTATAGTACACTTTTTTCCCTTCGTTCATCATCTAATCACATGACAGTTTGGCCGAGTGGTCTAAGGCGCTTGACTAGAAATCAAGTCTCTTCGGAGGCGGCGGTTCAAATCCGCCAGCTGTCGTTTTTTGGTCGATAGTGTGTAGATATGTATTGTTGTTCCTATTGTGCTTAAATTTTTGTCTCTATTAGGGTGCCGTCGGTTATACCAAATGATTCAGCATTCGTTCAAATGGATGTTAGGCGGCTTACTCTATAGCGTACCAGCAACCACAGCTGCTAGATCAATTTATTAAATTCACTGAATCTATATGAGGTTTGAGGAAGTTCGGTCAGGATATAAGTAGAGGTCGGGAGGGGTTGTGTGGGATATATATATTGAACCGTTAGGTAAACCCTCACTATGCCTATCTGCCTGCCGGATTAGGTACCTAGGTACCTCGTAGCATTTCATCCTCAGAACCCCCTGGACGCAATACAAGTGGAATGGAACACCGGGAAATTTAATACATCGAATTATCCTTGATTGACTATGTGAACATTGTCCGGAATGAATTAATCGTACCCTGTCGGCAATGTAACCGACACATGAAATTGACCCGTTCAGTTGCCGCCCTTGGCGACTCCCTGCAGGTAACTCAGCAAGAAGGCTTTGTTGCTTGGTGAGGAGACCCGGTTAATGGAAGATGGGACATGTTCGCTATCGGACGGTGTCCCATGGCGGGAAACAGATTCACCGCTGCTAGCAAACTGAAGCGACGAAAGTGGGCTGACCAGACCGGAGACATTGGGAGGCTGCTGGTTGACAGCTCGGGAATCAAGCTGGACAGCCGAGGTCAAGGAAGGGGACACCTGGGGTTTGCCAAAAAGTGAGAGAAGCGCTTCCTTTTGCGCATGCGTTTGGCTAGGCCGGCGATCAAAGTTTGCTTGTGGAGCCAGCTCCTCGGGGTTGGTCTGTAAACCCGGAAGACTTGGCTTGCGATCCGCATTGTCCGGCTTGGAAGTACCCATAAACATGTTCTCAAAGCCCGCCTTTCCAGAGCGGCGCAAAATCTGCGGCTGGAAGGGCTTCACTGGTTCAGGGGCCACTGGTTGGGGAATCTGAGGCTGTGATGGAGCCTGCACCATTGGAACATGGGGCCCAGAGCTGGATGCATCCCGCTTCGCGCTCTGGGGTCGAGGCAGAATCGTAATTGGCGAGGAAAGTTGCTGGACCTGTGGTTGGTCCCGGCGATGGGAATTACTTCTGCGGTTCGCTCCATTTGCCGTCCGCCTAGCCGCCGACTTTGGGCTTTGCTCGAATTGGGGCATGCTCAAGGGACCAGATACGGTGGCCGTAGGATGAGCCGTACTCATGTGGGGTTTTGATCCGGCAGCACCGCGTTGCTGGTTAGGTACAACCTGGGAGGGTGGTCGTTGAAGGATCTGCCTCTCTGCAGGTGGTGCCACGCGAACAGGCTGACCCAACAGTTCTGCAGGCTGAGCCGCGGGTGAACCCTTTGGGCCTTTGAACAAGTTCAAGAGGCTGTCCTGGTGGAGAGAAGTCTTGCGCTGCTGACCAGGAACCGGCGCGGGTGCAGGCACGGGGATAGGCGAAGAGACAGACACCGGGGCAGCATGAGGGGTCTTGGGGGTCTTGCCTCCATCCTTGAAGAAGCCCAGAAGCGCGAGTGAGTGGCTAGTAAGCTTTGGTGGAGGCAGCTTGCTAGCTGGTGGTACAATGGCACCTGGAACCTGAGAGGGTTGAGTCGGCTGGGAGAATTGAGGATCGCCAGTCCGTTGGAACGGAGCCACAACGTTCCTAGGAGGCGCAATATCGGAAGGCAGAGATTGAGGGTGGAGATCTTGATAGCTCTGCTGTGGCATCTGTGGGAACTGGGGCATCGCAGGGGTTCCCGAGAGCTCGGACTGTCCAGAGATAGGGACTTGCTGGTGCTGGAAGGCTTGCATAGGAGCCTGGGAAGTTCCCACCTGCTGCCCGGGTAGATGTTGTGCAGAGGTTTGTTGCATGAAATTGGATGGAGCGATGCTCTGCGGCTGTCGAGGAAATCCGGGGAAGAAGTTGGGCGCTAGGTGTGATGGCTGAGTAGTAGAAGGTACGCCGGAGGGAATTGATGGTTGAGAAGCAACGGTTTCTTTCTGTACTTGGGAAGCAGAGACTTGGGAGCCCGCCCTGAGAAGTTCCAGAAGCGCGTTCGACTTCATCTGGTCCACAGCAGGTGTTTGAGCAGTGGGAGAGGCTGGCACTTGAACTGGTTCTGGGGGGCCTCCTCCAATCTTGAGTAACTGCTTGATGTGAGAGGAAACATCCGGTACAGATACCACCGTGTCGACCTCTGGGAGGTCACTAACTCCGCCTCCGTAAGAAGCGATATCAGCCCGATGACCATTCTCATCGACAGATACATAGCCTTCGGCTTGCAAAGATGGCTTCAGGCCTGTCTGATCCTTGGCCGCCGATCTCTTTTGTTGAGCGATCCACTTCTTCAGTGGGTGCAAGAATGGTGCAACCATGTAGAACTTGTTGGCATTCGCCACTGCCATTCCTTCGTCGTGCTGCTTGTTCTTCTTAAGAGTCGGCAGCTCCGACAACTTGTACCATTCAATCTTGCTGATTTCCTTGCGGGTACGGGGCTCGAAATGCGTATCAAGGGGAACATTTGGGAACACAAAGAGTCGCATGTGCTGCTCTCGCATGGTAACCTCAATAGACTTCACGGAGTCTTCGTCTTTGATCAGATTGGCTGCACGGACATCGAATCCAGTCTCCTCGTAGACTTCACGAATGGCACAGTCCAAATCAGGCTCGCCTTTGTTGATCTTGCCTCGGGGGAAACTCCAGTTCGCGCCTTTCTTCCAACCTTTCACCAAAACAACAGAGTCCATTTCTTCGTTGAGCAAGATTGCGCCGCGAACTGGAACTCTGGTCTTGTAAGCTAGGAATTCGGAGAAAGCAGCCATGTGGTGATAGTGGGACCATTGCGACATGAGCGGGCAGTGTTTGAAGATGCGCAAGCTGAACGCCTTGAGGGAAAGTGAGGGTAGCGCAGGATCGAGGGGTCGAATAAAGTCTTCGTAGAACCATTGTGCCTCTTCGACTTGGAAACAGATTCGTTCGACTAATTCAAGCTCTTCGTGTGGCAGGTTAATGATGAACCGGACGCATAAATCATCCAGCCCTGTAAAGAGTAATCGGGTTTACGTTAGAGATGAATATCAACCAAGGAGATTCCAGATCAACACCCACAGTCTTCTAGCTGCATCTTTGATTCGGTCATGTTGGGCGACGAAGCTTCGCATTTCAACGTGGACGACCGAAACCAGACGCTTGCTCAGGCCGCGGGAGGCGACACGGCTCAACGGGAGAGGATAAGCTTGCAGGAAGGGTGCAGCAGCCCAAAAATGTATGTAATGATGAAAGGAGAGATAGTCTCGGGGCCGTATGAGATTGCGACGACGGAGAGAAAGGGAGACAAAGCGCCAATCGGGGGAGAAGAGGGCGGACAGCTCAGGCGCAAGGCAAGCGGAACTACCCACCAAACCTCCAGGTGACGATCAGCTGACTAAGGCAAAACTGTGGCGTTGGTTATTAACGTGGCTGTGCAAAGATCGCATGCGCCACAGAGATCGGCGCAGGTGCCAGGCTTTTTGGCGCGCCGCAATTTTAATTAGGGAATGACGTTGTGCCATTAAACAGCGCGCCCTCACCCACTTGACTTTTGTGTTTTGTCTTCCCCCGGGCGCTTCATGACTTATTTTGCTGGCTCCATTGAAAGCTACGGTCACCTATTGTTTTAAGATCTTTAACGCCCTCGCAGAAACTGAGAATCTGAACGTTCTATTTTTATCCCCCTGGACACAATATATCTTTCAGCTCCACCCCCCACACCCCTACGAGCTACACGCTGCTTCTTCAGGAGCTAGTTGGCACTCACTACGTGCACAATGTCTGGCGCACTCTGGTCTCTAGTCAGCAAGAGGGTTCTTGCCGAATCTGCAAGGAACCATTTTGGCACTGAGGTACGATTGTTGATTAACAGGCTACCACAAACCAAAACAACTGAGCTAACCCCATGGCTGTTTCCTAGGACCCTTACTTCGAAGAAGTCCCTGCATCCCGTCTCGGAAAAGCGTTTGGCAAGAAGACCCAAAGGCGTCGCAAGGCTATCCCTCCCGGCCTATCGGAGAAAGATGCCAAAATTCTCACGCAGGTCAAGCGCAGAGCGTACCGACTCGACTATGCTCTGTTCAACCTGTGCGGAGTCCGCTTTGGCTGGGGTAGTGTAATTGGCCTCGTTCCCTTGTAAGTCTCGAACCCGAATCTACTCTGATCCCTTATCTGGACTAACGCAATGCTATTCCATAGTATTGGAGACGCCGGAGACGCCGCACTTGCCTTGATGGTCGTGAGAACCTGCGAAGGAATTGATGGTGGACTCCCACCGCGTTTGCGTATGATGATGCTGATCAACGTGGTCATCGACTTCTTCATTGGCCTGGTTCCCTTCATCGGTGACATCGCGGATGCTGTGTACAAATGCAACACTAGAAATGCCGTCATTCTTGAAAAGCACCTGCGCGAGAAGGGTGCCAAGACACTCAAGAAGCAGGCTCGACGGCATGACCTTCCGGCCATTGAAAATAGACGAGAAGAACGGATCATTGATCACAGCCTTCCAGAGGAGTGGGATAAGCAGGAGAGTGGCGTGGTAGATAGCTCGCCGCCTGGCTATCACGAGCATGCGATGTCAGGAGTCCGACCTGCAGATAATGCTGATGACGGACCAACCAGGCCTCCGCGCGCGAAGAAGTCCCGCGATAAACGTGGCTCCAGCAGGTGGTATGGCGGGTCGCGCCAGCGTGAGGATGACCTGGAGCGAGGAAGATGATTGATACGCTCCAAGGTATGATTGACGACAGATACCCTTTCGGACTGGGTTGAGGACAGACTCAGGTAATGACTGCTGCAGGTTGGTTTTGGTCGGGTTCTTTTGATAGCACATCTCCCATAGTAATTTAATCAGCAATTGGCTCCTGGACGAGATCTCATGCATCCGTAGCAGAACTTGGAGCTGTAATTGTCGCTGGATTGATTGGCGACCGTAACCCCGGAATTGCCCTTGACATTGCCAACATGTCCTCCACACAACGGGCACAAAACATCATCTGATCCCGTGGTAGACTCAAGTTTATTGGCAGTTCTCGACACGTTCGCCATAACACCACGGTACTTTTCGCCCTGTGTCCGAACGTAGCGCATCATGAGTTCGTCAATCGACAGGTTCTTTGTCAAAACATTGTCTGAAATAGGCTCATCCGGTACAACGATGCCCGAAAGCTCTTCGCAAACACCCTTGAACTGTTCAAGCTCAGGCTTAGACAGATCTCGAAGCGGGAAGTCAAAGGCCACACCCCAGGGAGACATGCCATCTGAAACTGACCAAGTCAACGAGGCACCGCGACCCTTGGCAACCCCGGCAAGTGTCTTTGCCGCAAGACGGGTGTCCGAGTCGCCCCAAACCACAGTGCCGCAGCCAAGACTTTTGGCGTATCCAACAACAAGCCTGGTCAACAGGACCGAGTCGAGGTCGGCCTTGGAGGTAGCGGTGGAAATAGAAGCGCGGAATGTCGTCAGACGATCCTCGTTTGACAGCGACTCGTCATCGGTGAAACTTGAGCCGGCGTATTCTTGGACGATTTCTTTCATATCAGAAACGTACTCGAAGACGCTGTGGAATGGCAGTCTGTTGAATGTGAGCTTCGGGAAAGCCTTTGTGACGGCCTCATAAGCCTGGTTGTACTTGGCGTCTGGCGTGAGGATAGTTGATGGATCGATGACAAGTATAGTGAGTTCAAAACCGAGATTGACGAAGGTGTTGGCGAGTTGGCGTTCAATATCGCCGTTGATAATGTGCAGCAGAACTGAGGATGAGACACCGAGGGAGAGTGGGAGCAGCAGCTTGGGTGTTTGACCGGTTTCCTTTTTCAATTGTTTATATTTGGACATGCGTAGCAAGACTTTGTGAGCAGCGAAACGCTGGAAGCAGTTCCTATAAGGTCATTTAGAACTCTGCACCGAGCCGGATGGATAGCATAGAGGGGCAGATAATGCGTTGCATACCCACAATACTGCCTCTTTCGGGTATCCAGGACAGCTTCTGCATCCTTGCAGTCCAAACAAGGACGGACCAACTCCTTAGCCGGCATTGCTGCGTAATTAGCTTTAACTTCTTGATCAAGATCGCCGATATCCAAAAAAGTTCATGAAAAAAGTAGTTGGTGGCGGTGCGGCCGGCGGGCGGCTTAGGTAAGATTACACGCGCGGGTTCCCCGGGCTTTCAGGCCACGCAATTGAGCTCGACGGTTCCGGACGAGCTTCGGTGGATCTGCCCTGAAAGACACCTTTCTCTTTCTAACTATTATCCGGCGCATATTGGATGCGGCGTGGTTTTAAATAGCCTTTCTCTCCGAACCCTGGAGCCTTGCTTGCTTCTTCACGATCGCGATGAAGGGCTGGCTCCGGACACTCGGCCTAACGGCCCTGCTCGCAGGCTCCGTGCTTGCTAACGAAGTGGAAATTGTGAGTGGCGTCGCGTTCTCGCTGGGATCAGTCCATCCGTATTTGTATAATGGAGTTCTGACAACCTTGATTCCATAGAAATCCGACGAGGCACACCGACAACGATGCTCAGGGATGTACAGTCGAAAGGCCTGGGGTGGAAATGTCGACCCCTTTATCTTGGTCAAGTTCTCTAAAGCCGATAACCAGGAGGGAGACCCTCTCGCCAGTTTGGTGATTTTTGAATGGAATGACGAAGAATTGATTGGCCAGTACCGATCTGATGACGCCGAGGTATCTCCCCCCGAGTCTCACGGCCAGGCAGAAATAGGAATTAATGGATTGCACCTCAGATGAAGGATACCATTTGCGACGAGGCGGCCGTGGACGCGAAACTTTGCAACCAAGAAGATGTCGGCTCTTTCATTCTTACCAAAAACGCCACCGATGCCTCTCAAAGCCCGATCATTTCCAAGGCTGTTCATCTCAACAACCCCGATGCCATCAAGTACCCGGTACACAAGACCGGTTTCTACTGCGTCAGCACCTATGCATACTCTGGGGAGGATTATAACGCGGTGGTTACTTTCCGGAACTCGTACGGTGAACTTCCTGCGGCGCAAATTGCTAAGCTTCCGTTCTACGGGGCTCTGACAATTGTCTACGCTGTTGTCGGAATGTATGTGGATATGGACTCGGTATATTCCAGAGCAGAAAAGCTGACAGATTTTTAGGTTCTGGGCATTCTTATATGTTCAAAACCGCCATGATATCCGTAAGGCTGAAATCAGTCCATTGGCCGATGCAGGTGCTAACTATAAACAGTGCCCGTCCAGAACTACATTACTGCGATCCTTGTGTTCTTGATTGTCGAGCAGCTGATGACCTGGGGCTTCTATGGTATGTTGTTTGTTTTTGTCATCTTTCTGCTCCGTGATCTGACTTCTTTCCCCTCCTAGATTACCAAAACCGGCATGGATTGAATACCATGGCAAAGGCATTGATGATTATTGTTGCCATTCTCAATGCTGGTCGAAACGCCTTCTCATTCTTCCTCCTTCTCATCGTCTGCATGGGTTACGGCGTCGTCAAGCCCTCTCTGGGCCGGACCATGGTCTATGTCCGTATCTTGGCCATTGCGCACTTCATTTTCGCCATGGTCTACTCGATCGCCAGTCTGTCCATTACTCCCGAAGGTGCCGGCCCGATGGTTCTCCTGATTGTTCTGCCTTTGGCCGGTACCTTGACGGCTTTCTATGTGTGGACCTTGAACTCGCTCAACGCCACCATGAAGGACCTGATCGATCGTAAGCAGAAGACCAAGGCGCTGATGTACAAGAAGCTGTGGTGGTGCATCCTTGGTAGCATCATCGTAATTTTCGGCTTCTTTTTCATCAACTCATTTGCTTTTGCCGGCCGCAGTGATGCCAGCTTTGTTCCCGAGCACTGGAAGACACGGTGGTTCGTGCTGGATGGCTGGCTCAACCTGGTCTATCTGTTCGACATTGCCTTTGTCGCTTATCTCTGGCGACCAACCGCGAACAACCGGCGCTTCGCTATGAGTGATGAGGTACGTGGTTTATTAACAAACGAAACTGTGTGTTGAAAGTGGTATACTAATAACTTCTTGCAGCTCGCCCAAGATGATGACGGGTTCGAGATTCGCTCATTCGGCAGTGGCCTTGACGAGGAAGATCCTTTGGATGCTCCTCCCGAGTACCCCGGCAGTTCCGCTGCAGTTGGGCGTCGCGATTTGTCGCCCGTGCCTCCCAAGCCTGTCTCGGCGTCGAATCAGCGGGCCTCCCTCGATGAGGAGACGATCTTCGCCGTTGGTGAGGACGGAGACAAGTGGTCGGATGATGACGAATCTCCTCGTAACTCTAGCGAAAGACAACGACTCACCCATTAGAGCGGACCATGACTCGATGTCTTGTGCTAGCAATTTGTCCTCATTGACCGGGGCCAATTGAGCCTTTCTTGAGAACAGCGTGAAAAATTCATCTGTCCAGAGTCTGGCTCGAGCTTCATGCATGTCGCGGCGTTTGTTTCCCTTTCATTTTTTTTGTTTAGTGTGATGGGAATTTGATACACCTGGATCGACCTGGCTTGTATGTTGGCCACCGGAATATGCTCTGAATAGCTTGCTGCAGAAACAGGATTTGCTTAGCTGCTGAAATTAAATAGTTATTGACATCATGTACAAATATTAATGACAGAGATTTAGATCCTCCAGGATAGGATACTGCTTTGATCATGACTCTTATTGTCACAAGTCGAATCCGCCAGAAGCCTATAGATCGACCGGGGCGGGTCCCACTGACAGCTTGAGTCATACAGAGCCTCATCTCTGACTTATATTGGACCCTTGTATGCCCGTATTTAACCTATCCTATGCTCCGGTCCTTGGTTGAATCCAACTCAATTGCATATTAGACCCACGAGTCTCAACTATATCAATCACATAAACAAACTTCCTGGGCTCCATCTGCGATAAGCAAGCATATCGCATCCGCCCCGCACTCCGCCAGGCACAAAGCCACAGCACACGCGCCTCGTACCCAACTTTTCCAAAGCCGTCAATTCCCCAACCAGCGCCAATCAAGCATCTCTCCAGCTCCATCTATGCAGTCCATATAGTCCACTATCCCAAAACACGCGTAACCCCACTTCCACAATGACGCAAGACCCCGCCAGCACCGGCGACCCTCCAACATTCCCACACAAGCCCCTCGACCTGCAGAAATACATACCCTCCCCGATCCAGCCCAGTTCTAAAGCCTCCGAGCGCCTGCATCAGCAATGCCTCGATCTTCTCGCCGAAGTCGACGAGCTACAGAGCCTCCTCAAGTCCTCCCTACGCAATCCGCAACTCGTCGAGGTGCGCCAGTTCAGGTCCAATGTGACCTCTGAGCTGAAGATGCTGCAGAAATTGGAGCAGCGGTTCCAGAGTGCTGCTAGTACCAGCGAGTCCCAGACGAAGGTTCAGAGGGAGAGCCAAAGTCAGGACCAGGATCAGGACCATGATAGTGATGGGGACGGGGAAGCTGGGGAGGATGATGATTCGGTGGATATGCGGCTGATGCATGCGCTGCGGTCGTCCAATTTACCATTCTACCAAGCTGTGTGGGATATTGCGAGGGGCTCGTGCTACGGGCTTCTTGCGTTGGGGAAACGGTTCTATTGGGATGGACAAGTGAAGGATTCTTCTGAGAAGGAGAAGAGTGCATCCAAGACTACTTCGAAAAAGGGCGGGGGAAAACAGCCCAATAAGGATAAACGCAAAAGTGTCTTTGTGGATATCGTGGCCGATGATGGAGAAGAATGGGTCAAAGTGTCGACCATGTCGGAAAGCAGATTGCTGTTCGAGATGGCTAAGAAAGGGTGGGAGCGGGACTCGGAGGACGAGTGTATGTCCGACGAAGGGAGTGACGGTCCACGACGACGGACTGTGCTACGGAACTTTGATGGTTCGGACTACGAAGAGGATGATGATGAGGATGAGCTGGAACTCATCAAGTTGGCACGCGATCTAAGGAAAGCGGCCGACGCTACACGGTTGCGGTATAGACACCCGCGACTACGAGTGGTACTGCCTAAAATCGGGGAAGGAAATGTCCCTGAAATTGATGATATTCTCCATGAGATGCGCAGCTATGGGGTCAAGGTCGAATGTCAAGAGACTCTGTCAATAGCTGCCGGTGCCAAAAAGCCCGAGCTGACCTGCCTGCTGCCCAGGCCATTCAAACGCTTCACTGCTACCTTGAATGTGGATTGCACTCTGCTCCTCGCCCTAGTGTCTGATCTATCCCATGCCAAGGAAATCGTTACATTACCCAGTTTCCATAGAGCTATTCTTCGGCAGATCGAGGTTGAAAAGCAGCAGCCGCTGTTACAAACCGAGCTCTGGCCCGCCATGGGTGAGCATGAGCTGCTGTGTACCAACGAGGCGGCAATTCGCATGCGCGAAATTGTGGAACTCATAGGCACCGATACCGAGAAAGAAAGGACGAAGATTATGATGGGTGATCCCCCATATGCGCGCCTGGACCGCCAGATCGCCGTCCAAAAATTCCAGGAGTTGTCGGACTGGCAGGTGCCAACACACTGGCAACTCCCCATCAAGGCCATCGACCCGCAGCCGGCCATCACTGCGGCAAAGACAGAGGGAAAAATACCCCCCGTGGCAGATCGAGTTGCAGAAGGGTTATCGGATATCAACCACAGCGTTTTCATGTATGGGTGGGTGACTGGAATGACGACCATTTCCAGCAATCGCACAATCGATAAGCAGATCGAAACCACGATCGAGACTAATCGAGGCACTGATGAAGACCTCGAGGGACCCATGGTCTGGATCTGTGACACAGCCCGAAGTTTGGCCGGGAAAGAAAAAGATCGCAAAGCATAGAAATAGAGAGATGTGGTCGTCAGGTGTTCATCGACCGCACACCCTTTGGGAAGGGCCCTCCGCTAGAAATAGACAAAGTTCCCTTGTTTGAGAAACACCATCGGTTGAGATGTTCCGCTCACATAGATATTTCGTGATAGAGATGATAGAGATGATAGTAGTCCAAGAAACGAGTCTGGTCCACTGAGTGTCTTTAAACCTCGGGTCATAGTAATTAAACACATCCGAGCCACCGCAGAAGTTACTTCAAAGTCGTAAGTGAAAGGCCTACTTGTCGGATGGCCGGGGCGGTTCGTCGGGAAGCCAGAACACAATGTCCTTGTCGGCACTGGCAATCATGTTAAACCGCGGATTGTACTCAATGAGAGCAGTCCGACCTCGGTGAGGTAGTCTGGCAGTAGGCTGTAACGCGGCATTGTCGTGTCGTCCCTCTCGTACTTCATTGAGGTCCCACACCAGCACGTCTTGCTGCTCTCCGTTGCCGCCAATCACAAACCGTCCATCAGGGGTGAAGCAGGCATCGCCTTGACCCAGAGGTTTGCCAGTAGTTGACACTGGGGCAGCGCGACCAGTTGGTCCGCTTTTGCCAGTCAAGAAAGCCTTGACCGTGCCGTCAAAGGCATCTAGTATGTAATGTCCATGATAGTCGGTTCCAACCATCAAAAACTTCCCATCGTTGGAGAATTCTAGCTTAGTCCAGGCACGTCCACGAGTCGAAGGGGTGTAAATCTCCTCAAACGGAGCGAGGTCAAAGGTGGAAAAGGGCGCTTTGTCATAATTGCGGAAATCGTAGAGGAGGACGGAGGAGGTAGACTGTGAAGCAATCGCGATAACCGAAGCCGAAGGGTCAAATGCCACGAGGTATGGGGTCGCCAATTTGAGTTTGCCCTGTGGGTTGCGGGAACTGAGATCCCAGACGGTGACCGTGTCGTCCTTGGAGCAAGAAATAAAGGCATCACTGCCGGGGGACACTGCTAGACTTGTGACCTTGTCTGTGTGACCGGAGAAGTACCGCACATATCCTTCGTTGTGAAGATCGAGCAACCGCAAAGAATCTACCCGACAGACTGAGTTATACCAATTTCTATCAATCAATACCATTCGGTGTACTTACGGTCAACCTTGGTACTGGCATGCAGCACCTGACGAGAGTGGTGAGTGAATCGGGCGAGGTGAACACCGTATTTCTTGCTAGGAACCGATTTGGTGGATTTGCCTTCTTTGACATCAAAGATCTGAATGGTTTCGTCGTCACCAGCAGCGACTACGAAGTCGCCCTGGTCATCAAAGTCTAGAGAGGTAGTATAGTTTGAGGTGGACTCTGACTTTGAGCTTTTGAAGGACTAAGACAAAGAGGATGAGCGGCGGCGTGGGGGCAGATTGAGGATCCATTGGCTATCCTACCTTGCAGGGACGATACCCTCGAATAACATCGGGTATCTTCTGAGACTGCTGAGTAGCCTGGGCAGTCGGCTGAGACACCGCTGTCTGCTGCTGGCCCTCGGCCATATTGAGAGTGTAGGTGGTGCAGAGGGATACTGATGATTCAGGTCAGGAGGGCGTGAGAGAGGAGGAGGAGGAGGTTGAGCTTGAAGTAATAAGAGAACTGAGTTAGGTAGTACAGGGAAACAATGCAGACAGTCAACGCTCAGGTCGTTTGGGCGGAAGGGCCCAGGGCAGGGTCGCGCTTTCCGCTTTGGGCCAGACAAAGAGCTCTCCACGCGCGCCTTCTTTTTCGCGCCACGGATTTACTTTCCGCCGAGTCACCGCCCTGGCCGCCCTGACCGTCCTGACCGCCCCCGGAGTCGGAGCTCGGCAGGGGCAATTGACCAATCATGGAGGCCGAGTTTCGGCCTGCAGTAACCGCAAGTAAGCTTTTAGATGCACTTCAGCCCAGATTACTTCGTCCGGACGCCTGATCTGACAGTCTCAACACTTCACCGGCCCTCGATATATAGAGATTTGTGCCCTCGAACAAGCCTCGCCGGCTTTCAACTTTTCCCACACTCTCTAATCGGGGGCTCGCCTCGTTCTTTACCTCTATCGCCCTCTCCGATCTCACCCCGATCGCCATCTTACTCGTCTGACTGATCCGTCATCTGCCGCGACAGGCTTACATTTGAGTCACGATGTCTACCACAACTGGGTATGGTGTTGCATCCCTCACCAGTGCAATTGGAGTTAACCCAAGTTTATGCTAACGTTCGGCGTGGTTAAATTAGGGCTTTCCTCGCCGGTGGTATCGCAGCTTGCGGTGCCGTAACTGTCACCCACAGTTTCGAGACCGTTAAGATTCGGTAAGCTTTACAGAATCGGTCGCCTTGGTCGCCTGATGTTAGCGCTGATTCTGATAACCTCTAGGTTACAACTTCAGGGTGAATTGCAGGCGAAGAACGAAGGTGTGAAGAAGTATCGGGGTGTCCTGCACGGTGTCAAGGTTATCCTTCAAAATGAAGGCCCCCGAGGATTGTTCCGTGGCATTGGATCTGCCGTGAGTGAAATTATGCCCCCTAATAGCACCATTTATTAAAGTCTGGCGTGAGCTAACGCCCGGATCATATCTAGTACATCTACCAGGTCCTTCTCAATGGCTGCCGCCTCGGCTTTTACGAACCCATTCGCTCTAATGTTACCAACGCCATTTACAGCGATCCCAAGGTGCAGTCCCTCGGTGCTAATGTCTTCGCCGGTGCGGCCTCTGGAGTCATCGGTGCGGCTGCTGGATCTCCGTTCTTCCTGGTGAAGACCCGCCTGCAGTCCTATTCGCCCTTCCTTCCTGTCGGTACCCAGCATAACTATAAGAACTCGATCGATGGCCTGAGCAAGATCTATAGAAGTGAGGGTGTCAGGGGTATCTATCGTGGTGTTGGAGCTGCTATGATCCGTACCAGCTTCGGTAGTGCTGTTCAGCTCCCCACATACTTCTTCGCCAAGCGCCGTCTGACACGGCACTTGGGTATGGAGGAGGGACCCGCTTTGCATCTGGCTAGCAGTGCGGCGTCTGGCTTTGTTGTGTGCTGCTTCATGCATCCTCCTGGTATGTCTGACACTTTTCGAGACCAACGTGATACTGTGGCTAATACTTTGATTTCCAGATACCATCATGGCTCGCATGTACAACCAAACTGGTAACCTGTACCAGGGTGTCTTTGACTGTTTGTTCAAGACTATCCGCACCGAGGGTGTCTTGGCTATCTACAAGGGCTTCTTCGCTCACCTGGCCCGTATTCTCCCCCACACCGTAAGTCTGATCTACTTGGGTATAAGTCAATTGAAATACTAATCCAATGGCTTTTAGATCTTGACCCTCAGCTTGGCCGAGCAGACCAACAAGCTGATGCGCCGCGTCGAGGACCGCATCCTTCCGGACTTTCTCCGCGAGAAGATCTAGTTAATGAGGGCCAAGACCGAAATTTCTTGAGCTCAGCCCATTCCGGCTCTCGCGTTGCATCAAGACTTACTTCATCTTTGATTCTTCTAGACATGTTGACTTGCATTGAGTGAGGTGGACTTTGCGATACCAGGTTTTCTTTGGATATAGATTTGGCGTTCTTGGTCCGCCGATTCTTGAACATTTTGTTTTGTACATAATTACGGCGGTAAATTTTAGTGCGATTGAAGACATGATTTCTGCTTCCTAGAGTTCAATCCTGCCATTGCTTCCACCTGGCACCCAGAGGCATTTTGCCCGTGGGTCTCGGCCGGCAATCCCTATCCGAGATATCTAGACCGTAGAAACAACTGACATACTATAGGGTGCTCAAAAGTACCTTGTTGTAACAAACTTTCTTTAGTGGGATTCATATGATTTGGACATTTTGAATCATGGCAGAAAGTGTTTCCCTGCCTCTGTTTTGGCGAAGAGGCATTTCTTCGGAGAGGAGCTTCAGTGTACTCGGCATTTACAACTATTGAGGGCAGCATGCATTCCTTTCCCCTGGCATAGTCACAATGTAATGCACGAGGCGCTATGTAGCCTCAACTACGTATGGCTTCTCGTTCATTACCTAAGAATTTCCTGTAGGGCACTGGATACCCGTGGGATTGAGCCTGAAATCTAGCGGCCCCCAAATCCCTCGCCGCAACCTTGTGCTTCCAATTCTTCCTACTGGATACTTTCCAAGTCTCCAGGACTCAGCCCCACCGTTGGTTCCCCGCCGAGCGAGCTAAGGATCCTCATTATAAGGCATCAGGGGTTACTCTGCCAATCAAGAAGGTTGTACTTGCAGCTCCGTGCACAGGGCAACTGGGCCTGGCTAAGGTCCTTGGCGTCCAATTCTCTATAAGAACCGGACAATATCCGTCTTTGATTTTAATGATTAGTTCCAAAAGTCCCAATCTCTGGCTTATATAAAACCATCATGCCATCCTTCAAGACATTCCTCCTCCCAATAGTCCTCCTAGTGGCCACTTCCAGCGCAGCCACCTGTTCCGGGGATTGGTTATCAAACACATTCAATGGCGATACCAAATGCTGCTATGGAAACATGCTAGTTGAAGACCGTGATGCTTTCTGCTGCGTTTACGACCTGACTCCTCCCGTGGAGACTAGCAGCGCTTCAACGGCGACTACGACAAGCGATGACTACGATAGTTGGTCCACTGCTGGCGAATGTTTCACAAAGATTCCCTTCAGCGCGAGCAACTATTCGGATCTGGTTTCTTCGGCCTCCTCGAAGATTGCGGCCACTAGAGCGACTGTTGCGACAAATGAGGCCAAGTCTACAAGTACGAGTGCTAGCTCGGCCTCATCAGGTACGAGCTCTGCCGCCAGCAGTACCAGCTCTCAAACGAGCTCCGGATCTGCCGCCTCTACTAGCAATGCCGCTATGCCGATTGCTACTGCTCAAGAGATGATGCTTGGTGGGGCTGCAGTCGTCGTCGGTCTTTTCGTGCTGTGATGTAGAACGATTTGACAATGTGTGGTCTGCTTTGTGGATGTATATAGGCTTGAGGTCTTCGAGTAGCATTTCTAGGTAGAGAAGAATGGGAACTTGGGCAAGAGACCTGCAGTATTGATGTATTCATAGAATTATAACTTAATTCAATGCATTTAGCGCTCCTTGAGTATATCTGCAATGCGAAACACCCTAATCGCCAGTTCTGAAATATTCCATATCCCGCGCCGAGTATGTTACGACTCCGAACCAAGTAGAAATAGCAACCTGAAAGCAATGCTAGCCCACATAAAAAAATTAATACTCAAAAGACGATGTAGACGATTCAGACCATGGAGAATACGGTCTGCAAAGAGCCGAGCCCTCCACAATACCCGCATGAACACCCCCATCCAGCAAAAGCGCCACAACGCCCTGACTATCTTCCGCCGTCAAAGCGCTGTCCAGTGGAGTCTCGGGAGGATTACTGAAATCGTAGATATTGACATCCGCTCCCCACTTGAGCAAGAGCTCCACAATCGAGACATTTCCATTCTGCGCAGCGTAGAATATCGGCGTTCGACCTCTAGAGTCGCGCTCATTGGGATCGGCTGCATACGTGAGAAGCAACTTGACCATCTCGTAATGTTCGCTCCATGCGGCGACTCCCAAGACCGTCCTCACAGCCGCGAAGGAATGGTGGCTGCCTTTAGCGTTTGCATCAGCCCCAAGTCGGAGAAGTCGCTTTGCGGTGTCTTCTCGGCCGTTGTAGGCTGCGTGGAAGAGAGCCCATCCTCCTTCCCGGATATTGCGGCGGTAGAACCAGTCGTTTAAGCGGGAGTATAACCCTCGGCTTGTGAGGATGAATTGATTGACTTCGTTCTCGTTTTCAAGATTGTCGGCGATGGTTTGGAGGATTTCATTAGGTAGAGATGTGAGAGGCATTTTTTGGTAGACTTGGAAGTAGTTGGTCTAGGGTAGTTTTACAGATAGGTTGATGAATGATTGTAAGGGATTCTCAGCGCCTTATATGCATGACGTGAATGAAATCAAATAAGTAATAGTCTATTCGTAATAGGAGTCTCCCGTCGATAGAAAGGGAGAATTACATAAAGGACAACCCGTTCTGGTAACTATCCATGGATTTAGCAAGCAACCGCCCGTGGCTCAAATAGGAAACTCCAAGACCGGGAAGAATGAAATTTGGATATGCAAAAATAGCCTTTCTTGTGTTATGAATGGAGACCTCGTTTCTCTCGTCGGTCTTCCTTTCCTCAATCCCCTCTCAGTTCTCATCGATTTTCTTCCCAGCTAGAATTCAAGGAGAGAGGTTGGTGTTGTTTCTACCAAACACACCAAATCAATATCAGATAGGTGATCTTTCACGGGGTTGGATGGCCTTCATTCTTGCGTCCACGAACCTACCGATATCATGTGACCTCCCCAGGCCACTCCGCTGGAACCACCGGTTCCCCCTCCTTAAGACGGCCAGAGTATGTTCGCATTAGTTTCTCGACCTCACTTTGATGAGGATGGAACCCATAAGAAAATCTGATATCCGCCCCATGTTCGAGAAGCAGTCGTACCATCCACTGATTGTGTAGTTTGGATGCCATGTACAGAGCTGTTGCGCCGCTCCAGTCTTGCCTATTAACGTTTGCGCCGTATTCTAGGAGAAAAGTCGCGATTTCCAGCTCGTTTCTTGCGGCAGATTCAATCAACGGCAGTGAGGGTGGTATGTATGACCAGTCAAAGTCATGGCTATACGGGACATTAGCATCACCCCCAAGCCGGAGAAATCGCCGAGCTGTCCCAACTTAACTCTTTTGAATCGCCCAGCGGAGCGCCCAACCATCAGTTCAGTCCTGATGCTGCGGTGATAGAGGTTTTTCGTGAAGCAGGTATTCAGGTATCTGTTTGTGCGAGTGAGGGCGGAGAGGCTCGAACAGTCCAGCATCTGGATGATCATGAGAAGAATCTCGAGAGGGAGGGATATAAGAGGCATGATGGTGACACACACGTGACGAGATATGGGGATATTGGGCGAGAGGCGTGATTGGAAAGAAGGCACGGTTATCTCGCAGTGTTGAGTGAGGTAAGAGATGGTCTCTCAGTCGAACCTGAAGTCGAAAGCTGGTTGAGGCTGTTTGGAGTTGTTGAGCCGAAGAATGTATCGTAGCTCACCGTATATCCCCACATATTTACTCCATAGGTTGTATAAAATGTCTGAATAAACAGTTGTGAATTAGGTAGCGTGCTCTATATACTTCCGTAGACTATACTTCATTCGGCCCGGGATGATCGGTGGGGCGTGGTGGAGTCGTGGCAGCTTATCGGCGGAATGGAGTAGCTTCATCTTGTACTGTCACGATCGAAGAGCATCCATAGAGATAGCAGTAAACAAAGAGAAACTTGTTCATAGCTAGAGAGAGAAGGAATAAATAATCACCAAGAATTTCCATCGTGGAGGAAAGGAGAGAACTTTCTGCTGAGGAGCTCTTTGACCGTTTAAAACTGATTTGGGCAGGCAACCCCGCCCTGGTCACTGGATGCTTATCGATTACGAAAGTATGGCTTCCCTCAAAGCTTCCTCTTTTTATCATCCTCCTCTCCTTCTTCACCACAGCCCACCCACTTTTTTATCTATCGAGCTGTTCGTACATTCAGTCTTCTCTGCTATCACCATTACTCTCCATTTCCTCCGCAGCTGCCCGTGGCAGTTGCCCTTCGATACTGCGACCAGCTGACGGGCTCCTCCCCGCAGACCCACCCAACGGGGGCACATGCTTAGATCCCAGGCATCCCCATCCTCGCGGTGCGTTTGGTTTCTCTCTCTGCTTCATCCTTTCCCTTTCTTTCCTTGAAACCACTCTCACAATCACTCTATGATCCCCCCAAAGTCATGGCTGACGCTTCAGAGTCGCCCAGGCGTCCCCCGAGCGCCCACACAGCCTCTCATCTACAATACCCGACCCTCCCGCCGCTCTCAGCCTCCGTTCAAGAGTGGTTGTCCCGCTCTCGTCCAGCCAACAACATGACGTCAGACCAACATCTCACGCTGCCCGCAAGATCTCTCGGTGATAGCTGGGCAGACCTGAGTGTCTCCGATCTACATTCTGAGGATGGCAGCCGTTCCGAGAATACCGATATGGGGTCGTTGATCGACCCAACCGGCGCCGACGACGTAGCCAGTCTCGATGAGCGATACAGCAGCAGCGAAGTCGGTGGCCCTGACGACGAATATCCCCCAGAGGACGAGGACGTTGTTAGAGACGATCTGCAGGACTCGGTAGCCTCGCAGCAGTTCCCGATCATGTTCACTCAGGATGAGACGGCGATCGACAATAGCAACCTGACCACCCGCACGGCTTATCGTCAGTCGATCGACTCGATCGAGTTTGTGGAGCCCGATAAATGGCCAGAGAGGGAGAGAGTAGAGCTGAAGCACACGATCCACATTTTCGATGACGCGGAGGCGGCCAAGATGAGGGAGTCTCTGCCGCATAACGTGGAGGGTGCGATCCTGATGACCACGGTTCAGCAAACCATGACCAAAGGAAGTCTGGACCTGGATAAGCCCTATCGTGTTTTGTATATTGGCCAGCCAGACTCTCGGAATATCATCCTGGACAAGATCGGCGATGTCTTGGTATCAAGCTCGACCGCCGGATCGCAAACCAGCTCGGCCAACTCCTCCCGCTACCATGTGGTGCCAACCTCTTTCGGAGCTGGTGCCGTGCCTAACTTTGCAGAGCTTCTCCCGATCCACGTCCAGCTTGTCGTGGACGAGTGCAAGGATGCGAGTGCCGAGTCTCACGAGATTCGACCCAGCACCTTGCACCTAGACTTCAAGAATCGCCCCGCATGTCGGTCATGGTGGGATGGCGATCAATATCGGATCTCGTCTGCATCGGAATGGACTCTACCAGATGTGGCAATTCTTTTCGTGTCTGATAGAGATAGTCCGGCTACTATCCAGACGCAGCACTATGTCCATACTTTCTTGGAGCGGCATGGAATCCCCGCCATGGTGATCTCGGAGGAGCCGCTCTGGAAGCGGGCGAGCGAGCCCATCCCTTTGAACCACAACAGTCTTCATATGTGCCTGGAGTCTCGACACCCACGGACTGGGGAAACCGCCGTGCTGCGTCGGTATCCCATCGATTTGAAGACATTCGAGAGTATCACACCCGGCCAGCTCAACAGGAACTTGGCTTCGCTCATGGACCTCTATCCCAAGAAGATCCCTAAAGTTACTGCTGATGCCCCCAGACCGGTTGAACTATACTCATCGACAGACCCGGAGAAGTACCCTCGGAACTGGCTCCACTCATCATACTCCTCCAAGGCGCGTGAGCTAGGGCCCATGCTGCGCCTTGTCACGTTGACACTGATTTCCGCTATTGCTCTCTCAATCGGATATGCAGCTGTGAATACCGTGTTTGTTTCTGTATCTCAATGGATTTCCGGGCCAAAATTTTCCAACACCGGGTCTCAACTGAGTCCTCCTCTTTTATCGACTTCCGTGGCAGTCCTCAAAGTTCCGCAGACCTCGGGGTCTATATGGCCCGCAGGGCAGTCGTGCCACCCAAATAGCAAGCCCGCAGCAATCATCGACCATGTCGCAAAGCTTACAATTACCGATTCGAGCTCTTCTGGAAGTCCGGACGTCTTTGAGATTCAAGTTGTTGGTGACTGCCACGTGGTTATCAAGCCTCCTCGCAGCTTTGTCACGTATAAGAAGCAACCGCCTTTTAACGTGAGCGCTCGCCGATACGAGCAGCCTCTGTCATACGAGCTTTCCAAGCTGTTTGACGGAGTCTATACACTAAGGCTAGACCGAGAGGATGCATATGGTTTGATCAATATCACCGTCTCTGCCAAGTCGAAGCCACCAATCAACCAAGTCACGACCGTTGACTTTGGAACACCGTGGCTGAAGATTGCAAGCTGGAGACGAGCAGCCCGAAAGGTCTCCTCGCAAGTCACGAAAGACTTGCAAATTGCTCAAACCAGCCTGGCTGAAGTGTACGGCCGGGTCTCCACCGATGTGCAGGTGAGGATGGGGGATCTGGTCAAGCGGTCTCATTTCCTGCACCAGGACACCCTGCGACGCCAGGGTCTTCTCGCACGGGATACCGTGCTCTCGCGCTCCAAACAACTCTCCGAGGTCATTACTCGTAATGCGCTTGAACAGTTCCGAACCGTCTCTGCTGTCGTGCACAGCCGTTCTGTCCGGGTCAACCAGGAAGCCAGAGGGCTTGTCATTGAGGCCTGGAATCGCCTCGGCGATTCTGCAGCCCAAGTTGATATTCACTCCATGATGGATCGAGTGCGTAGTGCCAAGTGTGCCGCGCTAGATCGGGCTCAGGCACGCGCACGCCGCGTTGTGGGGCGCCGCGACTAGGATCATTGCTGGGGTCGAGGCTAGCTTCCCAGTGTCGCCATGATTTATGTTCTTTTTTTTCTGCACTCGACTCTTGCTGATTTCTATGTTTCTTTGGCTATTGATGGGGGTTTTTGTTTACGGCGATCAGGCTGGGCGGGATGGTAACTTGGAGAGGCTGAACTCACGCGAGTATTATTCTTTTTTGTCTTTCAGAGGATAACCTTGACCTAATCATTTAAGGCTTAGTTTATACCTCTGCCCTCTAAGTAGGCCACGTAGGAGTATATTATGAATTATAGAAGTCACGCATACTGAGCTCGCCTAATTTCGAGTATCCGTCCAATCCATCGATCCCGAGGAAGAGAGGGAGATCAACATCTTCAACAGTGATGAAAAGATAAAGCTTCTCGTTAGCGACAATAATTGCAAACCCCGAGGTGGTCTAAAGAAAATCTCGTTGCTCAAAAATGAAGTTTGGCATAATCCCTTATAGTTATAAGCGCATTTTATGAAATCATTCGCAGATTATCTAGGAAGATAGTTCTAAAGACCTTGAGGAAACCCTTTCGAAAGAGGAACATTAGAGCTTATCTAGTTTTCCTCAGGCACTTAATTCAGGTAGGCTGTACTAGTTAGGCTCAGTATGTCGTGTAAAATCCATGATATAAGTCATTAGTTAACTACTGGTGGTGGAAGTAGTTGCCTTGTAAACCCGTCCGAAGGCCCGAAAGCGGTGGCGAGTTCTGCCCGCACCCAAACTATTAATTTTTCCCCCCTCATCCAACCCTCCCGCATCAACAAAGCACTTTCTTACCCCTGAATACCTTGATCCCCGGTATTCACTCTCTTTCCGATCCTCTCCTACCTCCTATTTTCCCGAATAAAACCCTTTCACCTCTATTTTCGCTATGTCTGACGTTGCGGAGACCAAGCCCGACCCCACCACCCAGGCTCCTGAGGCCGACAAGCCTGAGACCGCCACCACCGGTGAGGGCGAGAAGACCGTCACTGAGGCTGCCGCCTCTAAGGCCGCTGAGGTTGCCGAGACTGCCAAGGATGCCGCCGTGAAGACTTCCGACACCGTTTTCTCCATGTTCGGTGGTGGCCCCAAGAAGGAGGAGAAGCCCAAGGCGGACGAGGAGGAGAACGACCGCTCCGGCTCCGCCAAGGCCCAGAAGGAGGAGAAGGAGGAGGACGTTGAGGCCGACAAGGTGAGTTGGAATACTTGAATGGGGTGGTGTCTTGGGTTGGGTGGTTTTGGGGATGCGCGGTGATGGAAATCAAAACACTCAAGCCCCAGAACGCGGGGTGTTTTCTCGAGCCCCGCAGCTTGTGTGGCTCGCCGCTACCCAACCACCCACACCATTTCATCCCGTTCGCAATGAGTTTTGGATATGCGTCTCTAACCCATTTTTCTTCTTCCGTGTAGGTCGTTTCCGATGCCAGCTGGGTTAAGCAGGAGTTGAAGGATGTGGTTGAGGTCAAGACCCACGAGGAGCTCGAAGAGCAGGTGTTCAAGATGCGCGCCAAGCTCTTCAAGTTCGACCCCGAGAGCAAGGAGTGGAAGGAGCGTGGTACCGGTGACGTCCGTCTGCTCAAGCACAAGGAGAACCAGAAGACCCGCCTGGTCATGCGCCGAGACAAGACCCTCAAGGTCTGCGCCAACCACTACAGTGAGAATTTCCCGGGAACCCCCTGAGTTTTTGAATATTCATACTGACTGCGACCTATCTAATAGTCGTCCCCGAGATGAAGTTGAGCCCCAACGTCGGCAGTGACCGCAGCTGGGTCTGGAACACTACCGCCGATGTCTCCGAGGGCGAGCCCGAGAAGCAGACTCTTGCCATCCGCTTTGCCAACAGCGAGAGTGAGTTGATTCCATTCAGACGAGCGATTTCTCATGAAATTATACTAACCTTCGTTGTCCAGACGCGAACCTCTTCAAGGATGCCTTTGAGAAGGCCCAGCAGGAGAACGAGAAGATCTTCGGTGCTTCCGAGTAAACACGGATCGCACCGTGCATCTTTCTTTTCTCCAGCATGGAGGAGCCCCCAAGCTTATTAGCATGAAATGCTTTTCGCTGACGGACCTTGCGCTCCAGTTTTACCCATTTACCCATCCCACAATTCAAATTCCCCCCAAATACGAAAGAATCATGACATTTCCTCCATTCCTCTCCCATCCATGCCTCTATGACCTTTCTCCATTTACCCCTTTCCCCGACGACGTGACGACCAAGGCAGTCAATGATGATGATGCTGTTCGCAACGGCTATCGTGATGTGATTATGAAACGGAGGGCAGTTCCTTGATGTCTTTTGGTCCACAGTCGGCAGTAGATAGACATATTATTTTTTTTCTCCATCGAATATACACCCTGCACGTCAAAACATAGTCTATCGTGTGCTGTCTTGGGTTTTCTTTAGAAGTAGCGACAGATAGATTGATCTCATGATGCCTAGTAGTAGCTACGAGCCCGTCACGGCCTAATGACAGGCACCTGGTCGCAAGTAATTTTGAACTGACCATGAGAGGACCAAATTTCCTGGGGTACCCATCGATCATTTTAGAAATTCAAAATAAAAACGTGTTGTATATCTATTGCTGGCGAGTGGTTTCTACCTGTAGGCTTTGTTCAGCTCTCCGAGTTGGTCTCCGTTGCCCGTCGACTTCATTCCTCCCCACTCCCGCTTGCTCTCATCTTTTCTCCCTTCACTTCGAATACCCCCAATGCTCACCGCCGTTCTGGCTAAATCCCTGTGACCATTGCAACGACGATCTCGCCTCATTTCTGCCTCTCTTCCACCCACCCTTTACCCTCCATCACCTGCATACAGGAGAGCCGCGTCTCCCTTCCAACCCGCGCAAACTGTTCCGAGCTTCTTGCATCTCTCGGCGCGCACTCCTCCAAACCCACCTTACCTAAACAACACCGGTGACCGTGACATTCTCACGTTCTTCTTGCCAATATGCCTGACGTGAGTTATTCTTCCTTCCTTCTTTTAAGTGCTCTCGCTAGGCCCGGGCCCGTCGTTCTCAACGTCCGGACCGCGATCTGGGGTGCGAAGCCGCACTCACATCGCGCGTCTCCACGCTGATCGATCGCCTCCTTTTGGACTTGAAGCCTGTCGTCTAGAACTGAAATATTCTGGATGCTAACTCTTATTCTGTGATATAGGTTAAGCGCACTGTCCGTCTCGTCACGGAGCAGCACATCATGTACGTGTCCGGGCCTTACCTTACCTTTCCCTACCCACCACGAGCGATTGATCCTCTCTCCTCCATATACCTGGTTTTGACGGGACTATCCCCCGATGAAATCATGGCTCCGGTGCGACGAGAATAAGAAACGCGTCGGGGTCGAGACCGATGGGCGCGCAAGGAGCTCGCGAGCACCTGCCATCCACAGCTTCCCCGCATACATACCGGAACGTGAAAGATGATGTATATTACATAGGCTGACCATGATCGTCTGATTTGGTATAGTGACAAGGCATCGGAAATTGAGGGTTTCCCTCAGCGCGAGTGGTCGATCGAGGTGTATCTGGTGAACGACAAGGGTGAGCAGGTGCCGGCTTCCGTCTTCGATAAGGCTGTCTTCCACCTGCACCCCAGTTTCGGAGAACGAGCCATCCAGAGTATGTATTATCTTCCTACCAGTTGAGCCTATGCCCAGCTGCTGCTGCGCGGTCATCTGCTAGGCATTGCCCCTTCTTGGGACATATCGGGGCTGACGAGACACAAAAACAGCTTTCAAGAAGCCCCCCTTCCGCATCCAAGAGGAGGGATGGGGTGAGTTTGATATGACCATTGAGCTGGTTGCGGATAAGACATACTCGATCAGGCATGACTTGAACTTTGCTCAGTCTCGTTATGAGGCCAAGCACCCGATTGTGAGATCCTCTTTTGTGTATACGTGAGATGAACCGAAGCTGACTGAACATCTTTGCGTATTCCAGACCTTCCGCAACCCCAAGCCCGCCCTCCTGGCACTGTTGCGTGAGTCTGGTCCCGTTCCTGGTGACGAGAATGGTCTCAAGGCCAAGCGCGGTGCTACCGGTGAGGAGAGTGCCAAGAAGAAGAAGCGCACTGAGAAGAATGTGAGTTCTCTGCTTTGCTCGTGACCTTTTTTCGAGGCTAATATAGTATTCAGGTTGATATGGACAAGCTTGCCGATGGTCTGCAAAAGTTGAACGAGGATGATCTGCTGCAAGTTGTACAGATGGTACATGATAACAAGTCCGCCGATTCGTACACCAAGAACGATGCTGAGAGTAAGCATAAGCACTTTCCCTCAACCTCGGAAACTTCTCGAGCTAATCTGATTTCTTCCACAGTGGGCGAGTTCCATGTCGACCTGTACACCCTCCCGGATTCCCTGATCAAGATGCTCTGGGACTTCACGGCTGACCGGGGCGCCCTGTAAAGAACCCCCTGTAACGAAGCAACGTGGACAAAGAAAAGGCACAGTCACCTTTACCCATTTGAAATTCTTGGTTCCGGTTCTGGATGTTCTAGGCACAAATCTCCTTCCATATCACGAAAGTTTCTTGCTCTAGCAAAAATTTCTTTCTAGTTCCTCCTGTCTTTCACGTTTTTTTTTCCTTCTCATTTTGTACTTCCCCATGCTCTGTTTCCCCCATCTCACCCTTTTTTGCCGTTCCATGTTTCTTTACTGGTTTGTTTTTGAATTGGGGAGTTAGCGGGCCCTTAAAGGAACCTTGGCTGTGTGGTCTTTTCTATTTCGTGACCGTGGTTTTTTCTTCTTCTTTTTCTTTCGTAGACTCCAGTCCATGTACATTGGAATATCTACGATTGGAATCATAGTTGGCTATTTCCTTTTTCTGATAAACGGGTTAGGGGGCTGTATGATCAATCTGGATACTGAATCTCAAATTCCTTGATATAAAGGCCTTATGGTCAACGTTGGCTGTGAAAATGGACGCACACAGTAGCGCTTCTAGCGGCCAGATGCTTCTTGATCAATATAACATGATAGCCCTAGGAATGAAATTCGACCCGAGGCGTGTCCCAGGACAACCTTGTTACCGTGAATGGCAGAGCAGACGGATCGATACTCGGGGGGTAGCCACAGGACTGCCTCGCCGCAGATTGCAATCCATGTATCCTCTAATATGGATATGCCCTCGCTGGCGAGATGGGAGATTTGAGTGTTAGGATCATCCAAAGATTGGAGATAGAGTAACCCAAGATTTGTTCTCAGATATGAATCGTTGTTCGAGAACTCCAATCCGGTGACCTCCCCGTTCATGATGTAGGTGTGTTGCAAGGTTGCGCTCATGACTTCCCAACTCTTGACGGTCTGGCCGCTCGAACTAGTAACTAGAAGCTGGCCATTGTGGGAGAAGGTCAAAGATAGGAGCGTATCTTGATGGCCTTCAAGAGTATGGCGGAGAGTACCCGTAACAATGTCCCAAAGCTTTACTGTATGATCACTCGAGCCGGAAGCTAACAATAGACCATCGGGGGAGAATGCCACACAGTGAATAGAGCTTGAATGGCCTTTGAGTGTCTGCAAAAGAGCGCCAGTAGTAGCGTCCCATATCTTAACTGTATCATCGCTCGATCCAGATGCCAAGAGTCGACTAATAGGGGCGAATGTGACACAGTAGATTGGGTCCATATGGCCTATAAGCGTCAACTGTAGAGAACCCGTGGTGATATCCCAAATCTTGATAGATTCATCTCGAGAACCAGACGCGAGATATTGGCCATCAGAGGTAAATGCTATCGCCAAAACAGCATCCGAATGACCTTTCAGTGTTCTCTGTAGATGGCCTGAGATGGGATCCCAAAGTTTCACAGTATGATCCCACGACGCGGAAGCCAGGATTTGTTTATCAGGTGAAAATACGATAGTCCAAACCCAATCAGAATGACCATCATCACTCTGCTGTGAACTGTGTGTGGACAAATCCCAGAGCCGTACTGTGTGGTCCAAGGAGCCTGACGCAAGTGTATGGCCATCAGGAGAGAACGCCACAGACCGAGCCAAAGCCGAATGGCTTTTGAACGTATGCTTCAAGGTTCCCATGGCAGTATCCCGAACCTTGACAGTTCTATCACCGGAACCAGTCACTAAAAGTCTCCCATCGGGCGAGAAAGTGACCCCGTAAACTGCGTCTAGTTCAATGCGAGACGCGAAACATTGCAGCAGCGCACCCGTAGCGGGATCCCAGAGTCGAGCTGTTCTGTCTTCGGAGCCAGATGCTAAAAGACCCTGTGGGGAAAATGCCACAGAGTAAACTAGATCTGAATGGCCCAGAAGCGTCCTTTGCCAAGCTCCGCTAGTAGAATCCCAAAGACGTATGGTTTTATCTCGAGAGCCGGATGCTAGCAGTTTTCCGTCTGCCGAGAATGCTAGGCAGAATATAGAGCGTGAATGGCCCGTAAGAGGCGGCTGGAGGATCGCGCCAGTGGTCATATCTCGCAACATGACTGTGCGGTCGAACGAAGTCGATGCGAAAAGTCGACTGTTTGGGTATACAGCCACGGCCGTCACGCCATCTGAATGATCATTGTGACACCACTTCATTTCGCCAGTGACAGTATCCCATAGCCGAACCGTTTTATCGTAGGAGCCGGATACAAGAAACCTACCGTTGTTATCGGGATAGAATACCAGGGATGAAACTCCATCCGAGTGGCCTCTAAGAGTTTGCTGCAGTGCACCCGTTCTCGTGTCCCACAGTCTGATCGTCTTGTCGAATGAACCCGATGCTAAAATCCGACCCTTGGAGCAAAATGAAACGACTTGAACACCGAATGAATGTCCCTCGAGAGACTGTAGATCTTCGCTCCAGGCTTCTTCGACATCTGGTGGTCTCAATACCCAGCTAGGAAGCTCCTCTTTGAAATATTTCCGAATAATTGCCTTTCTGGGGGTGAATAGAAGTCCCGAGGAGTATATTTGCAAGGGTGCTTCGTCGGCGATTTGTCTGAATTTCAAAAGAAAACGTTTAGCATCATGGAGGAAGTCGATTATTTCCTGGTTCTTGTTCTGCTTGGGACATTAGCCGGCTTTGGACAAGGGGGACAGTTATGCGCAGACTCCTTGTCTGAAACTTACTTGTATACCTGATTGCAATAGCTCAATCGTTCCAACGGCCTCTGAAACGATACCTAAAATACTCATGACCTCAACCCAATGCAGAAAGTGACTCTGAAGGAATAAAAAAGCGGCTTCTATCTCGTTGCGGGAGTCTTGACTCTGCACGAGATGGTGTACCCAATAACGACAAGCGTATTGCAATTCTGGAGAAAGACACCGGTTGATATTCAAGGAATCAATCTCTTCGCGCCTTGTTCCATCACTTGGCAGTTCACATATATTCCTTCTTAGGGTCTGACACAGAAGGAGACATCGACTAGTCAATCTGCGGTGTACCTCCTTCTCATCCACCCAGAACGGATTTGTCGCCTTTGTTTCTGGATCGAGGAGAAAGTCCCGAAAAGAAAGGTGAAATAGCCGTACTGGCAGAGATGTATCCTCGGGCACGTTCAAAATCGAATGCAATAGCTTTAATCTGAGACCGATCAAGCGCTCAGGTAGATCGCCCAGCTTTGAAAGCGTCGTAATCGAGAGTGGTCGCTCAAGTATCACGATCGTGCCAAGAATTCTCTGATATTCTTCAACTAGCCGGGACTCTTGTCTCTTGCGTTGTCCCTTAAGAAGTCGATTCAATATAGGAAGATAAGTCGCTTCCAATTGTGATCCGTCTCTCTTATACCCGAGTACCTCATCTAGACTATCCACCGGATCCCAGTGCGGGTCCTCAAACATTCGGCAAAGAGTCGCGATGAAAATAAACAATGGCACGGATAGAGCCACGAGAGCTTGGATATTTGTAGATCCCGGCCAGTCATTCGGCAGTGATTGATTTTTCCTAATTTTCAACAGTCGGTGGTCCAAGAATAGGGTTATATCGTGTGCGATCACCGTTTCGGGAATTTGGTGAAGAACTAGATTCTGGTAGGCGTCATCTGACATTTCGGAGAATCCTAGACGGATAGGGAGCTCGGGTCTGCTAGTCAGGAATATCCGTAGACTTAGTGCCTCGCGTAGTTGTGGGAGTAACTGTAGTATAACCTGTATGTCATCGTCCGGGTCACATTCATCCAACGCATCTATCACGATAACCCTAGTCGGGATATGGGAGTTCGATTTCCTGAGCTCTTGAATTGGCTGAAGTAACAAGGTATCGAATTGGTGCTTAAGTGACCTCGTCGCAATATCAGTGTCCTCACTAAGGGCATTCTGAATAAGCAATCTTAGTTCGGGCGTACTCTTCGCGATCCGTCTCGAGACCGTGGTGAAGAATTTCGTTGCATTCCCCCTATCACCCTCGCCCCTCTTGAAGAAGAAAGTTGCTGCTAGTAATCGGTCCTGTTTCAACCGTCTAGCCACAGTCCGGCATATTGTTGACTTCCCAGTTCCGGCCACCCCGCTTAACCAGAACATGCATTTTCCCTCTGGTGATATGGCCCATTCTTGGATTTTGCTGAGAAGTTCGGTTCTAGTGCCTGGCAGACATTCTTCTTCGTGTTGGTCTTTGTAGGAGTCGAATTCGGCTTCGTGTGCGACTGGCAGTTTGTCTAGGGGATCTGTATCTATTAAGTATCTAGTGGCGGTCTCGCCCAAAAGAATCAGGGAAGGTACCTGCATGAGTATGGTGATGAAGAGTGATTTTGCCTTGATTGATGCCTATCTGGGAACCAGAATTTTGACCTTGGAAAGCTACTGTAGTCGTCATGATTATGATGTTAGGGAAGAATTAGGTCAAAAACAGTGTAGAGTTCGTTGACCTGAGAAGACATGTGGGAGTCCAGATAAGCCTTGGGCATCCTCTCACTAGCAATATAGTTGGAGGCGTCGAGAAGTGCTGATGCCAAGGCTCGCATTATCTTCACTGTAACAGATCTATCCAATAATAGACTACTTAGGTACTCTTCAGCTGACGTGGTCAGCATTGTCACCAGGCGATACGAGGTGATCCTCTTGCATGTTGACCTTGAGGCTCATCTAGTAGCGGGAGAGGAATTTGGGTCTGGAGGTCTTAAGTAGACTTCCATTTGAGTTCAAGCACAGAAACTATCGATACCACTTTCTGGGCATTATCCAACATCTGTTGTAGTGCAATCTCACTCCACCTACTGAGGCAATCCCCGTGTTCGAGTAGTGTACTTGCGCGGCAAAAGGAATATCCTGATTTGCCCACGGAAACAAGACGCATACTGCATGGCCATCACCCACGTGCATTCTTACAAACATGACATAGGCCCTTACGTTATGCATATTTGGCGAATAAGGTTGAACGGGATGGATTCAGGGCAAAAAGTTGATTGCTTGTGGAGATTAGCCATGTAATGGATGGTAGGTCAAAATCTGAAACTCAAACTAAACTTCATAGACAAGAAACAAACTACAAGTAAAGGAGAGGACATTCACAGTAAAGAATCAAAAACATCATGGGATATCTCAACTAAAACCAATATCAACTAACCAAGGCCCAACCCGCACCACATGCTCAAAATCCAAAACCCCAGAAAGCCAGAACAGAAAACAAAAGGGAAATAACACAAGGAGAGTATCGGCATAAGACACAGGTCGGCGTTAAAACACAAATAAGGAAAATCACAGGGCCAAACAGCGTATGCCCCAGAAAAACAAGATTCCAGCCAGGAGCTCCGTTCCACACGGTCTATTGAGATCCCAACGCCTGAAAACAGCCGCCGTCTTTTTCTGTTTTGTATGCATTTAACAGAGAAGATGAAGGTAGGGGATGAGTGAAAAAAAGATGAGATAGGAAGACATGTCAGAAGTGGAAGAGGTGAAGAGAGATGGTAGTGGAGATGGAGGAAAAGGAAGTAACCAAGACGCCCGTTGCTGTGCGAAGATGATGCAGAAAAGAGTGACGTCGATGCTATTTTAGAGCACACGGTTCCTGGAAGATATATTAGTATTCAAATCATGGGCATGTTCTGGGCTTCGTGATGACGACATACAGCTTCAACAGGTCCTCTAGGCTATCAGCACTGCAGCTGCGGCCCTTGGGGATGTTGCGAATGATATCGGTAATGGTGGTAAAGACTTCACCACCACGGTAGGCAAGCAGCGCTGGAGCCTGGATATGATCCATCTCGGCAATCTCATGATGCAGCTTGACAAAGCGGGTAGTAGGTTGTCTGCGGGCAATAGTGACAAGGCACTCCTCGACAATGGCACTGTCATTGGACTAGAAAAGGAAAGTTAGACCGGAAATTAAAGAGGGTCAATGGGGTCTCAAACATACGTGAGGATCATAAATGCACACCACAACGATAGTATCCGAGGTCACCTTCTCAATGGCATCGAGGTACCCCGCAGCATCAACGGTCTCTACAGATCCAAAGCGTCGCCCACGTGGAGAGGGACGCCGCATACCGCGGGTTTGAAGCTCCTGCATACGCGAGGCGCGCCACTTGCGCATAAACCGCTCCTCATCGTCCTCGCTACCGGACGAACCCTCAACCCCGGGGGCAGATGCCTCGTCCCGGGTTCCCTTGTTTGAGCTAAAGGTGGGACCATTGGAGTCGAAGCCCGCAGCGCTGAGGAGGGTCTTGCGGAAGGACTTCTTGCGGGCGCGCTCAAAGGCCTGGGCATCGGCGATGACACCCTTGGGTCCGGTGTTGGCTTCGAAGACGGTGTTGGGGACGTGGTAATTGCCACGAGAGGAGACCATGTTGTCTGTGTTATCCTCGTCTTCGTCGGAGGAGTCGAACACACGACGTTGGCGCAGGTGACGTGGTGGGGAGGAGAGGGAATCGTTGTCGTCGGAGAAGTGCGGGGAGTCGTCACGATCTTCGGGGTGGGATGAGGTATGGGCACGATTGTTTGCCACCAGCTGGTCGAATTCTTCTTGGGCTGACATGGTGAAAGAAAGAGCGAGGGCTCCGGGGGGTCTGGGGGGTGGAGATGGGATTTAAGGTCGGGAGGGAGAGAGATGTGTGTGGGAGTGGGAGTGACTGGAGGGAACCAGGATGTCTGGGAATTCTGGGGCAGGAATTGGGCGGGAGTGTCTGAATCGGAGGGATCGACGGGTCTAAGGCGGTTTCAGACGTTCAGCAGGTGTTGGCCCCTGAAGAGAACGGTCGGACTAGAACGAGTCTGGAGTAGCGCGGTAGTCGCGGAGGCATGAAGACAAAGAAGAAAACAGATGGTCGGAGTTGGGGCTGAGCTGGGAAGAGATCGCCAGGGTGAAACGGTTGGAAAAGAAAAAGGAAAAAAAAGGAGCCCCTTTTTCGACCATTCGAGTTTCAAACCAAAGGATGATGTTAACTCCCCCACTGAACGTAGAATCTTCCACTGGATCTTTAATTTTTGATTTGATTTGATTTTGATTTTGATGCCGTGGTCTTTCTGAAGTGGGAGTGCTTCGGCCGGGATATAGTATATACTGTTTATAGGACTGAGTATACTTCTTCTAGTATATAACCGAGTACCAACTATAGTCTATTCCTAGTAGTATCCAGCTCGAGTCAAGGATAACCCTAACAAACTCAAAAGACAAACCCTCCCAATCTCAAGAATTCACTTCCGAATGATCGTCGGCCCCCAAATTAACCCACGTGGAAAGTCATCCTTGTCCGCCATCTGCGCATCAATGCGAGCGGTTCGTGCGAGTCTCTCTCAAGGATGATATGCTAACTGGATGGTTCCAACTTCCTTGTTCGAAGCAATTTCCCTAGGGCGAAATTACTTGCAACATCATCACAAATAGCTCTGGCAAATTCAAATCAGGTATACGCTCACCTTCTCCACCCTAACAAGCTAACAGGCTAATAGGCTCACATATCGCATCCTAGATTCTCAGCCCGTTTCAACCCTCCGGAGTATGTACACATTCCCTATTTCCTAACCGGTTAACCCCCCCCCCCAACAAGGCATAAGCAACCTGCAATTCTGAAACACCTACGCGCGCGTGGCTTCCTAGGTGACGCAGATCTCTTACTCCGGGCCACGATGAATTGACATCCCCATTCGCTAATCTCGAATCCCATTCTCCGTGTTTTGACGGCGCCATTGCCCGTATCGGGCTAAGTACCGTTCGAAACTACTGTAGAAAACGGCACAGGCTGGAAAGTCTGGAATGATTCAGCCCCGGGAAGGACTTGTGGACTTTGTGGAGCGGATCTTGAGGATCTGATCCACAAGCTTCCCGACCAAAGGCAAGTTAGGCAACACGACTTGGTCGCAAATTGGGGGCAGGACAAGTAAAAATAGTTATAACGTTATTATTTAATTTAAATCGGACTTCGGTACTGGTTGGTTGTTTTTTTTTATGTTGGCCACGTACTAAAAAGTAGTGCACTGTCCTTATACAACCCGTCATTAAACCCGGATGATAGGCCCGCGAGACAAAGGACAATGGCAAAAGGACAGAGTGACTCGAGGCCAAAACTCTGGTCAATGCGAAGGTTAGGTAGTAATCTGGTTGGCCTAACTGGCTTTTTCCTTGTAAACATCCCCGAATGCTTCAGGGGCAGGATCAATTCTGATCAATTCGAGCCCCCTCATCATATACACCAGCTGGAATTGTCGAGGATTTACTGCTCTGTTATCTCTAGGCAGATACAATTTATTCCTCGCCGACGGTGGCATGTTCCTCCCCGTCCAGGATCACTGGTCCTGGTCAGGCAAGAATCACCTCAAAAGAACATTATCTCTGTCTGACTCGGGAATCCTGAGCCCGTTCATCAGCTGAGTTCGTCCAGCTATCGGAATACGTGGCTGCGGCCGTGATGTTGGCCCACTCATTCTTCATGTTCCCAAATGGTTGACAACAGCCCAAACCACGGAGTACAACCAATGCATGCTGACTGGAATTGCGGTGAAGATGGATTGTCTTGATGATTGCCTAGATACATCCATCGTTCAATTCACGACCTGTTGGCTTTCCAGACAGGGTTTATCCAGAGACAACAAGCTCATCAAAAGACATGCCTCAAAATTTCCCGGCTGCCTAGCATCATGACCACATCTACAGGTTCTACGAACCTACTACCAACTTACGCACTACCAAGGCACGCTATCACCAAAGACCTTGTATGGATGCCCTATGGCTGACGCTGACGCCACGCTTGCAGACACCCAACCCGCAACGAAGGAAGCGAAGGCCAACGCAACGCTCGAACAGACCGGCTGCAAGTCCCAGGACAAACAGCCAGAAGAAAATTAAACTCAAAGATTGAAATCACAAATGGAAATTGAAGGCTTCTTAGGGAAAAAACAAGGGAACAACATAAAAAAAAGGGAAATCCGATGAAGAATTCCCCAAAGATCCAGACCATAGGAGAGGCAATAGGTACAGGCACAATTCTTTCTTTGGCGAGACACAAGGAAATATGGCGGGGAAACGATCAAACATGTGATGATAGATCAGAGGGGGAAATCAAAGAAAACTGAGAAGAGATGACGCGGGAACGCAGGGGAAATTTCAAAAGAAGCGCAAAGATCATGGCCGAATCCACCGAACCGGTCCCTGTCCATTCCATCACTAAGAAAATACATACCGAACCGATGCGGAAAGGGCAAAGAAAAAAAAAACAGACGAAGAGGGGGTAGTTGAAAGGGAATAAATCGAGGTGAGAAAAAAAAATAAAAAAGGTAAATCCAGGGGAGAAGAAGAGAAAAAAAGAGGCATCATCACCAACAGGAGGGAAGCCAACGAACGGGATGGTCATAGAGGTAAAGAACCGCATGGGATGGCAACTCTGTTCTTTTGTTACTTCCGGTGTAACCACCACGAAAGGTCCACGGCACCTCTCATCATGACCATCCCAAGCGGCAGCGCTCTCGTCATATCCAAACATTGTTGTGTCGTCGCTTTCGTGTCTTCCCCAGGCGTCGCACTCGCCTTCTACCACTACACCACTCTTCCGTATCGCATGCGACGGACCGATGTCTGCGCCGTAATTATCCCGAGAACCCGAAAGTTCCCCGGTAACTGATTATTATCGTACAATGGCGGAGATTCGACCCATCGAACCAAAGAAAATTTCGAATAAGAGCATTGCAAATGATCGACACGGGGTATCTTGCGTTTGTTTTCTTTTGTGGGGGAGATTACCAGGCCCAGACCTTAAGCTGTAGGGGATGGGGGGGGAAGTCATCAGTATTGTTTTTTATCAAATTGCAACCCAGAAAAAGACCAGAACTTACGAGAGAGTCCCAAGATCCAGTGCACAGACTGATGCCATCATTGCTGACACCCAAGCAGCTGACACGGTTCTCGTGGCCGCTGAGCGAGCCAACCTTGTCGCCGCGCAGAACATCCCACACCTGCAACTCCAGTTAGTGATTGTTCCAGACAATTGTTCTCAAGTCATCATTTCTCAGAAAATTGAGAGACAAAACATACCTTGCACTCGAAGTCGTCGTAACCAGCAAACAATAACCGGCCAGAAACGGAGAACGCAACGGAGGTGATACCGCAAAGAACTTGGTCGCTCTGTTGAATTTGAAAAAAAAATTAGTATCTAGCCAGTGGAATCTGACGCGTAACAAGGATAAACCATACCTGGTAGATGTTGAGCTCGCGGTCGGCACGGATATCGAACAGACGGCAAGAGGTATCGTCGGAACCGGTTCCGAAGGCGTTTCCATCGGGGAAGAACTGAATGGCGTTGATATCGGACTCGTGACCAGCAAAGGTCTGGACGGCCTTGCCGGTACGGATATCCCACAGCTTAGCGAAGGCGTCGCAAGCACCGGAAACGAAGATGTTCTGGTTGGTAGGGTTGATGCTAATCGACATCACGTCGCCGAGGTGGTCGGCAAACTCGGTAACCTTGGATCCGGACTCGATATCCCACAGCATACAGGTCATATCGCCGGAAGAGGTGATGATGCGGCGGTCATTGATGAAGCGACAGCAGGAGAGGTAGCCCGAGTGACCGGAAAGCTCACGCGCGACGCGAGTAGGACCCTCGCGCGACGACAGGTTGTAGATGGAGCAAATGTTGTCGAGACCACCGCAGGCGACGTAGTTTCCGCTGGGCGCATAGGCGCAGGTCATGACCCAGGAGGAGCGCAGGGGAATGGCGTGAACTTTGTTGGTAGTGTAGGCGTCCCAGATGATGAGCTTTCCGTCCTGCGAAGCTGACACAAGGTGGCGGCGGTCGGTCGACCAGTGCATGGCGTAGATCTTGGCGAGGTGACCCTTCAGCGTCCGGCGCGGCTTCATGCCAATTCGAGGGAGGGTATCGGTCTGGTTCTGGGCAACTTGGCGGACTGCGGAGAGAGGGAGGTCAGCAATTCATTCCAATTCATCGTAATCCATTTCCACCCATTTGCCTCTCCTGAGAACTGGTCCATCGAGGAAAACAAAAAGTCCGGAATCGAGGTCCGGAAAATGATCGCGGAGAATCCAATGGGGAATAATCGTACGTGAAGTGTCGGCCAGCTCATCCTTGCGGCGCCTGATCTTGTCCTTCAAACCCTCAGCTTCGCGCCTGGCCGCAGTAATCTTGGCCTGCATCTGTTCGCCCGTCATATCGGCTGCCATCTTGCCGGATTGAAATGGCCCCTAGTAACCGTTGTTGAGGAAAAGGAAGGGGAGCGAAGGAAACGAGGTTCCAGGGGGTTGGTGGAAAGCGGAAGAGGTGTGGAGGGAGGTTGACGGTTGGGTGGGAGAGTCGGAAAGGGTGTTGAGGGGGGCAAGTTGGGACGAGGGGGCTGAAAGTGGAGCGAAGAGGACAGAAGGTTGGAAGCGACCGAGTCAGGGCCTCAAGCTGCGATCATAATACACGTAAAATGATCACTTGCAAGGGGGATTGCTGATGGGGGGGGAAGTAAATTCCTGTACGAGTTCCACGTCGCTCAAAGGGGAGGGGAAGGGAAAAGGAATAGTGAAGGTTTCTGGGACTCTGACCAGGGGGGAGGAAGAAGAGAGAGCGTCTGGAAATGATACGGAAGTCCGTACGGGTTAGTTACGATTGGTACGGGCTGGTAATGTTACCTTGGATATTTACCGCGGTGGCTGGCCCAGACTACTGGATGGGCAATATATTACCGGCTGCTAGTGGTAACGGGATGACAGGGTACACTAGTAGGGACAACAAGAACAAACACATCGAGACCGTGGATGGCGTCTCGATTCGGATTAGATTACATTCTACAGGGTCAATTGAACTCCTATTATAGATACATTGAGTCTCTATTCCGTCATTATGCCTTAGGTAGAAGTATAATGGTTCGATACAGTAGATTCATCATATCTACCCGTTCCAGTGTTAAAGGCCAGGCCGAGGGTGGAGTGAAAAATACACCGTCAATAATACGCACAGGGGAAATAATCCCTCCGCGGTACCTGATTATGTACTTTGACTCCGTCGGGGGCAGCTCTGTTGCTTTTTTTTCTTGATTTGTTATTAAGCAGTAGTACATGAATACCACATTACTACTATCCCATAGGGTAGTAAGGTTAAAAGTACTAGACAGTAATCCTGCATGAACGCAACCTAGATAATTGAATCGATCCCTGATCGCCCAGGCTGACAGCTGATGTCTTCCTGGCTAATACATGTTCCCTCTGTTTAATACCGCATGGGGAGGCCTTCAAATCCTCTCAGAGCTATCCACTCCTACCTACTATTTCAAAAATATCCTCCGTGATGACAAAGACCAAAAATGACAAACACTTATAACTATATAATATCGAGGAACATGGAGGATCATTTCAAGTAGGTCCCACCAGCGCTAAAGATCACCCCAATATCACGAGTGATCCTCAAAGCTCGGTTGAATGCTCCATAAACACGGTATTTCGCGATCGCCTTCAAAAATAACACCTACACTCAAGATTAGAACATAGCCACCGGCAATGTTTAGGGTGCACCTAAACAATAGAGTAGCATTTGGCGCGATACTTCTAACAGGCCTAGGGGCTCATCATTCCACTTACAGTTGGAGATGAAACCCATCTCTAATTATAGTGAAGTCAATAGTGCGCCCCAGTTTCGACAGCAACATGCAACGATAGGCCCTAGTACACTCCGTACGACCAGGGTATTTACTGTACGGACTATATTTCCCCAGGGTGCTGGAACTACATCCGTACGGTAGCAACAAACCAGAATGATGGGTCAGGCACTTCGGCCCTCTCTCGAACCCCTGTGCGTCGTTTTCTTTTTTTTTGATCTCCACGTCCAACTCCAGCGGGCGGCTATTTACCTGCTCTTGCTTTTTTCCTTCCCCAGGCTTCTCATTGGCCCTGCTTCTCCCTGGCGTCATTGCCGGCAGATATTGAAGATCTTTCCCCCCCTTATGCTAGCCTTCGGACCTCCGCCAGTAGACACCAAAGCGCGGAGGTGGAAAGACTCTTGGGCTTGACTCTCTTGAGGGGGATGCTTCCCGTTTTGGGTACTCTGCTCCGATACCCCGATGATTTTGTATTAATTCATGCTATGGAAGACTGTGCTTGCTAAGTATTATTGCTACGAGAACATACGTTGCCATTTCAACTGCCAACATCCAACTAATATCCCATATTCCATGTCAACATGTGCTGGGTCCTCGGTCGGTCTGGGCATGGTGGTACAGTACCAGCAATACATCTCATACTGTACGCGCTTATACTGTACACATTATTGGATACCACAATACAGGCCCCATACTCATCTCCGAGTCCATACAGTAGTAAAAATAATAATTACTCCGTACAAAACTACTTCACGGAGTAAGTTAACGAGACTCACTAGCCACTTCTGTTTGTCCCGGACCCATTATCCACCAACAGCACTTGCAGCCATAAACCGGGTCCAAGCTCTCGCACCAGTGCATTTCTAATCGCTTCTGATCCTTTTCAGTCTCCACCAAACTCGCTGAATAATCTACAATGACCACCCTAGAATAATCTTCTAAGCCTCGTAACAGAACAAACCCTGGCAGCTTAGGGTTGGCAAATCGGCGTGGTGGCCCCCCGTCCCGGCGGGTCCAGCCGTTAAATCCTGCGAAGGGGGGGCCTTCAATCTCAATAGATTACGCCGTGCCGAATGGCCTCGCAGTCTTCTCCCTGGGTGCCGCAGGAAGATGAGCTCCCCACTGCCCGACGGTTTCTGGAGCCCCCTATTTTCCCGGACCCCCAAAGAAGAGGTTTGGTTTGATATGCATACGGCCGATCATTATTACGGAGTATGGAGGACAAACTTCATACATCACGGAACGACAATTCCTAGTCGTTAATTACGACCGGTTCTCATGGCAAATCCATTAAGGCCAGCAGAGAGATTATCTCCATTGTGGAATTTTGATTTCCCACATCTTCTCCAGGCGTTGGAACTGCTGCGCCGGGACCCCCGAACTGGTTCTGCAAAGGCCCACTACTGACTGTTGAACGTGCCAATCCCCTCTCTCTCCACCGGGATTCCCCACTCGTCGTTGAAGATCTACACAAAGTGTACATCAAAATACAAATAGGATGTACTGGTCGCATCAATGCGGCCTGGGCAGCGTTCTTCATGTACGACCGTGCTAGTGCGGCTTCGATTCCCACGTAATAATGTCTGACATGAAGCGGTTCGTCAGGGGCGATCGAACGCCTGCACGGCTGAGTCACTTGAAGAATAAAACCCTCGGCACCATGGGCTAGCAGTTGAGTCATTCGCCAACGACAATAGTTATTATGATAATCAGCGTCAACGACGGAGGAACTTGAGGATTAGTATCCCATGAACAGATTCGTCTGCCTGACTAGAGTTGGCCCCGTTCTCAACGCTCAAGTTCGGCCCGATGGCATTCGCAGGCTCCGGTGCGGTGTGCAATGCCCTGCGTTAGTGCATGCAACGGCAGATCTACCGTAATATCCTCCATGATTGAGGCAAAGGGGGCTCTTTCACTTGATGCCATGTATAGCTGATAGTATGGTCTTCTCTCTGAGCTAGACAGAGCATAGATTGAGCCAGTAGACATCCCATCCGTAATGCAGTCACACCTCCAGCACTTTTCTGAATCCCAAGTACCTCGGTATCGACTCGAAGAGACCTCGAACTTGAGTATCCCATGTACCAGGAATAGATGCACATCTGGGTTGACCTAACAGAAATCTTCGCCAGAAATGGTAAATCGAGAGGAGTGCTCAACGTTAGACCATCTACTATCGGTTCATCTATCTATCTACCTTGGTGGTTTCCCTAAGTTAAGTCCCTCTCTGGCTCCAATCAAAAGACTAACATGTCATATGGGGCTTCCGGGGCTTTCTAGTGCATTGCGCGTCGTTGATCACCATGTCGTATATCGAATTGGGAAGATTGTTGGTCTAATATCGGGATGTCGGGACTAGGCCGAGGGCTAGAAGCGAAGAAGAGCGCCTTTGCAGAGAATTCGTAGTAGTATCTATTAAATTTGAAATGGGATCAAGCACTCTAGTAGATAAAGTGTGAAACAGGTAATTCGTTCTGTTAATGTTCCTATGTATCTTCGGTGTTAACTGGTCTCGGCCACACATCCTGGGCCCTTAAGCCCTTGGCCCTATCAGCTTTGTCACCCTCAGTCATCCCGAGCCCGAGCATTAGCCGCCACGAGGGATCGGATAGGCCCTGCAGCGCACGTCGGGGATTTTAGAGGAAGAAAAGATAATATAGCAGGAAGAAGGAGAATTAAATAGAGACGAGTACTCTCTGATTATTTCTTCCAACTTTTTTTTTAATTTGAATACAGTGTATCACAGCAGAGAAAAAAAAAATAAGAAGAGCGGTAAAAATAGCAGGGCAAGAAAATCAGGCAAAGTTCAGAGTTGAGGGTGGCGGGAGCCAATCCTCGGGTGCCGTAATATTAAGGAGGCACCTGACGCCTCTCCGCTTTCGCCCTCAAAGGCTTTTCAACTTCGCCCATCTCCCTTACCAACGACCCTACGATCGGATTCGCGACCCTTCCATCGATTTTGCATTCACTGATTCTTTCTTTTAATCGGACTCTCAACCATCCCTCCCTCATCCGTCTCGTTGACGCCTCATTCTCGCCTGCCCAGTCTCGTTCTCGTGGAGTCATCACAAGTCTCCTCCCCTCCTCCACCACCCAACCCCCTCTCGCTCCCCTTCCCCTCATTCTCGGGAAACCCATCAGGCGCTGTATATACTTTCCTGGACCGGTGTTCCCTGATGTCTCTGGGTGGATCTCAGCACTTCTTGTGAGGGTTTCTTGATCTCGTCCCCGTGGGCGCCATCCCTCTGGTTAGGGGCTGAAATACCACCATTTGGGTATCGTCAAGGTCCTCATCGCCTGGCCTGTTTCCTTTTGTCGAATCCCTTGGACGCAGATCATATCCATCACGCCTGCATTGCTTTTCTCGTCTCGTTTGATTTTTTTTAATCGTTACTCCCCGTTCACCATGCGGGAAGTCAACTTCAGCATCCCCAATGTGAACAAGGCCTCGGTCAACATCACCACCACCCTCTATGACCGTCGTGCCCTTGATTGCACATCGACCCTCCCCCTCATCAACTCCCTCAACCACCTAGCTTACCTCACAACCTCGTCGGCAAGGATTAGGGACATCTTGACCGTCGATGGCGGCATCGAAAGACTCGTGTGCATCCTGAAGGAGGGCAGGAGCAAGGATTTGATGGAAATGTGGAAATGGAGTCTCGCCTTTCAGTGTGTTGTCAACATCGGAGTACGAGGCTCGGAAAGTGTGCGCACCAGAGTGGTCGAGGCCGACATGGTCCCCGTGATTGCCACTATTCTGGACAACTACATCAAGGTGGTGGACAAAGTGCGATCGCGCGCCGAGCCCGACTCGCAAAAACATGCCTCGAGTCGCCAGGCTGTCAAGCCCAGCTCTTCTAGCCGCGAGGCCCCCGAACGGACTGCCCCCGTGGAATCGGGCAGCCACGCCGAAGCCCGCCCCTCCTCTCGCCGACAGGCCCCTCCCCCAAGCATCGAAATCCCCCAGCCTTACTACCAAGATAACCAACCGACCGACTCCGATGCAATGGACATCACTTCCCCTCCCCGTGCACCCATGACATCACCCCCCGAACGAAGCACCTTCCGACAGGATGTCCACAACCACCGAGCCCACGATGGCCGGTTTTCTCGGACGAGCCATCGCTTGCGAGCGATGCAACCCCTGGCCACCGCCGTTCCCCCGATCGACACCGCCGAAACCTTTGGTCTACGACCCGTGCGTGATGCCGAGCGCCTCCCAAGCATGCTGCCTGGGCTGCAAACTGGTATCATCTCGCAACCCGACTCTCCGACGACACCCAGTGGACCCATTCAGTCCCGAAGCATTCCTCAAGCGGCACCCGCTCGGCAACGGCCCGCAATTCGGCAGCAACCGTCGGCCTCGGGTGAATCGGACGATGCGAATGGTGAGGACTCGACCATGGGAGATGATACTGTTTTGGGGCAGAATCCAGATCCCATCGTTGGACTGCCTAACCGAATGGAGATCGACGGTGTCGATGAACAACAGACAACCATGATTGACGATGTCTCTCCTGCACATGGCCTGACAGTGACCGATCCTTCGGAAGAGGGCCAGGATGCAGAGACCTTCAACATTGCCCATCGGTCTGCCGTCGATGGCAGCATCATCAACAATAACGGCACCACGCAACCCAATGGCGGGCTGGGTCTTTCGCCCACCCAGGCTCCGAACAACCCCAACTCCCCAACTCTTGCCCCTAGCCCCTATGCCATGTACCTGCGCGATCGAAACACACCTGCGACTCAGAGCGTCCTGACCACTATGCCTCGGGATGAGGATGTCCTGATGTCACTGCAGCTCTTGGCTTATGTATCCAAGTACTGTAATCTGAGGTCGTATTTCCAGCGCTCTCACCTCGTGCCAAAACTGAAGATCGACCGGGAATTGCATCTTCTTGATGAAAATGCAGACCCGTCTTCTCCTGTTGAGGTTGAGGAGGAGGACGAGTATCTGCTGCCCGACGATGTTAATATCTTCCCACTGGTTGAGAAGTTCACCGTTCGGCACCACTCGAAGGACATGCAGTACTGGGCCTGCGTCGTCATGAGAAATCTCTGCCGCAAGGACGAGTCGCGAGGCGGCATCCGTCAATGTGCGTACTACAAGTGCGGCAAGTGGGAAGAGTTCCAGCGCCAGTTCGCCAAATGCCGTCGCTGCCGTCGCACCAAGTATTGCAGCAAAGACTGCCAAAAGGCCGCGTGGGTCTACCACCGCCACTGGTGCCATACTACTCCTTGATACCAATCCATCACCTCTACAAACCACTCACCATACACCTCCTCCCGCCGACCTCGATGTTCGAGTTCTGTTTCTGATTATTCACAAATGCATATTGGCTCTCGCATAGCGTCATATCGCGTCTCCCCCTCCCCCCTTCTATTGTTTGATTCAAGGTCTTACGTCTCACTTGCGCATGGCATTGCAAAATCTGGTGGCGTTTCCAATTCGACAAACATCACCCCCCAAGATACCTATTTTTCCACATGTTGTTTTGAATTTCCCATTTGGCTTTCCCATCGTCTCTTCGAACCGCTCTTACCTCGAACATGGGGACTTTTTTTTGTCTTCCGATAACGTCAGGGGTGCCATCCAGATCGATGGGCCCCCCTTCCACACTATATCATTACTCAATATTTCCCATCAGCCTGTCATGAGTGTATATCTGTTTTGTTGTTCGCATTGTTTCATGGGGGACTCTCACGAGGGTCCCTCCTTCGTCCGATTTATACAGGTTTAACCGCCTGACACACACTGCGCTTGTCATCTTTCCTCATACTTAATTGTGCTGTCACGAGTTTCTTATGTCCGTAGATGGGCAACACTACCGACAGGTTCGACCGTTCCACCACGGGAGCATTTTCCTTGTGCAGTCCCATCTATGATGCCAATTTACGTCTTTTGGAGGGTCCTTTTGTTCTGGTCTATGTGCACTTTGCCTCCACGGCAGCGGCGTTCTTTTCTTATACTCATTGGCACTGTCGTTTCGAAATGAATGAACTCATTTGCATCTGATCTCTTTTTTTTTCTCGTGTAGACAAGTAAATACGTAATCCCATGATCTCCCACTTCTTTCCTCTATTCCTCCTTCGTAAACCCATACGTCGCCGCCAGCCTGGACTCCAAATGCTCCGCCGCAGTCAACGGCCTCTTGCCCGGCTCCAAGCTGCCAGCACCACCTCCAAATCCAACCGCCCCATCCCCCTTCAACCCACCAGTCTTCTCCCGATGCGCCGCGACAATCTCACTCGGCACCGGCACCAACTCCGTCGTATCAACGGGATGACAGAAATACACCAACGTATACCGATCCTGCGGATTCGGCTTCCGCTGCTCGGCCAGGGGAAACACGACCCGGTGCACGGTGGACTTGAGCAGTCCGTCCGTCCAGTAGCTAAGCAGATCGCCGATGTTGACCAAGATCGGCGGGAAGGGGAATGCGTCGGGCTTGTCGCCTGGGATTATGGGGACGGGGGCCCAGGATCCCTCTGGCGTGAGGATTTCGAGGCCCGGCTGGCCGGGTCGTTGGAAGAGGAGGGTGATACTGCCGTAGTCGGAGTGGGCGCCGGCTCGGACGTCCTTGTCGTGTTTGTAGGATGCTGTTGCGGGGGAGAAGATGGATGGGTAGAACAGGTAGCGGAGGATGCTGCCTGTGGGGCCGAGGCTGGGGTCGTGGCGGGTGGTGAAGAAGTCTTTGGGGATCTGGAGGAGAGTAGTTAGTATTTATACTTTTTATATCTGGGGGAATTGGGTAATTGGTAGATTGTTAACTTACTTCCAGGCCCAGGGAGAGCAGGGTCAGGATTCTGGTGCAGGTCTTGTTGCAGAGTTGGGCAAAGTCGTAGATCTCTGACTCATGGGGTGCCAGGGATGCTGGCAGAGGCTGTTGCGCTTTGCCATCTTTGAAGTCGCCAAAGTTCATGGCTCTGTGATAATTGTGAGTGGGTACTCATGGTTTGAGTTCATCTTTATATTGGTAAGTATATACATACTCCTTGAAATCGCCAGTCTGTAGAGAATGGTTAGCCTAGTCAATTGGAATTCCGGGAGTCTCTGACGTACGCGCTGATGCTCGGGATCCAGAGTCTCGGTGTGCATGCCAGACCAGCCGCGGTTCTAGAAGATATGAAAAGACATCGAGTCAGTCTGTGCCTAGTAGCGACTGTGCTCATAAAACAGGCACTGGACGAGGATCACCAACGTTGGGCGTAATGGGGCAAGTCTCCTTCTCGGACACAGGAGATGCAAAGAACTTTTTCGACTGTACAGACTGTTAGCTTGTCCCAACTCTGCATACCAAAGTCATCAATGGAATACATACGAGTTCAAACCCACGGTCGACATCCTCCGTCGCAAAATCTGTGCCCTTGCTGTTCACATACAAAAAACCATACTTGGCCGCGGCATCGAGCATCGCCTTCCCCACGGCGGGGTCATGGGGATCAGAGATGTCGATGACGGGCAACTCAATTGGGATCGCGGTATCTGACATGGTGGATGGTCGATTTGCAATTAGACAAGAAAACAGGACCAGACAGATCCAGGTAGATTGAGTGTAAGCAAGAGCTCCCTTCAGAAATGTGGAGGGGGAGTAGTTCACGGGCACACGTGGAGAAATTGGAGAATTGGAGAATTATATAGATTGGGGCGTTAGCGCTAGGGAGATATCGGTTACCTGAAGCGGAAAAAAAAATCGGGGCCTATCGCGGTAATCAACCAACAGTGAAAGATTGGTTATCAAGCCCGATTAATTCGGCTAATCGAGTCGACTAAGAGGTTTTGTCCATGGATGGGTCTGGGTGGATTCCCGCGCGCAGGCGATATCCGACGTGCAGATTGGCAGGACGACCCCGCCATTGAACTAGTCACTGTTAGGTAGGTACAGTCCCTTAACCGACTGGACAGTTAATAAGCACCTGTGTTTGAGCTGGATGTGGCTTGACTTATCTTTTAGTTTATACGTGTAATTTTGTTAGATACTCTTTTTGGAGAATTGAGGAAGATAGGCAAATTAGGTGGATATCTTGGGGAGTTTCTGCTAGCGATGAAACTAACCTTTTTGAATGATCGACTAGTTCAATTATGCGCTGAAGAACCTTATCAGAGCCAGAGACTCTTTCAATTTGTAGCTATTGGTAGAATAGGTTGTATTGGCGGGGGAGTTGGGACAGACCTGCCCAGGAACTTGTGATATATATAGCACTGAACGGGACGAAAGCATAGTGGTGACAAGGTGTTACTTATTTAGGTAAGTTGGGCGATGATCGAATAATATGACTTGTAACTTAAGTATTGTAGATAGTAAAGAAAGGTTTTTATGATTCTCCAGCAAATGTTCGTCTCGATAAGCCTCTATATCTCTCTTGTTGCATGCGATCAATTGCCCAGTAGACTTGAGCTTGAATGGGGCCCACCGCGCGGTGGAACAAATATTTAGGCTATGTAGAATATAGATCAAGTAGGCTCCAAAATTGATAAAAGTCGATCGAGTAGTTTAGTCTAGAATTGAAAAACTAAATCCTAGCTATTTATTGTAAGCGCGCTCTAAGGGAAAAGGTGGTTCGGTCGCATGTTATGATGTTTGCTGTCCGAGAAAAAAACACTGGCCAGCTGTGCCTCCTCCGCTTTCCCCCCTCGTCATTTCGCAACTCCATCGCGACCTCATCTTTCTCCGATCTGCCCGCTCTTCCTTCCTTCCTCCCCCACTCTTCTCCCACGCTTTTTCAAGGGCCTCAATGCTCGGCGTTTAGCCGCGCTTTTTGCCCATCAGCTTCACAACCATGCCGAGTGAGTCCAAGCCACCAAAGCCCACCCCCCCAATCTGACCTCCATTCACCCAAGCTCGCTAACTGGGACCTTCTTCCTTAGTCCGTCCTCTCGATGAATGGACCGTGGGCCGTACCCAGTCCCTCCCCCTCTCCGCGCTAAAGGGTGCGGTCATCGGTCTCGATGCGTCGCACTACATTCAACAACACCTGGTAAACCAGTCGACCCGGGAGGCCCTGCTCGGCGCTCTGGGCGGCTTTCCCTTCGCCTTGAAAGCCAACATTGAGAAGGAACTACAAACCTTCAAGAGTCTAGGTGTCGGATGTATCTTTGTCTTCAATGGCCTGGATTTTGGCAAGAAAGATGAGAAGCCTCGCAACCAGTCCGCCATGGCACGCTCATTTGAGCAGGCCTGGGAGCTCTACGATCAGCAGCAAGCGGACCAAGTTGTGGATGCCTTTAGCAATGCCGGTATGACAGAATCCCTTGCCCGGATGTCGGATATCTGGTCCCCCTCGCTCCCGCCCAGACTCCTTTGTACCTTGCCGCCGGTAGCCCTAATCGACGCTGACGATGATACCTCAGGGACCCCACCCCCGGAAACCCTCTACAAGTTCCTGCAGCGAATCCTATCCCAAAATGGAGTCTCATTCATGGTGGCACCCTATAGCGCCTGTGCACAGGTGAGTAATGAGTGTTCTTCGTGAAAACTCCGCGGCTATCGTTCGTCACTGTCGCTGGAGGAGGCCCTTTGGAACTGACCTAGTGTCTCCGAGTAGCTCGCCTATCTTGCCCGTGGCTCCAACCCTGTGATCGATGCCATTTACGGACCTTCCGAGACGCTTCTTTTTGACATTGAGAAGCTTGTGACTCGCATCGAAATCGAACCCGCCCAATTCTCCTGGCTCACAAAGCAGACTCTACTGGAAGAACTCGGCCGTCTATCTAATGACCAATTCCTAGAATTCTGCCTGCTCCTCGGGTCACCATTCCTGCGATCATTCCCGCTGTTTGAGAGTCCCGCCTTCCCCGGAAAGCTACCCCTCGTTCGCGATGCGCTACCAATGTTCAATGCCGCCGGCCGCAGTGCTTTGGCCTTGTGTGCTCAGATCGAAGACGAGCGTCGTATGCCGGAGCTCGACTACACGAAGCGATACAAGCGGGCGTATCTGGTTGTCAAGCACCATGTGATCATTGATATTGAGGGACGGGTTGGCCCCATGGACCAGGAGCATACCTCGTCGGATATGCACGAGCTCATCGGCCTGCGCCTCCCCGAGGAGTTGTACTTCTATCTGTCCAAGGGTGTTCTTGGCCGAGATGTTCCCAACTTCCTCACATCGGGCGAAGTCCGTCTCTCGCTCCCTCTGGGAACCGAGGATACCGAGGTATACCGTCAACTCGTGGCCGATACTTTGACTCCCATTCGGGCACAGTCGATCGGCCTGTTGGCCAATTGCCTCCACAGATTCTATCAGACCAAAATCATCACCATTCGACCTTGGTTCGATGAGAATTCAGAAGAGAGGCAGATCAACCTCCGGGAACTCCCATCAGTTAAAGAGACCATCCAAGCTTGGAGGGTATCCAGTGATAAGTTCCCTGAAGATGTTAAGAAGTTGCAGGCGCCTCGGGGCTCCTTCAAGTTTGCCATCCAGAGTTTGAAGAACTCTGAATTCGTGGCTAAGACATTTGCGACGAGAGAGACGCCCGTATGTTGGAAATTCTCAGGCAGATTCCCCCTCCTTCATCCAGCTAACATTTGCGTATAGATCCTGTCAAAGCAAGAAGATGTATTGTCCAATGTCATGTGGCGCTTCTTGCAGTTGCGTGGATACGTTGACGACAAGCACAACCCGACTGCATGGGGCAAGTGCCTGGAGCAAGCTCTGTCGGCGGTGGATCCTACCGACAACCTGGAGGATGCCATTTTCATTGCCATTGAGATGCTCCGTATGAACCTTCTTAACACTAAACATTGGTTCTCACATGTCTCCGGCGGCCCGATGAGAGGCTCGGGTAAGTTCTTTTGTCAAAAACCAGAGTATTCCCAGCAGACGAGACTGACTTGAACGTACAGAGGAGGACAAGACTTTCAACATGCTGGTATCCCGTGTGGCCTGTATTGCGAAGTTGCAGCACAAGCCTATCGGATACTCTGGCCCCCTAAGCCGACAACTCCTTTGCTACCGTTCCCTCATCTCCGAAGTTCGCACCGCGTTGAGGAATCTCATCGAGGTCGTGCTGGCGAGTCTGCTACTGAGTGGCGAAGTTGATCGAGACCGTAACGACTGGGTTGAGCTAGGAATTAAGTATGTATCCCTTCTAAACCTCTCACAGTCTCACGTGCGAGACTCAACTAATTTTTTAATAGGCTTCCCTTCATTGACGATAATGACTGCGGTTTGGGTATTGCTGTCCGGACCTATCTGGATGATCTTCCTCTGCAAGCGAACCCTACCTCGCCCGAGGCTCGACAAGAGGTGAAGTCGAAGGGCAAGGAATGGTTCCAGCATAGCGAGAGCTTCACAGGAAATCTGGATTTGGCTTTCAAGCTGTGGGATGCGGTATGTGCCTTGTATATCTTCGGGTCTAGGGTTCAAACTAATCTTTAAATACAGGTTTACAAGGGTTCCCAGAACGCCGACAACAACGAGTTCAAGGAGGCAAAGCTTTGGGACGATGCTAACAAGTGGTTGGCGGAGAGACGTTGAGAGAGGAGAAGATCTTGCTATGAGAGCTACATTAACAATCAGACGCATCATTATGAAGGGGAATTTTCGGGCCTTACATTGTATGCGGGTCACAATTGAGTTTCATGCCTCTCTTATGACAGCAGGAACTATTTCTACATGAACACCAGAGGATGTGACGGCGAATTTCTCTATTTGTATTACTACTCTAGTAATAAAGGAAACGAAGCAAAATATTTCCCGACGGGGAATAAGATATGAAGTACTGTTATAGTAAACTCTCGTAGTAAACTATGTCTAGTAAGCACTTCCGTGGTTGATAATCGAATGATCTGCGGCGGGACGAACCACTTGGCCTCTTCGGGGATGTTTTGTCATCAGCGCCAAAGAAGCCCACCCCCGACCTCGCCATTCATCTTTCCTTCCTATCTCCTCCAGGAAGTTGATCATACATTCAATTGAATAATTTCAAATCCTTAAAAATCACATTAAAATGGCTCGCCTGAGCTTCCTGCTGCTCGGCGCCCTCTCCGCGCTCAGCGGTTTCGCCAACGCCAGCTCCGCCGTCACGGACCTGATCCCCAGCAACTTTGACCAGGTCGTCCTAAAGTCCGGCAAGCCCGCTCTCGTCGAATTCTTCGCCCCCTGGTGCGGCCACTGCAAGACCCTTGCTCCCGTCTATGAGGAGCTCGCCTCTGCCTTTGCTTTCGCCGAGGACAAGGTCACCGTCGCGAAGGTCGATGCTGATGAGCACCGTGATTTGGGCAAGCGCTTCGGCGTTCAGGGCTTCCCTACCCTGAAGTGGTTCGATGGCAAGAGTGACAAGCCTGAGGAGTACTCGGGTGGTCGTGATCTGGAGAGCTTGTCCAAGTGGATTACCGACAAGACTGGTATTAAGCCGCGCGGTGCTCAGAAGGAGCCCAGCAAGATCGAGTTCCTGAATGACGCTACCTTCAAGACCACTGTTGGTGGCGACAAGAATGTCCTGGTTGCTTTCACTGCGCCGTGGTGTGGCCGTGAGTAGCTTCTATTCTGCTCCTTTGTCTCTGGAAGTTCTGATTTACTAACCACGTACTTCTCTCTGTTTAGACTGCAAGACCCTCGCTCCCGTCTGGGAAACCGTTGCCAATGACTTCGCCCTCGAGTCCGACATTGTGATCGCCAAGGTCGACGCCGAAGCTGAGAATGCCCGCGCCTTGGCCAAGGAGCAGGGCGTCACCGGCTACCCCACCATCAAGTTCTTCCCCAAGGGTTCCACCGAGCCCGAGGCCTACTCCGGCGCCCGCTCCGAGGAGGCCTTCGTCGAGTTCCTGAACACCAAGACTGGCTCTAACCGCGCCGTTGGCGGTGGTCTGAATAACAAGGCTGGCACCGTTGCCGTCCTGGACAAGCTGGTTGCCGAGTACGTGCCCGCTAAGAACTTCGAGAAGCTCGCTACCGAGATCAAGAAGGCTGCCAAGGACCTGCAGGACAAGTACGCTCAGTACTACGTCAAGGTTGCCGACAAGCTCGCCGAGAACCAGGAGTATGCCGCCAAGGAGCTGGCTCGTCTGGTCAAGGTCCTCAGCAAGGGTGGCTCTGCCCCTGAGAAACTTGATGATATCGTTTCGCGCAGCAACATCCTTCGTGGCTTTGCCGGAGAGACTGAGCCCAAGGATGAGCTGTAAGCTTGTTTCGTCTTGAATTGTTGAGTATATTGGGAATTGGGTTGGAACCCCCTCATTTGCGTCCCATACACCCTGTGATGAAACCTTGGAAAATGATTGGTATCCTTTTTCGCTATATTGTATGAATTAAGACACGTCGAATGCAGCCGGGTGAGTTCTTTCTAGGAGGAGACCTAGGCATTTGTATACGAGAATATATTCATTGCTTGAAGATATGTATTTCTTCTGAAAAATACGTCTTCTTGAGACGTAGGGTATCTTGGTAAAAACATCAAACGAAGCCGAAGCTGTAGAGGGGCGCAGACGAACGCTGGCCTGACAAGTAAATGTGTGAGTTGTAGCAGCAGTAGCAGCATTGCGTGCGAAGTCGAGAATCAGAATGCAACGCTCAATTGTCGCATCCAACTATGCAATGCCGTATGTGTACAATAAACGGGTTCGCCATTATTGAGTGGGAGTCGCGGCTGCCGAGTCGGTGCCCGAAGCTGTTAATGAGGCCTCCAGTTCGTCGAGGCGGCGGGTCATGTCATCCACTGGCAGGAGGTTAGTATTGTACAGAGAAGGGAGGACCGTAGCCAAGCGATAGGGAGGGTACGGACACTTGCTAAACATTTCTTTGGAGACATTGTCGAATTTGCTCTGGAGTTGGTCGAGCAGCTCGTCGACTGCCGCGGTGAGTTGGCCTTGGGCATCGGAGTTCTAGAATTGGTCAGTGGGAGATCTGTGTTGAGGGTTGGTGGGTGGTAAGAGGATCATACTGGCTGTGACAGAAAAGACTCCTCTGCGGTAGTCTTCTCAGGAGAGGCTTCCTCGGCCATGATGTGCAGCCAACAACAGGAGGTAACTATACTGCTCCGAGCAGAAATGCGGGAGTAAGTAACCATGGATGATGGAGCAACGCTTCGATAAGACCGGATCATCATGTTACTCCGCTCCCGATACCCGCTAACCCCGTTTAGTGCCTTATCGCCACGCTAACCCGATTAGGACTGATCCGAGTTCAAAAAAATCCCGTAGCATCAACCCAGCTGGTTTCCTCACCGTCGTTACCAACCCCCAATTTCCCCTCAAAACAGGCACCATGGTCAAGCGAAGCAAGCTCCTCCAGACGCTCGATGCCCACCGGGGCCGGGACTACAATGCCGAGAAGCAGAAGAAGATGGTCAAGGCCGCTGAGAAGCGCAAATCCTTGAAGAAGACCGATACCACCACGGAAGCCAGCAAGGAGCCCGAAGAGGAGGAAGTTGCTGCTTCTGAGGAGGAAGAGGATGAGGAGGAGGTTCAACAAGAGGACGAGGTTGAAGATGCCGAGGAAGACGACGAAGAGGCCGAGGACGATGAGGAAGAAAACGACGACGACGAAGAGGAGGAAGAGGAAGACATCCCGCTATCAGACCTCGAGGACGACGAGCGCGAGGATGTAGTCACTCACCAGCGTCTCACCATCAACAACTCCGCCGCCATCAAGACCTCCCTCAAGCGCATCTCCTTCATCACCAAGAACACCCCATTCTCCGAGCACAACTCGTTAGTGTCGCAAGAGCCTATTGAAGTGACCGACCCCAATGACGATCTCAACCGTGAATTGGCCTTTTACAAGGTCTGCCAGGCCGCTGCCATCGAGGCCCGTGGTATGCTCAAGAAGGAGGGTATCCCGTTCACCCGGCCCGGTGACTACTTTGCCGAAATGGTCAAGAACGACGAGCACATGGATAAGATTAAGAAGAAGCTGTACGAAGAGGCGGCTGGCAAGAAGGCTGCTGCTGAGGCTCGCCGCCAGCGTGATCTCAAGAAGTTCGGCAAGCAGGTGCAGGTCGCCAAGTTGCAGCAGCGTGCTAAGGAGAAGCGTGATACCCTCGAGAAGATCAATGCCTTGAAGAAGAGTATGTCTAACTCCCTACACACTTTGAATGACTGTGGGACCATAGCTAATAACTACATTCCGTACAGAGCGCAAGGCTGACTCCGCTGCCCCCACTGACGACGCTAACGATCTCTTCGACGTCGCCATCGAGGACTCTGGCAAGCCCGAGAGGCGCAACCGCGAGGGTGGCCCCAACGCCAAGCGCCAGAAGCGCGACCAGAAGTTCGGCTTCGGTGGTAAGAAACGTTTCTCCAAGAGCGGTGATGCCGCGTCCACCGGTGACCTGCGTGGTTTCTCTCAAAAGAAGATGAAGGCTGGCGCGTCCAAGCGGCCCGGTAAGAGCAAGCGCGCTGCGGCCAAGGGTCGCTCGTAAAGCTTGTCTTTTCCGAATGTGACGTGAATGGGCTGGCTGTGCGGGTTATTGTCATTTTGAGGAAGGAGGATGATGATGGCGCCAGGCGCAACAAAAATTTTATTGGTGGATATCCGCCTTGGCTTTTCTGTAATATCTAGAATTTTACCCTGCATTTGCACATGGTCAATTGAATTACCCTTTTACGGTTTATGTCTGATGTTGGAGAGTTGGAACTAGAGACGTTTGATCTGAAGTGTATTAGCCTAACCATTTACCCTCGTGAAGACCTGAATACTTTGGGAATAAAGCTGGACGAATGGAAGCTTGTTTTTCAATGTGCATGAATGCCTGGCTGCATGATGCAGTATCTATTGTACACAATCTTCTCCCTTGCCTTGCCTAATGGCATTGCATTTATTATTGTTGAGCTTTCGCTTTTTCCTCCTCCTCCGCCTTAGCGGCCCTCTTGTTCTCCCAGTTTTCAAGGAACTTTTGAACCTTGGGACCCCAGACCTCTTCGCCTTGCTCCAAGTCCTTATATTCAAGGATATTCTCGGGCTTCAGATCAAATTCAGCCTGGCGACTTCGAACGAGCTCGCTCATAAGACCACAGCTACCGACGGCCTTGCCTAGGTCGTGTGCCAAAGAGCGAACATAGAAGCCCGACGTAACGGTCATGTGAATCTTGACTGCCGCGGGTTGGGGACGAGGCTCATCTGTTTTCTCTGTGGGGGCGTCTTCAGTTGCAGGTTCCGGGGCAACAGGCTCAGGTGCGGCCGGTTGGGCTGAACCGTCCTCGGAGACCTTTTGCTTTTTTGCGGCTTCCTGGTCTCCTTCTTTGGGCGAATCTGCTGCAGGTGGCGTCTTTCGCTTAGAAGAAGCTTCTTGGTCTGCGGCTTCGCCTTCCACGGGGATCTCAGCTTCCTTGTCGAGGAGCTTCTCGGCGATGATCTTCTCATCGCCAGTCATCTCCTCCTCGGGCCACTTGTACTCGTGGGTACCGGGCTCGTACCACTCCACGATCTTCAATTCCACGGTCTCGACGGGCCGAGATTTGATCTCGACGGGGGGCATCTTGCCCTCGCGCGCATACTCGTATAACCTCTTTCCATCCACTCGCAGCGCCGAAAAGATTGGTGGACGCTGCATGATCTTTCCCCGGAATTGGTCTAGGGCCTTCTCAACTGCCTCCCGGGTAATATGCTCGTATGGTGCCCGGCGCACGATTTTGCCCAAGCGGTCGTAAGTGTCCGTCTCCGCGCCGAAGAGAACCACCGTCTCGTAGGACTTGGTGCAGGCCAGGAAGTCATTGAGCGACTTGGTACCCTTTCCAACGCCGGCGATCAGTACGCCCGTTGCGAGGGGGTCGAGTGTGCCGCCATGACCGATCTTCACCTCGACTTTCCTGTTCTTGTTGCGGCGGCGGTTCTTCTGGAAGCTGCTCTCCTTCTTGCGGAGAGCCTTTTCGGTCTCAATCCATGGCGCGAAGAGCTTGGAGGGGTTGAAGTGGCGCTGTAGGTCGCGGAGGACGTCGGCGGAGGTGATGCCTTGCGGCTTGTGAACGGCTAACCAAGTTATTTGTCAATGGGAGAAGAACTCGGTTTGATCCGTTCTTGGGCAATGCGACTTACCGAAACAGCCCTCAAAGATCTTCTCTCCAGACATTGTGGTGCGAAACAACCGAAAGTTTCGTGGGAATGGCATCTGTCGCCGTTGGAAGTTGGAGAGGAAAAAGGTTTCGAGCTGAGAGCCGCAAGTAATTAAATTCGCGGTATCGTACGTCGAGGCTAATCGATAAGGTATTGCCGGGTATCGGTAAGTTACCGGCCATCAATGGAGACTGTTGACGCCGCGAGATTCCAACCTGCTCTCACGTTCTTCACGTTCTACCTCCAGGAGGCCTCGAAAATCCCTTTCGAAAACCTCTCCCCCATCACTCGAACCACAATGATCCCCCCGAAGTCATCGCAATCATGAGCGCCCGCGAAGATACCGTCCTCCGTCCCATCAATTCCTCCATCACCGACGAGAATGACTGGCCGGATTTCGATCTGGTCGACGTCAAGGTCCTGCGGCCGGGGAAGATGCTCTATGCCAATCTTCTCGATGCCACAGAACGGAATCCGGTCCAGGTGATTGGCTGCTTGGAGCTGAGGGAGGACCAGAACCACCTACGTGCGTATTCGATTACACGCCTGTGCGGCTTATCGCAAGGCGCGTCCTATCAGTTCGTCAACATATTGCTCACATTTGCGACTTCTCTCGTCTAGTACTCGACCCCGAATCCGCTTCTAAACGTGTTATTATCGACGATGTCACCCATTACGCCTATGGCCAGACGGAAGATCGTAGCGTTGAGCTATGGGTGGCCGGCAAGGCTGGCTGGTATAATATCTCGCCTGCCAAGGGCTATGTGCCGACCTTCAGTCGCATGGTCCAGGCTGTGGATATGCTTTATTTCCTAACGGATCGGCACCAGCATGGCAAGAAGCAGCTAAATCCATCTTTTAAGAATCTGTGTGAGCAGGTGTGTTCCTATACCACTCCCCCGCTCAGCGCGTTCTGTCGCGACGACTAACCCCAGCCAGTATGTCTTTCACACACACGGCGATTGCGAGACTAGAGAGCAATCGGCTGAGGTATTCACGGAACATGCGCCATTCCTTCTCCGCTGCATGATTGAAGACGACGAGGATGGTGACTGTATGGACTGGAAGAAGACTAATGTATTCGTTCACCTTCGTCGCCAATTTAGCGTGAGTCGTTGCATTACTCGAACATTCTCTTTCCATCCGCTGAATCTTTTCCCGCGCAGGATGTCTACAACGAGCTCATGGAAGAGCGATCGAACAAGTCCGAGGATGAAGAAGAGCAGAGCGAGACCACAGTATCAACACCTCGGCATGATCCAGCGGCCATAGCGAAATCACAAATTGATGCTATCTACCAAATGATAACAGATCTGAGGGAAGAAGGCTATTTAGCAAAGCGCCGCCTACATCTCGATCTCTTGACGGAACGTCTAGCCGATCGATATTCCTTCAGCCGGGAAAATGCAAGCAAGATTATTGCGGCTAGAGCAGGTGCGGTCGTGGAGCGGCTAGACGAAGAGGATACGCCTGGCTTCCGGTGGGCTCGTTATGTGATTCACCGAGAGCTCACACACGCTGCAACTCAAGAGAGCACACTCTCTCCCGGGCTTCTCACACCACTACAGCCAATCGAGGACTCTAGTGATGATGAACGCCTGGGCCACACACAGAAATCGGTTCTGCGGCCCAAGATGAACTCTGTCGTCTCTGGGAAGATCATGGGGAAACGACATCGTAATGCAGTCATCAACAAGGACGTACAGTCCGATACCAGCGAAGTCGAGGAAGAGGATGAAGCCATGGAAGACATGGAAGACATTGACGACATCGATACACCCAGCAAGACTCGCGGTCATGAGCTGATAAGAACACCTCTTGCCACCGCAAAGTCTCGGGGCCGCTCCCTTCTCCCCAGTTCTGGATCTGCTGCGTCTTCACTATTGAAGAGCGTACTCTCGTCAGAACCTCCCCAGACGCCATCTTTGCTCTCCAACATGAACGGAGATACCCTCACATCCCACCCTCTTGCTGAATTGAATAAGATCTCAGAAATATGGTCATGCCGCATGCCCGGCTGTTCAAAGACCATCTCGACCAAGGGCGATCAGCGCAAGCAAGATATCGAGGCACATGCCACGGAACATGATTGGGAGGCACAGATGCGCATCGAAATAGTTGAAGCCGAACGACGCATGCATACAACAATGCCTGTCAGCAATCTGATGCAGTACTTGCTCAACCAGCACGTTGCGCAGATGCGCTCTGCTTTCCCCGAGAAATATCCCGCAAATATGGAGAATGGGGAAGCAAATGGAAACATGGAACCTTCTGAAACAGTTCAGAATGGAGATTCAGCACCATTGCTCAATGGCTAGGACTCTGAGAATCAGAATGAGGATAATGAGGTAAATGGTCACACTACATGAGATAATGGTTTTAGACATAGCTTTGCAAGATCATGATGCATCGACTTCGAAACGACGTCACATGAACATACTGCCCGAAGATTAGCTCTTTGAAGCTGATTTTGATATTTGGGGTTGTATGTATCTCCTTCAGGTCCTTGGTGAACATCTCAACTGACTAGATGCTTTTGCAGAGGTTAACCTTTGTACTTTACGCTGAAATGATACCTTTGCCTTCGGGTTTGATGATTCAGTCTGTTCCCGCTGTGAACTGTAGCGAGTAGGACGTCAAAGACCGCTTCCTCTGTGGTTCCTAAGAACCTCCATCATTCGCCTCGAGCGTATCTGAAGAGAACGAGTTTTTGGGGTAGATACCCTTTTAGTTACAACATCTGCCTTGGATTGATTACTCTCACAGCCTCTTATCAAAGCTTCATAAGTAGAATATAGGTCCCTATGAAATCGACGGTGAAATGATAACCCCCAGCGCCAGACACGGTAAGCTTGAAAAAATACCAAGTTAAGTTCCCATCTACGTGAGATAAAGTGTAGCGATCAAGCTAAAATAATAATATTACATAGCTTGATTATCATTGAGGGGGAACAACTAGATACTCGAATGACGCCTGTGCCGAGGATTACAAGTTTACTGCCTCATATCGCTGAATTCCTTAACCTGAGCAATCAGGGCCGTATTTGCAAGTAGCTGGCATGCGACAATAGCCATTCCGGCAGCAGCGTTCAAACAGCTTTGATATGCTTCCATTGTTCCGGTGTATTTGGTAAACTCAGGCGTGTGTGGCTGTGCGCCATTCTCAGTGGGGATAATAAACATCCCATGGAAACTAGGAGTAACACATGACACATTTCCTAAAACGTTGGTCAGTAAGACTCAAATGGCATAAATTAAGACTCCTTTGTCGGCCTATTGAGTATCTACCTTGGTCAGTGGAAGCCCCAGAGGGCGAAGCACTTTCGCCTCCAAGCCAAACAGCGTTACCCAAGGCCTTTGCCGCTTCCACGTATTTCTTACACATCACCATGTTGGATTTCAGGTCAAGATATCGTTCTTTTCTGTATTCGATTGACCATGAGCGAGGGTCCTCAACATAAGGAGCGAACAAGGCATAAACATACTTCGTGTACTCCATATCACAGCCCGTTGCCTGAGCTGCAGCCTTGAAACAGCCCTGAACCTTTTCCTCTAATGCTTCCAATCCTTGTTTATCCGTTGATCGAATATCAAAATTCATCACGGTCCGAGCCGGGATAATATTGGGACGGTCGCCACCATGTGAAATGATACCATGAATACGTTGTGTCGGGTGAATTTGTTGTTGTAGTATCGAAATGTTGACATAGGCTGCAACTGCAGCGTCGAGAGCGTTGACGCCTTCCCATGGAAACGCGGATGCATGCGCCGGCTTACCCGTGAATGTCACCTCAATTTTCTGATTAGCCAGAAAAGCTCCAACGGGGGGAGCAGCAATGCCGTGCAGTCCCATAGCCTCGAGAGGCCCCATACTTCCGGCAGGGTGGACCATCAGACACGTATCGACATCTTCGTATGCTCCAGCGGCTATCATATGGGTCTTCCCTCCCCCATTCTCCTCTGCAGGTGTTCCAAGTAGTCGCAAGGTGAAAGCATCAGAGAGTCCCGCGCTGTAAAGCTTGTTCATTGACTCGACAGCAGCAATGAAAGCTGCAATGGAACTAGTCGCAATAAGATTATGCCCACATGCATGCCCAATCCCGGGAAGGGCGTCATATTCAGCATTGAAAGCTACCACGACTCCTCCCGTCCCTTTGCTGTATTCAACCTCGAAGGAAGTATCAAGGCCAAAACACTTTCGGCGGACTGTATAGCCTTCAGAGCCCAGAGCTTCAAAGAAGGCGCATGATGGTATCTGCGCCTTATGCTCCTCGAAGCCTAGCTCGGGATTGGACCATATCTAATGTACGTATGCTCTTAGAAATTTTGCTTAGAGCATGGATCTCGGAATAGGAAGTCACCTCTTGGTTAATACGCTTCAACTTATCATCATGGCGCAAGAAACTTTCCTGCACACTGTCAATCAGTTGCAGATATTCCTTGTGGATTCCATCTTAGAGACAAAAAAAATTCGGCGGAAATGATCACTATCAGCCTTTTGCATCGACGATACCGTGCCTTAGTAAAATGGTTAAATTCAGGTCGTTCACTTATAAGTTTACAAATCTACTTATAGGGCTTAGTTATAGAAGTCTCTCATCCACCTAGTAAACCAGGCTCAGAGGCCGAATGCCCTAAGCGAGGCCCGGATATATACTTTACCTATCTTTTCCTATCACTCAAAGCGAAGGTTTTGTTTAATCTTCTAGGTGTACATGGCCAGCAATGCGAAATTCGAAATTTCCCAAAGGATCCGGTGATATATATTGTGTATGCTGGATCTGAAAGATTCCATTACTCGAAAAATAATTTTATGCATGACTTTTATGAGGAGAAAATGACCAGTCATAGCTCTTGGCTAATCAACAAGGGTGGTATTATCGCAAGTTAGTGCCTAAGGGGGAAGGCATTACGAGAAGGGCTGGCCCGAAAGGCGTTAGTTTAGACGTAAATTATGAAGGAATCATGCAGTCGAAGTTAACCATTTCCGTCCGCCAAGTTCAGTGTTTAATGATCCGCCTTGTCGCCATCGAACCTATCTTCCAACAGCCCTGTTTTCCGTGACTTTCCTTATCATTTCGTACCTTTTCTTTTGTTGAATTTTGGCCTATAAGGGGTAGCGGAAAAGAATAACGTTATCTCATTATAGCTTCATGCTCGAATCCCAGACCCCGTGTAACTAACGCGCTCTATTTTATTTTGTTGCTGATAAGAAACGATACTCTCAGGAAGCGTAGTTAGGACTGACATATAAAATGTCTCTAATGTTTGTCGCATGACCGATCGAGAAAGCCGACAGAATTATCTACCTTCTTGATTTATTCAATCACCGAAGTTCTGAAAACGAACTCAACATGGTCGCTTCCCTAGACGAGGAGAAAAAACCAGAGGTTACTAGCAATGATACAGAACCCTTGCCAGCTCCACTTAAAGGGGCTGTAATCTACAGCTCGGAGAGAATCTCTTATACGGCCGAGGAGAGAAGAGTTATTCGAAAAATAGACATGAAGTTGATAATTCCTTCTACCTGTTGCCCTTCCACGGTTAACTGACACTTGATTTCGGTTCAGCATTCTACCTTTCATGCTTATTGCATACATGCTTCAGTTTTTGGATAAACAAGCCCTTTCCAACAGCACAATAATGGGAATCATTCAAGATTTGGAGCTATATGGAACTAAATACAGTTGGGCAGTCAGCATGTTTTACTTTGGATACTTGCTCGCATCCTATCCTGTTTTGATGATGCTGGTGAAGCTTCCATTAGGAAAGTCATTAGCAACGGTCTTGTGAGTAGTTGAATATTTATTTGGCGTATCATAATTATTGACTCTGGCTTTCAGTATTGTGTGGGCTATTATTCTTGGTTGTCATGCTGCGACAAAGAACTTTGCAGGCTTGATGGTAGCCAGGTTCTTCCTTGGGGTTGCGGAGGCTAGTATCTCCCCAGGCTTTAGCCTAATCACGTCTCTATGGTATCGAACTTCTGAGCAGCCCTTACGCCATGGTCTCTGGTTTGCAAGCAATTCAGCATCAGGTATATTCGCAAGTATTATGGCATGGGGGATTTACCATATTCACGACGCATTAAAACCGTGGCAGGTAAAGTATTTATATACCATTGCCCTCGATACTCACTAATTAAATCCAGTGGCTCTTCATTATTATGGCGCTAGCTACTTACATTCGTCTGGGGCCTGATGCTTCTTTGGCGCTTGCCAGATCACCCCGAGACGGCTAAGTTTCTTAATGAGCAGGAAAATTGATTGCTCTAGAACGTCTTCGAAGCAATCATGCAGGTACAAAGACCGGTAGATACGATTGGAAACAGGCCATGGAAGCTCTTCGAGATCCCAAAACCTGGATGCTTATCGTCTATTCCCTCAAGTCAAACATTCCAAATGGTGGATATACATCTGTGAGTTTGACAGCCGAATATTCCATCATATGTCTCTAACTATTCTTCGACAAAGTTTACTTCCATTGTACTTCAATCACTAGGCTTCAGCACTTTAAAAACATACCTGATAGCTATGCCTTTGAGCGCTTTCATCTTGATAGTCGTACTTTCAACGTGAGTGATAATATCGAATTATTTATTCCAGATGAACTAATACACTCAAAAGCTCTTTTGCCGCTTCCAAACTCAAGAACTCCCGATGCTATCTAATGGCCTTCACAACCATCATCGCCATTATTGGTTCAGCTCTGGTTTATTCAACTACTAAGACTGCCCCCCGATATGCTGGGTTATGTTTAATGGGCACCTTCTCTGCAGGGATACCCCTTCAATTGGCATTGGTTAGTTCAAACACGGGAGGTTTCACGAAACGTGCCACAGTCAGTGCTCTGCTATTCGTCTCCTATTGTGTTGGAAATATTATTGGGCCTCAGATTTTCTTCAGCTGGCAGGCCGGAAATTTTAAAGCGGGTTCCTTGGTATCATGATATGTCTGGTGATATCCGCTGTTGACATTATCGCGTATGGATTTTACGTTGCTCGGGAAAATAAGAAACGCGACACGGAAGCATTGGAACTATCTCATACCCAAGCGGAGATTGAGACCGAGTTTCCGGACTTCACTGATTGGGAGAACAGGCATTTTCGATACAAATATTAAGTTGCGAGGAGATCTTGGTTTGGTATCGATGTTTTAAATCGCAGTGTTGTCTTTTGTTTGTGTTCTTCAGGAGGAAGATATTTCTGGTATTCATCTCTGTTTGTTATAATAGTCATCAGAAGTTAATTGTTGATGCTCCGACTGGGTATTCTGGACTGAAGATCAGAAGGTTAATGTAGGAGCGGTTTGTTCCTTGAATTTGAAGCCGATAAAATGCCATCGCTGTTCGATATAGTAGGCTAGTGGCTAGGTTAATAGAAAAGAGGAGATCTTCGTGTAAGTAGGCCAATAAAAAGCATTGAAGCAATAGTGAGAGCAGTAAGGGAGGTAATAAGGATATTAATGTAAGGGGAAGGGCATCAAAATGATGTTCCTTAATTATATGACTAGATTTTGCTACCTTAGTGGCTGAAATCTTGGAAATCTAGGCATTTTAAGGTATCTTTACGGCGTAGGTAACTATAAAAACAACCTCGTCTAGTTCACTATTCGCAATTCGGTATGCACGAACTATTACGACCCTCTTAGGCTAGCCCTCGTAGGTACTATATAAGTTAGTCTATATAGCTCGACGTACACGCTAAGTAGGCGTAGGGATTTATACACACACCGTGTATATATTAGAACCTTACCGACTCTGCCCCCGCACACCGCTCGACCGTTGTCTCCCTTTCCTGGCAGGTTTGAGTTCATCCTTTCCATTGTCTTCACCCTCTTACATTTTCTTTCCATATCCAAATGGCGCAGGTAAGATCTTTTAACAGCTTTCTCTTTCCTCAGCCTCATTACAGAAGAACATGGCGCTCCTGCCAAACTTCCAAGCCTCAGTGATCGCCTCTTGTGCAAATCCGTTGCCATGCAATATTGTCAGCCAGCACGGAAAGCGTATTATCAAGATATCTGATCATCAAGTGGTCAAGTGGGGCCCAGATGTAACGAAAGAAGAAGCCGAAAACCAAAAGATAGCCTATGAACTTTTGGATAGCCGCATAGTTCGTGTTCCACAGGTATATGCCTTTTTGCTAATGAAAAGGGGTGGGGTTATATTATAATGGAATTTATAGAGGGGAAGGTCATTGACCCATTAGAGGACGTTACGGCCATCGAGAAGGTTGCGGGCGTGCTTGATCACTTCGCAACATTGGGTCACACTATCCCTGGCTCTTTCTGTGGGGGATTTTGTCGTGTTCTTCTGTTCCCCGAGACCGAAGATCTTATTTTTGACAGCCTTGACGAGATGGAGAAGTGGTTTAATAGCCGACTTCTTCCGTATCTAAAAAAAAGAATAACAATCAAATTAAGCATTACTGTTATACCCTTCCTCCCAGAAGGAATCCCACTTTCTATCCTATATCCTCTCCTAAAAATCAATATCCAAAATCCCCATCCACTCGCACCGCTCCCTCACCCCCGGCGTTGGACTCCCCGTACAAATCCAAGCCGGATTCGTAGCATAAGCACTGATAACCTCATAACCCCGCTGCGTCCCATTGACCCCCTGAATAACCAAAACAAAGTTCTCGATATTACCAATGCCGTAGCGGAAACCGAATTCGTAGTTGTTGTTGAGGCATTTGTTCATCGCGAGTCCGGGTTGGATGGCGCTTGTGGTACTCCTATTTTTGGGTCTGTTTAGCCGATTGCTATATGACATGGATTGAAAAAGGAAATGACTGTTCTTTGGGGAATTAAGGGAGCTTGAATTTGGGAGGTCTGTCTTGAAGATGGACGATATGAAATGAGTGTCTTACCATGTTAAGGTACAATCATCATTAAGTCCCGTCACGGTACTGTGTAGTGCGAATTGTAATGATCCCGTTCCGTCATCTGCATGCTGGACATTAAAGTGCCGGATGTGTACAGACTCGGCACGCTTCACCGGACTAGTGAGGGAGGTGCTTGCAACAGCTATAAGGGACGAGATAAGAATTGTGACCTTCATTGTAGGAATTGATGGATGAACTTGAAAGGTGTTGCAATGGCTCTGCAGAAACAATTTATAAGTCCTAAATGGACTAAGTATTAGGGTGTTCCACGGTGGTAGATGAGATGATGTAGCGATGAAGTCGGTACCATAGGTCTGCTTTATACTTCTCAAACCTTAACGTAAGAGACATTGTATATCGTTGCCATAAGTTAAACAGGCCATTGCTACTCACTAGATACTACTTACTCACTCAATTCCCTGTAAGAAGCTTATCGAATGATTCACCCACGCAACAGCTAGTGGTCCCATCAAGACCGAGGAGAAATCCGCTTCTGTGACATGGAGAATATGATTCGAATAGTGCAGTGTTGCAATGGCATCGGCACGCTGCTTTACGAATAATTCTCTGTGTGTTCGATAGAAACATAAGCCCGTTCAACGAAATGGCATGTCCTTGTAGATTTGCACGGCACGATGCCGAATTATCGGGTTCAGACGTTGTGCCTTGTACCTTGTCTCATTTTCACTTTTAAGGTTGAGCGAAGCTCAAGTTTGTGGGACAGGGGCTGCGATTATCAATTGGTCTCAGACATGTTCCGTCATGATTTGCTACGAGAGAAGATTTCTTGATTTAGTTGGAAGATGGAGGGATCTTACCAAGAGAGGACGCTGCGGTATAGAGTCAAGACTCTGTATGCGGAGACCTAGGGAATGAATTGGTTTACAATCCGGAAATCTGAGAAATCCTCTTACGGAGATATGGGAATCACAACTTCACCTCGAAAAGTAGTCCCTATCAGGCAGGGGCTCTGTGCAGGGGGAATCTCCGAAAGGTCTGGGTGATTTTCCGTTTACAAGCCCATCGTTGCACAATAGGCCGCCTGTGGGTGTCAAGACGGGTCGCTTGGTGTCCCAAATGTCGCAAGAGGCGCAACGCCCAACTCATACAATATCCGGCAATATCAACGGATGTGCGACTTGGGCTTATAAAAGAACTGCGCGAAGACAGTTCCCATCACACAAATGATTTACGTTCGACCATAAATAGCAAGAAAAGCGACTTGCAATGCAGACGTTGTATGCCATACCATGCAGCTATGGAGAACAGATCAGGAGAAAACGAGGTGGTAACACAAACTCCGCGCCAGTTACGGCGGATACAAGACGTTGCAACGACCAGGAGTATTGCGTTGTTTTCACCTGTACACGGGAGATAGAAAGTTGCCTTGACCGTCCACGAAGAAAGACCTTAGCTTCGAAACATGTGAGGGATTGAAGACAGGAAGGTAAAAAGAAAAAAGTCGAAAGAGGCTTTTTGACTTGGAAAAGGGGGTATACCACGAACATGCCACATATATCACACGCACATACAGAGAGGGATTGGAGATCAGAGATTCACAGTGAACAGAAAATGGGAAAAATGACGAGGGTGAGAAGAGATAAGAAATGATGGGTGTGGTGCAGATAGACACATGGCCAGTCGGCCAGATTGAAATGAAAATCGAGAGGCAAGGAAAAGAAAGCAATGTGCGTAGGGACGACGATGATGATGCGATGATAAATGTGGCTCAAATCTATGAGGGGAGAAGGGAATTGTGGAAGAATGTAGCTAGCGGAGGAGTCCTGTCCTGGAAGCCACGAATGGATAGAATCATTGCTGATGGACGTTGTGAGCATCGACAAGAGCTGTTGTGGTAGTCATTAGCATGATATCCAACTATCCCATCAAGAGGGAAAGGAAAAACTTACTCTGCAGAGTCCAGGATTGTCCCTGTCGTGACTCACACGCACACTGAAGCGTGCTACCGTCTAGGAAGTCCAGCAGAATGCTGTTAGGCAGCTCCTGCATATCCTCATCAGGAAGACAAGGCGTCCGGAATTCGGTCAGGTGATAGCGCTTGGTCATGTTGCGAGCACTGGCATCATTAGTGCCGGGAGTGAGAACCACGTAACCGTCCTCATCGATGCGCATGAATCGGCGCTTCCAGAGAAGGGTCTCTGGGAACTGAACGTTGACTTCGCCAATCTCAATGGGCTCGGAGAGGGTCTGGCGGGACGAGGATTTTGAGATAGTCGAGTTACCCAAAGGAGAGTCCACAGTCTCTTCCTTAACGGGTGGGCTGAGAGCCCCGATGATGCTGCGGCGAGAATTCGAGGTGATCGACGACATGCGGCGCATCAGGCGAGAGGCGCGGGAGCCCTTCTTCTCGTCGGTGGGTGATGCGGAATGGAGATTCTCATCGGTCTTGGGGCGTGAGGACAATGACAGGCGGCTTGCAGGGCGAGAGACTGGTGTGGCTTGGCGGGTGGAGCCAGCAGATGACATGGACATGGCACGGTCCTCCACGTGGGGTGTAGTAGACTCGACGGTCTGGCCATTAGACACCGGCTCGTCGGATGTCTCATGCTGCTCCACGGTGAGCTGGCTTGCCTGGAGGTTAAGCACATCTGATTCTGATGGCTCGACGCCAGAGGAGCCCGGTGACACACTAGTATCACGGACGATGCGAGCCGTCACAGAAATCGAGTTGGTACGGCGGTTGGCCGAAGAGACGGGGCGAGCATCATGATGATTCACGCTGGGAGCGCGAGAAAAGTCCGGAATAGTACCATTGGGGAACGAGACAGAAGCACGCTTGCGCAACTCCTCAAATGAGGAAGAGGCGGACGGTCCAGCGACCGTAGTCGAACCAGAAGGAGGACCTTCCCGGCTAGAGAACTTCTCTAGAGCCTTGATACGGCTGGAGATGCCAGAGGAAACGTTGATCTTCTTGGCCATGAGCACTGGAGTCGTAGGTCCATTGTCAATGTATGAGCTCGATACGGATCGGCCCACTGCCAGAGCTTGCATGGCCGATGGGGACGTCAAGTAAGGGCTGGAGACAGCTCGGGAACCCTTCCAAGACGGATCGCCGCCGTTGGGAGACTTGACCGAAACCGGTCTGGCCTCCTGCACGGTGGCTGATCTTAATTCCTCCATGAAAGAATCATCCGAGAGGAGACAGTCGTCGTCGGAAAATTCCTGCGTCGGCACTTGGATCGGCTCCAGGTGTTTGCGTCGCCTTTGGTCCAAGGGGGGAACGGCGGGTGTAAAACTCAAGGTGGGTGGCTCCTCAGGTGCGGTCTCTTCTTGAGGGACAGGCTCGATCGAGACCAACACGGGCGCGACCGGAGGCTCGACTACGGGGCTAGGGGGAGACTCCACGGGAGGGAGGATGGGGATGGTGACTGTTTGGGGGACCTCTTCGGTGGCTGCCTCCTCTAATTGTTGGTCTAGGACCGAGGCGACCTCAGCAGGTTGTTGCACAGGAGAAGCGGTTGCCGATTCTGGCGTCGTGTCTGAGTCGTGGGTTGTCTCCTTGGTGAGTGGGACCTCGACGTTGGCGCTAGGTGGGACTAGGTCGTCCTTAGTCTCAATCGGGACAGAAATTGCGGAGCCCTCGTGCTCCGCGCGTGTTTCAACCTCAGGAACCTCGTTTTCAACGGGGGTCTGCGAGATCTCGGACTTGATAGTCTCGAGGGGTGTCTCGGCGCGATCAGTCGAAAATGTGGTGTCGGCACTGGGACCCGAAGTAGGAGAAGATGGGCATTCGGAATCAGAGACCGGAGCATCGGTGATCAATTCCGGGTCAGCTTTTGAAGTTTCAGAAGGAGAAGCAGGCTGAACGGTTGCCTGGTCCTGAAGTGATTGAGGTGCTGGTGCCTCCGGGGACGCAGAAGACTGATCCTCCGCGGGCTCAGCTGGAGCTTTCTCTTGAGGTTGCTCGGGTACTTCGGATGGCTCGGGAATCAACATGGGTGGCTCTGCAAGATTCCCATGGGTTTGACTCTCTTGTGGTTTTTCTGGCTCGAGTTTGGTTTCAGGCTCAGGTACCGTTTCAGCCTCAATTTTGGGACTTTCCGTTTGCCGAGCCGGGGAAATAATGGTCTTATCTTCCTCCTCGCTCTGTACAGACTCTTTTGTCTTTGTGGTCTTTACCTCTTCCTCTAAATCAGCCATCGCCTGCTTCTTCTTCGTCTGCTCCGCCCGCTTCGCCATTTGTTTTTTCCGTTGCTGCAACGCTTTCATCAAGCGTTCTTTCTCGGGAGTCAGGCCGGACGAGGTTGACAGCGCACCCAAGGACTTGGCACCTGGAGAGAGTGGTGGTCTCGAAATGGGAATCGATGGAGGAGGGACCAGCAAGGGCGGGATTGGAGGTGCTCGACTACTCGGTTTGGTTGCAAACGAGCTACCTTGCGACCGCGGACGGGGCACTTCGTTGATACTTGGGGGCTTCCGCACGGAGGACGAGCGCATCCCGGCTGGCATGGCGGCAACCGGGCGTTGGTCGGGGTTTCGAGAGCTTCCTGACGTGCGAGGCCGTCCACTTCCGTCGACTGAAGGACGAGGGCCAAGCTTGACCTTGGGCGTATATCCAGCAGCTCGCTCCAGATCACGCAACGAGGGCCGCGCAGACTGAGTTGACATACGAACTTCCTCTGACGGGCGAGGAAACTCGTCTAGGATATTTCTATATCTTGAATACTCCGAAGTGACAGATTCCGGAGATCGAGGGGAAGATGGAGAGATGGGACTCGAATGCGATTCGCTTGGACTACCGCGTGAGAGAGGTGAACGGGAGCTTGCTCGGGAAGGAGGAGGTCGAAGATCGGGCGAGGATGCCTCGACTTCGGGGGAGGTAGTCGAGGGTGGTGGTACAATGGTAGCCTCGGACTTTTGGCTGCCAGATCGTTGCCTTGTTTCTACCGTAGGAGGAGGTTGCGATTGCGGCTGCGGTTGCGATTCCGGTTTATCCTTCGTCTCCTCCTTCGCGCCATTTTCCTCCGCATCCTCGGTTATCTCCATCAACCGACGGCGCCGGAGGGAGCTCGAGGAAGACGTGATCGATCCCGAGGCCGTGTGGAGAAGGCAAGCGGAGGAGAGGGCGCTCTCGTTCAAATCGGAAGCCTGCGTTAGGGGAAGGACCGTATCGTGCGGGGTGAATTTGTCGAGAACGGATTGGAACTGGACATTACTCCGGGCTAGAAAGAAAGGGTTCGCTAGTTAGTGACGGATCCTAGCAGCTCGTGACACGCTAATCAGGGCCGTACCTAATATGAGCCGTGACAGACCCTCTGGCATGTATCGCAGGATGACTTTCCTCCTGCGATAGTGCAAGAAGCCATAGAGCGGCGATGTCTCATTATAGTTGTCGATGGCATTGCGCACCTCGGGCACCCCGCCGGTGCCTCGATCGAGGAGGGCGACCTCATCCCGTGCGGTATAGTGTAGTAGAAACCTAAATAGGGGGTAAACGATTGCAACGGTCAGAATCAAGTAGACTTCATAGATAGTTGTGTTATTTTGCGGAGGGCGCGAAAGGGGCAAGTCCCGCGAGCATTCCGCGACAAGGGCAAGCTTACCAACCGCCCGCGTCGGCGAGGGCACTCTGGTAGGCTTCGACGACGGTGGGAGTATCTAGCCCATTGAGAGACATGGCTCGCACGGCATGAGGAGCGTGCCGAAGAGGCTTTGGAAGACCAGTCGCGGTCTGTAGGGAGTTGGAATCCGGAGGAGGAGGAGGGGAGAAGGGAAAGAAGGGGGAGAGAGTCTGGACTACTGGACGGGTCCAACTGGGGGGGGCGTAACCTTCCACCGAACAAGAATAGATAAACTAATGAATTGTTGCCCAACCGTTCACTCGTTAGTGTACTCCGTACTCGGTGCTCCTATCCATAAACTCCGTGGAATATTAGGGAAGAGCGAGCATAAAAAGTTGGGGCCACGGATGAGATCTCAAGATCGTGATGGGGGCTCCCCAATCAGACCTCTGATGGGTTCGATTGACAAGACGGGGAGAGAGCCAACTGATAGGCTCCGAGGTGGAGGATGGGCACTGGCGAACCTCTGCTCGTTTCGCCAAAGACTATTCTTCCCGTTCGTCGGGGCTGGTTCAGGGGCACAGGCGTTCCCAATTCGCTGGTCGACTCCACTCGCGGCTATCCTCATTTCAGTGGAGGTTCTGAAACGCTCGGTCGGAATCAATGCTCTTTATAGCTAGCCCCTCGTGCTTGTTTTGGGATCGAGGGGGGCTATTGTCGTACAGAGGACACCATTGAACCATTGCGGCCATTGGATTGTTGGATCATCCAGAAATTGGCTCGCTGGGTACTTGAAAGCGTACTGTAGTGTAGCACTGTAGCCCATAGTTAGCACGCTAGAACCAGATCGCATTGGTAGAGCATAAAGTAGGAGGTCACATATATACTCCTTGCCAAGCATTAGGAAGAAACGGCGAAGAATGTGATGATCTCGTTAGGATTCCATCGTCAATACGTCAATTGACTTCCTCAGCGCCGCGATCTATCAGCGCCGATCAAACGGAATTCGACCGGTCGAGGCCTGCAACGTAGACTCGTAAGTATACGACTGTCTAGAAGGTCAGTGATTGATCATAATCCAGGTCCTCGCGCTCGAGAAAGATGTTCGTCTAAAAAGAAATCACATATTAAACTTTGTTCCATTCCACGCTGTTCTCGAAGCATTTTAAAGTCGCTGGACGGAGTAGTCTACTCAAGATTCCAATTCCTGGTAGAACACTACGTAAGTTACCTGACCCTTCACGTACTATATGCAATTAGTAGTCCTATAGTTTCACAGCCATCCCCGTAGAATATTCTACTAGACCAGATCTAAATCTGACTCTCATCTCCATTACTCTAAATGTATTGACTCTATCTCGAGTGTATCCACCACAACCATCTGTTCTTCACACTCCGCTGGTCCCCGCCCGAACGACGACTCACTCGGCGACCCCCGACGGCGGACACAACCTACTTATACCAACCCGATCCTCCCCATGATTTCAAAGCTCCGAATTGACATCTTCCTCGAAACTTTGACCTTCAACTCTTCCACCACAGTCCCCTCACAATCATGGCCGATCTCCCCACCCTCTCATCGCTGCCCTCCCAATCGCAGGAGACCCAGCTGCGCGTGCTGGACACTCTCTTCGAGCCTTCCCCCGAGATCCACCAATTAATGCTGCCGATCCTGGCAAACCAGACCTTCAAAACCTATACCTCCCTCATCGACGCCGTAGGAGGTCGCATCTTTGAACTGGCTGCTCCCAACTCCGACTGGACAGTGCTGTTCGGCATCTTGGGCTCGCACCCGCGCCTCGGTCGGGCCCCCGCCAACCCCGAACATCTCAGCGAATTGAGCAAGAAGGAACAGGCGCAATTAAACACGGGCGCCGAGGAACAGGCGGAGAAGTTGTTGGCGCTGAATGCCGAGTATGAGGAGAAGTTCCCCGGACTGCGATTTGTGTAGGTTTCCTCTGTCTATTTTCATCTACAGCTGCTCGTGTGCTCGTCTTCGATACTGATTTTTGTGTCCATCATAGGACTTTTGTCAATGGGCGCAGTCGGGATGTGATTATGGAGGAAATGCGCCAGCGCATTGACCGGGCGGACAAGGAGAAGGAAATTACGGAGGCTATTCAGGTATGTGCAGTGGAATTGGAAAAACTGCTCCTCGTAGCAACTAACTCGGAGATTAGGCCATGTGTGACATTGCCAAGGATCGTGCTCGAAAGCTCCAGGCGCGCATTTAGAGAGACGACCATGTAAAACATGATACAATTTTGTCCCGGGAGGACATTTGATGGGATCGATGATGACATACTACTGCGTATACCTATACCAGCATAAATGATTATGAATACACAATATGCACGCTATGAACTTTCCATTCCAGAAATTCTAGAACAAGAATCCCCCAGGTCTTAGCGACGCTTGTCGGTGATAAGCAGAGGCAAAACGAGTCAATGAGGAGAGTCAGGGTCCAGTCGCGTCGAGAGTCTCCACTCTACAAGAGTCTCGCAGCCATTTGATGTCATCCATCCTGCTCCGGCCGTTGCCGCTCTAACCTATCGTGTATTTTAATTTCGCCTCTCTTCCCTGGAGAAGCTTCTGGTCAGATTGCACATTCCGGTCTTAAACTATGGCTTCCTCTAAACCCCGATAAACCAAACACCCCTTAACATACCATACAATCTCACCATCCTCAAACCCCCTCCACCTTCTTCTTCTCCCCCACCCACGACTACCACACCCCATGCGACGGGGACGCGCGACTAAATGGAGGGGAGCGCAGACCAGCATGGCGCATTACCGCGCAGCTCGACAAGCCCCGCGATAGCCGGCGAGCCCAAACCAGGACCACTCAGAGTCTCGCAAACTTTACCCGTTGGTACGTGCAAATGCGCGCGCATTGGAGTTTTGTCCGGTTGGCTTGGAAATCTGGGGATTACTCCCCCCCCCCCCTCTTTTGATCTTCGAAACCTACGGCCAAGTCGGACCAATGTCGAATCAGGAGATGCAGGGCGCTGACGATCATCACCAACGACAGGCGCAGGGTCGGTCACCTCGGGGTCCAGTCACAGCCAACAAGATGCGCAGCGGAATACTCGTCGCCCACAGCCCATTGGCGGGCCCGTGGCGAGAAATTCGACTTATACGCTGCATGAGACGAGAACTGAGAACAGCGCTATCGACCCTTTATCGCAGGTAAGCAGGTGGAATACTGATCTACTTCCGGGTCTCCCGACAAAGGCGCACGACCGAGGGGGACATGCCGCGAAACAATCAAAGAAAAACCACGACTGACCGTCCTTCCTTTTTCTTTGCGTCCTTCTAGCATATCATCCAGCGAACAAATACACAAAAGTCAATTCCCTTGAAACTGCTGGGTCGGGCTTCGTACGAGGCCGAGGCCGGCAGCACCGACATCAACCTGTCGGAGGCCAGTACTGCTCGGGGAGATGCAGCGTCAAACTCAAACGCTTCAAAAGAAAAGAAGTGAGTGTGACATTGAAAGCTTCAAAGCCGGAATATTTTGCAAGGCTGATCATCACACGCGTGATCTACTTGCTTCCCCTTCCCGCATACTTCCGCCCCCCTCCTCGTGAACAATTCCTCTTTTCCTCGGGCTCCGGCCACCGAGCTGCCGAGCCGTTCTTATATTTATAATGGTCGTACGATGACTGACATATAATTCTTCTCTTCGCCTCCCCTCTAGAAAGGGCGTCTCTTTTCTCAGCCGTCTTATCGGCACCAGAAAGAAGGATCAGCTCTCCGAGGCAGAAGATGAAATCTCAGAGCCAGATGCCAGCCGCATGTCCGTCGACACGTCCAATCCGATAGGATTTATTCCACGGCATCCGGCCCCTGCGAGGTATCTCAGAACTCGCGTGCATTATAAAAAGGACAAGGCTTTTGATCGGGTGTTCCTGGCGCAGGAATTACTAGATGGCGCACGCGCCCCGCCCAGAGCCGCTGACAGACGGAGATCCACCTCGGCCAGCACTCCGAATGACGATGGGGTTGGAAATGCGATTTGGGCTCTGGCGTTTTCCAAGGATGGAAAATTTCTTGCCGCGGCTGGTCAGGACAAGAAGGTCAGGGTATGGGCGGTGATCTCTACACCGGGGGAGCGTACGGATGCCACGCAAGGAAACGAGGATACCCCGACGGAGGATCAGCCACCGAAACTCAAGGCGCCCGTTTTTCACCCTAAGCCGGTTCGGGTCTTTGAAGGACATACTGGGAGTATTTTGGATTTGAGCTGGAGTAAAGTAGGCAGTCACAGGAGATTGTAAAATCCTCTTTGAAAACACGCTGACCGGATTCTCAGAACAACTTTCTCCTTTCATCGTCGATGGACAAGACTGTTCGATTATGGCATGCCAGTCGGATTGAATGTCTCTGTTGTTTTCAACACAGCGACTTTGTCACATCGATTCAATTCCACCCCCGCGACGATAGGTTCTTCCTTGCTGGATCGCTCGACACCAAACTACGTCTTTGGAGTATTCCGGATAAGAACGTGGCGTTCGTCACCACCGTCCCCGACATGATCACCGCAGTATCGTTCACCCCTGACGGACGGTACTCTATGGCTGGATGTCTGAATGGATTACTCAATATCTACGAAACGGAGGGCTTGAAGGTCTCTGGTCAGATCCATGTTCGATCTGCTCGTGGTCGCAACTCAAAAGGGAATAAGATCACCGGGATCGACACTATGACATTTCCAATCGACGATCCCTACGGCGATATCAAATTGCTGGTCACCAGCAATGATTCCCGCATTCGAATGTATGATTTCCGGGAGCGAGCGCTGGAGGCCAAGTTTCGAGGCAACGAAAATACGTGCAGCCAGATCCGTGCAACCTTCACCGATGACGGTAAGCATGTCATCTGCGGAAGCGAGGATCGCAGGGCATACGTGTGGCCCATTGGCACCGTGGAACGCGATACGGATAAACGAGCTGTGGAGGTATTCGAGACGCAGTCTGCCATTGTGACGGTGGCAATTTCCGCCCCGGCCAAGACCAAGCAGGTCCTAAATCTGTCAGAAGACCCAATCTATGATATCTGCAATCCACCCCCGGTAGCTCTCATGAGCACCGAAGAGTCATCAAAGCAGGAAAGTCCGGCGCGAGATCACGAGAGCGGCCACAAACGATCATCCTCTGCACCACGGTTATCCATAATCAGCAAGATGGCACACGAATCACCATCCTACATCTCTCGCTCCAAACACGCAGACGGGAACATCATCGTTATCGCCGACTACTCCGGCAAAATCAAAGTCCTCCGACAGGACTGTGCATACCACAAACGACGCTACGAGAACTGGGACGCGAATTCAACAATATCTCGACGAATCCTACGACGCTCCAACTCCGCTCGGAACAGCATCGCATCTTCCACAGGCAAGGAATCCTCCCACAAAACCCCCTCCGAACGGATAATATCCTGGCGCAACTCCGTCGTCCGCCACGGCCGTACCAGCACCGATGGATCCCGCTCCGGTCTACGCACACGCAGTCCCTCTCCCCCAACACCGCTCAGCAACATTCCGCCTCTCCTCATCTCGACCCTCCAGCCTGGCACCCAACGAATCCCTCTCCGTAGTAACAACCTCCCCACCACTGTCCCCACGCCACTCCCACGACGACACAACAACCCCAACAGACGGCCATAGACTCGGACCCAGCCACGGCCGCAGTCTAGCATCAGCCTCCCACCCGGCAAACGCAGACCCACGCAACCTCCCCACCTCATCCGCGGACCTCATCACCAGCAGCAAAGCAAAAGATAACCCCCTCTGGCTCCAGGGCGACCACAGCTACGCCTACTGGAACAAAATCACACACGACGCGCTAGCTATGAAGTCGCGGAAAGCGGATAATCTGCTCAGTCCGAATCGCATCCCGGCTGGTGGGGAGCGGAAGATGAGTGTTGCGGGAAGCGTGTTGAGTAGTGATTATGCTTCTTCGGCTGGGGAGGAGGATATTATGAGGTGTGAGCATTGTCGGGGCACAAATTTTAGGGGTGTTAAGGGGAGGGATGGGGGCCAGAAGTTGATTTGTGTGCAGTGTAATCGGGCTATTTAGTGGGTTTTGGGACTGGTTGGTTGGGTGAGTATTTATTTGGTTTAGTTGTTTGGTTTTTTTTGGGATCTTTTTGACATTTTGGGAAATTTTGGGAAATTTTGGGAAGGCTGGGATTTGGATCTACGAGGATGTGTATGATTTGGTTATGTTTTGATGACTTTTGGCTTCTTGACGTTTGCGATGGTGCTGGGGATTTGGTTCCTGTATGGTTTATGGTGGATGTTATTGTCTATTTTATTTCTGTTGATTCTTCCCCTTGATTTCATTTGAATTTTCACGAGCATGAAGCGAAGTACTATGGGATGGAGGGGTTCCTGGCTGAGCAAGGTTAGATTGGATGGACACTCTTCGGCGTGTATGATATGGAAATCCTGGTTATGGTAAAATGAAGAGTACATAAATCTACGAGCTGTGAAAATTTATACTATTCAATACAGACTCTCTTAAGAATAAACGTGAGGTGATGCCACTATTAGTATACTTAGTACACACGCCTGTGTCGTCCGAACATACAGTAGTTAGTCCGCCGCGATGCCAAGACCTGGAAAAAGTCCGGCGCTGATAACCTAACTGGCTCCTCCTCCATTTCCACCCCCGGACTCAACCTCAACCACCCACTACCTTCCTCAATTCCTCACACTCCCTCCTGCAACATCCTCTCTGTTGCCTCCTCTCGAGCTCCTCCCCAGCTCGTTCAATTGAGTACACATCACATACCTACTCAATATCCTACCCCGCGCACGCTCGCTCCGCACCACCGTCCAAAGCGAGACCGGCTCTCGCTAATACACCATGCCTTACCTCCCCACCTCCCAGGCTTTCCTGGAGCAGTCTGCCCAGCTTCTAGAGGCATACCCGGATACCGTATGTTGAGATAATACCTCCATTTACCCCCGCAGCCAAGGCTGTAACAGCTTGCGAAATCGCACGACACAATCCCCCCACTGCCAACGCCAACCTAACCACACACTCTCTCTCCAATAAACCCAAACCCCCGAAGAACCTTATCAAGAAATAACCTAACATCTCTCCAGACCCGGATAACAACAAAATACCACTTCCCAACCGAAACCCCCGGCGCCCGCGCCAAACGCTCAAAATCACAAGCCAAAAAGGCCACCACATCCTCCCCAGACACCCAACCCGCCTCAACACAAACCCAATCCGCCCCCGTCGCCGCTCTCACCCTTAAAACCTACAATCCCACCACGGGCATCGTCCTGCAGTATCAGACCAATAAGATCGCCGAGGTTAGCCGGTTGATTACGAGTCTGGGAAAGTTGGCCGCTGGTGCGGATGTTGCGAGTCTGGGGTTGTCGGGGGCTGGTGTCGGGGGTGATGTGGAGATGGTTGATGCGCCGCCGGTTGAGGAGAATGTTGCTACTGCGCCTGTTGTGAGTGGGAAGGGTCAGGGTCAGGGTCAGCAGGGCCAGGGTGGGAAGGGGAAGAAGAAGGGTGGGAAAGGGAAGCGATAAATCTCTTTCTTGAGGAGAGAGTTGATATGAGGGTTGGATAGAGCGGGTGGATTGGTTCATAGAGAATAATGACATGTTACGGGTTCGACTGACTGAGCAACGTGCATATGCTAAAACGATGGATCCGAGTCCAGACTCCTTGAGCTGAGTGCATAGATGCATGTTAGTCCAGACTGACTGGCTTAAGGTTGCCTTGATTAACTAGCCTGTATTAAGCTCATAAAGCATATTCTTCTACACATCTACGACGAAGCAAGAAATACAATGAACAAGTGATTCAAAACGTTAAATACACATATCCGCCATCCATCCCATATCAGACATTGTGGTCAAGAGTCTAGGACAGACCAAGAAGTAAAAAGACAAAGGAAAAAGATAAAAACGCCTAATCCATGCGTAGCCTTCGGAGGAATCCCATCAAAAGCAAAAGAAAACAGACAAACAGAAAAGCAGCGTGATATCATGTGGAGAAACAGTGTGAGGGAACCCTCACAACTGGAGGGTATAAAACAAGAGAAGCGGAGAGGTGAGGAAAGGAGGGGGGGATATTAATGACAAGGGACAACGTCTAGAAGTCCTCGTCGAAGCTGAGGCCGTTGTTCTTGGGGGCCTGCTCGCCCTCAGAGGCGCTGGTGTCCTTCTTGGTGGAGGCCATGACACCGGCCTTTTGGTAGTCGCCAACACGCTTCTCGAAGAAGTTGGTCTTGCCAGCCAGGGAGATGGACTCCATGAAGTCGAAGGGGTTGGTAGCGTTGTAGTATTTCTTGTTGCCAAGAGCGACCAGAAGACGGTCAGCCACGAACTCAATGTACTGGCACATCAGCTTGGAGTTCATGCCAAGCAGAGCACAGGGCAGAGCATCAGTTAGGAACTCCTGCTCGATACCGACAGCCTCGACAATGACGTCCTCGACAACCTGCTTGCTGGGGCGGTTGTTCAGGTGGGAGAAGAGCAGGCAGGCAAAGTCGGTGTGCAGACCCTCGTCACGGGAGATCAGCTCGTTGGAGAAGGTCAGACCGGGCATAAGACCACGCTTCTTGAGCCAGAAGATGGAGGCGAAGGAGCCAGAGAAGAAGATACCCTCAACGGCAGCAAAGGCAACCAGGCGCTGAGCAAAGGTGGACTCGCGGTCGGAGATCCACTTCATAGCCCACTCGGCCTTGCGCTTAATGCAGGGAACTGAAGCTAGGTTAGCAGGCAAGTCATCGCATGAGACGGATCCCAAGATTGTACATACTGGTGTCAATGGCATCGAAGAGGTAGGTGCGCTGCTTGGGCTCCTTGATGTAGGTATCAATGAGGAGAGAGTAGGTCTCGGAGTGAATGTTCTCCATCATGATCTGGAAACCGTAGAAGCAACGGGCCTCGGGGACCTGAACCTCACCGCTGAAACGCTCCAGCAAGTTCTCGTTGACAATGCCGTCGGAAGCGGCGAAGAATGCCAGAACGTGGGAGATAAAGTAACGCTCGTCATCGTTCAGGCGGTTGTGCCAGTCGTGCAGATCCTTGGACAGATCAATCTCCTCGGCGGTCCAGAAAGAGGCCTCGGCTTTCTTGTACATTTGCCAGATCTGTCAAAAGAAGAGAGCAATTGTCAGTAAACTGTTGATGAAACGATTGTGGTTCTATGTGGTTGGCGCGGCAGGTCGAGTCCGGCACGTCCGAACCACTTTACGCGTAGACGCGTCGGCGACGTGACTAACCTCGTGGTACTTGATGGGGAAGAGGACGAAACGGTGGGGGTTCTCCTGGAGGAGGGGCTCGTTGGCCTCGGCCTCCTTGATACCACTAGCAACCTTGGGAGCCTCGAGGGCCTTCTCGACGGGCTTGGTGGTGGTCGCGTCGAGGGACTTGAGAGACGCGGGCGCGTTCTCCTTGCCGACGGACTGGAAGTCGAGCTTCTTAACGGGGGAGTCGCTCATCTTGAGGTTCTCGAAGGAGGAAGCAGCCTAAGAAAGCACGCGCGTTAGTCCAAAGTGATGCTCTCGACGCGTCTATCGCGAGAGGCGACAGTGGTGACATCACGTACCTGCTTCGAAGGGGTGAGTTGAGTGGCCATTGGAAGATGTGTTGAAGAGAATGTGATCACAGAAGAACAATTGAAATGCAACACAGCACCACAAAGCAGGGGAAAGGCAAAAGCTTGGGAGGGGAAAGAGAAAAGCGCGAAAGCTGGAGGTGGGAGAAGAATCGGTTAAGTACTTGGTGGACGTGAATCTTTTAGCGCGACGGGCTAAGTCACGCTGCACGTGACCACGCGCCCAACCGCGCTTACATCAGCAGGGGGACCGGACGCAAGGCGCGTCGAACAATTCGACTAACAAATTATTATCTTCTCATGCCACTGGCTTTCCAGCAACATCCGACGCTAGGGCAGTCGATCCATGGCCGTGCCTGTGGTAGCCCCCTCGACCAGTTTATTAAGGATTCATATCATTGCTGCATATCACTCATATACTGCTTGCTATGTCGGATCTTATATCCCGTTGCCCTGTACTTCCACGCTTGAAACTACTAGAAAATCCCCCATCCTTAGCTACTTCAATGACCACGATTCTTTTGTCAACTGAACTCATTAAAAGCTATGACCAACAACAACGCGCTCCAAAACGCGTCTTACCCGCAAAAAGAGTTTTCAGCTCGACGTAATAAGGCTCCACTTGGGCCAGGCTGAATCACGATCAGATAAGCCATTGGATCCTCTCCCACGCGCTTGGCACGACGCGACAAAGCAGGGAATCCCGGATTTACGGATATCATTGGCACTCAAGAGGGGGGCCAGGCTTGGGTTGAAACCAGGCAACTAGTCCAATGGGGTCTTTATTGCATGAATGGATCCCCAGTTGTTTGCGTCGTGCACCAGTGCTGTCTGCTCAGCATCCCCAGCCTCCCTCTATTGCATGAAATATTGACTTTGACAATCAATCAATTGAAAAGACGAGGTACAGAGTAGACTCTCCTTTTTCAACAGAAGAACACCGATATAAGATCCCGATTGTGGATTGTGAGATCCCAGCTCTAGAAGGAATGAAGGAGCTTTAAACCCCCATAAAATAGGATCAGCAGTGGGGCTTGTTCAAAAGTGACTCGCGTCGGAGAATGTCCCGATCGCCCAGCTCGCGTGTTGCGATCTGGCGCGTCCAGGCGGGGATCCCAGTATATCACGATAAGACCTTATTATCAAGGCATAGCCAGCCCCGTATTCCTAGAAAAAGCAAGTTCTCCCATCTTGCGCAGCTCGGAAACGGCGTCCTCCGTCTTCCATCCCTGCCGAGCGCCGAGCATCGCGATGGCGCGTCTCCACCTGCCAGGTTCGTGTCTCGGGCAACCCTGCATTGCACATTCAGTGGCAAGATCTGGCACATTTTTGGGCCCTTTGACATATTCGATCAACTTAATATCTGCAGTTCTCGAGCAAAAGGTGTGTGGGAGGTCAGATGCCATAGGCAATCGTTTACTCCCTGTCAGCAGCACAATCACAGTCGGGGTTGGGTTTGACGTCTTGCTCTACATGCTTAGCTCCTCGAAAGACTTTTCGAATGATTGAAACTTCCCTTGGAATTGCTGGGTTTCCCAGAGGTACTCTACTAATTCTCGTACCTGCAGTAATTTACGCGATAGATCTACCTTGCATGGTCGATAAGCCATCTAACCAACTATTGGATGGCTTGATGTAAGTATAGAAATGGTATGCATTCAACTCATTTATACAAAAAGCCCCTCCAGTCTTCCATCAGATATTCACTACCCCGCACTCTGGTTCTCCAGCTATAACTCGCGATATACGAAATCTAGTTAGGACTGTTCTACAGCGCCGAATTCGGCACAAACAAGGGCATAGAGTCCTCCCAAATGGAGTTGGTGAGTACCCGCTTGTTAGACCCATCCGCATCCATAACGACAATTTGTCCATATGGTTGGAAGGTCTGGTCATACAAGGCACACTCATACTGGAACCCGAACATGCCGGAGGAGTACATGATACGTCCATCATGGGTCCACACTGCGTGCGCATCATTCGCCCCACTGCTTGTCAGTACCTTGATATCGGTACCATCGGGTTTCATCGTGCACACGTCGTAGTTGGTCGCGCTCGTCTTGCGAGTGAAGACAATGCGACTTCCATCTGGCGAGAAGAATGGCAGATTATCCCACTCCGTGGTCAAGACGGTGATCTTCCGGGTCTCAAGATCCAACAAGCGAAGACCGAGCTGGGACTTGTCGCCTAGGGTGGAATTGGTACCCCATACTCGGTAGACAATCTTCTTCCCATCGTGGGAGAAGCTTGGGAATCCGGAGTTGATGGTGGAGCTGTTTGCTGTGAGAGTCGTCTTGCTTTCAGTCAACACCTCAGAGTACGAGCCATTGGCTGTTGCTCGTACCAACCAGCCACCACCCTCGGCACGGCTCTGGAACCAGAAGCCCACTCCGAACGTGAGCCATTCACCGTCGGTAGACCATGCAGGCTGGAAAGCTCCAGCTAGTCCTTGAGAGACCATCGATGAGCTAAGGAAGCCGCTGTTGAGATCGTTGTACACCACGTGCTCATTGCTTGCATTGGCATTCATAGCAACAATAGAAGAGTTTCCAAGTTGCTTCTGAGTGATGGCGAGCATGTTCTGGTTGGAAAGTTGAGGGAACACATCAGTGAAGCGATAATCCCAGTCAGAATCCCAGCTCCACAACTTCTTGGCCATAGGGCGAATGGTCCAGGTGGTCTTTTCGTAGACGACTTGCTTGCCATCCGGGGACCACGAAGGAGAGCGAATGACTGTACTGGACGTGTTCACATATGCGCCGCTCGTGGTATGGAATCCCTCTTGAGTGCCACCCTTGTAGAAGTAGGCAATGTTGTTGTCTGAGAGATATTGTGGGAAGACCTTCACACCAGCACCTTGCACCTCTACCTGGCGGTCTTTACCAGTTGCAAAGTCAACGGAGACCAAAGTCGAGTTTGCCGAGTTGATAGACTCGGGGCGATGCGAGTTCCAGGTGTTCTCGCGGGTCATCTCATAATAGAGAATCCTCTTGCCATCGGGCGACCAGGTCGGGGAACCCAGAGACCAGCCACTCTTGGTAGCGATTTGGCGGAAATCAGAGCCATTAAGCCGGATCGCGTAGATGGACAGCTCTTGCGTATGTTCCCAGCCACTCAGACCCAAGAAAGTTGGATCACCATGTCCATACCAACCCGAGTTGCGATCCGATGAGAATGCGAGCCATTCACCATCAGGCGACCAAGATGGACGGAAGTAGCCATTCGGCAAAGATGCATTGGCAGCAGTGGAGACCGTATCGGTCAAGTTCCATTGCTTGCCACTCTTCAGGTCTTTCACCCAGATGTTTGCTTTGTATCCGTTGCCTGTGGACACATAGGCAACGTACTTCCCATTGGGAGACATGACCACCGAATCCTCTATGGCAGGGGTTGAGACCAATTCCTCCAGATCGGACCCATTAGTCCGAACACGGTAGATATCCGAGTTGCCATCACCGTTTCGCTCGCTAGTGAAGGTGATCCATTTCCCATCGGGAGAAAAGGCCGCATGGTACTCATAGACAGGATTCGATAGGAGAGGACGCTCATTGGATCCATCGACGTTGGCGATGTAGAGCTCAGATGTGCCGGGGGCAATGCGGTTCATATAAAAAACACCCTTCTTGTCATCCTTCGTGGAGACATCCCGGAGATCATGGGAATGTGGGGGAGGTGTGAGTTTAGCATTTGCATTCATTTGCGCTGCGTATGGACAAAGAGCCAACGCTGGCTGCAGGCCCAAGCCCAGCAGGGCAATGGAGGCCCAGAAGGAGCACATTGTGTGATCGTTTCGTATGAAGGATAATGCCAATTACAGCAACCAGACTTGTAGGCCTGGGTTCCTCCGGCATCTTTATAGTGAAGATTCCTACTTCTTTCAAAGAGGAATTTCCCTCGGTGAGCAACGATCATCTCCTGTTAGGGGTAAGTTGCACCTCGCGTGCAGCATGAAATCCACTATTTTGTCCGTCTCTGGGCCTGCATAAGTGGGGAAACCCTGTAGAAACAAGCTGCCGTGTCAATTCTCTGACGGCAATCTAATCTAATGAAGCGGATTGGATGATTGCCCCTGTCCTTTGGTCGTTGAAGTTTACCCTATTTGCATCAGGTCGTAGTAGCTGCTGCGGTCGAAACACGTCAGGCACTAAGCATCAGCCACAAATCTAAGTTTGTAATACTTGGTTGGCTGCTCAACTATTCTAGCAATATTAGGATCTTCGAGAAGACCGGGTATAGTAGACCGAGCCCTGAAGACCTTTTTACTTGTGGATGCATCCTCTTCATCCCGGAGAAATCCTCATCCATAGGGCCTTGGCAATACTACTTCACCTGGTATATTGGGCCGTAAGTCCGACGCTTGGCACGGTATTCATTTCTGCAGGTCTTTCTTTTCTTACAGGCTTATTGAATCACCCATGCTGGGAACAGGGACTAGTCTTACTGAGAACAACATCGGAACAAAAGAGGCGGAATTTCACACGAGTCCTAGTGGACGGCAAGCGAAATGATGTGTCCTCTTGTGTGTTTCATCATCGATCATCACCAATCCCCCCATGAACAGCAGAAAAGTCCGAAAGGCCGGGTCTAACGCGGAACCGTTGCAAAGGATCAGATAAGACGGACGGTGTCATGCCAAGTATGCCAAGTCGGCCCTCCGCGGAATCCAGTAAAGATCTGCTTATCCACCCCCTCACAGCAACGAATCGAGTTGGTCTTCATTGCCAAACTCCGAGATTCTTCGGGAACGGTACAAAATGCCTTTTCGAGAAAGAAACTTGCTTATCATGGGCGTTGCCTAGTTACACCTTGCCCGTCGCTTAGCCATCTAGACAAGACAGACGTAAGTTGCGGGGTTTAGGTTTTTCTCGATCAATGCGGGGAACTATGTCCTAGCCTATGTTGTACGTTGTGGCTGTGAGTTACTGGCTCGGATGGATTTTCAGAGCCAATGTCGTTGGGGGAGAAGCCCATGCGTTCGTCACCAGCATTGTGTCTGCCTGCTGCTGTTTCTGTCTTCAACTAGCAAGTCTTATGCCCATTCGACTACACGCGAGCAAATCTGGTTGGTACGTTCAGACCGATCGATCGGCAAAATCTAAAGCCACTTGAAAAGTGTTGCTCGGAACCCTTGTTACTGTAAAAATAGAATTCGATGTGTCGTCACGTCATAGCTTTCAGGTTATGCTGCTGGCTGAATCCGAGGAAAGGAAACCTTATTAGCATATTAGCAAATAAGTTAGCACCTACATCGCTTACCCATGCACGTTATTGATAGCATTACACCCTGTTGAGATGAAAAACGAAGAAAAAGTACCAGCAGCAATTGCACTCATATTTGAGTTCAAATATCAACATAAATCATAGTAATAATCGTAGGAACAATCATACAAATAGCAGCGTGCAACATGAGTCAACATTCAGCAAGAATCAATCTCAAGGACTTTCAGCTCCATTCAAGAGACACTTGAGATGGTCGCAAATTTCCAGCCAGCCCACAAGGAAGAGAATATATCTTAACCATACTTACGACGAGCTCAGCTTCGACAGCAAGAACTGTGTGGCGTCGCCCGTGTTGGCGACGTAGGTAAAGTGCGCAGCAGTCACAATCAGAGTACCATCGCAGACCATATCTCCCACAGCACAGTAGATCTTGACCTTGTCCTTGGGGAAGTTGGCGATCTGACCTTTCTCCTGGGCGTTGCGGGTGTACCCGAAAAGGACAACACCCTTGATCTTCTCCTTGACATTATCGGGAAGCTTGGAGATGGAGCCATCCATAACAGCAGTGCCTTGACTATAACCACCGGCAATGATTTGAGTGTCTGGGCACTTCTTCACGGCTTCTTCAAACAGACCGACGGCTTCGTTGATAGCAGCTGGGGAGGTGTTTCCGGGCAAAGCGTTCGAAGCCAGATCAGCCGTGTACGCTGGTCCGACACCCTGGCAGGCAACCTGGTTTGCCTTGGCAGCCTTCAAGTCGTTACAGACAGCGGGGCCAGTAGAGATACCCTTTCAAAACGGATTAGTACATATTCAACGGATGGTCGAGGACGTAGGGAACACACCAGCAGGCCTGGCTCGGTAGAGGCACGAGCGAAGATGAAGGTGATAGGCTTGCAATCGCCAGTGCGGAGTTCATTTCCACTAGACACTGCACATAGAAGTTAGATACACTGTTGGTAGATTTTGATGTGTTCAGTGCAGCAGGTTTCCCTATTGTTTTAGACATACACTGGCGTTCCTGGAGATCCATCGGGCTCGCAGCCACGAGGCCCGCGAGGGCAAGGGTCAGTAGACGGAGATTCATGTTGAAATCTAATTGAAAATTGAATTCGCGAGGATGGCCTTTCTTTGGCTGACGAGAAGAATTGATTTGAAAAAGCGTTCTGCCTCTAGTCTTATATATTGCTGGCGATATTTACACAAGCCAATGGGGTAAATTTCGGCGACGGAAAACTTTGGGAAATGCCAGTCGAACCCTTTCTTGACCATGTGGTAGAAAGGGTTTGTTTTCTGGACCTCCAAGAAATTGTTCGAACCAGTCATAGATCATAAACAAACGTATTTGTGAGAAATGTTTCACATTGTTTCATGGATCGGTTTCGGGTACCTGAACCGGGGCAAGCATATGGAGCCAAGGAACCCAAAAAGGATCTTTTTGGATCTATACCGAGCCAGAAGTGATAGGTCATCGTTAGGGTTGAAACGGGTGATCGACCTAGATTAAATCGGTCATGTTCGTGGACACCATTTTTAGGGGATTAGTCCGGACCCTTTCCCCCAAATAGGCAGACTCAAAAATGGGTCTCCGGTGGAGGACCCTTGAAGACCCTTAAGACCCTGATCGGATCCAGCCCACAGTAGTATTGGATATACTGTCCATAGAGTAAAGTTTCATGTTTATTTACGTGAATACATCGAAATTAATCTCTGACTGTTGATGACGATATCGCGATAACAATTGCCGGGTTCTTCAAGGAACTGGCAACTGCCGCGACTTATGTGTGACGATTCAAAATTTCTACAAACTTCCGAGGCCAAATTCGAGGCAAGCTTCCGAGGTCGGATTCCTTGCTAATGAGTTTTCCTTATACATGAATTATCGGTCCGAGTAATCTCAAAATAAGATTTGAGATATTGCAACGTTTCTCATTAATAAGACGCTGCCTGGACCATTGCTTACAAGATGACCGACAATGTTTTTGTGCTTGAAGTAGATGTTGCTTTTGTTCCCAGCGTAAAATTTGAGTGGCCATATCGTAGCTTATCGGAGAGCTACCGTGCTCAATATGTTTTTTCTATCAAAGAACCTAATCGCTGTCCTATTCTTCAAAACAGACATCAGCGTCGCCATGGCCGAAAAGCCCTCAAGTTTACGAGAGTGTGAGAAGAGATATTAAAGCATGATAAAAAGGCTATCACGCTAGAAAACAAGGCCATTTCACTGCATGAATGGATGTGGATGTATTAAGTGGATACACCAACGGTAGGTGGTCTACTTCGTGGGGGACTTCGTAGTTAAGTTTGAACTAGGTTACTGCAAATGCCTCAAGTATGAGATTGTTTTACAATGTCTTTTCATGTCTTCTAGAAGCTGGCTAAACGTGAAGGCTATAGGTATAAGCCAGGTCACACTAAGGATAAACTAGCCGAGCCTTATACTTCACAGCTTTGATGGCTAGAGAGGAAACCAGCTTATCACCGCGGCTATTGAACCCTTCAGCGACCACCAAGGCAGCGTTTCTCTTGGTATGAAAGCTGGTCTCAAACCCACCCCTGGTCGCATGTCCTAGCGGGATCCTTTGGCCGCTGGCAGTCTGTTCGAAGAATCTCCAAACCTTTGTTTCAGTGTCCCCATTCCAACTCACAAAGCAAGAAGTACCATTTGATTCTTTAAATGCCACCAAAGCTGGCTCCTCGTATGGAACAGCATGCCATTCAAACTTGAAGGCGCGATAATTCTCGGATCCTGGACCGAGTCTTCCCGAGTCAAGTTTGGAAAAGAAAATAGTCGTTCCATCTGGTTTGTGCTCGGAAATTGCACCGTTATATCCCCAGTTTATGAATGCATTTCCATTCTGAAGAAGTTATAAATTTCCCTGGGACCTGACTGAGAGATCTCCCGGGGCTCTGAAACTGGCGATCAAAGTAGCTTTGTGTGTTTTTGTATCGAGTTCCACCACCTTGCCGGCGCTGTAATTGCGTGTTTGGAGGTCTGGTCCTCCTGCAAGATTTTCATGCGCTGAGTTGTCGAGAAGTGAGATAATCTCTTTGGATCTCTTGGTTTCATGGTGTAGGTATTTCTTATGCATGCGAGTATCGTGCTGCCAACAGAAATCTACACCTTCGCCAAGTGAGAAATTAGAATTTGGCCCTCCCAGCTGCCAGATGATATCGCCGGTATTGCCATCCACTTTGAAGATGGTGCACATGCTTCGAGCAGAGATGAGGTACGTGTTTGTTTCGGGGTCGACATCAAACGCATTCATGTAGAAGTAGTGCCAAACTTGACTCGAGTTCGTGCCTAGCCCAGCATTCCCACTTTGCAGAGTGAGATTGGTATAAGCTGGGTCGACATGATTAAGAGAGCTCCACTCCCACAAGACTCGTTTTGTATCAGTATCAACCTTTTGGATTTTATTGTCGAGAATTCATTGTTGGCCGTCCGATGTAGCACCATATGAAGTGAGGTCTCTGATTTCGGGATCAAAGATGGTGAAGACAGCAGAGTTGTCGTCAAAGAACAAGAATTCGTGTTGGTCTGCCAGCTTATGTCCACCTCCCTTGATCTGATTCAAGTACCGGTGTCTGTTATCGAGTATGGTGGTTCGTCCATGGCCATGGCCCATTGGTGAGTTATGCGAGCCTTCGAAAATGCTCAACACTTGCTGTCCTCTGTATGTGTGGACTTGGAAGTTTTCGCTCCTTGGGCCGATGAATCCGAATCCCGACCAGACTAATTCGCCCTGATCTGTGAAGATGTACGGACCGCTTTGAACAGGACCGTGGTTTGTGTTATCTACATAGGTGCTTTCCGGAGTGAAAAAGATGAGGCCATCTGCAGCATCACTGGTGACAGGAATAGTAATATTCAAGATAGGGACAGCCAGATCCGGTCTCAACTTGTAAGCCAAGTTTGCGCTCACGCATACTGCTAATGAGAAAGTACTGATATATGACAAGGCAAAGGTTGTGATTGTTGATTCTTCTGTTCGAAGTATTCCGGAGTCTTATATGCTAGAGACATAGCATAAGTAACGTCACAATTGACTGGAGGCCGCCGAGATCCGGCTTGGTCTTTTGGACAATGCAGGCGAACTGCTTTAGTCTGAGATGATTCACTCCGTTTGGCAGGCCTATCCGACATGGCGATCAGAGGTCAAGCCAGGAAGAGTAGGATTCGGCTGCCCAGAGACACGGTTTAGATATGGCATCATGAGAGAGAGAGAGAGAGAGAGAGAGGCAGTGCCAGCACTATAAATACCCGCGAGATAGATTCATGGCAACTTTAGGCTGGCATATCTACCCCAGGTCTGCTTCAACCAAATGTCCGATCGTGGAGGTCGATGGCGGGGGGATCGTCCCGTCTCATGCTCTATCAGTTAGCCTTATCCGAGATAATAGCGGGGAGGGGGTATCATCCGACAAAGTGTTCGGTCAGAGACAATATCAGTATTTATTTAGTAATATTTGATCACAAATTTTGATATCGGTGCCAAGCATTTGGTATACCTCCTTCCCGCTTTAAGCCTTCCATGGCGCTCCTTGATCCACCACGGAACCGGCGCCTTACCCATCAGTTGAGTAGTTCAGGTTGACTCGAATATCACGACTCGAACAAAGATGGATTGGTCCAATTAAATATATCATGGTTCTAGAATTTCTTTTTTTTCCCTCTATTTTCCCCCGAACTTCACGGTTAGTTGCGGGATTCGAGCGGGCTGAATGCTCAAGTTAGTCTCCTTCTAAGCTTAGTTCCTCTGTGAACCTTTATAAATCAAAGGAGTAATAAGGTTTCGTAGCCTTGTTCATTAGAAAATCCAGGCACGAGGAAGAGATTATGTGAAGCCACAATGAGTATGATGGCCTGTCCATCCGGCCTTATCCAGTTGAATCATGTAACGTGTTTCTATAAGGGGCTGAAAGGTTGAAGAACCACCTCCGGAGGTGGTTCATTGATACCTCATTGGACAGGGCTAGTGCGGGTGGGGCCACAATTCTATGGAATGCACCAGTGATGAGAAGGGAACAGGTCGAAAAGTACCCCAGGTACCCGGGTCGACGACATGAGAATCAAATGGAAACTGGGCTTAGCGGGAATAATGTGAGGTCTCCACAACCTCTCCGATGATTTTGATGGTCTCTCGTTGCTTTTCTCAGCAATATCGGGGCCGCCAGCACCAACCGCGGGAGAGTGTCGAGGTGTGCTTAGCATGATGCACCAAACAGCCAAATGGTCGGCAATGGAAATGTCCAGAGCCAGTATGGGTGCAGGAGCATCGGATCTGACTGGTCGATCGAGGACTAGCTGGTTACGTTGGATTGGCGGGTAGCAGTTGCTTCGCCCGTAAGATTGAGATATATAGACTGAGAAAATGGGAAAAGCGTAGTCAACGCGCCTGTGGGAGGCCCACCGTGCTTTTACTGTGCATGCGTACTATTGACAACACGGTCCGCAGTGCAGTACTTTTGACCCAGCCAATGGCCATTTTTCGAACCGAATTCGTCGAGAAAGCGACGAACCTGACTGGGCGCCCTCAGGGCGCAGCCTTGATTCCACTCCAAGGCCGATTTGAGCGGCGCCTAAGTTGCGCTGCGCCGGTCTATCGGGCTGTCGCTGATTAGCCTGTGGTTTGCTCTATTGGACATTTGTTCTCTTCTCGAAGCCCATGACCTTAGTACTGTACAATGTTAATTGATTTAGACCTCCGGATCAACCTCCCCGTAATTCGGCACTATCACTGCCGTATTTTTGTCATTCCTCATTTTTTGATTTTGCATTTGGTTTTGATCTTATTACAATTGCACCCGAGCACAACGTATTTATAAAGGACACCCCTTCCCCAAATCCAGAGTAACTAGATTGCACGATAATTTGGCCCTCAGTCTTCTTCTCTCATTCATTCCTTTTGCCCTTGAAGTCGTTAGCCTACCATGGCCTGGCCCATTGAGGATCCCAGCTCGTGGAACGGGAACCGTCGACTTCAACGTACTTTTGGCTACTATCCAAACAATCCTTCTCTCCATCCTACACCGGGCCTAGTGACTCCAGTCCAGGTCCCAAGTACCGGTTGGAGTGCATCTTTTGCCACGGAACCCCGACAAGGCTTCTCTACGGTCGGCGAGGCAGCTCCAAGCTTGAGCGCTTACGCACAAGCCGGTGCGGTAGGCGTAGCAAATGTACTGGACCCCTGGGAAGTACATACTCAGGGCAAGGATCTGAGTGGTGCCATGCCATCCAGCGTGCCCCCACGTATACTTCACCACACCGTTAACAGTGTATGCTTGAACTTCCCACAGAAACTTTGACCCTCTTTGTCTAACCCTGAATCTTCATCACAGCCCCCTAACAGTGAGGCCGGCTTCCCACCCCATGCTCGGACATCTCACAACCCGGGCAGACATCACGGTTATGTCGAGGCGGATGAGCCACGTCGAGCCCTTCAGTATACCCCAGCCATAGACAACCACCATGTAGTTAGGTATTATGCTTTCACAACCCCCGCCTATAGATCGTTCCTCTAACTAAAGCTGACTAGCGGCTCCAGTAGCCCGCACGACAATGCCAATGTCGGTGTCAACGCCACCGGCACCATCTTTCACTGCAAGTGGGATAACTGCGATTATACTGGTACATTCAATCGGGAATCTTCTCTTATTCGTCACCTTCGGCATATACATTGGAATCCTGGTGCTCATCCCTGCGCGGTTCCAGGCTGCGACAAGGTCTGTAACCGTGCAGATACTCTTTCGCAGCACCTGCGCAACTTCCATCATATGGTTTAACAAGGTCGGAGGAGTTTAGGTTGTGGAGTTGATCGAACTTTGTTTATTTCTCTTCTGCCCTTTTAACCTTAAATCGCCTGGTTGTTTTCCATTTACCTTCGGTTTGATGAATCATGTCCAGCCTTTTTGTTGATTTAACGTTATCCTTCTGGACGGCCTTGGAGCCTGAGACCCACAGTTCTTTGGTCATTCTAAGTCTCATAGTTCATTTGTCTTTCCTCACGCTCGCTTTCTTTCCTACCCAATATTTATGTCCTTCAAGACCTCCACGCTCGTTACGATCGCTCATTTATAGAAGATTGAGTCCATTTCAATCATTATTGAATCAATTCCTTACGTCTACTAGGATCCCACGTCTGTCCAATTCAAAATAATTTAATATGACATTAATGAATATTATCTACTACGCCATCTGTAGGCCATAAATGATACGTTACACACTTGCGATCTTCAACTCCAATCAACGGGTGTCCCACACGATGCAGCGGCCCCCGAAACTGACCCTTACTAGCTGCACATAACAAATCCCCCACATTTACAACCAGACAATCCCTGCGAGGCTCGATATATGCCCAGCCCCCAGTCTCCACGTCCAAATACTCGATCATCGCCTCCTCACAATACCGCAGTGAAAGCGATCCTCCATCAGTACACCCCGGGCCATAGATATATCCCAATTTTTCCTTCTCCTCCGCCATGAAATTCTCTAATCTCATCCCGGAGCGCGATATGTCGTTTTCATCATGCATGGAGGTTACATATTTCCGGACATCTTCGTTGCCGATGAATGGCGATAGACTGCGAATAAGATTGGTTGCAATCGCATGTGTATGTGCCATCATGAAATATATCGACAAAGCATCTAGAGGAGATGGCACATCATCCTCTTGGAATGAACTGTAGGGTACGTCGAATGTCTCGCTGTCTGGGGAGTACTGGTATCCCTTTTCAGCAGGGAAATTGACATAGTCTTTCATTTTGGCGTGGAAGGGTAGAGAAAAGTATTCTTCTTGCTGTTGAGACAGCGATTGGATGTTTTCGAGATAGGCGTCGCCGTTGAAATAAGCATTGTTGCCGGATATGTCCAGGTAGAAGAATCCGGGGCTTTGGCAGGATCGGAGGAGTTTAGAGGTTTCGAGGGCATCTTTCTCTAGGAGATCGGTGTATTTCACCGTCTCGAGCGGGATAGATTGTGGTTTCTCCGCTTCGAGGATGATAGTCGTTGTCACGGTGCTTACAGTCGTCATTGTCGCTTGGAAGTTTGGATTTGGGCTTTAACAGATTTGAGTTTTAAGGATACGTGGTAGAATTAGAAATGTAAAGTTTTCTAAATATCAGGGGAGAGATGCGTCTCTGATATATGTGATCGAGGTAACCCTGGACATGGTGTCAATTGGGTAATTGAGCACGCGCCGGGGTGATTGCGTTCGCAATCTGCAGCAAATGAAGCCGCGGCATGGCTTATCGCAACCCGAGAGATAAAGCACGAAAACGGCACGGTAGCTCTTGTTTAATTGTGATCGCTCACTGGTGGACCAGAAATTACAGTAGGCTAATGAGCCTAGGGTTCTAGGTATCGAGTCTTGGTCCGCGGAACTGTTGTCTCGTGAAAGTATACTGCGTCCTATAGCAGTCGGAAAGACACATTAATCCTCAGCACTTTAATTAGCGATATTACCTCCAACCGAAGCATATAGAGTCATATCATGAATTCATGAACCGTCTACATTCAAAAATGTCTCCATCTAATGACCTCCCTCAAACTCAACAATCACCAAATCAGTCTCCAATCCCTGTCCCCCCGTCTTCACCAACTTGCCCCCAACAACCCTCCACTCCCCCGATCCCCAAAGTACCTTACTCACACCCCGAGCACCATCTGGCAACGCTATCGTAATCTTCGACGTCCATGTAGACGTTTGCAACGACAAAATACTAACAAGCATCTTCGATCCAACCCTCCACCCCGCAACATCCATCTTCCCATGCCCAGCCACCTGCAACGCAACCGTGGGCGCACCTAACAAAAACCCTGCTACCTCCTCACTAGCAAGAACCCGACTCAATTCACTGGTCACTTGCGCAAGTTCCGTGGTCGTCGGGTAATCCCACATCACGATTCCCTTTGCATTATGATTCACGCTGAGCATGGTCATGGTGACTTCCTCGTCCGCAGTGGGATATCTCGTCCAGAAGGACTCGTTGCCAAAGGCCATTGGCACGCCCCAGAGGGGTTTGGGAGCGGATCCGATCCATGATTGGTACTCGGTGAAGAGGTCCAGACGAACGGAGATATCGTCTAGTGTCCCCTCGCAATCGTCGCAGCCACAGCAGCCGTAGGTCGTGTTGCAGGCTGTATCGTAGACGACGGACCAGCTCGTGTTTACCGCGATCGGGTATACGTCTGATAAGATGATATCCGCGCCGGAGGAGTATTCTTCAAAGTAGAAATTGTAGCAGTTCAAACATAGCGAGACTGGGTGCCATGGGTCTAGAGATTTGATAAAATCGTAGGTGATTCTCGTCGCGTTTAATGGATCGCCTTGGCCATCGGGTTCGTCACCGGTATACCAGAGCAGCATGCTACTTCGTGTCTTGAGCATGTTGACCTGTTCTTTCACGGAGGTGAGATTCTGGTATGTCCACCGCATATCGTACATCACCCATAGCCCGACCTCATCGCATTTATCCAGGAATAAGTTTAGCTCGGTGAAATTGAAGGCTTGGTTGGCTAGACCGGCATTGGGCACGATGTGGATGATGTTGTACCCCTGGTCTTTGAATTTTTGGACGTTGTCGAGTGACTTTTCCAGCCAGCCATCCCAGCTCACGTAGAATGAGTATGGTAAGAGGGGATTCCATGTGGAAGAGCTGGAGGTTTTGTTCTGGACTAGTAGTCCGCCATAGAGACTGTCGACTTTTGTAACGCTACCTCCATCGGTGCGATCTGGGAGACGGTATATCTCCGTAGTCGCAGTGTATGCACGTTCACCGTTCGAGCGGGTAGCTTTGAGGGTCACGCTGTAAGGCTGATAGCGTGGAGCAAGACTTTTCAGAGCGAAACCCAACTCATTCGACGTTGAATTCACCTTAATAGTGTTTTTCAACTTCAATTGCGTCTCGTCAACGAGGATCTCCACCTCGAGACTCTGAGAACCATGCCCTCCTCCCAATCCCTCAAGGGGTTCTCCATGGATATAGGAGATGTCCGCGTCAACAATGAACGACCCCTGGTCATCACCAGGGGTATACAAGCTCATACGCGGCCGAACACGTAAATCCAAAAGCGGCATGGCAGACCGATCTGGCTGCTCTAGCCAACCGCCCGGTTCAAAGGACGCATTTCTGTACACCCAATTAGCTTAGCTTCTTCACCCCCTTAACTTGTCATTGAGGTCACGTACGTAGCACGGTATGCCTTCCCACACCAAATATCCACGCCGGGAGCATTATTAAAGGCCGCAGCCAGACCCAGCACGAGAAACAGCGGCACAAGCATAGGGCTAAATGTGGGGATGCGGGAAGAGGTCTGATTGCCGATGGAGAGGGGGGGAGTAAAGCTTGGGAGTTTTGTTTATTGATCGGCAAGTATATAACACTTTCCCCCACTCTTTAAACCCCCTCTTCACCTTCCCCTCATGGATGTTACCTTCTCCTCCCACGCTGCGTGAGGTTGATAGCAGAAGCAACTGTAGTATTGGAAATGGAGACAGAGATAGGGTTCTGGTAGTCATCTTTCACCATGATCGTCATGCTAGTGAGGGGGTTATGCCGAGAATCTGCCGGTACTGACTTGGTCACTGCGTTGCTCTTAATGATGTCAAATAGCCGGGATCTTCGTTTCGGATAAATCTTTGATCTAGGGTAATTGTTCATTAAGTGTTTCTATACGAGTTTTGTTACGTGGACGCGTACTTTTTCGTCATTGATTTCATACGATCGGGGTACCTCGGTGGATTTCCGAACGGCCTAACTGGGACCGTGGCAAAAATGCTGGGTTTACGGTGTAATTGGATTGAGAGTGATACTAAACAAATGATAGATAGAGTTATGAGTGGGACGAATTGAGTGATCATCGTGATCCTTGGTGGATCCATCCTAAGATCTATACGGAGTAATTATCCACTCTTTTGTAAATCTTGAACGGACTCTACTATCTAGCATGTAACAAAAGAGAAAAAAACGCATTATACTGATCTCATTCTTCGCGTAATTCACCGGGTGATTATTCCATACTCTATAGACAGCCATGCTCGAATCAAGTATTTGCGACGTTTGCAGGCAATGCGAGGGGGGGTAAAGGGGGTACAAGCTCATGACTACATGCCATGAGCTCAGAAGGACGGTTTAGAGGGGGTAGGAGAACAACGTATGTACATCTCATGAATGCATGCTGGAGGCAAAAGACAACCAAAGGGGCGAGTACTAGGGGAGTTGGGGGAAGAAACGGGAAGAAAGATGAGTGGTAGTAGTAACAGATAAAAGGGGTAAGGAAATTGGAAAAAAAAAGAAAATAAAAAAAGGCAGGAAAACAAGAGACGGAGGGATGTTATGACACCGCTCTCCCCGGCAATCCCATTTCCCCTAATACACCTCACAGGTGTTGACAGTGACTGAGATTGGGCTGTTGTGTCCATTGCGGTCATGGGCTTGCCTCCGCGCCACTCAGAAATGATCAAGGCCACCAATTTGGAGTAGATTAGAGACACAAGATCAATGATGGGATTCCGAAAATCCCAGGAGAGTATTTATATCCGTCGGGAACAAGGAATCAGAAATCCTGCAGTTGTCGACGGCCTCGAGACGCATCTGACAAGAGCCTCCCTTCGTCGACCAACCCAAATGAAAGTGGAGGAAACAATGAAACACACAGCCAATCCCAATGACGCGGACAGCACGCTAGATGAATATGTCAACATGGATGATGGAGAAAATGATCATGCCATCTTCCAAATAAAAAAACAAGCCGTCAGATCCATTAAACGCCGCCTGAAAAAGGAACCTCAACGTAACATGCGAATTTCAGCAGAAAAACTCCGCCCGGGCAAAGACAAATCCCAGGTGATGCTCAAGGCTGAAAGAAAAAGGCATGGAGAATCAGGTAGAGAGAAACGATGCAAGGGAACGGCGGACTCATGTGTGGAGAAAGGCTTTATGGAGAGGCCCAGCCGCCAGCCACCTCAACCCACTCAGCGAGACAGCTGCCTTGCTTGCCTTCGACATCCACAATGTCGGTATCGCAACGGCAGCGGCAGCCAACGCCGTTCTCCTTGACCGGGTCCGGAGTGGCCCAGTACTCATCTTCTTCAATCCGCTTCTTCTCATCATCGGTGGTCCTTTCGAGGTACGGCTCCCGAGGCAATTGGCGAGCCGGGGCGTTGGCCGGGCAATGTTGGATGGTGGTGTGCCGGTATCCAAAGTCACGGAAGTAATGGATGTCGCTGGGGGAGAGAAGGGCACCGGCGGCAAGGGAATGAATAGGAGCGTCACCCCACTAAAAGGAGATAGTCAGTTTTGAGGCCACAAAAGGCTGCCCGTGAATCATGATCAACTCACTCGTTCATTCCAGAATCCTCCGCTACGGTCCATCATGTTGAAGAAATCCTCATAAGGCTTGCTGCGGAACCAATCCAAGCGCGCAATTTCAAAGTTACTCCAGAAATGGCACATGTTGTAGCTCTCGCCTTCCATAGCCTCGGGGTCAATGTCGTCAAGGTTCTTGTCACCGGGTTCGGTCAGGAGAATTTCGTCGGGAAGCTTCTCCTGCTTCTTCTCGGGCTCAGCCGGGGTCTCCTCCTCCGCGGGGCGCTCCAAGAACATCTCCCACAAGCCCTTGGACTTGAGGTTGTTCTTGCGCTTGTAAGCCGCCGCGTAGCGGAAAATGTTGGGAACGGTCTCGCGAAGCTCCTTAACCGCAATAGTGAAACCGTAGGTCTTGTTTGCCTCTGCCATCTTGATGAAGGGATCACTGGAAATTCAAAGTTAGCAACTGGGTCGCCTGCCATAGCAGAGGTGATGCTTACTATGTGATATCACAGAAGTACTTGATCTCCGGCTCCAAGCGCCAGTACCACTCGTACTTCATCAGGAGGGGGTGCTTGTAGAAGTGTCTATTAATTTGAGTTAGTAAAATTAGCCGGTTATTGATATTGTTGGGGGCGAAGCGTGTCACATACCCCGAGTAGAATCGACACATGTGGTGATAACTCTCCATGCCACCGTACATGATAGCAGCGTCACCCTGTTTGCGGATACCTTCCTTGGCGACCTCGTGGTCAACCCAGTCGGGGAAACCCCACATGGTGTTGTCAATCTTGCCGAATTCCACGGCAGCGCTAGTGTAGTTCTTGACGGTGGCCCGGAAGTCCTCGTCGAAGTCACCGTCGTTCAGGAAGACGTAAGGGTAGTGATACCAGCGGTTGAAGTGGCGCTCAATCGACTTGAGCGACTGGATCACACCTTCCAACTCCTTGTTACGCGCGAGAACGACAAAGGCGGCATTGGCGCGAGGTTCCTTGTCGATACGGGCCTGGTCGATGGGCAGACAACCAGTCGCGAAGACCTTGTCATGCTTTTCGCTGATTTTTCTGCAGGCCAAGACAAACCATGGTCAGTAACTCATGTTTTTTTTCTCCTTGTTTCTCCATCAATCAGAAAGGACCACACGAACCGGATAGAGGGCGGCGTGCCCGCTGGAATTAGGATACCCCCGGGAGACGAAGGATGTCGGACGAATAAAAGTAAGATGAAGACAATTACAAGGCATGGAAATAGTAAAACAAATCCCAGGGGTATAGAAATCGACGAATTGCCCTTCAATCGAATGCGCCTGCGGAAGAAGGCAAACCGGGAGGGATTACGGCCCTTCTCGCGGGGGGCATCGTCGATAGGAAGGCTCGGCGCGCTGGGCAGCCGTTTCGTGATGCGTTGAATGAAGCTCATGAGTGCGATTGGGGAGTGGTACGCGTCGAAGACCCCGCGATGGTCAAATCAACGGACCCGGAGAAATAGGCCCAGGAATCGTGGTCGAGTGTCCCAGCGGCGAAATCAGGGGACAGCGGGAGGGAGAGAAATTGTGGGTTTTGAAACGGGGTCAAGTCGCAGTCGATAACGACAAGTGAAGAGGGTCTCGAAGAGAACACCGGACTCGGACGGTGGAGTCTAGACGAGATGGGGAGTTGACAATCGAGATCTCAGTCGACAAAAAAACGAGTGGCCGGAGGAATGCCTCCTTTCCTCCCCCAACTTTCCTTCTCAGAGGCCGAGATGGCGGATGGGAAGGGCGTCGGGAGCAACGCGGACAACTGTGGTGCACAACGAGGTCCACAGAAGCGAGGTGGAGGACATGAATGGATGGAGATGGATGGGGGGGGTGGGAAGAGAGAAGGAGGAGGGGAGAGTAGGAGAATAGAGTCGAGTAGGGGCAGGGTCGGGGATGGGGATGGATTGGAAGTGGTGCCAAGACCAGGGAGGCGCAAGCGTGTTGGTTCTGGTCTTTTGGTCGTTTTAGTCGTTTCAAAACTTGGTTTTTTATTCTTCTCTTCTCCCGTCTTTCTAGATTTCCGCCGTACTGCCGTGTCACACCCGCACCGTTTCGTTGTTTTTTTCATGGAACCTCGCGGTAATCTACAATAGTCCCTGGCTGGTTGCCATTTGCCTAATTAATAAAATTTCCTCTCCAATTGCCCCTGGAGGATCCGCCACTTAGGCGTACCGCCAGGTAATCAGTGGTAATTTGGCGTAATTTATTTCCGTCGCTTTTTTTTTAGTTTCCGTATCTTTGGTTATCGCCTCAGGGAGTCAGGGTCAATTGGCCACATTCGAGAAATAGTTATTGTTCTAGATAGATGTTTGTCGGTCTAATCGGTTTAATTTTCGCTGAGATATTATTATCATTTTCATTACTCTAGATCTGTCTAATTCAAACCATAGCAGTCCTGCTATATTCCAATTCGGCCCGGGTCTATTGGCCCGCGCCCCTGCGTAGTGCTGTGATACCAACAGCTACCAGGGTCAATGCACTACGGCGCGACTATCGTTCCTATTTTACCTCTAGGATTTTGTGCAGCGGATGGGATTAATGTTACGCCCCCTAAAAAGTCTTGGCTGGGTGGTCCGAGATGCTTGTCTTGCTGATGACTCCATTTCCATTTGACGCGTTAATAAGATTTCCAGTCGATCCGATCTATTAGGTGACTGTCCTAGGGACTTTCCTATATCAGTAGTGGTAGTAGTAATAGTGGACTATGATCAAGTGTATTTCTCCCATAGCCAAATATCCCAAGAGAGTTGCATGTTGCTGACCATGTCGAATATCCTCCTAAGTGAACACGACTCGTGGTTATCTCCCGACCGTCGTTCTGGAACTAGTGCATGGCGATCGAGGGTCCAAGGGCCCATTACGCCCGAAGTTAGCTTGAATGTTTAAAGGGGTCTGATTGGCGAGGTAATTCCTGCAAAAGGCAAGACTGATCGTTAAGACTTTTGATAGCAGTTACATAGCTGCAGCGTATCTCCGTGATAACTTGGCCTACTAAGTAGTTGTATCATAGATGAATCTCCAAGTCGATGGTTATTGTCGAGTAAAGTATTTCGGTACAAGAAAAGAGGGTCCTGCCAATTTCACAGCTCCACTTTTGTTTTTCCGTACGGGCGATGTGGCCTGAAGGGCTCGGTCTGGACCCTGTTCGTGTGTCTGGTTACTTGAAAGGGGAGAGGAATGAAGGCAGGCAGTCACATTTTATGAGTTGTTATATAGTCGATGGTATAGTTCTAAGTCTAGTAGTCAACAGGCTCCCACATGATATCACCGTATCAAATATCAATCCATCTGACCTTTATTTCGTCATCATCACTGGTGCTGCCTGGTACTTACAAGTGCGCCCCCAAAAGTATATATACTTTTGACTTTATTTAGAAGAGGAAAAAAAATGACTCGGTCATGCTCGCCCTGGAAATCATTTGCGGGACTACCAGGAATGACTCGCACCCGCGCTAGCTTTGACATCAGACCTTCTGACTGTGGATCAAACATCCTCTCTCAACTAACGACTTCAAAAAACAGAAGACCCCAATCTGCACCACAAGTTCAAAGGGGGCCCGAGGTTTGACCCTGGGTATATGGGAAACGATCGTCCAAAACTTGCATGGCCGCACCACCGCGGGGTTTCTTCTCCCCCCTTTTCATTTTCGCCGTGATCTCGAAACAAGGGACTTTCCTCTTCTGCAATTCTTTCTCCTCTCTCTGCAGATACATGAAGCTCTCCTCCTAATGAGTCAAGTACTTGCTCGTCCCTTGGCTCTGGAGGGGCAGAGCTCCAAATCCTCCGCCATCCCAGTCCCTGATGCTCTCTCTCGTCTCCGCCCGCCCCCCTCCCGCAACGGCCAAATCAATGTCGACACTTTCTCCCCCGTCAACGAGAATGGCAGCTTCGAATTCGATCGCGTCCTGAAGACCGGTCGGGTCTCCCGGCGCGTCAAGCACAAGCACGTCTTCCGAGCCTCGTGGAAACCCGCCTACCTCGTCCTACGCCCGAATCTGTTGTCTGTCTACAAAGACGAGGAAACCACCCGTCTCCGCGTCTCCATCTCCCTCTCCGAAGTCACGGCCGTCGCTCCCGTCAAGTCCCCACGCTCCAATCGCAAGCACGTCTTTGGCATCTTTACCCCTTCCAAGAATTACCGTTTCGAAGCCCTGTCGGAACGCGATGCCGAAGACTGGATTAATCGCATCCGCGGCGAAACTCCCGCCGACGAAGACGAAGCCGCCTTTCTCGCTCTATCCAGGAAACGAGAACCACCCGCTATCCAGAAACAATTGATCGAGGATACCACCGAACATTCTGATTTCGAGGGTGCCAGCGCTGGGGCAGGCCGAGCTAGCTCCCCCGAATTCGGCCATCGATTGTCAACAAGCGCCCGCGCCCGCAAACCCCCTTACACACAGGATTACTCGGGCAACGAGATCACCTCCTACTCAGAGCTCTCGGATAATGGGGGCCCTCCGACTCGAAACAGCCGTCTGCGGTCAATGCCATCAATTCACACCCTGTCTCTCTCGGCACCAGAGGACAAACCCATGTCCCTGCCGCGAGATACGAGCCGTCCGTCCGATCTGGCAATCCTACGGGACCCGGAGCGAGTGGTTTGCCAAGGCTATCTACAGGGGCTCCGGATCAAGGGCACGGTGCGTCAGTGGAAACGGCTGTGGGTGGTCTTGCGGCCGAAGAGTCTGGCTTTCTACAAGGATGACCAGGAATATTCGGCCATCAAGATCATCTCCATGTCCCAGGTGATCGATGCGGCGGAGGTGGACCCCATGTCACGGTCCAAGACTTTTTGCATGCAGATCATTGCCGAGGAGAAAACGTATCGCCTTTGTGCTCCGGATGAAGAGTCCCTTGCGCGATGGCTAGGCTCGTTGAAGAGTATTCTTGCCCGTAAGAAGCTCGAGGCTGGGCCGTCCGCGGTGTAATTGGAACCGCGAAAAGCTCACTGCTCCTGTGTCATATTTCTCCCCATGGCCATCCTTCTGCTCCTCTTTCTTTCCATCCGTTCTCACCGTTGGCCCCCATCCTACCTCTTTCGTTACATATTTCCTTTCTACATCCCACTCCGTATATACCCAGGGTTTTCGTTTTCTCATCCATGATCTGCGCACCGGTAGGTGAAAAGCCGGAGTTTCTTCAAGGAGCGTGCAGGCGTTTAATCCTTTCTAACAATCTTGCCCTGTTGATGGGCAAGATTCTTACCTTCTTTCTTCAGTCTCTTTTGTACGAGCCTACTCATATATTTGGACAGGTTGTCTGATTAGTTTAATGGGGTATGGATCCTGGCACGAGCGCTTCATTTGATGTTCATTATATGTCTTGACTATACATGAATTGTAATAAATCTTTCGACAGTGACAATTCAGATATCTGAATTCAGAGATAATATCTCGGTTATATATGCTCCAGCTAAATCCCGCATGGATTCTCAATCTATTTCACTATATCCCCCGTGTATCATCTTTCAGTCTATCGTCCACCGTATGTTAGAGACGCTCGTCTTCACAAGATGTAATTTAAGTCCTGCCATTCTCCCATAACCTCTTATAAACAGTAAACTAACTAACAAATAATCCTACCAATACCCCATATCAACTACTACTCTAGTCCCCTCCCATCCCCGACTAAACTCAAACAAAAGTCACAATCTTCGTATCAACCCCATGCATCTCCTCCCCAAACTTACACCCATTCGCCGCCCCAGTACAATTCCTCTGTATACACCGATGCCCACTCGTACAACTCTCATCCTCACACTGCAACCCCCGACTACATACGCTAAACCTGGCAATATACATCAAATCAATGGCATCCTGGTCGACCAACCGTCGATTATGCTTATGCGTACATCCCTCGCCATACGAACATGAGCCCAGGATATGATACTGGTTGCAGAATTTCTGCTGTTTGAGAGTCTCTATGTTTGCCCGTGTTGAGAAGTGGATTGGTGTGTCTACCCGTTGGCCGTGGATGTTTTTGCCTACGGCTAGTTTGGTTTTGTATTTTGTGTTTGGGCCCGAGGGTGTTGTTGGGGAGGAGAATGGAGAAAAAGACGAGGAGGGAGAAGTATTGTCTTGGGAGCGAGAGGTGGAGGTTCGTACTATTGAGGCGTAGTTTGAGATGGGAGTGCCTGTGCCTGTGCCTGTGACTATGCTTCGTGAGTGTGGGGTTTATGCTATGGATCGAGATATGTTTACTTAGTTTTTGTGCACGGAAGACCTCGGGGAAGGAGGTTGTTTGGAATGAGGATGTGAGTTCTTTAATCTCGCGTGCGAAGGGCGGTCCTTCGACTAGACTTATTTGGTTTTTCGTGTTGCGATGCGGTCCTAGGACACGGGCGTAGCCATTGTCCGCCGATGCGCAAAACATAGTGTGTAGACAGTGTACGTCGATGATGTCTTGCTCGAATTGGGCTATGCGAATCGAGTCAGCATTTGGATCTTCCTCTAGTTTACTTCTTGCCTGCTGGATCAGAAGGTGATTTAATTTACCTCGAATCTTAACATCAGAACATTCCTTCCCATCTCCTGCGTCCACGAAATCACACAGTACATCTTCCATATTGAATCCCTGGATGAAAGACCCGAAGATGGCTTCTTCAGATATAATATTGTTATCACGGTACGTCCTCGCTAGTCCGCGGACATTCGCATAGACACGGATTTTATACTGAACATTCGAGGTTTCATTGTGATGGACATCTTGGATGTAGCGTTCAACTTTCTGAATAAGCAGTCGGGCAGCGGAGCGTCCTCCTTTTTGTCCATCTTGGATGAATTCATCATTGAACTATGTGGTCAAGTAAATAATCTGTGAATAGATATATAGGTATACCTACAGGAGGATATGAAAGATTCTAGACTCACGTTCATACCATCACCGTCCACGAGCACTGATACAAAACTGAGTTTCGCCTTCGAAAGATCAAGTCAGCGACCTATAAATCAAAATAAAGTAAATATAGTTTAAGGTCGTACTTGGATACGTTTCATCTCCGCTATCTCACATTGATACCTCTTAGAATTCGACTTGATGGCTTGAACAAGCATTCGCTGGTTGTCCATTTCTTCTCTCTCGTCATCGAGAGCCTCTTGCAGGCGTTTGACTTCTTCCATCAAGTCCTAAGCATAATCCCAATAATCTTCAATTAGTGGATTATTATTCTTCCATATATGAGGGTGACCAAGTTCAAACCTCAATAATCTTATCCTTGTCCGTCTCAACAGCCTTGACAGCCTCATATCTCGACTTAAACTCGTATAAGCCGACCATCATGGCAATCCTAATTGAATTAGAAATTTGGATTATAACTTGAGCAGAAATTCGAATAGAAATGTTATGGTTGCAAACGCCAAGTCCACAGCTCGTCTTGCCCCTCATTTTATACAATGAACGAATACTGGGGTGAGCCTCAAAATCAGCCTAGCGAGCCCAGCGCCTGAGATGCTGACACGTCAAGCCCAGATTCAAGGTGTGCATTAGCGCTTCCGTTAGTTGAGGCTGTTCGCTTCACTATCGTTGGACGGCCCTGGTTGGCGCCTCCGCACCGCCTCTCGAACGAGTGGTCAGTGCAGGGATTAAAAGCCTAGCTGTGCTCTCCACTGTGCTCTGGGTAAAGGCAACCAACCGCAATGCAATACAAACATAAGTACCGAGGCGGAGCTGGATTGCGAGGTATTGTTGGATTTCTAACATTTCTAGATAAATAGGTACACTATGTCATATGCACGCGTCGAGAAATGTTATCGCTTGCGTCAGAATAGGAAAGAGTCTATGAGTCGTGCGAGGCAGGACTGAACAGAAACGAAAATGCAAACAATGATATCAACAACACCATGATCTTGAGAAGCCGAGAGTCGTGCAAAAAAAAAGCTCCCATAATGATGACATCCCTCACAAAATCTATCGCATTTCTTCTTCGCGGGGGATGGTATCATACTCCCCGATGACGGTCTACTCGTCTCTCCAGAGATGCTATCCTCTTCTTGGGTCTTGCTTTCGTGGTTGACGACCAAGAATGACAGGAATACAATCGCAGCACCTAGCCAGTATACCGGAGATGCATACTGGGATTGCAGGAACATCTGTCCGACTAAGGACAGAGGGATGGTTAGACTGAGACCGACCGTTACTACGAGGGGAGTGGTAAGGAGCATGGCATAAGCCCATGCAATATCAGAGATAAACGACGAGAGCGAGTTGACCTAAAATGGGTAGAGTCAGTCACACAATCTTATGGGTAGAAGGAGGATAGCGATCGCATGAAATCGAACGCGGTGGGATCAAGGAGGAACTGCCATACCAGGATAATAGTCCACACTCGCCGCGTATCTGGCAGTGAAAATGTCTCCACCCCAGTCCAGTGGAGGACAAAAAATCCAGGCCACAAGAGAACAAGGTTGAAGAAGCCAACCAATCCAAAGAATAATGGCATGTTCACTCGCGACTCGTCGCCCACTTGTTTCTTCATGACGATGGTGTACACACCATACATGATTGAGCTGAATGCAGCCATGGCATCCCCGATGGCGATCTCAGTGGGGGTTTTGTGGGGGAAAGAACTTCCCCCATTATCGGCGGATGTGGCATCACCTGCGTCTGGGTTCGAGAGATCAACGCGTGAGATGAGGATGATTCCTATCAGCGAAGCAACAACTCCAAGGAATTTTCGAAGGGTAAATCTCTCTACTCCAATCATGGCACCGAAGACGAGTGTCCAAACACCTAGATGTTCATTAGTACTGCAAAAAGCAACAGTCGTTGACTCCACGGCATTTGTAAAGTCTTACCACTGGTAGAAGTCAAAATAGTAGTGCTTCCAACCGTCGTGAATTGAAGACATGCCATGGCAAAATAATTTGCCTATTCAGACCAAAGTTAGTTCATCTCAACCTTCGAATCAAACGGGACCCGATGGTATCACAAATGGTGACATACAACAAACTAGTTATACCAAGTTAGCTATGTGTCACTTCCCAATATAGCAATAAACCATACCCATAGAAGACAAAACTCTAAGCTAAGCTTAGCCGTCGCTCTCAGCCCCAACTTCGAATTTTCATCATCCGATTTCGACCGCGAATATTGCGAGCTCTCGATTTCATGATCACGCCCAGTATCATCGTCAAATGACTCAGAGCGCAACATACTCTGCTCCTCGTGCTTGGGATCCTCCGAGTCCAGGTGTCGCAACCAGCTCCGGAATGAGTGGACCTGGGACAACTTCTTGTTGCGCCATAGTCCCCACGTCCGCGTGATAAGCGTGCTGAAGAGCGGGAGAGTAAAGAGCGAAGTATTGATGTAGGTCACGAAGAAGGGCTTGGGATAGGTTTTATCGGCGAAGATGGTCTATTTAGTGTTCAAGTGTCAGAATATATGCCTCCGTTATAAAGGACGATGGGCGCCTCATCAGCACCGGGGAGGAATTGCGAACGTACGCTTCCCAGGAAATTTGACGCCGTCCACAGCACCACCACTAGCAGTAGCAGGGCCATGCCGAAGGTTCGCCTGGCTACGCCAAGCACCTTCGGACCGGGTCCATCGGTCGACGTCGCCATATTCACAGGCTAGACGTTGTTTATTGGGAGGCACGAGGGCCAAGTGAGGAGTGCGGCGCGAGTTGGTCAGATCGCGGCACAGTGGTCCCGCCAGGTCGTGTAAGAAATGCGGTTTCCGGACATCTGAAGCGCAGTGATATGGCGCGAAGTGTCTAGAGGCAAGGGTCCTCTGAAATTCGTAAAGGAACGACTTCCTGTCCGGCAGGAGGGTGAGCCAGGAGGGATGGGTTGCCAAGCACTGTGCGGACGAGGATCGGCGATAAGAAATGGCCGTTCTTCATGGGGGCGGGACCCTTGCCCGGAGTCCGTGACCGGAGTGGGTTCATCAGTTCATCACGAGGGCTTGATAACACCCTACGCAGGTCACATTCTCTGTTAGTTGAGTTTCAGATTCATCTCTCCAATAAGACAGGACTTGGGAGCTGGTCACGAATATTAGATTGATGTTCTGACACAACGTTTGTTTGCGCTCTTATATGTGAAACTGCGCTACCACCGAAGACCCTGAAATAAGTTACAACCAGCAGTATTTAGGTAGAGATCGAAATCTGAGATTAATGGCTGCCCTAATCAACAAATCAAATCGCACTGAGAACATCTACAGGAAACAAATCCACTGAGCCAGAAATCAAGGGCCTTCTCTACAGGCAGGAACACCCAACAAGAAAAGAAAACCACCAAGCAGAGTATGTTGGAAAGGAGGAAAAAAAGGAGACAGGAGAAAACCAGAGGAACAGTCGCTCAAAACGTCATGGGAGTATAGGTAAGGGTATTAACAGGCACAGCCATCGCGCTCATTGTCCAGATGGATGTTGATCGGGTCACTGAATTCTCCACTGAACTCCTCGGCCTCTTCCTGGGCGAGGGCACTGCGGGCGATAACTAGGGACAGATAAAGTCAGTCAAATTGAACCTAAGATGATCGCATACATGTCAAAACTTACCCTCGAATGCCTGCTCCACGTTAAGAGCCTCCTTGGCGCTGGTCTCAAAGTACGGGATATTGCCCTTGGACTGGCAGAATGTCATGGCCCGTTTCGAAGAGATCATGCGCTTGTTCTCCTCCACATCAATCTTGTTGCCTATGACCACCTGTTTCGAGCTGTTAGCATTGGACGCTCCCATACGAATCTCACGAGGACAGCGAATTGCTCCTCGCTGACGGGCCAGGCGCTTGGTGTACTCACAAATGGGAAGCTCTCAGGGTCACGCGGGCTAGCCTGAATCAAAAACTCATCCCGCCAGCTGTCCAGCGCCTCGAAACTCTTTGAGTTATTCACGTCGTAGACCAACACACAGCAATCGGCGCCTCGGTAGAATGCGACACCCAAGGACTGGAATCGTTCCTGACCGGCGGTATCCCAAATCTGTGCAAAATTAGTTAACGTTAAGCTCCAACAGAGCTGACTTTACGGGCGCCTCGAAGGTCCATACCTGCATCGTCACCAACCGGTCATCGACAAGGACCTCCTTGGTGAGGAAGTCGGCACCAATAGTCGCCTTGTAGCTTCCACTGAACTTCTTGTTGACCTATACACAGCGGTAATCGTTATATTAGCGGTGCTGCTGCGGATGGCCCTGAGGGTGGCTCGGCGCCAACGGCGGCATTGGGGAGTCGGGAAAGAACGCACATATTGGTTCATCAAGCTTGTTTTTCCAACACCGCTATCACCAAGGATGATCACCTATAGTAAAAAATTATTGTGTTAGTTTGGTGCCGACCTCGAAAGAGCATTTGGGGGTCACGCGGAGCTGCTGCGGAGATCGTACCTTGAGGAGAACCTTCTTCCGTGACGCCATGGTAGCGGTCTGTATTCAGGGACTCCGGAGTAGAATGGAGACAGGTCACAGAGGAATGGTCCGTAGGTAGAGATTTGAGCTATAGGAAAAGCCTGCAGGGGGCAAGTGAAAGGGGAAAAGGGAGTTGTGAGGAGAGTTGGAGTTGGAGTTGGGTTGCAGCGGGATCTAATGATGCATGATCCTCGGGCGGTGGAGAGGGGGCGGTGGGCGGTGGGCTGTGCTGATAACGAAGATAGTCGAAGCTCCGACATCATCGTGCCCCGACAACATTCCTCAAGTCCCTGATCCATCGATCGCCTCCCCCCTCACCTCTCGGGTCGATGCCCCACTGGAGAGAGGAGTATCTGGCTGCGCTGGCAGTCCGGGATCAAAGGGAAAAGGCTAACGTTGAACTCTACGATGCCTGTTCGTGCCTGGCTGCGAAGGTTCCCGTATAGCCGTTTTTGTTACTGACATATTGTCTACAACTGTAGTTACCCGCCTCGCAGATCGCTCTGCCCAGCTGGCAATTCCTATAGATTCGGGCACCAATCCCGCAGCTGGCAGGAGGTCCTCGGTCGTTAGTGAATCTCAACAACCTGTTTCATCCGCAGCTGGGACGGTGCCGAAGAGACAGCCTTCATCGGAGCCGGGTCCTTCTCTGGCAGAGCTACTGAAGATCACTCGAGCAGATTTGTCCGAGGCCCAACGGTCCCGAACTGAATTGCAAGACCAGTTGAACCGGCTGAACGTAGAGCTTGACAAGCTGCTTAAGAAAAGCCAGCGAGATGGCCGGCGACTCGATACCTTGGAAAGCGAGAGGGGCATTCTGGGCAAACGTCTGAAAGATAGAGACGAGGAGCTGCGAGAGAAAACGAAGCTATTGGAAGTAAGTGATTTGATCTCATGGCATAGTCGGGGCAGGCTATTTGCCTCTACGCGAGGTGGAGAAAGACACATCCTAACTCGGACTTTACAGGATTTCCAAGCTGAGTTGGCATCCCTCAATCTCGAGTTCAATATGGCTGAGAAGAGGTCAAAAGAGCTTCAGCAAGAGAACAAAGAACTTGTTGACCGGTGGATGGCCAGGATGGGCCAAGAAGCCGACGCCATGAACGATGCATCCAAATTCTCCTAAACTCGGCCAGCCACTAGGCAGGAACCCGAATTGACACGGATCTTTGTTTTCCAATACCCTAGACTGCTGCGAATAGATGTACATTGAATCGGAATAACTGAAAAGGGGCTATCTACTATCGTAACATAGGTTGTAAGAACATCTTTGTACAACTTGAATTGGTATCATGCAATGAACCAAGGGATATATCCAAGAGAAAAGAAGATAATGTACAGGACGGAACCAAAGCACAATTTATAAACAAGTGTTCAGGTGTCCAGAATCGTGAGTCTACGAGACGAGCACGTTGAGTGCTGCCTCGTCATTCAAAAAGAGTCGTCCATGAAAGCCTTCAAGCGTGAACTATCCTTGGTGGCAATAAAGTATGTGCCTCCAACGTCGGTCCAGCTAACGCTATTAGACCAATAGTTCTTTTGCTGGACTTTCAGGAGGTTGATAGGAGAGTTAAGGTTACGAGACTGAATCTTGTGGCCGGCAGGGACAAAAGACTTCAGTGAGACGATCTTGCATCCCTCCTTCATATCGAGGAAATGGTTGATCAACTCATTGTTGAGCTGAGGCGTAAATGCCTGGTTATTGATAAGCACCACGTCGGCCCGCTTCAGCACATTGACGATGCTCTCCTGCTCGAGGAAGTCGCCTCGAACAAGATGTGTCTTGCCAGGTGCGATTCCCCAAAGTCGGCAACGGGCCTTGAACTCGGCCTGTTGCAACTCGGCCAAATCACATGCATTGGCCATCATCTCACAACCCCAACTCTCACAGCCGATTTCAAGTGCGGCTTGCAGGACAACGTTGCCAACACCGGAGCCAAGGTCGACAAACACTTGACCCGACTTCAACTTCGTTTCCTTGAAGATGTTGCTGATGAATCGAGGGAGAAGTTCACCATAGACGTTATCCGTGCCATTCTCGTATTGCCGCAAAGACTCAACTCGAGGGGATACCGTGCGGGCATAGGTCTGGTTGAGAATTCGCTCTACCCATGGTAGATTAATACGCTGAGTCGCATCCAAAGTCTTCGTGAGGCTTCCGCTAAGCCTCAACCGCTCGACCGCCATGTTATAATCATCCACAGCCTCACGGAACTGTGTCTCCGACGTCACGGCCAACGCCCGGCGCAGCCTCCGCCTGATGCCAGTAGTTTCGTCAAGAAATTCTTCGGCCTCTTCGCTCGGGATGTAATTGTCGACCACAGTCTCGATCACTTGGACAATATCGTCGATGGGCCGGAAATCATCGTTGTCTTTGGGTACCATGGAGTCGAATCTGCTCGAGCGGTCGAAACGGTCAGTCTCTTTACTACCAAGCTAATCACCTAGTACACGTACCTTTCTTTTTGTGAAGCACTGGGATACTGTAGAAGAATTTCCTTCGGCTTGCTCGCTGCGCCAAAGGCCGGCTTGAATTTACCAGCCTTCTGACCAGATGTAATGTCGGCAGCGTGTACCATTTTGAAAGGCCGGCTTCCTTCATCTGAAAAGGCCTTTACGGAACGAATACGCCGCTCTGGATCGGGCTCCGCGCTGGCGCTTGTGCGAGCGCGCTTGCGCACCTCGAAGGAAGTATCACTGTCACTGACATCGTCGTCGTCGTCGCTAGAGAGCCGCGTCTCAGGAGTCGGTCGTTTCCGTGTGCGACTGGGGGTTGTCAGCCGCTTGGAGAGGCGGGCGTCGACATCACTCGAAACCGATCGGGCTTTGAGCGCGTGCGTCTTGCGGCTCCGTTCTGACGAGGACTGGACTCGAGGAGATCGTGAATCGGGAGTTTGTGCGGGAGGTCTTGTTGGGGCAGCCGGTTTCGTTTGAACGACCTTGCGAACCTGAGTCTTCTTCGCCTGTAGCGAAAAAGCCCCTCCTTTCTGGAGGTGGTCGAAAAAGCCCATCAGGGTCGTGGGGGGGTAAAAATGCAGATAGAGAGGGACGGGTATGGACAAGAAAAGAATGCTGAAACGGCTAATGTATGCACGCGAAGAACATGAGGGGTGGGGAAGGCCCGTATATAAATGAAGAAAAGCCCCAAATAATGCACGAGAAGTGTCGAGTAGTGGCAGAGGAAAAGAGAAGAGTTGGATGGACTCGAGAGGGTAATCGATAAGCAGCGCCACTCGGGGAAACCACCGCCGCGGGTCACGGTTCGTCTTGGCAAATTAGTGCTGGTCCGGCGTCGGCCTCGTCGGTACTCGGGACTACTACTGTACTACTGCATCTACTAACGCTGCCCTTACAGTAGTTCTCGACTAAACTACACCTGGGAACTAAGCACACTATAGTACTTTATTTTCGTACTTTATTTTACAACTAGAATATGAGGACCTCCACATATGGCAGAAAATGATATCCCGCCCGCCCATTAAAGACGTCTCAGTGGATTAAGTAGACATGGGATAGAGGAGGATTGAGTGTTAAAGGGATATATATAAAATTCAGTTTCACATCTGGGATAGAGTGGGAACCTTGCCAAATTTCCAGCCCATTTAATGCAATTTAATTATTAACGACCGCGAGTTACGAACTATCTTCCAAGCCATAAGCTAGTCCAGAGAAGGTGTGGTTGAAAAGGACTGTGTACTGTATGAGTGAAGGCGCAACTGAGACGAGATTTCCCAGGAATTGTAGCTCTGGTCGTAAATGGGAAGGTTTAGAGAGTCGCAATTGAAGTGATTTAACAAGATCTTCGGCTCTAACCTGACATCCTTCCCTAATCTTCCGACAGCTGAACCTATTTTATCCCGCCAGGATCAAGTACCATACAGGCTCTTCCCTGGCAGCCCATACAAACGTACCGATGGTCGGAAGAATAGTTTTCCAGACCGACACATTCCAAGTGTTGCCAAGCATGGCATTCAGAACAACAAATACCGTGCGTCTCCAGTCCAGTGCGCTTGCCGCAGCAAGGTATAGAGGACTTAAAACTTCGCACGTCAATGTTCTGGAACTGGGATTCTGGAGCGTAGTAGCATTGCTCAGCAGCGAAGGATGCCTGCGAAAATACTATGGCATCTCGCGGTTCCAGTTTATGAAGAATCATCTGAACAATCTCAGGCGGCATGTTGACAGGCCACTTCTCCCTGTGGGCGCGAGGCTTCTTCCAGCAGTTTGATGTTAGAATCCGGGCTAGGGCGCGGAACCCAGATGAACATTGGGTTGCTGAATAGTTGGAAAGCAATACTAGGCGCCTAGAGGCCAGAACGATTTCGAGAGAAAGCTCCACGAAAACGAGATGACGTGGTGAAATGACAATTAGGCGAACGTCATCATACCTGATCCGAGAGTCGCCAATATATGACTCAGCTTTTGAGACGGCTCCGTTTATCATGGCTATGGATTCAAGCTCATCCTGTAAAACAACAAGATATCCATGAAACCAATAGACGTCCGCGTCAGGGTAGTTCCAAAGGGGAATGGACGCGAAAGAGATCGGAAGCTCGACGTTGCAATTGGAAGACACCTCAAAATCCCAGGCTGCAAGACGCAGGAAAGCAACACATAATACCCTGAATATAGGAGAATTGTATCTCCATGTCGAAGGGTCATCGACATAAAAGCGCCAGATAAAAACGAGGTCGGTAAAGAATCGCTCCTGCAGCTCGTTCATGGGCGTAGGGATGCCAAAGTCGATTTCAAGCGTCTCAAATTGCTTTGCCTGTGCCTTGTTTCTCTTACAAATATATTCACTCAACATATGTTGAGGTTTCTGCATGATATGATAACTTATGCTAGATATCTCATGGATCTTGCTGAGATCCATCTGTACTGCCGAAGGTGCCAATAATCCGTCAAGCTCACTCCATTGTGAGATCGTGAAAGTGCCTGCATCTATATCGACAGTGTATATGTAATCTAGATTCGAGTGAATTGGGCTGGAGAACGGGACTGCTTCCCATCCTTCGAGGTTGTCGGGCTTGTCGCATAGATGTCTGATTGTTCGCAATGTCGACTCATCGTCAGGGGGACTTATCCGCCCTCAAGGGTGATACAAGCGGTACCATTTCCCTAAGAGAGTATGTTAGTATTTGCAAGTCATATAGTACAGACCATCACCAACCATTGGTGTGTAAGTTCCAGAGCCCTCTACACCCATCTCATTTATAAAGTCCTGGAAGGGAAAGTGTTGTGAGATTTTTGGATATATGCTGGGTTGCGGAGCTGTTATACGCAGTGGACTACTGTGATCATCGCATGGACGGCAAGGTGAAGTTTCTCTGCGAAAGAAGGAAAGAATTTCTAAAGGATTTTGCATCTATCTCCAAAATACTCAGACGTGAAGAACGTCAGATTTTTAATAGAGAAATATTTAACCCGCCCTTGCACGGTCAGCTGACTTCATCACCCACTGTATTGGTGAGTTGGTTAGTGACCGTGTCAAGCCTGGATGTCTACATTCCTAAACAGGTATTGCTTGCATTTTTCCAATACATTGCTATACTTCAACCCCTATGCACTCGGGTATCATCCAAAAATTTGGTCTAATCTATACACTATGAACAAATTAAATCACGACTTCTTCTTCGCCAGTCGCTTTTGCGCCCGGATATCCTTCTTCATACGCGAATCCACAATCTTGTACTTGCCCTTCACACCACGAGGACGACCAGAGATACCACGGTTGGCACCCCTGGCCACGACAAGCTTGACTTGCTGCTTGGGCTTCTTCTTGGTGGCCTTGCCCATCAGCTTCGAAATGGCCTGAGCCTTGTCACGCTCACTCAGAGCCTCGTCATCGGCCAATAGGGCAGACTTCTTGCGCAGCTTCTCCAGCTTCTGAGCGGCCTTGAACTTCTTACGGCCCTTGGCCTCCATCACCTTCTTGATAGGACGGGCGTTGATGGCGCGCAGCTTCTCCTTGATAGCGGCCGCCGCGGCCTTGGTAATGGGTCGTTGGATCTTGCTGTGCTTGCCCTCGTCATCGAGGAACCACTCTGGCAAACCGTCGACGTCACGGAAGGAATAGCGGTGCCAGCCATCGTCGACCACATCCTGGGACTTTTTCTCGCCGGAAGCCATCGCCTGCGCAAGGGCCATAGCCTCAGCAGTGATGATATCGATGTCTGTAACGTAATGTTAGAAACAGGGGTACATGCTTTTAAAACCTGCAGAGAGAGACTTACCCAGCTGGCCATTAGCCTTGCGTGGATCCTCGGGCTCCTCGATCTCCTCGTCGGAGTCAATCCATTCGGATTCTTGCTTCTTCTTGGGTTCCTTCTTGGGTTCCTTCTTGGGCTCCTTCTTGGTCTTGGACTTGGAGGTAGGGGCGGGAACATCTTCCTCTTCGATCTCACAATCTTCTTCCTCTAACTCTTCCTCATCTTCCTCCTCTTCCTCCTCGTCGTCATCATCATCTTCCTCCTCTGACTCTTCGTCCTCCTCCTCCTCCTCTCCTATGCCTTGGAAGAGATCCTGATCAAAGAACATAGAAGCATGGTTTGAGAGGCTGCCGGACTTGGGCACAGCATCCCCAGAGAGCTCCGCATCGGAGTCATCTTCTTCATCCTCCTCCTCCTCGTTGTCGCTCTTATTGTCCTCGGAGAAGCCCTCCCATTCGTCAGCCTCGTAATCCTTGCGAGCCTTCTTGGCGCGCAATTTCGAGTCCCTATCCTCCATGCGCTCTTGGTACATTTCGTACATGCCGTCGAGTTCACGTTCTAGACGGTCGCCGTCATCGTCGCTATCCTCATCTGATTCGGACTCATCCTCACTTTCGCTCTCAACGGGAACATTGCGGGCATTAACCACAGCATCTCTGGCACCCATTCGGTCCACGCGCTTGAGAGAGAAGGTGGAGTCTTCTCCTCCGGGTCCAATTTGCTCCATGCCGATATCCATCGGCGTGGTCATGTGCATCTGCAATCGGACAATCTCTTTGCGCTTCTTCTCGTTCTCCTTGCGTCGTTCTTTCTTGCTACGAGCGGTCTCCTTCTCGCGCATGCGCATGAGCTGTTCCTGGATCGCCAACTCCTCGTCCATCGGGGCGACCTCAGCCACTTCCTCACCCTCACCATCCTCCTGCTGCTTCTTCTTGACACTCAGGCCAAACTTCTCTCGCACCCTCAAACGCCATCGAAGCAAGTTGCGGAATTCTTTCTTACCGAGGATCTTGAGATCCTCACAGCAAGTTCGGATTTCGTCGGTAGTTTCCTCGAGTCGGTTCAATGTAGACATGGCAAGATCTCCTCCTATTGGCTGATCGAAGCTCAGTTTGTTGTAGCCACCCAAGATCGCAATGGGGTCGGTGGTATTGATGAACTCGGTGACCGGAATCTCCTTGTGCTGAGTGTAATCTCCCTCCTCGTAACCCTCACGCTTTCGCTTCTTCTTCTCTGGGTTGAAAACCTTGGCTTCGTGGTTGGGAGTCGCATCTTGCAATTCGGCGAAGACATGCTTGGGGTCAAGGAATTTCGGGTCGATGTGCTTGGGTGCCTTGAAGCCACGGCAGACGACGAAAATTTCGGCGGAAACGTTACGCGAGGAAGGAGGCTTGGTCGCCTCAACCGACTGGAACAGCTGTTTGAAAACCCACAGCAGAGGGTTGTAATCCTTAGAGCGGAAAACCTTGGTGACAAAGTTTCCGCCCTCACACAGGAACTCCGTAGCCAACTTCAACGACTGCAACACAAGCTCGGCCTGGGAGAAAGCATCCTGAACCCAAGCAGTACCAACGTTGGGCGCACCGTCGTGAAGAACGGTGTCTGCCTTCCAGTGTTTCAGATGCCCTCGAATCGTAGAACGACACTTCTCGGTGGTGATGTCGCTTTGGAAAGAGATGACTCGCGGAATAGGTTTGATGGGAGCAAGATCGACACCGATAATGATACTCTGTGCAGGCATGCATTCCGCAGCCACTTGACACCACGACTTTGATATTTGTTAGATATGAGGCCGCCTCCAATCAATTGAATCGAGCAGGAGACACTTACACCTGGTGCAGCACAAAGATCGATCAAGACCTTACTCTTCTCAAGGAATCCATACTTCTTGTTCAACTGGATCAACTTGAACGCAGCACGAGCACGGTAGCCCTTCTCCTTGGCCAGGCGATACCATTTATCCAAACGACCTTTTCCGTGCTAGGAGCCAATTAGTACAGATAGCCACCAAGACAAAACACGCTGGAACTCACCTTCTTCTGAATCGCCATTTTGAAACACGGGCGGTCTTCTCAAAGACCTGACTGCCCTAGAAACAAATTGGGGAAAAAGAACGTCGAGGGTTGTATACTTTTACCTCAGCGGCTGCTGGAGAAAAAAAAAAGTCGAACTTATCGCTCACCGCCTTCCAACCATCGGCGAGACCCTTTGGCCTGAAGATTCAGGCTACCAACTAGGCACCTGAACAACCTTAGGCCAACATGTGACGTGCGTGATATCAGACCCCCCGGTTCGTGGCGCTTTGTAGTAGCTTCCCAACAAAGATCTGCCTTTTAGATTTGTGATCCTTCTCTAGAGCGATACAGATTTCCTGATGATACTACCCCCGCCTTCATGATCGCCAAGGGATCTCGCAAGAGAGTGAAAGCCAGCCCCTCTGGCGCGGACTCACCGTCCCCCGCGTCCCCGAACAATGCTGGCCGAGACCGCTCAGACTCCCAGACACAAAGTCGTTCGGTATGTTGGAGCTGCTCAGGAAGCTGATGCCTCTATATCATATAGCTAATCAGATCTTTTCCCCTCATAGAGCTGGTATCCCGGATCATGGTCGGCTATCTCGCGTACGTCCAAGGCAGCTCCAGTTACCGAGGTTGCCCGTGAGAGCATATCGGTCGCGCAAAACGTAGCTTCCAGCGTCGTGAACTCATCGACCTCTCTTCTCGACACGCCCCGACAAAACCGCCATCCATCGATTCAGCTGACCAAGAAAGCCGGTGGATCGACCAGATCGCTCCCTGCGGACGTCACCACCACTCGAGTTAATATTGCATCGGATGGTTCAGCTTCTACGACAGCTTTGGATACCCTTGAGACGTCCGCAGCTGCAGAACCAACAGTGGATACGGACACATTGGAAACGACTACTTTGAAGCCTCTGGAGAAATCAGTGGAAGGGCAAGAACCGAACGTTGAGAACGTTGGAACCGAGCCTAATAACACCCAACAAGAGACCCAAGCGCCAGCCGAGCCGCCCAGCGGATGGTTTTCATGGATATATAAGTCAGGACCTGCAGAAAAGGACAAGTCGACCGGCGCAGAATTTGCAGGAGAGGCAGAGAGATCCGCTGAGAACGAACCTTCCAAGCAGGCCGAACCCCATCCAATCGCGGCCGATACCAGGGGAGAACAAGCACAACAAGAACCCGAGCAGCAGGAGACAGCAGTGCAGGGCGGAGAGACAATTGAAACTACTTCGAAGGCTCAGAAAAGGTCGTGGCTGCAGATGTGGTACGGGTCGGGTCCATCCAATAATAAGCAAGAGGAACAGGTCGCAACGGAGCCGACCCTGTCACCACGGGGAGATAATACTATTACACCAAAGGATCAAGACTTGAATATGGCACCGCAGGATCCTTCAGAACGGTCAGGAGAGGTGCCCCCTACTTCGGAAACACCTATCCCTGGAACAACGAAGTCCTCGGGATGGTCCTTCTGGTCCAAAGATACTTCCAAGGATGCCACGTCAGACAAACCTCAAGAGGTTAAAGCAGTGGAAGCGACAGTGACGGCAGATACACCAGTACAGCCAACTTCACTAGAACCACCCGCCGAAACTAATATCAATATTACCAAGAAGGGAAGCTTGAAAGTCAAACCTTCCAAAGATACCCGCGGGAGCGTGTCCGCCGTCGTCGAGGCTCCACCGGCTCCCACGCCACCAGTTGAGCCGAAACCGGTCGATGCTGCATCAAAACAGTTACAAAGAATCCTACCGAACCAAGTCCTTCCCAAATTCGAAGACACATTTGCAATGGAGGAGTCACCGTCGTTGTTGCAGAGCCTCGGCAGGTTACTGCATTACACCAAAGGCCCGGAGCATAACCACGTGGCCCGAATTAAAGAGCCACCCCGCATCAAACGAGCCCTGGCCATCGGTGTCCATGGGTATTTCCCTGCCCCGTTGATACGAAGTGTGCTTGGACAGCCCACGGGTACCTCTATCCGATTCTCGAACATGGCGGCGGAGGCCATTCGAAAATACACGGCAGATCATGGCTATACCTGTGATATAGGAAAGATCGCGCTGGAAGGCGAAGGCCGTATTGCAGAGAGAGTCGACCTGTTGTGGAAGCTCCTTCTGAACTGGATGGAAGAGATTCGAAAGGCCGATTTCATCCTGGTGGCTTGTCACAGTCAAGGCGTACCAGTTTCGATAATGTTGGTTGCGAAGCTGATTTCCTTTGGTTGTGTGAATGCTTCTCGTGTGGGAGTCTGTGCTATGGCCGGTGTGAACATGGGTCCATTTTCTTCTTATCGTTCACGGTGGATCAGTGGATCTGCTGGAGAACTGTTCGACTTTGAATTACCTTTCAGCAAGGTCTCCAAAGAATACGAGACTGCTCTGAAGCGCGCTCTTGATTTTGGCGTCCGCATTTCTTATATTGGGAGCATTGACGATCAACTCGTCTCTTTAGAGGTACGTTTGCCGTATATGCTGTTGCTGAAGTCTTAACTAACCATTGGTGGTAGTCATCCTTATTTTCTACAGTAGCGCATCCATACATCTACCGCTCCGTTTTTGTAGATGGGAGGGTGCACGCTCCAAGCTTGTAGGCATTATCCTCAACATCCCCGTTATTCTAGCACTAACATCTTTTAGCCTCTCCCACCTTGTTGGATTTGCTCTTAAATTACGCAACCTCGGCATCCCAGATCACGGCCTGATCCGTGAACTGAGCAGTCCATTGGCTGGCAGTCTGTACACAGGCGAAGGACATTCCCGCCTGTACGACGACGAAGCAGTTTACTAGTATGTGTTCAACACGTGTCCCCTACAAATTTCACGATACCAATACTAATCTCTATCTTTAGCATGGCTATTCAATTCGCTCTAGAAACATCCTCCGTCCCAGATGCTAAATTGAGCATCAAACGATCCAGCCCTGCCGTTTCCCCGAACCCATATATTTTGCCCTTCGCCATGCGCGGTCTCCTCGAAGAGGAATACGTCAGGCGCGAGCTGCACGAAGAAACCATGGAACTACTGCGCCAGTTCGATGACTGGAAACCATCAAGTAAGGTCCTGAAGGATGTCAAGTTCCGGCTCGAGGGTATCCGGTCGAAGCTGTAGCATGGCGTACATAGAAATCCTTTTGCTATCTTTCTGAGCGGAATCATGGATATAGGGTTGTTTTCCTTTCCGGTTTTAGCGGTTCTTTTTCTTCCAAATTTAGCGGCATTTTAGAGGAAATATACAGTTCCCTCTGCTTTATTCCCCCCAGTCAATCTTTTTTTTCTTTCTGTATAGGTAGTTAGGTTCGAGTTTTGACAATCTGCACACGGGTTGTTTTATTATGGTTGTTTCGAGCTAGATATATGTATCATAAAAGAGAACCTTAGAATAAGAGAAATTGCGTCGTGTACAAGAAAAGTCTTTCTCGGAGCCGTAAGTAGTGGAGAGGGGGAAGTAAGTCCTTCGCAGAAAATGCAACGAATGAAAGAAAGCGGAATCCGTTAAACAGATGCAGAAGGGAACGCCGTTTGATATGCACCCTGAATTTCGTCTGTGGAGTCGTTAGTATGATGGCAATTTAGGAGGTCAAGACGAGAAGGGGAAGGGGTTTGGAATACTGACCTCGCATCCCATCCAACGCCTCAAAAGCAAACGAATAATTTGACACAGCCGCAATAATCCGCTCCAGTCCCTGCCTCAGATCTTCTACGAGCTGTTCTGTTGAATCACTCATGAGCTCACTCTCCACGTCCGGCGAGAGTTGCTTCGCCACGCGGGCCTTGTAGAAGATCATGAACATCGCGTAACTGCTTTGCATGAGACAACATGCGAAGGAAGGCATCGTTCGAGGCAGGGGCTGCCCCGATTGATGCTGTTGCTGCTGTCCGCTCTCGGATAGGGGTTGGGGATAGGGCAGTGCCTCGAACATGCGGGAGATAGTGAGTGCGGATCGTAGACATATCTTTGCTGAGTGTTGTGGGCTGTATGGGAATCCGGATGCGAATGGGTATTGTTGGTATTGGGGAATGTAGGGGTGAATGTCGGATGAGGTTGAGGAGTCGGAGGGTGTCATGTATTCAGTTGATGAGGCGCGTTGGAAGTGGTCGAGATTGCTGCATGAGCAGGAGACATTATTTATTCCTGATGCTTGGACGGCGGGCTTTGTGGGTGGGTCTGTTAATGTGTTGCCCGGGTTTGCAGCTGTCAAGTCGCAGTGTCGTTTGATGAAGATGGGTATGTCGGAGAAGGCTCGGAATCTATGGGTTTTGATTTGTGCACTAGAGAAGACTCAGCTATGGTTCTTCTTGCCTGTCTTAGGGGGAATCGAAGATGGTGCATACCTGGACAATTTAATCCGGGAGATTCGCCGTATACTCTGAGCAGTTATCGTTTCACGGCGATCGCCAAAGTCAGGCTCGTGAGAGACCATTGGAAGCACATCTGTCTGCGCAAGTACAGAGTTTGTCCAAGAATCGAGTTGCTGCATTCGTTCAAATATGTAATGCAGACCCGTTTGGGACGTGAGACTCTTGTTAAGATCGGAGATGAATTGAGTGGCGGAAATCAAGACTTGTTGTGCTTGGATTAGGATGGACCAGCCCTGTACAGCAGTTAGCGGGCTGATCGATAGTAAGGCATATCAGTCAGGTGGAGAACAAACCTCGGCATCTGACTCGAAACGTGGGTATGGGGTCGTAAATTGTGGGTCATTGATGACTATCGTCGGGGGCTGTCACTGAATCAGAAGTTGCTCTTTGAAGACAGTGTACCCAAGCCTCAGATATTGTACTCACAGTGGTGCTCACAATGGAGCCTTGAATGACGCAATAATACTATTGGAATATGAGCAATAACGAAGGAATAAGACAGAAGTAAGGGAATTTACCGTCATCCACCAAGCTCTACGCCGAGCTTCGGAGTATTCATCATTGTCCATGCAGCAATGAAGCGACTTATCCAGAGCAAGAGCCAATGCTTGACCAGCCCGATATCTCATCTTGAGAAGATTCCCTCTTTGAGAATACTCATATACCGAAAGAATCAGCAGAGCTAGAAGGGTCTCGAGATCCTCAGGAGTCATAGGATGAAGCCTCTCTCGATTGACCGAAGGTCGCGCACTTGACAATGCTTGACCGGGATCAGTGGAGGACAGTTCTAGATCACACTCAGTCTCAATGATCGAATTTGCTAGTTGCGCAAATGTATGCGAGTACGTCCTTCGCTGAAGAACGGATGCAGGTGAAGAAGGTTCCGGGTCATCAGGATGTGGGATTAGGGCCAGAATTGCTGATATTGCCAGGCTCAACGGCGAGCGGGGCCTATACATCATGAGAGGCTCTGATGATGGCCCCGGGGAGACAGGACAATGCAATGGTCGGTCCTGGAACTGGGGTGATGCCCGAGGCGGCAAGATGGGGAAATAAGAATGGATGAAATCATAATAGGCGTTCAAACTGGTGGGTGCGTGTTAGGATTTCCCTTGGAGAATTGTAAGTAAAAGGGAGTAGTATACAACTTACATTTCTGGTTCACTCCCGTAGGTTCTCACCAGACATGACGTTGTACTCATGGGGGACGGCATAGCCTCCAGATGAACATGAGACGGACTTCCATCTCCACCATAGAAGCCCTGGAATAGAGAGCCCACCTGTGGGAAATCCAGATGCCGCAATCCAGCGCCCGGTAGAGACAGCACGTCGATTTGACTGAACATCCCCGGCGCTATGGCATTGTTAGTAACATGGACACGTGCGCGATCACTAGGCAAGCTATTCGTACGCTCATCGAATTCCACAGCGGGATCCACAGCATACTGTGCATCTTCATGCGGCGCCTCTTCTTCTTCTGGAGAGGGCGAGGCCTTTTGCTTCTTCTTGCGAGGCCCACCCCGCTTGCTGGGTAGGTATGAGCATTTTCGGCCTTTGGCGACACACTAAACGATGGGTTAGTTAGGTACTTCGATTCGCCGGGATCTGTGCGAGCCACAAGCTCCACCGCGAGGAATCAACGTCCCCCAGAAAAGAGAGAATAAGCTGGGGAAACGAAAAGAAATGCCAAGGCACATACATTGGAACAGGGTTCCTGTCCGCCACAACGTGTTCTGGAGGCGCGACTAGGGAAGGACAGTTAGCACAAAATCCTCGACTAAGCGCCGGCGATGGCCAACACGGAGGGCATTGAGGCTGTACCAAGGCAAACAAGCTACTTTGACGGGCGGTTTGGCGAATTTCTTGCGAACCGGCCGAGGCGCCGTCGAGACAAGCCCGCAATCGTTCTGAAAAGCGTCGACCATGGCGAATCACACAGCCGGGATGGCATGGGGCGATACTCCGCTAACTCCCCCCGCCAGGCCCTCTTTGTCGGGATCTTGGGACTGGCTGCTTTCCTCTTTTTGTCTTTTTGTTTGCGACGGGGGAGGGGCTGGCGCCTTGTTTCTTTGATAGCTTGTTCGTTGGATTTAGCCCGGATGACACAGAAGAATCCCAAGAGAGAGAAAATGAAGAAGAGCCCTGATATAGAAGCGGTGCGCTGATTGCTCGATCGTTCGTGATCCAAATCCCGAGCCGTGGAGATTCGGGATTTGCTTCGCGGTACGGCGACACCTCTAATTTGTCACTGCGAGTGTTCTGTTCAGGCGTCTCGTGTCGCTAGGGATAGAACCGGACATGGCGGATATGACGGATTCGAGGAATCTATCAAGTTCAGTCTGGCATGTCATGTTTTTAATTTTTTTTTTCTGTTTTTCTTCTAGACGTCTCTTTGGTCGGGAAGAAGTTCCTGTCATGTCACGTGGTGGGCCTGGTCCGCCGAATTTCTTAAAAAAAAACAAAAACAACAAAGTCCCTAACCTCAAAAGTATGCAGTGGGGATTTAGTTTCGTACATCAAACCCTGGCCTTGGATCTTTCTCATGCACATCGATCGAACTAGAAGATTGGTATCTTTGTCCATTGTTGGGCAGCTTGGAGAGTGGAGCCCTCGACGAGGGGATCAAGGGATGACGACTAACTTGCTACTTAGTACTTCTCTAACTATATACGGATCAATTTGCAGAACTATGGAGCTCCGTAGGGCCGAATTATATCCCAATTGGGAAGCGCAGAACTAACTTTGCCCCCAGGAGTATACCACTCCACCCCGGATATGATACGAGTACAGGATATGAATGGTGAAAAAATAGTTTTAAAGATAACCAACCTGCGTTCAACAGGTTCGTCAGATTCATCAGCCCATCCCGAGAGCCCCACTGCGGACCTGCGCATCAGGGTTCTCTATCATCTATAGTACTGTAGTAACTAAAACAGAAAGTCCAAGTACAGGGCTCCGTACCAAATGTACTATGCATAATCGCGCACAACGTACACAGCACATGGAGATCCATACGTGATTCAACAATATGTACTCATCATATCCACACTCTTCAAGTCTCGGTCGATCCTTTCAGCCCTTGGACCCAACGGACGAAAGCTTAATGCCTGTCACATAGCGCACGCTGTCCCATACGTTGTCGGGAACCTTGACGGGCAGTTTGTGACCTTTCAGCTGCTGATCGATCAACCACATTCCAACGACAAATTCTTCTTTCGTCAGAAGGCCGATCTGCTGGCTATCCACCAGATCCCATACCTGTGCTAACATCGCCGGTGGCAGGCGGCTGCGGGACCAAATCTCTCGCACCACCAGGTTCAACACCATTTCTGATGCGTGCGGCCCTTTCTCGGACCCATTCGGCCCACGCCCGGGTATCCCTCGGTCAGGAGAAATCAACAATCCCCGATTGGATGCCCAAACGCCTTCATAGCGTTTGCGCTCTTTCTCCGTGACTTCACGCTTCCACCGCTTGCGATCACCTTCGTGATGTTTGTGGGGGTGTTTATGGAGCAGGTTCACCTTGTGGCGGCGGTGGGCTTCGGCTTCCTCGGCCTTCGGCATGCCGCGTAGCGTCATCGGCATACCCTTGGGTGGACTCGGTGTCCGTGATAGATCGCTCTTGGGGGAATGTGCAAATTGTAATATAGACCGGGATCGCGCTCGTCGCCGTGAAGGGGGAGGAGGTGGGGCTAGCTTCGTCGCGGGAGATGCTCGTGCGGATGCCAGGGAAGATGCGACAATCGCGTCCGAGAGGGCTTCCTCGTCCATAGCACCCGGCTCATTCGGCGTGCTGGAGCTGCTATTATGTGACAGACCTGATACTGAAGCCATACTAGGTGTGGAAGGGCGTAGGAGCGGGGTGCCGGTGAGGACTGGGTTTCGCATGGACGCCGCCCTTGAGGGAGTAGTCCGCGGTGGGAGTCTCGGTTTGGTATCATCGAGGGAGATTATGGTCATTCGAGAACTGAGGGAGGGATGCGGGCTGGTCGCTGGGACGCGGACACTTGCTGCGCGCGATGGGAGAGACGGGGGGTTTTCGTAGGATTCAGATTCCAATTCGGGCTCCGAAATAGCCAGATCATCTCGAAGCATAGTATCCACGGGATTTTCTTGTGTGGTACGACTGGGTCGAATGGGGATGGGCGAGCGTAGCTCTCGTCGTTCGTCGGCTGCTTGGGATTGCATTCTGCTTGCGCTCCGCGCAGCACTGACCTTGGCTGCAGCGGCGGCCGCCGCTGCTTCCTGTACCCTCGAGGGGGACCTCTCGACGGCGAGACGCGCTGCGATATGGCCTGGCGACACGGATGGCGGCGGAGTTCGTCCCCTTGACACGGCTCTCGGCGGAGGAAGGGTGTTGTTGCCCGTGAACAGCCCAATCTTGTCCCTCACGGAGCCCACCTCGGGCCCATTCTCAGAGTCCATTTCGAGGCGACGTTCGGCATACCGATTCAGAGTGCTGGCTACTGCAGCTCTGGCTGCGGCAGATGGTGGTGAGGCCACATGGGATGATGATTTGGAAGAGTTGAAGGCGATAGTGGCACCCTGTAACGCGGAATTATTTCGGGAGGCCGGGGAAGCCAACCGCGGGTTGGCGGCGGCGATCTCGCCGTTCATTGCCCCGTCGTCCGATCCAGCTCGAGCAAGGCAGGAAAAGAGGGAGATAAAAACAAAGTGGATTAGGGGGAGTGATCTCTCTGGGTTGCACTGCAGCTGGAGAGTCTGAGAAAGGCAAAGATGACGCTGACCAAAGGCCCAAAGGCCCACTTTCGAGGCCGACCGTGCACGGCACTTTTTTCAGCTTCAGCTGCACGCCGGAAGCAGGGACCAAGTTATAAGTAGTCATACGATATATGAATACATACCGGGACAGTAAGAAAGAAAATAGCTTGGAAGATGATTGGTGGTGATTTGAGTCAAGAGAGAGGCAAGTATAAGACACGTGCTAAATGCTAAGTGCTACCTAACGTTCCAGTGATCCTAGTCAGGTCGACCTATGTATCTCAACTATACTGAGGGAGATGTATTAAGATTAGCGAGTATATCATTCAGTAATAGAGGCGTTCAGTAATAGACTAGACTAATAAAATAATGCATCTGATACTATAACTAACGTAGCTAGTTATTCATTCCATTATGACAATGTCTTCCCCAGATTCAAACCCGCCAAATTTAACCGAGTCGGCCCGTTTAAATCTCCCTCCAGAGCCAATCGCATCTCCGCATCTCCGCAACGAGTCCAAAGTGGATGAATCCCCCGGTCAATTTATCCCCGAACCCCCTCTCTCTCCAATTGGCAATGGACATTCTACATTTTTCAATTTATAGTCTTGGAACCCCCCAGAACCCCCCAACCCCCCGGCTTTTCCCCTCTTTTGCTTCGCATGAACTCCTCGTCGTCTCGGAAATGCCGCATCTTGTTTGGATGCACCCCCTGGAGCCGTCATGCTCTCGGAGACTGAGACTGACCATGCGGATGCCGGCGATCTCACAGCCGACGTAAACTCCCCCAGAGACTCGGTGGATCGCGAGCAAGGCCCAAATCATCATGCCAGTGGAGACCGAGTGGAACAGGGTGCAGGTGCTGGCCAGGTTCAATGCGCCGTTTGTAGCAGCACTTTTCGACGTCCGGAACATTTAAAACGCCATTTGCGCAGTCACACAAAGGAAAAACCTTTCGAATGCGGGCAGTGTGGTCGCCATTTTTCCAGGACGTAGGTGACTTTCTAATTCGTGCGCCGAGTGGTCGCAAAAAAGACCGGGATATGCTGACATGGGCAATTATGGATATAGCGACACTCTCCATCGGCATGAGTTGAGTCACCATACCCCCGGAGGTGAGGGAGGCAAGGACCGCCCGCATCGCATCACCGTCAAGACTTTCAGGGCTTGCTTTAGCTGCGCAACAGCCCGAGTTCGATGTAGCGGGGGCATGCCGTGCGGGCGCTGCGATACTCGCTCGCTCGAATGTCAATATCCGACGGAACGGCGGTCTAAAGCAAGACTCCGCAATGGAAGTTTCAAAGGGCCGTCAACTCTGGAGACGCTAGAAGCAGATCCTCAGTCGCCTCAGATCTCGTCGCCTCGGCCGAGTGGAAATATTGTGGCGCCCCATGTGAACAACGATATTCCATCTCATCAACTTGGGCAATTTTCGATCAATGGAATGATCGATACTCCGGCATCGCCCAAGACATCAATACACCCTTTCCCAAACCCCGCAGACCATCCCTCGGGAAATAAATCATCGGATGGGCGGGGCTCCGTCGCAGGCCCTTCCAATCCTCAACTCTATACGCCATCTGCCAACCCGGCTGCCGACGCCGCCACCTTACCACCGGGTGTGTATCCTAGCGGAGAGTATAACTCAGGATATGGCGAACTTCAAACTCCTGGAATGCTTCCTGTGGGCACCACGGCTAATCTCGTACCCGGATTGAGGGAGGTTGATGCTGGGATGACAGGCCCGGGAGTTGACATGGACATAGACATGACTGGAAACCCGGAGATGGGATTGGGGTTTGACCCCTCAATCTTCGATCAGTCAATGTTATCTACCATCAATTGGCTGCCAAATGAGTTCTTTGCCGGCCCATCAAGCGACCAACCCCAATCCGCGAGGGTTCCACAGCAATTTACCCCAGGCACCTTCCCGGAGAGCTACGCGGCGCGATTCACCTGGCAACCGTCGGTGATCAACGCTGACAATATAAGCTCCTCGGTCCCTGAAAACAATACTCATACTCCTTCCGGACCTCTTTCTCTAGGTACCGACATGGGAAGTCCTAGGCGATACTCTCATGTCGGCAGCGAGTCATCACCGCACGCCGAATCAGTTGATTCTGGAAAGCGTTCAGCAGACTTCTATGTCGATGGCGGTGGCGCCAGGCTTCCCAGGTACAGGAAAAAACAAACCCCCTGGTCTAATTCTTCAACAGACCTACCAGCTACCACGGGGCAAGCATTTCGCGAAAACAGCCCACGTCGATTCGGCTTTCCCGGTATGCAAGAAGTTCAGATGGATAATATCTCAGGGGAAGTGTTGCATTCAATTCGACCTATCGAAGCCACGACTTATGACGAAATCTATCGCAATTTTCTTTTGCTCTGCCGAAATGACAATCCGTTCTTCGAGATGTTCGAGACGGAAAACTTCCCAAGACCAGAAGAATGTAACCGATACATTGCCTGCTACTTCGACACATTCCAGGCTGTGTATCCCATCTTTCATATTCCGACCTTTGATGTGAATCAATGCCACTGGATTTTAGCTTTGGCCATTCTAGCAATCGGATGTCATTGCTCCAATATCCATGATGCCGATCAATCCACAGCCGCCTTTCACGAGATGCTTCGACGGGCCATACACATTGAGGTAACTATATTTCCCTCCAACAAACTCTCTATTGGAAATTGCAACTAACGGTTTACAGAAAGGAAAGCGCCATGCCGGACCCCTTCCTCTGGGTCTACTTCAGGCTATACTGCTCAACTGTATTGGGCTGCTCCATAGCGGCATTGAAAAAGACAAGCTATCCGCATTGAGCGCTTTCAAAGAACTTGTGAGTCTTGTGGCAGAGAAGAAACTGCTGGCTGCCTCGAAACCATTGAGGGAGTCAAACAGAATCTCGGGGGAAGTTTTATGGCAAAAATGGATCGATGATGAGACTCGGAAACGAACCGGCTACTGTGTTTGGGTAAGCTTTACCTGGAAGATATTGAAATTGGAATTACGCTGATCATTGGCTTGAAGCTCGTGGACTGCACGCTTGCTTATTATCTCGACGAGAAACCGCTCCTATCCTTGGATGACGGACAAGCCGCGTTGCCCGCTCATGAAAAACTTTGGCAGTTGAACTCGATGGAAGATTGGAAGCAGCTGTGGGATCAGTCTAGCGGTATGTTCTATCTAATCTCTATCATCGAACTAGGTCAATTGCTGATTTTCATAGTGAGCGAATCCCTCTATGATTCTGTGCATATCCTGTACATCGAGAAGAGACTTGTCTCTGGTATTGGTGAATTCAGCCACATCCTTCTCATCCACGCCTTGTATCATCGGATGTGGGAAGTGGGCGACTACTTCCGCCGACCTCTATCATTTTGGAATCCAACTGCCAAAAAGCAGTCTCGGGAGACTGCAATACCTACGGGGTCCGTTTGGCTCCCTGGAATCCCATCATATTCTAAGTGGCGCAACAGCGCCTGTGATTGCTTGGACATCCTCCACTGGACCGCAAATAGCACCATTGCCAAAGCTGCCGGACTGGAACATCCCACCGTTTTACATCTCCACGCTGCTCGACTTGTTTTGCTGGCACCCTTCCGGGAGATTCGATCGCTTGCGACATCTCTCGTGACGGACAAGCTCCGATGGAGCAAAAGACATCAAGCCATTGAATGGCAGTATATCTGGCGCTGGATCAAGCATGATCAATACAAAGCTCGGCTGTCGATTATTCATGCTGGAGTGACCCTCTGGCACGTCAGAAGGTACTCCACGAACGCATTTCACGAACCGATCGCCGCATTCCTTGCAGTCTTGACTCTTTGGGCCTACGGGTCCTGTCACGCTCATGCGCCCCAAGATTCAAGTCCGCACACTCAAACGTCTCGAAATGAGCCCCTACAGGAGCCAAGCTTTATTCATTTAGATCGACCATGTGACGATGAGCTAGTTCAGCTCTTCGTTCGTGAAGGCCACTCTATGAGAGGCAATGTGACGGGCGTGGGAGATATATGCGCGCCCGAGGGCCCCGAGAGAATTCTTCGAGTTGGCTGTGAAATTCTTTCTGGATTGAGTGCGTGGGGTCAGTCGAAGAGATATATCTCTATCCTGACTCGTCTAGCTGATCTTGTGTCACGGGGTCCGGAAGGGGAGCAGAGCCGCATTGGAAACACGGACGGGTGCTGAAGAACTTGTTTTGCTTTTTTTGACATAATTCTCGAAATACCCCTTGATAAATATAAATGTACAATAGTTTCCAATTCATTCTTATGCGCTTTTTAATTTCTCTGCTTGTAACGCAAAAGCAATGTAGTTTATAGCCAGTACTGCACACAGTACAGTTAGGGTGATGTCACACACGTGCGCGCGGAGCTCTTTATCTTATCGCGGAGCTGCCTAAAATCATCCGGGGAACTTTCACCTCTCTTCAACTGTTTACATCTATGTACATCATGGATTCCGACGAGATTGTACCAGATAATACCCAGATTGAGGAGGAGGATTTGGATGAGAAGTGCTTGCCTACTTGATGCTCTCAGCTAAGCTCTACTAACCGCTCAAAACGACAGGTATCCGAATCGGCCCCATAACAGCGCCCCAACACTCCCATTCCATGATCTGTATCTGGACCTTTTCGACCCTCTGAGTGATATCAGAAAGAAGCCAAAGGTTTCTAGCTTAGCTAGACGAAAGGCTGGACCGCATGGGAAGGGTACAACGAGCTTGAATCCGTATGAGCTCCGGCGCGATATCATCGCTCGGTTCATTTCGCGATGGCGCAAGGAAGTGGGGGACGACATTTACCCTGCTTTCCGGTTGATTCTCCCCGACAAGGATAGAGATCGACCAATGTACGGCATGAAAGAGAAGGTTATTGGAAAGATGCTCGTCAAGATTATGAAGATCAACAAGGAATCGGAGGATGCTTCCAACCTGCTGAATTGGAAGCTCCCTGGAGTATCTGCAGCGCGAATGGCGGGCGACTTTGCTGGACGCTGCTACGATGTCATTTCAAAGCGACCGATGCGAACCGAGCCGGGCGATATGTCGATTGAGGAGGTCAACAAGAAATTGGACGATCTCTCGGCTGCGTCGAAGGAGGACCAGCAGGTGCCTATTCTGGCAGAGTTCTACCGGCGCATGAACCCGGATGAACTGACGTGGCTCATTCGAATCATTCTCCGACAAATGAAGGTCGGCGCTACGGAGCGTACGCTCTTCAACGTCTGGCACCCAGATGCCGAGAACCTGTACAGCATTTCCAGTAGCCTGCGCCGGGTCTGCTGGGAGCTACACGACCCGAATATCCGACTCGAGGCGGAGGATCGTGGTATCGGGCTTATGCAGTGTTTCCAGCCTCAGTTGGCACAGTTCCAGATGCATTCGTTCGAGAAGATGATTTCGCGAATGCGGCCAACAGAGGAAGATCCCGTCTTCTGGATTGAGGAGAAGATGGATGGAGAGCGCATGCAGCTCCACATGGCTCCTGATGACTCAATTCCAGGTGGTCGCAGGTTCCGTTTCTGGTCTCGGAAAGCCAAGGAATACACATATCTTTATGGAAATGGGATTTACGACGAGAAAGGAGCCTTGACAAGACACCTCGAGAACGCATTTACGGATGGTGTCCAGAGCCTCATTCTTGATGGCGAGATGGTGACATGGGATCCAAAGCAAGATGCCCCTGTTCCATTCGGTACATTGAAGACGGCCGCTCTGGCGGAACAGCGCAATCCCTTCTCCGATGGACCGAGGCCTCTATTTCGTGTTTTTGACCTTCTCTATCTCAATGGGACCGATCTCACCAGGTACACCCTTCGTGACCGTCGCAATGCCCTGGAGAAGGTAGTAATTCCTGTTCATCGCCGCTTTGAGATCCTTGAATATCATGAAGCTACTACTGTAGCAGATATTGAGAAATGTCTGCGAACAGTTGTAGCCGAGGCATCAGAAGGTTTAGTATTGAAGAACCCTCGCTCGCCTTACCGGTTGAACGAGCGCCACGATGACTGGATGAAAGTCAAGCCAGAATATATGACCGAGTTCGGTGAATCCCTCGACCTAGTGGTCATCGGTGGATACTATGGCTCTGGTCATCGAGGAGGTAACCTAGCAAGCTTTCTGTGCGGTCTTCGTGTCGACGACCAGAACGCTTCACAGGGTGCAGACCCCATGAAGTGCTGGTCATTCTGTAAAGTTGGCGGCGGGTTTACTGCCGCTGACTACCAGGAAGTGCGCCACCATACAGATGGCAAGTGGAACGAATGGGACCCCAAGAAGCCCCCTACTACCCTCGTTGAGCTTGCGGGAGGAGACGCCCAATATGAAAGACCGGACATGTGGATCAAGCCGTCAGACTCGGTCGTGCTTTGTGTCAAGGCAGCTTCCGTATCTGTGAGTGATCAGTTCCGCATGGGATTGACACTCCGCTTTCCACGCTTCAAGAAGCTGCGCAAAGACAAGAATTGGAAGAGTGCCTTGTCAATCCAGGAATTCTTGGACCTCAAGTCGAATGCAGAACAGGAACACCGCGAGAAGGAGTTCTCTGTAGACAATTCCCGGAAGCAGAAGCGTCCGAAGAAGGCTGTGAAGAAACCTTTGACTATCGCTGGATACGATGAGAAAGAGAACGTACAATACTTTGGACCTTCAGGTCATATCTTTGATCATCTCAACTTCTGTTCGTCTGTCGTGCCATCTCGTGGACAATTTCATTTGCTAACAGCGTCGATATAGTTGTCATGACGGAATCGACCATTCCAGAGAAGAAGACGAAAGCAGAGCTTGAGCAACTTGTCAAGGCCAACGGTGGCAAGATCTATCAGACAAATACTGCCGTTGAAGACACGATTTGTATCGCTGATCGCAGTAAGTGTCGCCGACCGATAACGCATCTGAAAACCAGACCATACTAATCCTATGCAGGAACTGTCAAGGTGGCATCGGTGCAGAAGAGTGGGCAAACTAACATTATTCGCCCATCGTGGCTGACTGACTGCGTCAAACAAAATGAGAAAGATGCTGGCCTTCCAGACCTACTATTGCCTTTCGAGCCAAGGTAAGTCTTGACGATCATCCAAGCTCCGAGGACAAGGCTGATATTGGTGAACTGCTACAGACACATGTTTTTCACTATGGAAGATCAAGATGAAGATATCAAGCTGAATGTCGACCAATTCAAGGATAGCTACGCTCGCGACACGACGGTTGATGAACTTAAAGAAGTATGTCTCATTTGGAGCTCCCCTCTGCCTCTACAACCCGCTAACTCTCCCCGGCAGATTCTCGAGCAAATGCAGAAAACAGAGGAACAAACACGCAGACCCCTTGATCCCCACTCAATCCACAAAATCGAGGCTCATGTCCAAGACAAGATCAACTCAGGCTATACCGCACCATGTGGATGGCTCTTCCGCGGTCTAACATTCTTCTTCCCTTCGAGCCACCCAGCCAACGGCGATGGAAGCAGTGATTCAGATTCCTCAATCTCTAAGATGGGAGATATCCGTCTCACTCTTGCACGTAACACGGCACAGTTTGGAGGAGCTAGTACCGCCACTTCGCTGAAGAATGCCAGTGTCACTCATGTCATTGTCGATACGGAGAATACCTCCTCAGCGGAGATTAGCTCGTTGAGAAAGACTTTGGCTGCGGGTTCGCGGAAGAAGATACCTCATCTTGTGAGCTTGGATTGGATCGAGGAGAGTTGGAAGCATGGGACGTTGTTGGATGAAGAGCGTAAGTTTTTCTCATACTTTACACGACATCGGGCATGTTGCTAACTCTGAATCTACCAGGATTCCAGGTACTGAGGTGATATGCTAGGAGCCTGTCAAATATTGCTAGTCTGCAGTGTAGTGGATTACCTCGGTTCCCATAAGTATGAATGTTTAGGTAGAAGGATACAATGAATGCAGTCCCTAAGCGACGAGGGAACCTTTCAATACTCCATAAAACACTCGAGTATCTACTCAGATTGGTAAATTACCACGTGGTACCTTACCAGTGCTAAATAGACATTGGGTAGTTGAAGTAGACATATACCTAACCTCTTCCAATCCATTGACAATCTCACCTAAGCGGCCCCTATTACCAGGTGAAACATACTGCGTGGCTATTTAATAAGCTATCTAAGAATATCTTCCAAGACACCTCTTAAACGAGGTAAAACTAAAACTGTTCCGTGTATATCTGTTTCGTATCTGAATTCAGATCTCTAAAACTTCTTTGTAAGGCCTCATCGTGTCAGAATAATAGTCCAATAGCATAGATAACCGATTCATCGTACCCAGATTATACACACACCTAGTACGGAACAAAACTAAGATACGTCAGAAAGACAAATGAGACAAAAATGAGAGACCAGACAGATCCAGAGCAGTGTATGACTTATTACCAAATGGCATCGTCATCCATAGGAGCTTCATAGGAAACGATTTCCAAATCCCATCACTAGAACGCCTCGATCTCACGATCAAGCTAGATCATATTCATATTCATTTCTTTCACTAAACCATGGCACTTAATGATTTTAATACGCCACAAAGAATAAACAAAACCAAGGGGGTAAGCGAATAGCTCATGCGGAGATTAAGGCTGACCGATGGAGGCCGGGGGGGGGGGGGGGGTGATCTCATGGATTGTGGGGGATGATGATATCACGATGCAGCGGGGGGCCGGACTAGGGCGGCTCGAGAGCGAACAAAGTATTACCATTACCAGACTAAGAGAGTAATTAAGAATGGAATGTTTTTTAAATGTTTTTGTGATTTGATTTGGATATATCATAAAGAAATCTGGGGTTTCTTAGAAAAATAGCAAGGCTCAAGGGCCGTCAAAGATTTCAAAAAAGGGGGTATGTCACAAGAAAAGAGAAAGGAAATGGTGTCAGCCTGACACTTGTATCCGGATCCAACGCCGCGCTGGTGTAAAAAAAAAAAAAAAGAGAGAAAAATGCCAAGTGTATGTACAGAGAGCCTGACAGAGGCGGCGCCCGGCGCTGCCTGTTGGGCGTCTCTAAGGGTTATGGTTGTTGTCCGAAGTGGTGACAGTTCAAGCCGAGATGCCTACCCACCGGGCTGGCACGGCGTTATCGTCGCCATCTTCGTAGTCCCCAGACAAGCGGTAGGGATTGCTCTTGCGAGGTGGGAGCATGATGCGCGCCCGTGTGGGAATGTCCTCGCGAAGCTTGCCACTGCGACGCATGTTCATTTCAAGAACAACCATACGAAGGAAATCGCAGTTCTCGCGGGGTTCACGCTGACGTGACATCGGTGGGACCTCCGGATCGAACGTATGATACTGATCACGGTTCTTGGGTGCAACGACATGGAAATGGCTGCGCCGGTTGCCTCGGCCTCGAGAACGACGATAGGTTTGCATTTGAATAGAGACAGCACAGGTACTATTTGGGTCGGACTTGTCGTGAGGATGGTCGTGATAGACGCACATCTCGGCAGGAGAGATAGGGGTGGGGTTTAAGTACCGTCGCAGAGCTGGAGATGGCGGCTCTTGCATGGGCGGTGGACGGCGGTCATCGGTCATTTCCGGAGTGATGGTGAACAAAGACCGTGTAAGGAAGTCTTCTGGTTGGACAGACGGCGTCGTAAAGGTTGAAACCGACTGCGCGGCAGATTTGATGGCTCGTAGAGACGCTGTAAGATTCGACTTGAAGGAAGATCTCAAACTAGGGAATGATCGAGAGGATGCAGTGCGCTTTGACGAAACTGTATCATTCACAATCGGTTCATGATGACTCTCAAACACCACAATCTCACAGTCATCCATATTTGTTTCAAGTAGAGGGTGATCAAGACCGCAGTCTTCGGCAGGGGAATATCGCAACGGCCGTCTCTCGGAGGGACTCTTGTGGCTGCCGGGTGTTGGCGGTTGAGGTGAGCTAAGAGGAGAGCCCATATCGGGCTCCAAAGATGGCATCGAGTCGCTTGATACGGAGCGCACAGAGAACGGGGATTCCATCTCCGACTCGGCGCCGGTTGAATACTTCTCGTTCTCTTCATCCGGTGGGCTCAACAAGATGTCCAAAGGTGAGTTGCCCGTCCCATCCATCAGGTAATCTTCCTTGGACTTGAGTCCTTCCTGCATCATCCGGCTAAACTCTTCCACATGGTTTCCTCGCGGGAGTTTCCGAGGCCTCCGGGTGGACCACGACCGGTGTGGCACAGGAATTGCCGTTGCATCCAACATGGAGGCAACTGACGGCGGTAAAGGACGGTCATTGGAAGAGGAGGAGGAGGATCTGCGAGACGAGGCCGACGGTTTGGAAGGGGTACGGATTCGCGCTTCTCGGTGCACCGGGGTACGTGAGCCACGTTTTGGTGGGATTACTACCGGGGTGGTCATGGTCGAACCGGTCATCTCCACATGTTTGGTAGGAAGACGGCCGGGGCGATCAAAGGCTAAAGAGGAAGGGCGGTCTTTCAGGCCATAAGGCTGCATCGCTTTCTGCTGGGGTGGCGCGGAGGTAAAGAGAAACGCTCTCGGGACCATCATCTTAACGGGTCATGCCAGTCTGGTATTTTCCTGCGTAGCCTTGGCCGGAGGAGGCACTCTGGTCGAGTGTCTGGGCGAGATACATGAGTAGGAGGAATGATTCTTAGGGTGTCTCCCGGCGTTAATGTCGGGAGATATACCAGTAGCCGAAGTGAGTGGGCTGGTATTGGTGGGAGGGACGGGTATGTGTGTGTATAAGCAAGTGGGCGAGGTATGTGTCGACAGGAGTGGTGAGTATGAAAGGATTGGGAGTAGAGATGGCGAGGGAAAGTCGGAAAAGAGGACTCGAAGGGAGTGAAGGGTAGTGGTTGTAGGAGAAAAGGGAAGGTTGAAGCAGGGAAGGGAGGGAAAGATAAGAAAGTGGTGATCTCAGCGGATGACGGGATGATAAGAGGGATGGATGGATGTACTCCGTAAGGATGTATTGGGCAGGTACGCGTGTGACGGTAAGGGAATATCTCTGGTGGCTGAGATTGTGGGATTTAGCCCTTGGGCCCTGCTTCGATTGGGCGGACAACCATAAGATGCCGGGTTCCGACCACCGGTATTATTACGAGGGTACTGTAATTGTGGGTTTAGGGTATCTTCATTATTATTAATTGCTCCTTCCTCCTTCGAGAGTCTTCCCCGGCTTGGGCCGTAACAACTCCTGATGAATCTCCGTCCCAAATGAACAGAGAAGGCGGATCGGCCTGCCTTATCTGGGTTTAGCGCCAGTTTTAAGGTGGTATTCGTGCCGTTTCTGCCGTTTCTTCTGTTTTGTTCCGTCGGGGTAGAATGTTCGCCTGGTGGAGCCATCGAAAGCCCTGCGATCGGATTGATCCGTTGTTTTCTCCTTTTTTTTCTTTACTCCGGAGTACGGAGTACATACTGCAGGGTGAGGAGTGAGCATGAAATATATTATTCTTGTTAGGGATTCGGATTGGACTCGTTTTGTATGGTATCCCTTTTCCATACTTGAACTACAGTATGTCACAGGTCACGTTCGTCTCGTGACGTGTCTAATACGATCTATCGTTTCGTAGAATATTAAGAGCCCTTCTCAGCCATCTTAAATATTATTGTTCCTACAATATGTTTTTTTTTATCTTTGACACGGTCCCTCAAATCGTCTCGGCAATCTTTAATCCACCCGACGAATACTATTACACACATTATCTCACCAAGACCCTCCTAGTCGCGTGTTGGGGATCCGCTCCGACTCCGCCGGGTGGGCCGTTTAAGGTTGGGTTTAGTGTGGTGCCTGCAGATTTGTTAGATTGCCATACACCGCCAAGCTCATTGGTGATAAAACAATAATTGATTGTTAGAATAATAAAAGCAGATATAGTGAGAAATACGTAGGTATATATACGTAGCCATGCATTGTTTTCTTTACTCTTGCTATGATAATTATCAATATGAAATGACCCCTTTTGGACACAGCCATCGATATCTCGGGAGTCGCCGGCGATCGCATGAACCAGTCGGGTCGCGGGTGGCTGCAGACGTCTCAAAAAGTAAAGACGAAGAGAGACCGACGTGGCCAGTGGAGCTGCCTAAGCGAGCACACTTTGCGGTGTATACTTGGGTTTATTATTATTGTTATAATAATTATCCATGTTATTATTTGTCGAGCCCCCCCCCCCCTATTATTTACATTTTGCTTTTGCTTTGTGGCTGGTAATGTGATTACCCGATTACCCCCTTGGGCCTGAATCCCTCGTTGCCTGCTTCCTTTCCACACCACACAATAAAAACATGCGCGTTTGGCGGTGAAACTCGATGTGTTGGGCTGTCGCTTACTGCGGGTGAATCCAGTAGGTACGAGTACTGTATGCTGTATTTCCTCCTAAACCCCCCTTTGCCAGTCTATGGGAACATGACTCATTAGGGCCCCAGACAATGTTTTAAACTACACGGAGATGATCTGCCTTGGCTTTTTCTCCAAAGTATACTCTATATCTCTATCCAGAGTATCTTTCTCCTTGCTGCTACTCTATAGTTAACTACAATGTCATAGATCCCTTCTCCCAGCCTTCCCTTGTATATACTACTAAGCCCATCATGTGATAACTTAACACGTGAGCTTATCAAATTCACGCTGAGTCAGCTATCACGTCAACTCCGTTCGATGAGTTCTGGTTGAGAGTAGCCAGACAGAAGCCGGCGATAAACCCCCATCTGCAGTCTGCCTGCTGGATCCAATCATCTCCGGTGTATCTTCATTGCTATCGCTCGGCATCCTCAAGGGATTCACTGCCATCTCACTCCCCAAAAGCTCTCCCCGCCTCCCGTGTGGGGTGTCCCGCGGGGTTCTGAATTTCCTACCCACTTTGCGCTGCTTGCGGCGTGTATAGACTTGCAACGCGAACACCTGGGGCTCTCGGGGTTGGCATCAGGAAGAATCGGATTCGCCGGCTCCCAAAGCATAACCGACTAGTTCGGAGCTCTTCTCGCCGGGAGGAACTAACGCCTTCCATATCTCGTAATCAGCTATCGCGCGTGGCCACTTATCACCACCGACTCCTCCTCCCATCGATTTTCTTTCTGGTCGTGGAACCCCCTGCCTATCTTGACTCACCCTTCGGGATTTGAATGATGGACAGATTATGTCTCAAGGCCTCTGAAATCTGGACCATTGACCGGTGGACACGAGGCTAAGACGTGGAGTGATCGTCCGCGGAGAAAGCACCACCAACAATATTCCGAATCCCACCTATCGCAGGAGTCGACTCTCATGTCTGCAGAGCGAGGCGCGCCCAAACGGCGCTGTGTGAGTACTGCTTGCATAGCTTGTCGTCGGAGAAAGTCCAAGGTAAGCCCCCTGCCATCTCGAGAAGCCTGAATGTGAGCGGTATCACTGATCATCTCTCACTAGTGTGATGGCAATCTGCCCAGCTGTGCAGCATGTTCCTCAGTTTACCATACACCATGTATGTATTTCTTGATCAAATTTTTGATTCAAAACGTGACTGACCGTTTATTTTAGGTGTGTATGATCCAAACTCCGACCATCGACGTAAAGGAGTATACAAGAAAGATGCGGATACGCTTCGCACTCGACACACAACACTACAAACCTTAATTCAAGCATTATTGAACTATGAAGAAGACGATGCTTTCGATTTGGTCCGCCAGATTCGCTCATGCGATGATCTGGAAGATGTTGCCAAATCGGTCATTGCTCGAGAGAAAGGCCTGCTTGCTGCCGCGAGTGTGGATGCCGCTAGAGATCCAAACGAAGATGAATTTGGCGGGGTCGATCAGTTCGAATTTGAGCTATCAGGTAAAATGAGTGAACTCGTGCTCGATGGTTCGCGCAAGTTTATCGGTGGCACGTCCAATCTCATTTTCCTTCCGCCAGGCTCGGAAATACACGAGTCTGTCTCAATAAACGAACCCCCTGCTCTCAATGATACACAACCGGTCCGACGATGGACCCGGGTCACGGAAGATGACTCGTTGATCAGCCATCTGCTGACCATGTACTTCACGTGGCACTATCCATTCTTCACCCTTCTCGCTAAAGATTTGTTTTACCGGGATTACATCCGGGGCGTCTCTAGCCCATACTGCTCCCCGCTATTAGTCAACGCTATGCTAGCACTTGGGTGTCATTTCAGCTCATGGAGAGGCGCATTTGCAGACCCGCTGAACCCAAATACGGCGGGCAACCAATTCTTCAAGGAAGCGAAGCGTTTGATCTTGGAAAATGATGAGCACGAGAATGCCAAGCTTTGCACTGTCCAAGCATTTGCCCTTATGTCTGTCCGCGAGGCAGGTTGTGGCCGAGAGGGCAAAGGCTGGGTTTATAGTGGTCTGAGCTTTCGCATGGCTTTCGATCTGGGATTGAATGTCGACGCAAAGAATATGGGCTCCCACAGCCTCGGTGATGAAGAAGCCGATGCACGACGAATTACCTTCTGGGGTTGCCATCTCGTCGATAAGTATGAGCTCTCGAAGCCCGTTTATTCACATGCCAGTTTCTAACAATTCTTAGGTGCTGGTCTAATTACCTTGGTCGTCAGCCTCAGTTATCCTCATCCAATACAAATGTCTCCAAATTCGAGGTACTGCCCAGAGAAGAGACCGAACTTTGGTCTCCCTACACGGACGCTGGCGTAGGTCATGATCACACACAGCCATCTCGAACAAGGGCAGTAGCGTTCCAGATCTCGAAGTTGTGTGAGATCAGCAGTGATCTGCTAGTGTTTTTCTACCATCCTGCCGAACTGGAGAAAACTCACCAGAAGCAGTTGGAGCTGAAGAGATTGAGTGATGTCCATACTCGTCTGGAAGCCTGGAAAAAGGAGCTTCCACGAGAACTAGATCCCAGAGAAGGACAGTTGCCTCAAGTTCTTGTCATGCAGTAAGTAAACTCACACTGGAGGTAGATATCCTTCGCTGCAATTTCTAACGATATGGCAGCATGTTCAACCAACTCCTTCTCATCCACCTCTACCGACCCTTCTTGAAATACACTCGCACCAACACCCCTCTCCCATCCCACGTTTCACCACGCAAAATCTGTACCCAGGCTGCCTCGGCCATCTCAAAGTTGATGAGAATGTATAAACGCACATACGGATTGAAACAAATTGTCAACATTGTCGTATACATTGCTCACACGGCTTGCACCATTCATCTTCTCAATCTCCCGGAGAAGAACGCCCAACGAGATATCATTCACGGTCTACGAAACCTCGAAGAAATGGCTGAGGGATGGCTATGCGCTCGTCGCACGTTGCGCATCCTCGACATCTCGGCCAGCAAATGGCAGGTCGAGCTCCCACCAGAAGCAACCACTATCTTTGAGCGAACTCATGTGAAATGGGGCTCGTGGGGATCATGGGACCAAGTAGCTTCGCCCTCTACATCCGATGATTCTCATTTGACCCACGGCAACTTCCAATCCTCGGTGACCAGCCCGAGTCGATACTCAACCTCCCCAGCCAACAATCAGGTCCCGCTCGCGGCTCCCACGGAGTCCATCCCAACTAATCCTCCCATCAGCATGGTAGCCCCATCAATGAATCCAGCTGCCACCCTACCCACTGCCATGTCAGCAATGCCAGCAGTAAGAGGCATGCCGAGTGCCCTGGCCCAGCGTTCAGAGTTCCCGCCACCAGAGCCAACATACCTCCGACCTCTTTACCAAATACCGAACCTCGCCTCTGCAGGCCCATCGACCGCCCCTCAAAACCAGCCCGGCTGGTACGACGCCTCAGGGCCACCGATAGGACCGCAGAATACCACACCCCGCTCAAACTCCACCGTCTCCGGATTCGAGGGCGCAGAGCACCTTGTCGAGGAAAGCCAGGATTGGTGGTCACGCAATTCAATCGGCGTTGAGAATTGGGCTGGTCCCTGGAGTCCTGAAGTTTCGGCACCCACGCCTGCCATGCAGTATGAGGGTAATCATGCATATGCTATGGCGATGGCTCAGCAATCTAGTTCTTCTTCGGTCTCGGGCCGTCAGCCACCGGTCACTGTGGGGATGCCTAATATCGGACCCGTAGCGGAGAATACCCCGTCCGGCTATGACGAGCCATGGAAATGATCTATGATTTCTTCTTGATATATTCTTTTGTCTTTTGATATATACTGAGTTGTAAACTTGTGCGATGTTTAAATGTCTTTTCTGGTTTTTTTTGTCCATTGTATTACTGTTGGCGACTTACTTTTTTTTTCTATGATACCAGAAATTGGGAGGCTTGTCGTCGTGATTTAGGTACATTTCGGGTGTTTATTCTCATTTGTCGCGTTGGTGAGGTTTATATGATTTACGTATTGATACAATCAAGTTTACAAAGGAGAGGCGAAGTAGACAAGAAATTCAGAGTCAAGTATCCGTCATGAGTGATCATTAGGGGTTGCAACAAAGACATAAACACCAAGGCACAAGATGCTAAGGGAATCGAAAAGCTTGCGAGAACCGTATAGACGAGGGGGGCAAGAGAATGCAGATATTGGTATCACTGTTAAAAATGAGTTAGGTTGAGTCTCTTATAGTGCGGATTAATCAATCTTACCAGGAAATAATCAGCGACGGGCTTCTTCGCAGGCATACCCCTAGTATCCTGCGCTGCGGCCTCGAAAACGCGATATCTCCGTCCAGGACTGACAACGGTGTTGGCGATACCATTTGCGCCTACGCCATTGCTTCGTCCGTACTCTCCATTGCTGCGTGCAACGGTGCCACCACTGCTGGTATCTTCGCCCAGCTCCAAGATAGCAGCGACATTACCACAGCGATAACAGTAGTTCGGTGCAGACCACACCGTGACAATACCACCGTCGAACATCTCCTTGTATCCCTCCATGACAAGCTGGTGGGCACGCGCTACTAGAGATAAACCGTTAAGATGATTGAACTGCTTGACGATGTCCCCACCAAACAGGAACCCAGCGCCACGAGGGCTCAATCCCCATCCCTCGATCTCGTCAGGGTCTGACCAGAGGAGATCACACATCGCACCTTCATGGGGCACTTCTTGTTTCCGATCGATTAACCGGATCTTATCAACGGAATCGATCAGGGGTGACAAGCCGCCGTGGACACAGAGCACGGCACCCGTACGGCAAGTCGTCGCACTGCCGTTACCGTCTCCACTGGCGCCCGTTCCGGGAGCACCGGTGCGAGTGGGAGCCGCCGTCTGGCCTGGTGCGGCGGATATATCGCGTGGGGGTGAGATGTTTCGGGAGTCTGTGGACGCATCTGAGGAGGAGCGCTGTCGCGGGCGATATGTACTCATTGTGACTTCTCCACGCGAGTTCAGCACCTCCGTCTCCAGCTCGCCGTCATCGACGGGCATCGTAGACTGTGTCATATCTCCCATGCCCGATGAAGTGGGCTCGAGTTCAGAGCTAGCGCCGAGGACGATAGCGCCAAGCGCCAGATAATCGAACACTTCGCAGCAGTATCGCCAAACGTTGGCGCTGCCGTACTTGCGAATACACTCATCATAGAATCCGTACACGGTGGTAATCTGACGCGACTCGTGGTTTCCACGAATAAGTGTGATACGATCGGGATAGCGCACTTTAAGACAGAGGAGGAGGAGGAAGGACTCGAGCGAATAGAACCCGCGATCGACAAAGTCGCCCATGAATAGGTAATTAGTATCGGGAACGTCGCCACCCACGCGGAACAACTCCATTAGATCGTGGAATTGGCCATGGATGTCGCCGCAGATGGTGACCGGCGCATCGACGGAGACGACGTTGCCCTCTTCGATTAAGAGCTCGCGCGCTTTGTAGCACAGCTCGCGGACCTGGGATTCGGGGATCAGGCGGCAGGCCCGCAGCTGCTCGATCGCCCTGTGTGAGAAGGAGCAGTTAGAATAGGTAGTGTAGTTACGGAAGAGATAAACGCGTCGTACCGGTCTAGGTCGCTCATCTTGTTGAGTAGGAGGGAGGTGAGGAGGAAGAGATGTCAGGGAAGGAGGAGGAGGGGGGGAGGGGTGCGACGGATTTGAGGGGGATTCCCCTCGTGGGAAACAGAAATCAAATTATCCAGAATAAGATCAGTCTCCTTCCCGCGAAAAATGCAGACTCATTGTTGCGCCGACGTAAGAGACGAGGACGATCGGGTCAAGAAGGTCCGTTTCTGACTCTGCGCGACCAGCGGCCAATCACGCGGGCGGCAGATAAGATTAGATGTCCACCAGAGCCTTCGCAACTCTCCTCTTCCTTCCACTCAGTCCCTCGTCCACCCCGCATTCACGCTTTCGACGCTGTAGGGTCATTGAATTGGAGAGATTTGGTTGATTTCGACCCAATTGATCCTCCTGTCGAGTCCTGCGCCCTCCATTCGTCCCCGGGCCAGCCGAATAGTCTACTCCCCCGAGGCCCTCCGATGGCCTGAGCCGAAAAAAGTCCAAGCAGTCGGCCACGTCCATTCTCTCGCAACCTCGTCTTTTCCTTACAAGGGTCACATCTTTCACAATGCCTCCACATCTCCATCCCAAGTCTCGGTCAACGAGCACCCTCTTCGCCGGCACCCTCTTCGCTTCGCTCGTCGTGGTCGGCATGCCACACCTCTTCCCCTGCCCAGCCCCGCGACGCACCTTTGCCGATTCAGAGATGACAATCACAGCCGACGGGCAACAAGTACCACGTATCCGGCGGCGCCGGCGGAGAGACGTCGAGCTGGACTCTGAAACCGCGCGTCCGGGCTATCCAGCACCACCCGCCGTGGACGAGGAGGTGTCTACATTCTTCCAGATGGAGGAGGAAGCAGAGAAGCTTGCTCGTGCCGGGCATGAGTGCCCCGTACCAAAGCCCAAGGGTGTCCTTGGAGAACTGCTTGGATTCCGCAATGCGCGTGGGACTGAGTCCCCTCGGGCCCAGGCCGCCGAAGGAGGCCGATAGTGTCTCGGGAATCGGCTCTGTGCATTATTTTTGAGCTGTTCTACGTCTTGTCATACTTTGCGTCATATGTTTCTTTTCTTGTCTAATGATACCATGGAATTGGCTGCCTGGCCGCGGGGGATTGGGTTGGGCTATTGTGGTTGTTTAAGACCGCTCTCAGATAGACGGGGCTTGAAGGTGTCGAGCTCAAAGCTCAACAAGCCTACATTGTATATGTATAAAAAATGTATAAACAGAAATTACTCTCAGACTCAATGTCAAAAGTACTCAACATTGTTGCAATTTTTACTATATAGTCTGTTGACATTCGTAGAATGACCGCGTAAGCTTGACCACGGAGAGCTATCGGCCCCAGAGCCCCGTTAAGCTTAAACCCGCACCGTCAGGCCACATTGAACATTTCCCCCGTTCCACCCTCAACTTACGCCGCAATGTCCAATCCTTGGATTAAATTCATACACACCGCGCTAACTCACCCAAAGCACACGCCATGGATTGTGGCTTTGCTTGTCCTGGGTGATGCGGCTCTATGCGCGCTGGTCATCTGGAAGATCTCCTGTGAGTCTGCGCGGCGCGTACGGCCCAAGATCAGACGGAGCTAGGTCACTGACATACCACCACAGACACCGAGATTGACTGGTCCACCTATATGCAGCAAGTATCTCTCTATATAGCCGGTGAACGAGACTATACTGCGATCAAGGGCTCGACCGGACCTCTGGTCTACCCCGCCGCACATGTCTACATCTACACCTTGCTCCATGACCTGACCGATGGAGGACGCGATATCCTCCTCGGTCAGATCTTCTTCGCAGGCTTCTACCTTGCTACCTTGATCGTTGTCATCGCCTGTTATAGACAGGTCGAGATTCCTCCTTACCTTTATCCGCTACTAGTTCTGTCCAAGCGGCTTCATAGCATCTTCATGCTGCGCATGTTCAATGATGGCATTGCGGCGTTCGCTATGTGGGTGGCTATTTACTTGTGTATGAAGCAGAAATGGACCGCTGGTATCGCGATCTGGTCTTTGGGAGTGGGTGTCAAAATGACATTGGTCCTGCTCGTCCCGGGAATTGCTATTATCACTCTGCTGAGCTTGGGTTTGGTACAAAGCATCGTTCTTGGTGCCATGGCTGTCCTGATTCAGGTGAGTTGCTTTGATATACCCGGCTCGAGGATATACTCTAGACTAGCTACTAACGTCACTACAGGTGTTGCTTGGGATCCCATTCCTCCAGGAAAACCCAGTGGGCTATCTATCCAAGGCCTTTGAACTATCCCGGCAATTCATGTTCAAATGGACGGTAAATTGGCGATTTGTCGGCGAAGAGACTTTCCTCTCGAGAGAGTTCTCATTGGGTTTGCTAGTCTTGCATATTTCATTGTTGGCTATCTTCTCGATTATATGGGTGAAGCCGTCCGGGACCAACGTGGTCCGATTCCTCATGGACAGCATCCAGGGCCACCAGCCACCCGTGGCACTCTCGAGATCATTCATCATGACCGTACTGCTGAGTTCGCTAGCTATTGGCTTGCTGTGCGCCAGATCATTGCATTACCAATTCTTTGCATATCTGGCATGGGCCACCCCGTTCCTCCTCTGGCGCGCAGGCCTCCATCCAATCCTTATTTATACTGCGTGGGCACTGCAGGAGTGGGCTTGGAACGTTTATCCCAGTACTAACGCTAGTTCTGCGGTTGTGGTCTTGTCGCTCGTTCTGCAAGTGCTCGGTGTGCTTGTCAAGGGGCTTGGCGAGGTGGACAGCAGGCGCGGTGGAGCTGGCGGCCGTAAGAAGGCTCGCGCTCAATGAAAGCCGATTGGAGTGTTCGGTTCATATGTAAATAGTCAAATTGTTCATGCATCAGATTCATCAGACGACGGCATCATTCCAACTCTAGAGTCTTCCTCCTCGGAGTCGGAGTCGGCGACAGCCACGGGCTGCTTGACGAATTCCTTCGGCCTGTGGAGAAAGTATGCCAATTAGCCACTGGTAAAACTAGATTGCTAGATCGACTCGAACGTACCAGAAAGAAGCTTTTCTCCATGCCTTCTCATCGCGCACAATGTTGATGATCTCCCCGCCAATTTTGTTATCCCGCTCCTCCTGCGCCTGGGTATCAACGACAACATATGATCCACGTTTGATCCAGAAAGTTGAGCGGAACCGGGCAGGTAACTCGACTAGCATTTGAGTCTTGTCGGCTTGTTCGATTAGGTAGATGTTGTTACCGGTGGCCTTGATCGCTCGGACAATTTGTTGGGTGCTGGACAGCTCGTCTGGAGGAAACATCGTTCCTTCGGCCGTAGCCAGGACCTTTCGGCGAGGGGGAGCCATTTCGCGATTGAGTGCTAATTTATAACGCGGTCGATGTGCAATTGAGGTTTAGTGGACTGTCTCGTAGCGCCAATAGGTTGTCAACTCGTTGGTGATTGTGGGAGAATAATTTTCCTTATCAGCGGGGCAGCCTCCGCACTGGTTCCGCCCCCGAACTGCCATGGCGGTGAACTAGAGTATTCCTTTGGTTTAATGCTATGGTTCGCACAATAACTCCTGAGCATAACTGCAGTAAAGTTTATCATGAGCTTTGGTATTCGCGGGGGCTTATCTGATCAAGAAAGGTACTTCGATCAGATTACAGCTGTTGGCGCTTGATCTTGTTCACGCGGAGCAGTCGTCAAGATGCTTGATAATAAAGGCTAGCTTAGGTGGATAGAGATGCTTATAAATTCAACAAGAGACCTACATATGGGTTCAACCCGCTAATTTGATCATTCTTTCTACATTCTCTTCATTGAACCTGCAATTGACCCTCGCTTGTTTATCTTACCCGCTCAAGTCTCTATAGATCTCGGATCCAGCATCGAAAAGGCTTTCCAGGCCACGCGTCTGCAAGTATGGCCTCCTCAAGACTGAGAGCCTTTATCGAAATCGACAGCTCTTCTCAAATGTCGAGTCCGCCTGCCGCAGTGCAAAAGTACAAGCAGGGAGCCTCGCCTTCCACTTACGAATTAGATGAGATCCAGCCACAACAGACCTCGAAAGTGGGTGCCAAGTCCGTCAAACCCTCCACAAGTGGTCCCTCAACGCCTACGCCTACACCCAGCGTATTGGAAAATCGCCTACCAACTCCACCTGCAAATGATGTCACAGAATGGGCTACAGATCTCACGGTAATGTCGTGGAAGACCAAATGGCGACTGTTGGGTTGCTGTCTGATCAATTTCGGCAATGGCATGAACGACAGTGCCCCCGGTGCGCTGATTCCGTATATTGAAAAACATTACGGCATCGGATATGCCGTGGTCTCGTTGATCTTCGTGACCAACGCATTGGGCTTCATCTCTGCGGCCCCCGTTACACATGCCATCGAGAACAAGCTGGGCCGGTCCAAAAGCTATGTGCTCGCCATGTCGCTTCTGGTCACGAGCTATGTGATTATCATCTGCCAACCGCCGTTCCCCGTCGTTGTGGCATGTTTCTTTTTCCTTGGATTCGGTATGGCACTCAGCTTGGCCCTGGGTAATGTGTACTGTGCCAACTTGCCGAATTCCATCACGGCTCTGAGCTGCTTTCATGGTTCCTATGGTCTTGGAGGTACGGTATCACCATTGTTCGCGACTGCGATGGTGTCGAGTGGAATTCGCTGGTCGCTGTTTTATACCATCTCCTTGGCGTTTTCTCTGGTCAATCTTGGTTATTCCTGGTGGGCATTTTTGGAGTATGAGAATGATACCCCCGCCGAGCTTCTGCAGCCAACGGCATCACGTCCGGCGGGCGACAGTGAGCCCTTGACGAGGAAACAGCTGCTTAAAACAGCTATCCGCAACCGCACGACTTTGCTCGGTGCCCTTTTCATTTTTGCCTATCAAGGCGCCGAAGTCTCCACCTCTGGCTGGGTTGTATCTTTCCTCATCAGTTACCGACATGGTGACCCCTCACGGGTCGGATATGTCAGCGCAGGCTTCTGGGCGGGCATTACTGCAGGTCGGTTCCTGTTGGTCTACCCTGCCGCCAAACTGGGCCACAAGATCGCGGTCGTGATCATGGTGGCAGGTGCCGTGGCCTTCCAGTTAATGACCTGGCTCATCCCGAATGTGATCGGAGAGGCCGTGTCAGTCGCAATCCTGGGTCTGCTGCTAGGCCCCGTGTACCCGAGTGCTACAGCCGTGTTCACACAGCTGCTCCCGCGGAAAATGCACATCTCTAGCCTCAGCTTCATTAGTGCTCTTGGCAGCAGTGGGGGTGCGGTCTCGCCCTTCTTCACCGGAATACTTGCCCAGAATGTGGGGACTATGGTGCTGCATCCGATCTGTATTGGCTTGTACGGAGTGATGGCGACTAGTTGGCTTCTTTTGCCGAAAATTTCCAAGCGATCCGAGTAAGGGTTCTGTGGAGATGGGTGGTTGGTGGGGTGGCTTGCTTGTGCGAATGTGAATGTGTTGTAAACTCGTACGATACATGTCCCCTCTTGATGTGGACTGGCGCCCCAGATCGGGTCCGGCTGGCTGGAGATGAGATCTTATCAGCGCTAGGGCTGGGAATGTACGTGATGTGTGCATGAGCATCTCGGCCGGTCTGGAGGGCTTGAGCCCTTGTACTTAGTCGGGCTTGTGTGGCATGTTAGGTGCTCTTGCATATACTTTTCGGGTTCTATAATGGAGTGGGCATAAGACTCGCTACAAGGTTCGGGCTATTTAAAGCTTGTCTCTTCATAGCGACAAAATTTCTAGCCAAGCTCGTTTAGGGTTACATCTAGTTTTTAGCTCGATGTAGTTATTATTATTGTTTTGAGGGCAGAACTACATGTCTTATTGCCAGATGATTAGTGTTGTTACGATGGCGCCACTTTGGACCCTGTTTCTGGCCAACTTAATCCGTCTCCTTCCAACTATTTACCCGATATCCGTTAATAATGAGCATATATAACCCAAGATGGCATTCAGGTGGCAAACCCATTGTAGTTGAAGAATGTGCGACGTAACCGAGCAGAGACACGAGTACATAGCCACGCTACTCAGCCCTTCATGGATCTCCATGTACGCAGTAAGGGGACCAGAGGGCAAGCACGGTCGCACGCCTATCACATTGTAGGGGCAGCGGTGACCCGGTATTAAATGGGATAGAATCTCCAATCATACATCACATTTCCGTCCGATCCTCGTTATCCCGCCAATACAATTCTGCAACATTGATAGGCTGCTGAAAGAGCGCCGAGACAGGCCGACACCTTAGGCACGAGACCTATGTCATCGATGAGCAATGGATCTAATACTGTATGTCACAGAACTGATAGAGTGGATTTTGTCTTGGAGATCGTGCTAGGTTTCATTGGACCTGGGTCTGTTAGGTTTTTCTTTTGAGGCGGAGCAATAGTAGAAGGGGGAGCCTTGAGCAATGAATTTTCGGGTTAGTGTCTCGGAGTAGAGAGGAAAGAAGTGGAAGAAGACGTCCCGGGACGCTCATTTGGGTAAAAGGGCAGCATAGCCTCACGTGTACTTCGGGTACTTTTTAGATGTTTGTACTTTGTAGCATTACTCTATGGATGGCTCGCCACAAATCCATTGTTTGGTAGTTGGGATCGCAACGGGGACTAGTAACAGTATCCATTAATTCAGTCTCCCTTGTTCTTCAACCTTCAAAAGCATAGCGTATTGGACAGTCTAAGCATTACCTAAATAACTTGATTTATTACCTCATTAATAAATAACTACTAATTATTTCCTTATCGTTTAAGGTGATCGGGCGCTGGTCTTGTACATTTTCCGAAGTGGCATTATCCTTACCGTTTTTACCCCCCTCCGTGTCAACAACGAGAGCCCCGCGAAACCCTTCCCACCCAAGTTCCCATCAACCATCTCCTCCACCTCCCTAACCACCTCCTCCCCCCACACCCACACATCCACACCCAAACTTCACGGTCCGCGCTCTCTTCTCTCCCAGATTCTATTCCTATCCTCTTCGCTTCGGATTTGTTTGCTCGGCACCCACACCCCCCTCCTCCGCCCATCATGGACGGCGACGAGCTGATTGCCTCGGTCTACCGCAAGATCGAGCGGGAGAAGGCCCTCATCACCGCCGCCAGTAACATGCGACAGTCCACCGACAATGTCCTAGTGCAACAGCGTGTCGATGCCAACATCCGCGATGGCCGCAAAAACATCGCCTACCTCGAGGAGAAGATGCGAGAGCTGCAGCTTCGTCAAATGGAACGGGAAGGTGGTGGCTCCCCCCATGACTCTCGTCACCAACAGGCTGGAGGACCACCCCTCCCTCCGAAGGATTATCCTGGTTACGCGGGTGGTGAAGGCGATGCGCATTATCCTCAGGGCGGCGCGGGGTCGATGCCTTCGGGCGCCCCGTTCGCTGACCCCCGCCCCTACGCTCCGATCCCCAAGGCGCGGCCAAATTACACAAAGCTCGGTGCGCTCATCACCCCTCCTTTGTCTTGCTATGGAATTCTGGCACGAGGGAAATCTTCCGATGACATTGGAATGCTGACTGGAAAATGATATGTCTCAGATCTCATCAAATATGACACTCCCTATCTCGGCCCGAAGATTCAGCTCATGCTGTCTCAACTCGAGTTCAAGCTTAGCGTGGAGAAACAATACAAGGCGGGTATCGAGAAGATGGTCCGGCTGTACCAGGACGAGGGTGATCGAAAGAGCCGCGCCGATGCCGAAGGCCGTCGCGTTGAAAGTAACCAGAAGATTCAGTTGCTGAAGCAGGCCTTGAAGCGATATGAGGATCTTCACGTTGACATCGAATCTTCCGATGCTGCAGATGGTGTGTCAGAGGGATCAATTCTCGCCGGTGGTCTGATCTCCGACCTAACTAACTTTATTCTTCCCTCGGTATAGATGAGTCGCTTAGCAGCCCCAACATGCGCAAGCCCTTGACCGGTCTCCTCACAATGCGAATTCATGCCGTCAAAGATGTTGACCATGCCACCAGCTCACGATTCTCCCGCGGCCCCGAAACATTCGTTATTGTCAAGGTGGAAGATGCTATCAAAGCCAGGACAAAGGCTACTCGAAACGATAAATGGCTCGATGAATCATTCTCTATTGACATTGATAAGGCGAACGAGATCGAGCTGACTGTTTATGACAAGTCTGGAGACCGTCCAACACCTATTGGTATGCTCTGGGTGCGCATCTCCGATATTGCGGAGGAAATGCGTCGCAAGAAGATCGAGACTGAGCTGAATGCCTCTGGATGGGTTTCGGCGGACAAAATGGATGGGTCGGGCACTCCCCGATCTGATCACCACCCAGGATCTCCGGGCACCTCGCATGGTGGACCCGGCGGTGCCAGCTTCGGTGGAATGGTGCCTCCTGGTGGAAATCCACATGGCGAGAACCCGAATGCGCCTCCGACAGTGATGATTGATTCCTGGTTTGCTTTGGAGCCATTTGGTCGTATCCAACTCCAGATGAGCTTCGGTAAGATATTGATAACTCAAACTTGAGCTCCTTGAATCATCTGCTAATTTTTGATATAGCCAAGCAACTGAAGGATCGCCGTCCATTCGACATTGGTCTCAACCGACAGGGTGCTGTGCGCCAGAAGAAGGAAGAGGTCCACGAAAAGCAGGGTCACAAGTTCGTCACCCAGCAGTTCTACAATATCATGCGCTGTGCGCTGTGTGGAGATTTCCTCAAGTATGCCGCGGGTATGCAATGCGCGGACTGCAAGTATACTTGCCATCGTAAATGCTACCCGAAGGTTGTCACCAAGTGTATCAGCAAGGCAAACTACGAGACCGACCCCGACGAGGAGAAGATCAACCATCGGATTCCCCATCGTTTCGAAGGCTTCTCCAACCTTTCTGCCAATTGGTGTTGCCACTGCGGTTACTTGCTACCGTTTGGACGCAAGAATGCCAAGCGTTGTACCGGTAAGCTAATGATTCTGATTCCAAAACCGACCTTCGAAATCCTATACTAAATTCTTATCTTTGCTTCATAGAATGTGCGCTTACGTGCCACGCTCAATGCACACATCTTGTGCCTGATTTCTGTGGCATGTCGATGGAAGCCGCAAACCAGATCATAGACGCTCAGATTCGCGCAAAGCATCACAACAAATCTACATCTGTCAGTTCTGGTCTCAGCGGTCGTACCCTTCGACCAGGCGGTCCACCGCAAACCCCTCCTAACAATACCGCCCTTTCTTACCCCCACAAACCCACCAACGGCCCCTACGGGGCGCTTCCCAGACTGCCGTCAGCCGAAGCGGTAAGCGCTGCGACTAACTCTTATTTGGCTTCACAGTCACCAACAGTTGCCCTCCAGTCCGGTCGCCAACCGTTGTCACCGAAATCGCCCTCTGCTGGGTCTACTGCACAGAATGCGCCGACCGTTCCCCCAGGACGCCCTGCACAACCCCCAAGTATGTCTCCTCGTGACCATCTTTTGATACCCTTTTTGACTAAATGGACGATTTAGCGGAAGCGTCCCGTCCTCCAGTGCAGCCACAGCAACCATCATCACATGCCCCCTATGACCCAAATTCCTACGTCCCTTTCCAGCAACAGCCTCCGGTTCAGCAGATTCAGAAGCCCAGTGGGCCCGCTTCCTACCCCATGCCTCCGCCGCCCCAGCAACCGGTGCAGCCTATGCCACCCCAGATGCCCCCGCCACACAAGGAGCCAGAGCCCTCTGCTGTCCAGTCCAAGGCTCGCATTGGATTGGATCATTTCAACTTCCTTGCCGTGCTTGGTAAGGGTAACTTCGGAAAGGTCATGCTGGCTGAAACAAAGAGCACTCGGAAGTTGTATGCCATCAAGGTACTGAAGAAGGAGTTTATCATTGAGAACGACGAGGTGGAAAGCACCAAGTCTGAGAAGCGTGTCTTCCTGATTGCCAACAAGGAGCGACACCCCTTCCTGCTGAACCTGCACGCTTGTTTCCAGACCGAGACTCGTGTATACTTTGTTATGGAGTACATCAGTGGTGGTGATCTGATGCTGCACATTCAGCGTGGTCAATTCGGACTGAAGCGGGCACAGTATGTTTTTCTTTTCCGATCAATCTTCCGTTGCTGCGCGAGGTATTAATTTTCCGTGACTAGGTTCTATGCTGCAGAGGTCTGCCTGGCTCTCAAGTACTTCCACGAGAATGGCGTCATCTACCGTGATTTGAAGCTGGACAATATTCTGCTGACCCTCGATGGTCACATCAAGATTGCTGATTACGGTCTTTGCAAGGAGAACATGTGGTACGGCTGCACCACTAGTACCTTCTGTGGTACTCCCGAGTTCATGGCTCCCGAGGTTCGTAGTTCCCCACAAATCATTTCTGCGGTCAAAATACTAACATAGACTCTCCAGATTTTGCTGGACAAGAAGTATGGTCGCGCTGTGGATTGGTGGGCATTCGGTGTCCTCATCTACCAGATGCTCCTGCAACAGTCCCCCTTCCGTGGTGAAGACGAGGACGAAATCTACGATGCCATTCTCGCAGACGAGCCTCTCTACCCCATCCACATGCCTCGCGATTCTGTCTCAATCCTGCAGAAGCTGCTCACCCGTGAGCCCGAGCTGCGTCTGGGCTCCGGCCCCACTGATGCTCAAGAGGTCATGTCGCACGCGTTCTTCCGTAACGTTAACTGGGATGATATCTATCACAAGCGGGTTCCTCCTCCCTTCATCCCTACCATTAGCAGCCCCACGGATACCAGCAACTTCGACCAGGAGTTCACCAGCGTGACTCCCGTCCTCACACCCGTGCAGTCCGTACTGTCGCAGGCTATGCAGGAAGAGTTCCGCGGCTTCTCCTACACCGCCGACTTTGCTTGATTGCGTGTGTTGTCGAAAGCTGGCATGTTATCTTTTTGCCAGAGCACCTGTTCATCCACTCGACAATGACTCGGTTCAACGGGGCCTGACACCGTCGCGTCCGGATCCAAACCGCCGCGTGCGAGGTACTCTACTTCGTAATTCCGCGCTGAATATCTCTATTTCTCTTCAAATTGCCCTGCTCTACATACCCATCGCAGTTGTGTTTGGCTTAGTGATTGGCGTAGACGCCGACTCTAACCGTTACCCTTAAGCATGCTTCGTTTGCTGAATGACATGAGTAATGGAGCAACGCTGTTCCTTTTTTCAACCTGTGTTTCTCATCTGTTTATCTAAATTGCTTGTTTGTCTTGTTCTATCTTTCTATCTCTATCCGGCGAATCGTTTTCTCTTTATTTTTTTCGTTTCCGACGCCGGATCCACGACTGTTCTGCGCGATGCTGGGTTCGTCGTTACTTAGGAGGCCCGAGGTGGTGACTCGGATGTTTCTCGAGCAGATATCGGTCACCCGGATGAATCCACTGGCTGGCTGATTACGAAGGGCATGAATGAATGGGGATGTGGTGCGCTTTCAACAAAAAAAGGGCGAGATGTTGATGACGACGTGGTTTCACGAGTGGATTTGAGGATTGGCGTAGTTTCATCTACTATTTCTCTTCGTTTCTTCATCTTATTTCCCTCCTGTTTTCTTTCATTCAAGTGCACCAGTGCATGTGTTGTCGGGTCTGGCGCTGCGTACCTTTTAAATGCTTCTGTTGTCATGTTGTTGGATGATTATCTGATTCCCATGACTCTGTGAACAAGAGATGCAAATACGAACTAATACATCCTGCTCTGTTTATGTTTAATGGTAGGTACTATGGTTGTAGACCCAAGAAGAGTACTGTAAAGAGGGCATTGGTAACATGGCGAAGTATTCTGCTCCGACCTCGTTCTCGCTGTCATTAGCTAAGAGAGGCATACTCTAGGTAGTAGGGTGATCCATGGAGACCTACTGATTTCTTTCATTATTTCATCTCATTTTTTGTCGATTTCTTCCCATACTGTTTTCCAAAGGCTATTTTAGGCTTCGCTTGTTTCTTTGTTATCACCATCCAACCCATTCTTTCATCCCCCCACCCAATCACAAATTCCAGTTATCCTCCAGGCTCGGGCTTCCATTTTCTCGAGTCCTGATGAATTGGACTCGAGGTTGGCTCGAGAACTCTCGAGTCCAAGATCAAGGTTCATTCTTCGCATTATTTCCACCATGCAACTGGTGGACTTCTTTGTTCATTCAATCTTCTCTGTTCCCATAGTAACTTCTTTCGTCTATAAGCACACCCCGCCTCAATCACCTTCACCTTCAATGCTTTTCTTTTTTTCCTTCTCATACTGCATACTCCTTTGCGCGCAATCTGATTCCACTTGCCGCTAACTTCCTCGAAGCTGAGCTCAACCTTCTCGTCCTTATCAGCACTGTGCGCACCGTCTGTCAGATACAGTCTGGACAATCTCTAGAAATATCGCCTTGTGCCTGTACTTTGTTCTCTATTCTTTGCTCTTGGATCTAGTCTTTGACCAATGGACCACAAGCGCAAGGCTCTGAACGACGACCTACCCACTCCGAATGGGGCGTCGCGAAGCATATGGGTGATGTCAACAGATCCTCCTCTCCAACCTCCAGATACTCCCCATGACGACTATTCTCCGCGGGATATGACTGGATGTCCAGCCTGGTTTAGTAGCACATCAAATCAATGCGAGGCTGAACCGCCTAAAGCGAAGCGAATAAAGAACGAAAACGATAACTCCCGCAACGGAGTTGTAATAGCCGACGACAGCGACAGCGAACTCTTCTCCGCTACACCCTTAGACTCATCTCCCTCCCACAGCGAATACGAATATTCTGAACCCGAATCATACCCCAAACCCCAAGCGCTATTTCCACCCCTGATGCCCTCCCCCGTCGATTTCCCCAGTTCCGAGCGCGCGTCGAAGAGACGTGCGAAGAGGAAGCGGGCTCGAGATTCGGACGATGAAGACCAGAATTATGTCGATGATCAGAATAGCGATGGGGACGAATACGAGTTTGATACACCAGGCGTTATTGATAGAGCGGAACGTGACGATGTCGTCTTCATCCTGAGCAGGGAGAAAGCAAGGCGCATGGCGCAGGCTGTCAAGGTACCAGAGGACACGAAGATGGGCAGCGAAGAGAAGAGTCTATATCTTGATCTCGCCACCCGCGGCTGTTATCCAGTCCTTCCATCGGATTGGAAGAAGGACTTTGCGACACTTCCGGAATCTCTCTTTCCAACGGGGGACGAAGAGATTGACGAAAGCAATTTCCCCTTCGCGGTACAGAAGGGATCCAATTTCTACGCCATTACAGCCTTTCATGAGATTCTCAAGGTACCCGGCCGTGTACGAGATTGCAGGTTGTTGACGGTACGTCCACAAGACGTGGTTAAGAAAGCTATTCGGAGATACTTGCGCTGGGCCGTCACCGACGCCGGCCTGAAGAAAAAGCGCAAGACGACGGCCGTTCACAAGATTGTCGTCCAGGGACGAGACGAAAATACGCTACAGGTCGTCCAGAGATTAATTGCCAGGCTCGAACGTCTGGCCAAGAAACACCAAGATATGTACAGTGGCACTAGGGATCCTTACTGGCCGACTTTGGTCGCATTCTGTCTGTGTGGTCCCATTGTCACTATACTCTCTGTGGACACGGATCCGGGATCTGCCACCTGGGAAGAGGGAAATTCCAACTATCATGCCAAATACATGGGCCAGTTTGATATGTCGGAGGACGATCAGGATGTTTGGAATTCGCTCGCGCTGGCCATTGCGGTTATTCATATCAGGAGGACTATGACACGACTTGCTGATCAATATCCTGACATGGATGGAGTTGCTCAGAGGCGACGACCGGGAGATTCTACAGATGATGAGGATTTGTGAGTTTTTGCTTGTTTGTCTAATGTAAAGTTACAGTGTTCTTCAATTTGATTTTCATATTTTGACAAGGGATCTTGTTGTGTCGTTCGCGTGCGAATTTTATCTGATTTCTTTCTTTTTTTCGGCTTTTGATTTTACTAGACATGGCTTGACGGGACCAGTTCCCCCTTACTGCTTCCATTGTCTTCTGATGAGCGTGGTAAGAAAGTTGTATGACTATTAGCTACATGTTGTCGGTACCATGGTGTCAGCCTCTATGCCGGCACTAGGGAGTCAAGAAAACTAGATTTCTTGTGTGATTAAAACATCCTTCCAAAAGACCATATGTTTAGTGGGCGTGCATGAAAAATGTATGAGAGCCAGGGCTGTGAACCTATAAACTCAGTACGCCAGGACTAGGTTACTAGTGGTTGGTTGAGGGAACCAGAGTATACCTGGATTCTCCTAGGTACCTTAACGGCACGAAAAATATATCTCAGAAGTATGTACAGTGGACAGATCCTCTGGGAAATAATTACCTAATTCAATACCAAACCAGTCATCAAATACATCAGATCTTGTTCATTTATTCGTTTCAGCCAACAATCCTCCACCAAAAAACCCAGAAATGGAAGCCCATTTTCGATCAATACAATATCTTGATGCATGTCACATGACCGGTCCCGCTGTTGACGCTTTTCCCGACTCACAATTCAGGAGATAGATACATCCACATCCTGGGATTCTGCAATGGATGCAGCTGAAGATCGCGACTTGAAGCTCCAGCGGGCCTCAAGTGACCTGGTAACGGAGTTCTCCGCCAAGCTGCCAACGCTGCTCTGGAGGTCTGAAACCGGAACCCCTCTCCGCACCCCACGCAAATGGGCACAAGTATCCAAGACAGAGAAGCTCGTCGCGCTTGTAAGGCCGCACATAACCCTAGGCCCACCCGATCAACTCGAAGTCTTATAGCTAACGGAATTTTGACAGCTTGAACCATTTCAAGAATGGCCTCAGCTTCTGGATCCACATCTGCAGAAGCTGCTGCCAACATTAGTGGATGCTTTCCTGGCGTATCTAGTGAAGCATCGCGGGCAGTATGACGCTCAACCCACAAAGTCTTCACCTAATGCCGCTGTCTATCCCATCCCAAGAGCTATTTGCAGACTCCTCTACACCTTCTGCAAAGTCCGTGGTGTCAAGGTCATTAGTCGGTTTTTGAATAATGAGCCTAAGTACCTGGATTCCATGTTGCGAGCCTTCGTCGAATGGGATGCTCTAGGCCACGCAGACTCTGCCGAGGATCTTGCAGGATCTGAGACACAGAAAATGCAGTGGGAAGAGCGCTATGTGATGCTGGTCTGGCTGTCACATCTTCTTCTCGCGCCGTTTGACCTAGCCTCGTTGTCATCTGATGACATTCCCGTTCCCTATGATAACTTGAAACAGCTGGGTGATATCCCTTCTCAAACTCCCATGGTTGCAAAGTCCCTGCTCTCGCTGGCACTTCATTATATCAACGCTCCTGGCAAGGAGCGCGAGGCAGCTACTGCGCTTCTAGCGCGGCTCGTCTTGCGTGGAGACATGCAATCCCTCGGTCTTTTAACGGGCCTGACGAGCTGGGCTTTTGCTACAATTAATCCTGCACAGAGTGCAGAAGTACCTTCTGTCTACTCATGTATTGGGATTCTCTCGTTCATTGCTCGTTTGGCGGGATCCGGCCATGTCGAAGATTTTGCTCCTTTGCTGAAAACTGTGTTTGACCAAACTCTGGAAATCGTCCAGGGAAAGTCGGACGTCTCTGCAACGATTGAATCCTCTGCGTTGGCTAGGAAGACTGTCGTCAAAATCCTTCGCAACATTACTGTTATGGCTTTGTCTTTGAGCGAGAGAGAAGACAGCTGTATTACGGATGACCAGTTGTCCAGCATTCTGGAAGAAGCAATTGATCATTTCCTGGTTGCCCTTGCGGATAAGGACACCCCGGTGCGGTTTGCTGCAAGCAAAGCACTCAGTGTCATCACCTTGAAACTTGACCCGGAGATGGGCGCAGAGATTATTGAAGCGGTCATTGGCTCATTGGGGGAGAACATCCTTTTCGAAAAAGATGATGGCACTTTAATCACGCCATTCGAAGCCAGAAATGCGGGGATTCAGCTGCTCAAGCGCAATCTAAGCGGTGTTGATGCCCAGCGGTGGCAGGGTTTGATGCTCACGCTGTCACATTTGCTGTTTCGTCGTGCACCCCCAACCCAGCAATTGCCTGATATCCTTCAATCGCTTGTCTCGGGCCTTGATTTCGAGCAAAGATCATCAACTGGTAGCTCTGTGGGAACGGGCGTTCGAGACGCGGCCTGTTTCGGCATTTGGGCACTTTCTCGAAAATATGTCACTGCAGAACTGCAGGCCTTACAGCGTCAGACTATTCCTTCACTCTCTGGGGTAGCCGAGGTCGATGTCTTGCAAAAGCTTGCAGTCGAACTTGTTTGCTCAGCCTGCGTTGATCCATCGGGAAACATTCGCCGTGGCGCATCTGCTGCTCTGCAAGAGTTGATCGGTCGCCATCCCAACATTATCACCGAAGGAATCCCTCTCGTTCAGGTTGTGGACTATCACGCGGTTGCGCGGCGGTCCCGTGCAATGATTGATGTGGCCAAGGCCACTGCTTCCTTGGACCCAATGTACTGGAGCCCATTGATAGAAGCACTGATGCAATGGCGGGGCATTGGCTCTCCGGATGCTGAGTCCAGAAGACAGGCCGCGCGGGCTATTGGTGTTCTGAGCACGCAGCAAAAGTTCAAAACCATCAAAGCTGTATTGGAAAGATTGCTGCGCAAGCTCCCGCGTATACCTCGAAGTGATGTTGAGTCAAGACATGGATGCTTCTTGTCAATTGCTGCCACGGTCGATGCTTACACTCAGGAATGGGAAACCTCACTAGACATGAGAGACACTGTGGAGGCAAACGAGGTTTTCTCCCAGGTCGCTCAGCTGTGGGATATTTTTGAATCGCCATCAAGTCCAACCGATAGAGACTTGACTTCCCAAAACTCTCGCCCGGAGTTGACCTCCGAGGCATCTGCTTGTTTAATCTCGTCACTCTCTCGCTCGACCAGATCGGTCGGACTGCCCCCTCCTTCTGAAGCATTGCTCGACCGCATACTCCATATTCTTTCACTCTGCGTCTCTCGAAGTGATGACATATCCATCGAAAGCTCATCCACCGCTCTGTCCACGCTTTTCCCGCTTCTATCACCATCGAAACAAGAAGAAACTGTACAGGCCTGGTTTTCTCATCTGCACTCCTCGTCAAAGCTACCCAGTGGCCGTGGGCAGATTCTCGCTCTTGGGGCGGTATACAAGAAACTTGAAGGGCGTGCGAACCTGCAGGAAGGTATCATCACGGAGTTGATTTGCTGCACAGCAAGGGAAGAACTCATTGAGAAACGAGTGGCTGCTGTGAAGTGCTTGTCAACGAGCATTTTGCCATATACAGGTACGCTCCCCGCAAATTGAGATAAAGCCGAACAGATTTCGCTGACGGACACTGTAGCCACCGTGGATAAGATTGCAAATAACGTGTTGGATTTCCTCAATGACTACACCACAGATAGACGAGGTGATATCGGATCCCTTATTCGCGTTGAAGCAGTACAGGCAGCAAGCATTCTTTTGAAGCGAGACTCACCCTTGCCATCGGACTCGCCGATCGTGCGAAGCCTGCTTGGCTGCCTGTGCCGCTTGGCATGCGAGAAACTTGACAAGGTTCGGTTGCAAGCCTGGCTTTGCTTGCAACATTACTGGGAGACAATTTCTGTCGACTTCCCTCCGATGCAAAGGTAATGGCACCCAACTGTCTACCCCTGGCTATACATGACTAATGGAAAGTAGTAAATACGAGCACTTTAGCAATGTATCCTCACAAGGGTACTTTGACCAGATTCTGACTCTATACTCCATCGAGTGGCTGCGCCAACCGCTGCTCCAGGGTCTGGCAACCTCGGCGACTGCAGGCGCTGAAGGCCTTGTTCGATCAACTCGTTCAGCTCTTATTCAATTCCTCACTTCGCGAGAACCTATTCAGCGTCAGGCCGTCCTGGTCAACATCTTGCAGGATCTGTCTTCCGTTCTCAGTGCCAACCTTCCAGATGATCGTTACGCGATCCCCATCCTTGACCTTCTGTCGTTTTTGATAGACAGTTTTGTAGCTCCTAGCCAGAGCGACGCAGACCCTGTCTTCCGGAAGGTATTTGTCTTGGTGCAGAAAGCCCATTTCCGGTCATCCAATATCCAGCGCCTGGAGTCTGCTGTGAAGGTTTATGCGGCATTATCGAGGCTGGACTCCTTGCGCACTGATATCTTGAAGAAGATGACTGGGTTATTGCTACATCCATTCCCGAGGGTACGTTGCGTTGAAGCATGTTTTCAGTAAAGTCTCACTAATGGGTTCCTAGGTTCGAGCAAGTGCAGCAGATTATCTCTTTATGGTGGCTGAGTCGGAGATAGTCAAGTATGAGGACTGGTCCGCACAGCCGAAAGAATTGAAGGCGAAAGTAGAGGAACTGCGAAGTGTTCTGGTGCCGACGAGTTGAGGATTTAGATAGATCACAGCCATATAACGAGAGATTGCTTTTACATTGACGAAGAATTAGAAATAAAAAATAACCCTGAGAAAGATGAGCGGAGCAGTAAGACTCAGGGAGGATAATGATGTTCTTATCAGACTAAAAATATGAAATGCAAAAAGAACAGGTGTGCATCATCCGTGAATCGAACACGGGCCTCGTCGATGGCAACGACGAATTCTACCACTAGACCAATGATGCTGGTTCATGTAAGAGGCGGCGAATTTTAGCATTATGATCCTAAAATATCCTTATTAAGACCTGCCTGCTCCTCCGCCGAACGGGAAGCAGAGCTCAACCTCACTCAGCCTTCAGAGCTCCAACCATCGCGATCATGGCAGCCGCGGGTCAATCCACGGGGAGTGTCCCCCCAAACTCCACGTACGTCATTCTATTCTTCACCTTGCTTTCACTTGACCGCTAACCTGTCCTTACAGTGTCTACGTACGTCCTACATAGGGCCTCGATCCTACCACGATCTCCAATCCGCGCGCAGCCCACAGACTGACATATTCATTGCACTGAGAATAGGTTCGGAATCTAGAGGAGCGCATTAAGATTGAACAACTCAAGGTCGCCTTGGAGGAGATCTTCTCTGAGTTTGGCAATGTGGTTGAGATTATCGCCAAAAAGAATCTCAAGGCCAAGGGGCAGGCATTCATTGTCTTCGATAGCGTGGATGCTGCGACCCGCGCTATTGAGGATGTGAACGGATTCGACCTCTTCGATAAGCCCATGGTCTTGGATTACGCGAAGACTAAGAGTGACGCGACGGTCCTCCGTGAGGGTGGAAACGATGAGCTGGAAGCTCACAAGCGGAGGCGTCTAGCTGAGAAAGGTGCGTGGCGGGCTCTTTCTCTATCTCTAAACTTGACGCATCACTTCATTCTTGGAATCTAATTTTGCTAACCACGACTCTTTGTGTCTACAGAGCGGAAACAAGCCCACGAAGCCCTCGAAGCTCAGAAGAAACTCAAGCGCCCCGCGGCTCCTGCAGAGAGCGCCCGCCCAGCGAAGACGACAAAGGGTGCCGGCCTCAAGCCTACCACTGGCGCCACGGCTGCAGTTGTTCCGGACGAATACTTGCCTCCCAACAAGATTCTGTTCTTGCGCGATCTGCCGGACGAGGCCAGCCAGGAGGGTCTTTCCGAAGTCTTCGGCCGTTTCGAAGGCTTCCAGGAAGTCAGATTGGTGCCCGGCCGCAAGGGTATTGCCTTCGTCGAGTACGAGACCGAGGCCGGTGCTATCAGTGCCAAGGAGGCTACTTCTGGTATGGCCATGGGCGACCAGAACAAGCCTATTCGCGTTACATACCAGAGACAGTAGTTGCTGCTACGATAGCCACAGCGACAAAGATATCCGTGTTTTTACTATTTTGTTCGTTTCTTTCTTCCGGCGTCTTGGAGGGTCCAATGGAGACTTCAGTCAATATTCACTATCTTACAATACCATGAGGCTCGATCTTGCCGTGGCTGGCTCAGAGTATATATCTAGTGTATGGAGTAGTCAAATGGTATTTCCGGAGATAAGCCGACTAGGTAAACAAGGCTTGCAAGACACATTGAAGGTTGAAAGTAACATGATACAATTAACAAGAAAATGCAAGAGAGGACGAATAGTCCGAGGTAAAACAAGGCGAGAGATAAAGAACCTAGAAAATGACATCGTTATCCTCCTGCTCGCCTAGGACATCGGCAGCTTCGGGAGCAGCCTCGGGCTCCGCAGCAGCAACGGCACCCGCTGCTTCTTCTGCCTCTGCCTTTTTCCGTGCTGCGAGAATTTCGGCATCAGCGGCAGCGTTGTCTCGCTGCTTCTTGCCGGAGACCTTCTTGAGGCGGTAGAACTCCTCTCGATCGAGTTCGTCAAGCTCGGAGTTGATGTCTGTATGCTTGTGAGTTTCTAGAAGACAATTCTCTAGCAGGAAGAGAGTACAAACATTTGATGGTGTTTTCGGTACGAGGGATGATGACGTGCTCGCTATAAATTATTAGTGTTGGACATGAAAGTCATAATTTGCATGACTTACATCGCGTTTACTATATCAGAAATGCGTTAGCAAGGTTTACACCAAACGACCGTTGTTCTGGGATTCTGCTCACCTCTTCGGTTGACAACCTTGATAACCTCATCAAGAATCAAGAATGCAGTCTAAAATTTGTCAGACAGAGCTCATCACTCAACCTCGTAGCTCCCATACCTGTAGACTGGCCAGCTCCACCAACGTCTCCACGGCCCGCGCATATGTCTCTCGGCATCGCTGGATTTGCTGTCCTCCTTTGCCGAGACCAGTCAAGGCAAAGTCATTGACACCCTCCTGAGTGTAGCTCTCGAATTGTGGTAGGAACACTCCGGAGACGTTCTCTTGCTTGGCTCGGACCCGGAATCGAGCCTGCTTGGCCGACTCCTGAACCTGGTATCCAATATCTCCACCGACGGCATAGCTGACTTCGGCAAGCGAGAAGGCGGCAATCTGCATCACCCGGCCCATCTTTCGTTTGGCCTCATCGATACGTCTTGTAATTTCTGCCCGCTGGAATTAGCTTCCGCGGGGTGTGGGGGAATGCGGAGGACGGAGTGTATATAGTCATACCTCGGAAACGCCTAGTCAGGAAGAAGGGATATTAGCTGGAGTTCGAATCTCAATTATGACACCATATACATACTTTGTCAAAGCTTCACTCTTGCGCTTAAGCAAGCTGTGGCCCGTCTCTGCCCCCTTCAGCTTGCTCTTCATCAACCCCAGCGACTGGCGAGTCGGGAAGACTGGCTCTCGGCCCTGGTAGTGATATTAGGTTAATCGCAGAGCTAGACAAAGGTAAGAAGCACACTCACTACTGCACCCGACATGATGACAGCTTGGAATTCCCAATGTTGGCGATCAGCGTAGAAGCAGCCACATTGATATGACGCCGCGCCGATAACTAAAGCTCCACCGCCCACTCGATGCGGTTGCTATCACGTGATGAACATACGACGATTGCCGCAGTTTCAACTTTCAAACACACGCGCCAACTCGTGTCTTTCGCCCCCGCCTTTCTCCTATGCTGACCTTTTGCTTTGTGTGATCGGATCCCGCTCGAACGGAGTGGCGCAATGCCAGGGACGCTTTTGCCTCCGAGATCACACCGGCAGCACGCACAGATGGATCGAACATCTGCGTCCCGGCCGGACTTCTACCTGATTGTATGTACCTATTGGAAATGCTGCTGGGCTGTGGTGCTAACTGAGATCTTTGGCAGACCGACCAGGATACGGTTTACGAACAAGATCTGCTGCGCGATGCTGGTAGTGTCAAGCCATGGCTTGCCTATATCGAGTTCAAACAGCAAAATGGCACTCTTTACGAACAAGCCTTTGTACGTCGGCACCCCTCCCTTTGCCCTGCAGTCTTGAAACTACCTCTAACATTCCTTCTTGGGGTTCAGGTTATGGAGCGTGCCTGTCGAAAGTTGCCGCGATCATATAAGCTATGGAAAATGGTGAGCCGTCTTTCCCTTCTAATGTGAACGAGAATGATTGAACTGACTTGCATTCACTGTAGTACTTGGAGTTCCGCATGAAGCATTTAAAGGGCAGGAATCCCACCGTCTACCGCGCCGAGTACGTCAAGGTCAATGCTCTTTTCGAACGAGCTTTGGTCCTCTTGAACAAGATGCCTCGCATTTGGGAGATGTACCTGTCCTTCTTGCTCCTCCAACCCTTGGTGACACAGACCCGGCGAACATTTGATCGCGCCCTACGTGCCCTACCCGTCACCCAACACAACCGAATCTGGAGACTTTTCAAGGGCTTTGCGCGATCTGCGTCAGGACCTACTGCCGTAAAGATCTGGGCTCGGTACATGCAGATCCACCCCGAGAATGCGGAAGAGTACATTGAGATCCTGATTGAGATGGGCCAGTACACAGAGGCTGTCAAGGTGTTCATGGACATCTTAGACAACCAGCGGTTCCAATCTAAGAATGGCAAGAGCACTTTCCAGCTCTGGACCGAGATGGTCGACCTCTTGGTCTCTAAGGCCAAAAAGATTGAGACCGGTCCTCAAGTTGGAATTGATGTCGATGCCATTCTCCGCAGCGGAATTGAGCGATTTGCGGACCAGCGAGGAAAACTTTGGGCTGGCCTGGCTACTTACTGGATCACAAAGGGTAGCTTTGAGAAAGCACGAGATGTGTTTGAAGAAGGAATCACAACCGTCATGACGGTACGAGATTTCACCCTCATCTTTGATGCATATGTCGAGTTTGAGGAGTCTATTATCGGCAATCTGATGGAGGCTGCAGCTGTTCGTTCAGAGAAGGGCAAGCTTGATGAAGAGGCTGACTTTGATCTGGACCTTCGCATGCTGCGATTTGAACAATTGATGGACCGACGGCCATTCCTGGTCAATGACGTTCTGCTGCGCCAAAACCCGCACAATGTCATTGAATGGGAGAAGAGAGTGGCTTTGTGGAGTGACAACAAGCAAGAAGCTGTCAACACTTACACAGCTGCCATTGCGGCCATCAATCCTAAGAAAGCCCATGGAAAGTTCTCCGAGTTGTGGGTTAACTATGCCAAACTTTATGAGGATGGTAGCGATCTAGAGACCGCAAGAATCATTTTCGACAAGGCCGTAAAGGTCCCCTTCAAGTCTGTGGCTGAGCTTGCCGAGACCTGGTGTGAATGGGCGGAGATGGAACTTCGCTCGGAGAACTTTGACCGGGCCGTTGATATCATGGCCAAGGCGACACAGGCACCTAAGAAGTCTACCGTGGACTATTTCGACGAAAACTTGTCCCCACAACAAAGGGTGCACAAGAGTTGGAAGCTGTGGAGTTTCTATGTTGATCTTGTCGAGAGTGTGTCCTCGCTGGAAGAGACCAGGAAAGTCTACGAGCGCATTTTCGAACTGCGTATTGCGACACCCCAGACCGTTGTCAACTACGCAAACCTTTTGGAAGAAAACAGTTACTTTGAAGATTCTTTCAAGGTGTACGAGCGTGGCCTGGATCTCTTCAGCTACCCGGTGGCCTTTGAGCTTTGGAATCTGTACTTGACCAAGGCTGTGGACCGCAAGATTGGCATTGAAAGACTTCGAGATCTCTTTGAGCAAGCTTTGGATGGATGTCCGCCCAAATTCGCCAAGCCGCTGTACTTGATGTATGGTAATTTGGAAGAAGAGCGAGGCCTTGCCCGACATGCGATGCGTATCTATGAGCGCGCGACTCGCGAAGTTTCGGATGAGGACCGATTCGAGATGTTCGAGTTCTACATCACCAAGTCTGCCTCCAACTTCGGCCTTACCTCCACGAGACCGATCTATGAGCGGGCTATCGCGGCTCTGCCAGACCAAGAGGCCAAAGAGATGTGCCTCAAGTTTGCTGAGATGGAACGCCGCCTTGGTGAGATTGACCGGGCGCGTGCCATCTATGGACACGCATCCCAATTCTGCGATCCTCGGACCAATGCGCCCTTCTGGCAGAAGTGGGAGGCGTTCGAAGTGCAACATGGAAACGAAGACACATTCAAGGAGATGCTCCGCATCAAGAGAAGTGTCCAGGCTCAATACAAGTATGATCTACCCATTGACCCCACCTTTTTTCAAATTCTAATTACTGACCTATTTCCAGCACCGACGTCAATTTCATCGCCTCGCAGGCTATCGCTCGCAGTCAGCAGCGTCCTCAGGACGGTGTACAGGGCGAGGGCGAGGATGCCGAACGTGCCGATGCCATGGCTGCATTGGAACGCGAGGCTCGTGCTCCAGTGGGCTTTGTTGCCGCCAGCACTGGACCCGAGGGGGGGCAATCGCCCTCCCCCTGCAGGCCAAGAACAGCCTGCTGCACCGGCCAACCCGGATGCCATCGATCTCGACGACGACATGGACGACTAAGAGACCCAGAGGTGTTTTTCGAAACTAGACCATGGGAATCCACAATTACCAGACTGGACGCTAAATCCTTTCAATTACCATCATCAACCTCTGTCACTAGTATTCCTTTCTTTCTTCTCTCGTATAAGTACCATTGCAACGGATGTCACTCCGATTTTCTTTTTTCTCCACCGGTGTTGTGCGCCACATTTTGTCTCTGCTTTCCAAGGGGTTTATTTTCTCTTTTGCTGACTCGAGCGTCGTGCTCGAGAATGAATGTTTACCACTTCGTTGATCACTTTCCGCTAGCTGTTTCATCGCTTGCGATACCTGCCCCCGCTAGGGCATGTTTCTTGTATAGAGTATCAATTCAGGATTGAAATTCTCCTTTTCATACTGGCAATTCGTAGCGCTCCTATGCACCTAGCGACTATCTACGGGACAAAGGTAGTCTACAGTAAGGCCACCCAATGGCCAACTCTTTCAACAGCATGCACGTATGTACGGAGTACTGGGAAATGAACTCGACCTGCTATTTTCTCCTTGGCACGAATGGCTTTCGAGAGTGCCTTTCACAATTGAGAAAATCGGCAGACTTGAGTGAGATTCAGGGCGCACTGAGACCCAAACAAAGAAACGAGGAGAGTTTCATACTGGGGCTGGTACCTCAGACCCACGAGCCCGCCCAAGCCCACGAAAAGCCACAGTACCGCGTGATCAAAGTGAAGAAAGAGAATTTTTCTTTTGCGTACTTGATAGCCTTAGTCTTCGGATCTAGCGGTGTTCTATGAAGTCGAAGCGGCGGCAACATTTCAAAATCGTTTTATCATGCGCGAGTTGGGTGGGAGGCCTTAACATAATGCATGTTCTATGGAGGAAGACAACCTACAAATTTGGAAGACATTTGACAGGTCATTCTAGTAGAAATTTGGTTAGATAGAATTCTAAAGGGATTGACGTTGTACCATATCGGGGTTGTTTCTTTGGAAATTCGAGCACTGGGGCCCATATCCCAGTCAAAGACTGATTGAGGTCTTCTGGGTATGCCCCACTTCAAAGAAAACATAGTATTTGATTAAAAAAACGAAAGAAGTGGAATGAGTTGAGCGAACAACTGACGGGCTTAAAGAATTGGGGAGAAAGCATGAAGAAAGGGATTACATTGAGGTATGCTGCGGCCGAATGACTCGATTGGAGGCATAAGCATCTGTTCTCTTCGCCCCAAACAATGGATTTATCGAGTCCTTTCCCTCCGCTAGCTAAGCCACGCCTCGTTATTCCAGCCGAGTACGGGCTCGGATATTGCTCAAAACCCAGAATATATGTTTGAACATACTGGTTCTTGATCTACCCTTTTTACCGTCATTGTAGAAGTAGATAGCACTAGATAACCTAAGACTCATCTGACAAACCTGTGAGGATGGCTAGGCTATGTTGTTCAAGAAATTCTTTCATGCCCACTAGAGTTTTGTTTGGTTGACAAGGGTGTAAGCATACTAACTGAACTTGAGCGGCATTGAGGACTCGAGGACTAATTTTTCTTTGAAGTCGCGATAACCATAGCCATGTAACTTTGAGCTTGGCTATCAATCAATAAAATTGGATGTGGAGCCTTGCTGGTTCTTTGAAAGGACTTGTAGCCCAAGAGAGCAAGTGCGACTTCGCAACAATAAGTAGACATCTCCCTCGATAACTAGTCCGTGAGAGAATTACAGAATGGTAGACCAATCTGGCCCTCAGATGACATTGAGTTACAGACATAATGGAAGAGGATCATGACAGAAACAATTTCTTAATCTGTTCCTATCACAGATTTAGTCTCATGAACTATAGGAATTGACAGGGAATACGGGTTCGTTGGACTCTCGCATCTGAGCCATTTCTTTTAGCCAAGTCTCCTTTGAATGATCCGCCATCTACACCTTATTCCTCGAGGCTATGCGACTTGCTTTGTTCTCAAATAGCCCCGATCCACAGAAGTCAACCCTTAGCTACCGAAGTATTATGGATTACACTACCTCTGCATTGCGGAAATAGCCTTTTCTTTGAGAGAGAACCCCTGCCATGAGGGTTCCCTGCGCCCCGAATAGAAGCTCGAATAGGCGCGAAGGATATCAAGCATAAATAGACGTGAGGCGCCAGTAATCGAACCCTAGTTTTCATTTCATTCAATTCAAATCAAGCATCTTGAAGAACACCTCCCTGTCCGTTCCTTAGCTGGAAATGTCCACCAGAACGAGCGTAGTACGTGGGAAAGCAGGCAGCAAACGCCGGCAATCAACCGTGCCAATCCGGAGAAGCCAACGCCAGAATGCCGGGAAATTGCCGGGTTTCTACAATGAGAATATTCTTGCAGGAAAGCGGAAAAGGTTTGATATACAGGATGGCATGATTGAGCCCTTACCTCCGCCCACTTTACTGTTGACTCAGTCCTATGTGGATGTACTCAAAAAGATGCGTCCCGAGGCTCCTCAACGACCCCCACGGCAGACATGGCCGACCCCGGAAACACCGATTACATGGCCTAACGATCCTAATATTCCCAAAGACTGGACCTCTGAGGAAGTTGATCTTGACCCTGGGTATGTTTCCTTTCTTGTAGAATGAGCTGGGCTTCAGTATGATTTGCAGATCCAGGGCTAACCACACCCCCCCCCTAGTGATCTTGACGCGCAGCTGGTTCGAGTTGACGAGCGAATTGCCAATAAAATCCTACCGCAGATGTTCGAGCAGAAGAAAAAGCAATTGCTCAGGCTCAAGGCAGAACAAGAGTAAGAAATAACCAGTCCAGCGAAAAGCTCACGGGAGATAGTTTGGCAGGGTGCTAATGACCGAGTTTTGTTCTTAGTGCAATGATCGACTCAGAGAAACAGTACCCCGGACTCAGTATGGACGTTATACGACGTCTACATGATCTCAAACATATGCAAAAGCAACTCGAAACTCGCGGGAAAGATCCCTGTGACATGCTACCGAATATCAAGGCTATCATCCCCGCGTACCGAACAAAGCAGTTGGAATGGACCTCCGGCCTAGTGACCTACTGGTCCGATGGAAAAAAGCTTTGCGAGCCACGTCCTTTCCACTACGAAGAGTTTCTCGAGATTAATAAGAAGCATAACGGACACACGGGCTTCTGGGTAGAAGGGGTAAGTACCTAAATCCCTCCTACCTAGCCGGACTCATTCCAGATATCTGATTTTGTGGATATTTAGGTATTTCCATTAGGACCTCAACGGCAACAACCCGTCTTGGCACAAGAATATTCTGCCTCTGGAGGAAGCTGGCTTAGGGATGTAAGTTATGGTTTTAACAGGCCAGCAGGTTCTAAAATATGGACATTTGCTGATTAGATCTTTTCCCCTTCCGGGGAAAAGAGTTAGGTATACTTGGCGCTACGATTCCCGAACAATCGTCAAACGCAGATACAGTTCTTGTTTATGGAAGATACAGGGGCATCATACATGAGTATGTTCATTGAAGATTTTGACTTGTTGAAACAAGCTTCGGGTGGAGGCATCGCTTCGACGCCGCCTCTTTTGGGGGCCATGAACGTCGCCGGATTCCAAGGTGGTGCAGGCGACCTATACCAGATTCGGGCGCTAGAGGTCAATATGGCTTCTGATGGGAACGGCCGGTTGATGACTGCTTGGGATTGGATGCCGGTGATGATTTACGAGAATCCCGCGCATGAAAGCAGGCTCTCCGGCCCATATATTCACTACAAGTTCTATACGGGGTCCGCTCCCGATGGTTCAGGGAAGGGGTATGCGTTCGATCTAAAGGGCGGCTGGAATGCGAAAGTGCCCACGGTCACCGACGTGAGGCTTGCCCGACAGCCCCAATTCGGCGGCCCCTTTACGGGCTCCGCCAATGCGACTCAGGCTTTCTTCAACGCAGGGAGAACAATAATGCCGGGGGCGTCCACAAACATTCTTGGAATGAACAACTTCGTGGGTCTCCCTACTCATCCTCCAAAAAGGGCCCCTCCGGGCTTACCAGTTGGCCAAAATCCATCACGTCTTCCTCAACCAGCGCCTCAGCAAGTGATACCACCACCAGGAGGAGGTATAGGAGGAGTACCAGGAGGAGTACCAGGAGGAGTACCAGGAGGAGTACCAGGAGGAGTACCAGGAGGAGTACCAGGAGGAGTACCAGGAGGAGTACCAGGAGGAGGACCAGGAGGAGGACTAGGAGGACTTCCTGCAGGATTTAAAATCCCACCAGGAGGTTTTGTCTATGTCCCAGGAATGACACTACCACAAGGAGTCCCACCACCACCAGGATTCCCACCAGGATTCCCACCACCGCCAGGAGGAGGAGGAGCATAGGAAGTAAGGCTTTCCCCCCTTTTGACTACTCGTTGCCATCTATAACTCCAGTTTTGTCAGTTCATGTCAATCGTTCTCTGTGTTTTACGCATCTTCGTCGTCTGTCCAGTCTCAGAAATAAACTCCCTTTGATTATGAACTTAGTCCCGGTAAAAATGAATTCCACCACACGCGCTTTATCTACACAGGAAGATTAGAAAACAAACAAATGATATCACGGACAAAGGGGGCATTTTGCACAAAGGGATCATCACCCCCATCGCTTTCTATATATGAATGCAATAAAAAGCTTGAAAAAGAGGGATAGTATGAGAACCATAGAACCACAATCCATAAGAAAAACCGGGAATTTCTTTTTTGGCCTATGATGAGGCAACTTGCTCGGATGCAGAGTGGGCAACGGCAGGAGTGGCTTCCGTGGCTTCACTGCCAGCTTCTTGAGCCGACGGTGCTGTTTCCTCGCTTTTAGCAACTTCACTGGCCGGTTGGGACGGCGACTGCGCAGCTGATCCTGGCTGGACCTTTTCGGGTTCCTTGGCAGCATCCGGGAAGATCTCGATGAAAAGGCCCGGCAGGAATCGCTCCAGGCGCTTACGAGTCTCCATCCACATCTCCTCCTTGCTAGGGTCCTGCGATGGAGGTACCAGATATCCACCATCGGCCATGACAAGCAGGATATTCTTCAAGCTTTCGGGAATGGCTTCCTCCAGACTATCGCTCTGGCCGCTGTTCATCATGCGGTCAAGTATATCCAGGATTTGGAGCCAAAGAGGAAGCATGCCCTCCCGGTTGGGAAGTTGATCGAGGAAGCGCAAGAAGATTTTGCAGACCAAGGTCGCCGCCTGCACTCGAGTCTCACCCATGCCGTAGGGGTCGGAGTGGTAGACTTCTGGCTTGAGTAGGCGCAAGATGAGAGGGAAGAGAACCTCATCGAAGATCGTGGCCCACTCCTTGTCGTCACCAGAAATCAATTCAGCAGACAGAAGAGCCCGTTGCAGAGTAGAAATGGCATGGTGGCGAATATCACGACATGGGTTGGTGCATTGGCCACGAAGAGATTCGAAAATGGGAGACCAGTACGCAGACCAGGCTAGATGGTAATAACGGGTCAGAATTTGTTCAGGGAATGAACATCGGAGAGAACTGACCTTCACGCTCTTCAAGGTGGGACTGCTTGATAAGCGCAGGAACCCGCCCAGTCAGGTGATATATCAAACCGATGGCTTTGATGCCGCGAGAAACGATTTGATTTTCGCTACCGGTGAGTTAGATTGAGTTCCAAAGGGCTGAGAGAAAGGCGGAACCGTACCTTGGCTTAGGCTGTTTGACACCCTTGTTCCGTCGAGCATGGACATCCCTTTGACGCTCATCGATGGAACCGACGTGGCCTGCACTCACAAAGTCATTTGCCAGAGCAACGGCCGATTCGTAGTTGTCGGCCGTGACAATGTCGGGCATTGAGTGCACAATACTCTCAAGCAATTCAAACACCAGAGGAGCGGCCTCTTCATGTTGGTGTAGGCGTTGCAAGATGGACCAGAAGTCAGGTGATATGGTAATCTCGTTCCTGAGGCGGCCAGTGCGGGAGATGCATCGGGACAGACCCTTGACCGTCGGCACGGCGACGGTCTCCAAGACATCTTGATCATAGCCAGAGATCGCGTGGAGGACGACTGGTACTCGCAAGAAATGCTGATCCTGAGAGTTTGTTAGTTTGAGGAAGAGAATCCCATCAATCATTTGACGGATACATACATGACTCAGTCTGAGCAGGTTAAGCAGGTAGGACACAATACGAGATACGGTCAATGGATGAAGGTTCTTGGCATCACGAGTCAGGGTCTGGAGGGTGGTTGCCAATGATTCGCCGAGGCTCTCGAGAGTTTTGTCGTCACGCAGAGTGAGAACGGTCGCCAGCTCCAAGAGGAAGATCATAGATGGATCATACTTGGGCTGATTAGGGTCAGCTCTACTGGAAGGCCTTGAGACGGGACTCGGGCGTTCAGGTTTCACAACAATGACGGCGGGTGCGTTCTCTTCGGGCAGTTGAGACAGGAGGGCTTGTACAAGCGACTCCAACGACGATAAAGGTAGAGATCTTGGCGATTGTCAGCAACTCGGCTCATCATAAAGGCCGAAAGATACTTACTTGATGTTAGCCAAGATGTCGGGAATAGAGCATGCAGTGACGCAGTCCACGGTGCAAAGAGTGTTGTCAAGCTCTTCATCCGATGGCTCTGGAGGATCATCGGCTGCATAACTTGACAGATAGGAAGTGAAAGCAGACAACAAGCCGGTCTCGTTACCCCTTCCATCGCGGTCGACCACCTGTGATGGCGGCTGCAGGGGAATCGGTGAGATATCCAGCTCAGCAGTCAAGTTGGAGTCGAATGGCGGAATGAGAGAATTTATAAAGAGGTTGCTGAGAATGCGGACAATGTGCTCCCAACCTTGCTTGGGCGTGGACTCATTACCCGCCAAAACTCGGAACAGTACCACTGTGGCAAGTTGTGCTCTGAAGTCTCTTCCGAACTTCACAGCCAATTCACTGACCATCACGCTCTTCTTTCCTGCCTGCACTTCCGTGTTGAGCGCAGTGCTCGGAGGCTTATTGGTTGCCAAGGTGCTAATCGATGCAAGGGAAGAGACAATACGATCAAAGGACTCTGTCAGACCATAGCGGGCAGCGATTTGAGCACACTGGTCAAATCCATTGACCACGCGGGAGTAGACGGCGTCGTCAGAAGCAGACATGAAAACGTAGGAGAGAGTAGCTACAACCGGTCTCCAGGTTGCTTCAAACATCTCTGCATCGTACACGTTGGTCTCGCCCACCACCATTTCACCGGCAGTAGACGACTTCAGGAGAAGCTCCTTCCAAGCATAGTCGAACGCGTGTTTGTTCTCATGCTCATCAGGCAGAATGATCTCATTTTCCTTGATGGAGTCGTAAATTTCCTGGAGGAATTCCTCTGCAAAGTCACTGCCACTATTGACCCCACGAAGATTTCGGGCAAACGCGGGGAAAGACATGCGGTTTTGCGACTTGACGTTGGGGTTATAGAGTTCAGTGTTCAGCATGATGATTGCATAGGTCAGGATATAAAGTGCGTCTTTGTCCGCAATACCTTCGGGCTGCGCTTTCTCCATATAATGCTCTGAGAAAGTAGTCACAATTCGTTCAATCAAGGGTGACTCGCCGGGCAAGCGGAACGAGCTAAGCAGTTCTCGAAGTGCTTCGACCACGTTTCTCCCCGAGAAATCGAGTAGATCGACAAAGGCTCCCAGCAACTCTTCGTTGTCTCGTTTGGAAATAAAGTCACCAAGTACCTTCTTTGACAAGCGTCCTGTTCCCTTAAGGAAGCGGGCAACCAGCACGGGGTTTTTGGCGTCTTCGATAATCCCATGACTTGTGAGGTAAGCAATTCCTGCCTTGGGTTCCTCGTTGAACATTTGAGCACCCTTGATGATGAGCTTCTTCGTTTTCCGTTGGCTTCGAAGGCTATCCAACGGAGGATAGTTCCCTTGTACCGGCTCGTCGTCCATACGATCATAAAGGAACTGTATATAGCCCAGGAGAGCATCGAGACACAGCGGGGGCACGTTTGTTGTACTCCATGTTGCGGAATCTGGGAAGGCGTTGCGCGACAACAACCCGATCATGTCTTCACACAAGTCGGCCCGATCAACTTCACAATCATAATTGACGAAAAGTTCGACCATAAAGCTAGGAATCCGTGACAGAACTCCTATGCTTTCAACCATGGCCTCCCGAGCTTCTGGTTTTCGAGAACCCCCTTCAAGGCCAAGCTTTTGACGATCCTTCACGGGGACTGGAGTGGACCGGCCACTATTGGTTTGGGAGGACGGCTGCTTGACTAGCTTGGGTGCCTGTGGTACCCCTTCGTAAAGCGAGGGGTCAATGCCTGCTTCCCGGGGTATCTCCACACGGGGATGAAGACAAGCCACCAGATAAGAGAGGTACAATTCTTGCTGCAGCTTCAATACAGACCGACATGTTGACAATAGAGTGCCCGCGACTCTCAAAGAGCCGGTGAGAATAGCCAGCTGTTCCGAACGAACCAATTGAAATAGATAGCGGCAAAGATCATCCTTAGCCAAAGCAGCCAAGCTGGGATGTCGAGCAATAGATGGACCGGCCACTTCCAAAGCAACATCAATGATGCGCAAGGCCATCACTCTCATTGTATCGGTATGTTGGCGGTTGTGAGGATCGAGGAGATCGATTAAGACGCGGAATAGCTCTCGAATCGAGGGTAGAGAGTAGGGCCGGATCTCACCGTCACTGTCGTCTTGCAAGGTCGGTGGTGCAGTGGCCGCAGCCGTAGCCCCGGTACCTGCTTGTTCGGGTGAGCCCTCCCGGCTGGTGCTGTCTCGCTCTGGAGCTGCCGTGTCCGAACTCATTGCTGACTGATGCTGCGATGTCACGGTATCTCCATTCACAGATGGGTCCATCTTCAAATTCGATTCATCCTTCTTCACACGCTCATCTGCGAACGGGTCGGGGCCCGGGGGCACTTCTTGATCAAGATGTGACAGCCGCATAAATATGACTTGACACATGTTGACCATGGCCATTTCTGCAGACCTTCGCAGCACTTCTGACAAGCGACCTTGACAGCACATGCTCAGCCCCGTCTCCATCATCTCGCAGACGCTCTCATCGCCCAGAAGCTCTCCTTCCGGCCGAGACAACATGCCCTCCATCAACTTCAAGATCCGTAGTAGCACAATTTCGTCTGCGGAAGAATCGCTCGCTTCGAATCGACAGTGTGTAATTGCAGCCGAGAGGAGCTGCATGGCCATTGGTAAGCGGGGGGAGTCTCGATTGATGATGTTGTACGAAAAGAACTTTGTGATGGCAACCAATGCGAGGGAGGTGATCGCGGCGGAGGTCGAGGAGGAGCGAATGACCTGTAGGAATGGGTGAAGGAGGGCTGGAGTATCGAATGTTCGGATATCTTTGCAGCCCTTGAGATCACTCCGCAGGCGGGTGAAGGCTGATATCAACGGGTTGTCCTGCATGCTCTTGCCTTTCTTGCCTCGCAGGCCCCATCGATTGGCCAAGGCATGATCCTCCTCAGCGAGTCTTGACGACTGGCTGCTCTTCCGTGGACTGGGCGGCGCCGAGGTATCTCGTTCATAGACCCGGGACCCCCCATTGCCGCCCAAGATGGCGGAGACGGAGGAGTGCGCCCAGCGGGCATGTTTCCGCATGGACGAGGTGACGGTGATACATTCTGTCGTCACCAGGGCCACCGGGTCGATAGCAATAGAGAGAGGTTCGGACATGGTGGAATCGAGCATCTCGAGCGGGAGATGCGCTCTGTTGGTGTCGCCGTTGAGTTGGCGAACAAACAGCTGGTCTCTCCATGGGCTGCTGCTTGCCTTTTTGGGGTTAGCGTCTTCCCCGCCTGCTCACCGCCTTCGTCAGGGGTCGATACACTCTCATACGTGCCGTCTGGTATTTATGGCGATAAACCACTGCCATAAATCGGTAATTTTGTGGTGATGCTTGTTTCTCCCGGTATTTAGCTGGATGTCCACTATCGCCACACCAATTCGAGACCAACGGACCATGTACATCATGTACGTACATGACTAGGTTGATGACCTGCAGCTGAATAGCCCCATCAACTTAGCATATATCAACGCTGTTAGCGGTCATCCAGACCTTATTCCTTAAAACAATGGTGTCCCGGATTCGTTGAGTCGGCTCTACAACTATAAAACGGCCCGAGTCAGTCTTACAAGCGGCGGTTTGTTTACATTCATCTACTTTGGGACCAGCCCCAAGACAGACAAATCTACCATTCTCATCTATGGATGCGGAGTTATAATTGCTTTGTCTTCCATGTCTAGCTACCTGAAACCATATCAACTTTCAATTTATGCTTAAATCTCAAGCCCAGATCGCACAAACTTTGATGGTGGTTGTCTCTTAATCTCTTAGTGTCGATCCTACGTACGGTATCCCGTTCAACGTTGAGTACTAGGCCCCTACAGATCGATCAATAGATAATTCCTAGAACTGCATCCCCCTTCCACTGTCTCTAAGACAATTCTCGACGCCAAATCTGATTCACGATTGAAACCTTGGCGACGATGTGACTTGTCAGATCGACCTTGCAGCTGGTTGGAGCCAGCAACGGTTGTGTTGGCCCCGCGTTGGCCCGACAAACATAAACAAGTCGATCGGCCCCAGTTGGAGAAGAGAGAGCCTCCGGAGGGCGCTAAACTAGTCAACAAGCCCCAGTCATATTGACTTTCCACTCGTTATTATTAAACTCCTCCCAGTTATCGCGCTATCGCCCGTATCTCCATTCATTACTACGACTCCCCCGCCCCAAAACAATTCACTCTCTTTTCCTTTCTCCCCCTTCTCCTCCGTGGCTCAACCCTCCATACACCTACAGCTCGTTGTGTGGTCTCTCCACCTGCGCCTGATCTTCAAAGGTTCTATGGAGGGGAGTCTCGAGTGTTGCGACCGCCCTTTCGTCCTGACGATGACCACACTTTCCCCTCCGACCTCCATCTGACCTTCGCTTTGCTGACTCTCAACTGCGCGCGATTGCGCATCCCCTCCCGACTGCGTCGCTCTTTCTCAACTCCGGTCCTCGGTGGATTACTCTCGATCGCGACCACGTTTCTCTCAACTTTAATTTACTCCCACGAGGCAACTGCTACACACCCCTCCCGCCATGGCGGTCAACGCAACTGCGCCTGCGGGCACCACGATGGCAGACCTGCCGTTGGAATATCTCAGTCTTTACCATACCGTCGATCCCTACCTCTCCTCTATCCTAGTCTTCTATGGCCCGGTTGCGACAGCAAATGCCACCGTGAGCAGCTCGCGCATTCAAGCACACATCTTTACACCTGCTGGTTTCCAAAGCTATTCACGAATCACCATTTCACCCGCCGCACCGCTATATGCTGCAGTCAACCATCTACCACGCGAGAAACAAGGTGATCCAGTGGCTCGGGCGCTTGCGGTCAGCATGTTGAAGTATTTCGCTGAGCTGTCAGATCCGCTGAGGAAGCGGCTGACGGACCCCGCTCGGACGGGTCAGCGCGAGAAGATCCCAAAGCTATTTGATGAAATGCATGCTGCAGAATTGGCTAATCGCATGGTGAAAGTCGAGGACTCATCAGATATTGTGCGCGACATTCGGAGTGCTTATCAGGAACGCAGAGCTCCTTGGGTTGACATGGATGTTGTGCTACCGGTGGGAACCATTCAACCCCCTCGGCGGCGGGATAGCGCTGGCTCCGACATTGAAGCGACACAAACAATTCAATATGGCCCATATACGCCTCTTATCCAAGCCTTGGGGGATCCGATGTTTCTGCCCACATCAAGACTCAAACGCGCACCCTCACAGCCTACCAATGTCAGCAAGTCGCGGATCTTTACACGCAACCAAAAAGAGGCCCTTCGATTGACAATGTGTGAGTTTGTGGATACCGAGGAGCGATATGTTGCAAAAGTGTACTCTCTGGTTCACGAGGTGGCGGATGAATTCCGGCAAAAGGCCCAACGCAAAGGACCCACGAGCGCCAGCCCGGATGAGAAAGCGTTAGAGGCACTTTTCCCACCCTGTTTGAATGAGATCCTGGAAGTCAATCTCGGATTTCTTGATGTAATCCGACACGTACTCGAGGAAACGGAGAGAGATGCCCTCGAGGATATCAGTCAAGACACCGAACTTCCCGCATCCGGTTCACATCGCGGCTCGTCGAGGGACGCCAGAGATGCTATCGGCGCAACTGTATTTGCTAGGGCATTGCTGGACTGGCTACCCCAGTTCTCACAACCCTATGCGGATTACATGCGAGCGCATACTGGGTTTACGCAGACGCTGAACTCTTTCATGAAAGACAAAGCTTCAAGCTTTTCCCGGCGAGTCTACGAGACTGGGGAGCAGAGACTTCGATCATTGTTGATGGAACCTGTTCAACGTCTCCCTCGGTACAGCCTTTTGATTGACACCATGACAAGCAATCTGCCGCTAGTCCACCCTGCCGTTCGTCCTTTACTGAAAGCTCGCGATGTTGTGAAGGATATTTGTGCGCTGGACAACGCTTCTCCATCTGGCCATGCACAAAGTCTGCGGCGTCTAAGGGCGCTTGTTGATGGATGGCCGGCAAAGACCTTCCCCGAGGGTCGGCTGATTACAGCAGTGGATGTCAATGAGATTCCACCTCCGTATCAACTGGATGCTCAGGCCTCAGGATCTGCAGCCGGAATCATGCTGCTCTACAAGAACTGTTTAGTCCTACTCGTCAAGGCTACCGAAAGTCGAATTACCGCGCGTGGGTTGTTAGCCGACATTGATAATGCGGCGTCGTCGACCAACGATGCTACAACGTCCTTACCCCCGGGAGAGCTCAAGGTCGTTCAAGTGCTCGAGCTTCATGCAGTCCGCTGCACGCAGTCTACATGCGGTCGGATTCTCTTCATTGTACCCGCCACACTCCCACTGGGCTCCGGTCCCGCAGACGGGAGCAATGATATTCTGGCTTTGGAACTAACAGCCATGTACGAGGCTAAGGTGAGCCGACTGATCGAAGAGACCACGAAGGCGCGGATCGAAGGGCGTTTCTCTGAACAGGAGAGAGAAGGTGGTAAATGGACCTTGCGCAGTCCTCCTGCAGCCCCCAACACGGCAGGCATCCTGGCATGCGTCTGTGAAGAGGGTGAAAGCTTCGCGCTCAATCAGGCCCAGGCGTCATCGATCCGGGTGGTCTTTGACACTCCGAAAACAAAATGTACTGAGATCATGAATGGGTCTAATCTGGACGTTTTGCTGTCAATAACTTCCAATGGTGACCAATTCAGGCTGGAAATTGACTCTGTCATCGGATCTCCATCTACGGATTTTGTATCGGCGGAGACATTTGTTCCGACCCTTTCCAAACGCTGTAAGTATGACAATTACTAAAGTTCTGAACGATCTACTAACGATTTCCCTCATAGTGCAATCTCTGCTTTCGCCTTTGAACAGCACCAAGAACCCAAAATTGGTGAAGCCGTTGGTACATTCAAACTTCGAAATTCTCCGGTACATCGCGGGTGGCTTGATCACAACAGTCAAATCCTCACGCAGCTTCCGACCCCCTTCTCCCACGAAACTCATATCGAACCTTCTGGGAGGCAGCCGTGAGAATGTCCCGACCATCAAGCACCCAAGCTCAGCGACTCTACTTGGCGAATTCCCGAAGATGCCTCCTCCGAGGGCTAATCTTTCCAGATCCAATACCCTTCCCTCTACTTTCCCCGGGAAAGACAAGGAGAAGGAGAAAGAAAAAGAAAAAGAAGAAAGCCCCAGCAAGATCTCCGTGGTAGGAGCATCGGGTGCTCATGGACTAGATGGTCAACTTGGATCACTAGAACAAACCTTTGCTGCCTACGTGCTTTCCCTGCAATCTCGCAGCGGTAATATTCTTGGGCGAATGCTTCGTGCCAGAGACCATGCGGATCGTGCACCCGTCAATGAGCTTTACAATATCCTGCTGGAAGATCCGAGCAAATTACAAGCAGCCGCTGAGGTGCCGGTTGACACACTCTTTGTTGCCTTTGAAACGTTCATGAAGAATGCCTGGAAAGAAAGCATGGGCCCGGTATTGGACCCGCATGCACTCAAGCTGCTTCAGAACCAGTTTGATACAATGTTCCCACTTCATTTCGAGGAGAATTTCCGAAAGTTCCTCGTCGAGATCAGCCCTCAGAACCGCCGGGCGCTGGCTGCAATCATTCGTCTTCTTGCCGAGCTGCTAGATGCATCAGGAAATGACGGGGATCGTGGGGCCCTGACGGTAGCATTTGCCGAGGTCATCACAGAAGAGGGAGACCCTGTGCAGCATGTGTCTCTGTTGGATCGCCTAGTCGATGACTTTGACAATCTCTTCGAGGAGTTTATTCCCGGCGGCGCTTCAGTGGAGGGAACACTTAGCTGCGACCAAACCAAGACTTCGCATGCAAACACGGGTTCCGTGAGCTCAAATAGTTCATCATTCCGGAAGCGCTTCGGATTCAGTCTGCACAAGGAGAGCGCAAAGGCCGAAGGCGAAAGCAAAGTTGCATCAATCCTACGAACTCTGAGCAAGAGACAGAGCCCTGGCGATTCGGAGCCTAATACACCCAAGGGTTCCTTGCTTCGCTCCAAATCTACAGATGTGGATGCTCGCCTAGGCTTCCTTCGGCCAACCTCCCGTGATCGTCCTTATGGATTTGCATCCGAGGAGCAAATCTCCAGGCCAGGCACTGGACATGGGCAACCGCCATCATTGTCCTCCATCCGAGGCATATCTCATGATGGCGTGGTTAAAATTCGCAGAAAGCGAAGAAGTTCCTTGTCTGATCTTCGTCCTGACACAGCTTCCTCTGATGCATCGCATATCTCTGCCACCCCCTACTTGCGCCCAGTGACCCCATCAAACCGACCGCGAGCTGAGGTGACCACGCCAACTAGCCAGTCACGGCCTCAGAGCAGCTATCTAGCGTCACCATCTAGAGGTACATCGCCCGCCAAGGGAACCTCGCCTGGTCGCCTGGGATCGCCGATTCGGCAAACATCACCAACTCGCCCTTCCACCCCAAGTAGGAAGGAGAATATCGATCCCAGAGTTCCACAGACTGAGAGGTCGACCAAGTCCAAGAGCCACATTCCCGATTCTCCAACCCAGGAAGCAAAGCGGCGATCCCGCGCGACCAGCATTCCGCAGCGGACCCCAGGCCTTCGGGAACGCGCTCCCGTGAATGGCCCCGAAATCAAGCGGCCACAGTCCTCGTCCTCGTCCCAAAAGCCGCAGAAGCTGCGGATGCAAAGTCCTCAAAAGGTTTGTGATAGGTTACCCCAAAGTGTATGTACAAAATTGACTGACAGGTTGGAATAGCTTCGCGAGCGCGTTCAAACCGAAAAGAAAACCCAAGCTACCAATCAACTTGGGTTCCGAGACGAGCTGAGAGCTCTTGGGGATGAATTGAACAATCTCAGGCTCACTGCGCCCAACAAGCCCTATGTGGAGTCCAGCATGGGTTCTTCGGAAGCACGCCAATCTTCGGGAGCTGCGTTGTCCCTCGAAAGCCGCCTGAAGAGTCTCGAGGAGCGATTCGATAACATGTCTGGCGAGTACAATGGCCGAATGTCTGCTCTTGAGAAAGACTTGGAGTCTTCTCTGATCGTGAGCGAAAAGCGTGTGAGGAAGCTTGATGAGCTCTACCGAGAGGCTAGTGCGGAGAATGAAGCACTCTACGATCGGTTCAACACGGAGCTCAGCAAGATCGCTAGGGACGTCCGAAGCGGTAGTGCAGAGGAGACTATGAAGTCTCAACTGGCCAATGCACTGGAGGAGATTAGTCGCCTCAAGAAAGAGAACTTCCGGCTCAAACGAGAAGTCGGAGGTCTCAGAGCCCAATCGGCTGCTGTTGCATTGCTACGAGCCAGTGAACAATAATTTCTGCTTTCTAATTGATCAGCAGCCTTGCTCGACACCGAGCATCTCACTACACTCCTTCATTTCATTTCTCTCACCCACTCATCTCGACACACTTGTCGATCTTCTTTTCTTTTCTGTGATACCACATCTATTCTCTCCTTTGTTTTCTCCTGGCATTTCCAGGTCGGGTTTCTACAGTGTATTGATCGGCATATTACTGTCATTCTTATTTGTTATTACCTATCACCCCCTAACCCTCATGCACAGATGGGTTCGGATCATGCATAGCACCGGAGAGTATGTTTGCAGGGCTTTCCTTTACCTTTAATTCTGGTTCATACCTTATCGTCGTGTACACTAGCCGATTCATTTTCAACCTTGCCAGGCCCGCCCATAAGGCGAATCGCCTCGGTGTCAACCATTTTGTACATCCATTCCCATATCACTTTCAATTTCTCTTCCCCGTAAGTAAACTCTACCGCATTGGAACCTCTTTTCTTGGACAATGCATCCAACGAGAGGTCAAAAGTCAGTAGAGCTATAAGCTGCTCAGACTCATGCTTTGGTGGCTGCGGCGACGTATGAGGCTTTTCCACAGCTAGTATTGGAAGCGTGAAACGTGATGACCCGGGCGCATTTTCGGAAAGACGGCTCTTGAGCACATTATGGATCATTGTCGGGAATCTGTTTTTGGTGCGTTTCATTTCTGGGAGTAGTGATGGGTCGATGCGGATCGTGGAAAGATCAGGCTGTTGAAGTGGACGGATGATGAAGGTCACGTTGTTAGACCGTTTTCCTTGGTTTTTCTCAGCGGAGATTACTCTGAATCGGAACCAGTATCTGTCATCCCATAATGTCCACGGAGCGTTACCCATGGCCGATTTTGAGTTCGAATGATGTTTGCCATTCGAGAGTTGAATATCGAGCCGAGTAATAGTGCCTTTGTTCTTGAAGAATGGCTGACGAGATAGTAACCATATGTTTTTGCCACCAGGGACTTGGCCGTCGGTATCTTTCACGGCGAGAGGTTGAAACATAACGCCCCCCAACGTGAAATTTTGCCGAGGAGGGGGTGGTGGGTTGTTTGATTGGGCCCCGCTGCCTTCGTGGCCTTCTTCAGACGATGTAAATACGCGTGAGATGAAAGGCTCGTAGCTGCGCACTGGGAAATGATTTCCATGGAAAGGGGAAATAATTTCGGTAATGCGCCGGAGAGTGAGAGCTTGAATTTGGAATAGACGAGACGGGCACAATTGAGACTTCAGAGGATCTAAGAATGAGGGGAGATCCAGGATTTGAAGAACCATCGTGCCCGCTTTCAAATTCAGGTCGAGAATACGACATTTTGATGCAAGAAGTTGATTTGAAAACTCGGTCGATGTGTGAAGGAATGATTGACTTGATCGTATCAAGGATAGGATAGACGGTGCCCGCAATGCCCGTGGGAAAGAGTCGGAGGAGAGCATGCTGCGAATTGCATTGCGCGGGGTCAGAGTCGGGTCGAAGTTTGTTGGATCGGAGACGTAGGGTATCTTGTTTTGGTGGCAGGTCTCCAGTAAGCTGGTTTTCGGAAATGAAAGGAGTGGGCGACAGATATGAATCCCACCGGTTGCGACGGAGACGCCTGGTAAGGCAGATGCGCTTGCTATATCAGGCGATGAAATCCTCGTTGCTTGGTGTTTGCTAGAATTTTGTTGGGTCGTATCTGGATTGAAAATGATACTGCCTTTGTTCTTGTCGTCGACTTGAACATGGAATGGTAGCCGAGCATGGCTGCCGCGCTTAGCCAATTGAATAAATGAACCGCTCTCGGAGACTCCAAACAGACCATGACACTCTGGGATTCGAGCAACTTCAGGGATTCCGGCAAGGCCGGCGCCTCTTCCTCCAGAACTTAGTCGCCAGATGGTAGTCTCTACTGTGTCGTCTTGGTGATGACCCATGAGTAAGGCGTTGATGCCCCTCTCACGGCAGGCGGCACCGAGGGCTCGAAAACGCAAATGACGAGCGTGTGTTTCAAAAGCCGATGGCAAAGGCGAATTTTCTTTCGCTTGGCCTGAGCTGTCTTGCTTTGCGAACTGAGCCCAGTCCAGCTCCAGAATCTTTGTCTTGATACCTATGATTAGATCAGTACATGTTTTGATACGTCGTTGGAAATAACTTAGAGTGGCTTAGAAAGCAGTGATATTGAGTATAAATCACTTACCCATTGCTGTAAGCCAGCCAGCCACAGTCCGTGCTTCTTGGCTGCTTTCTGCCCGAGCACGATGATCAACCACGAACGCGGTAACAGAGATAGCTCCAGCTAAGGCCGACCGTTCTAGTTGGCGACATAGGAATGCAAGGGCCATCGAATCAGCGCCGCCGCTGATGGCCAGGCCTGCAGCTACCAGTCAATATCGAGTTTCACTGATGGAGACTGTTTGGGGCAATGGTTTTGTTTCTTACCGAGCCTGCGAGGCAGGCGACTGAAGTCATTTCGATCGAGGCTTCGACCAGAATAAAACTTCTCTTGTGTTCCCAACCAAGCACGACGAAAGTGCTCGGCAAATTGCGAGACTGAAATAGCTTTCTTCCCAGCCATGAAGTGGAAGCGCTCTTGGACGACCAGTTGACATGCGAGATATCGGGGCTCGGCAGATTGGTTATTCCGAGCCGGCCTACAACGAGCCAATGATAACTTCAGCTGATAGATAGATCTTCTATTAGCTACATTATTAAGAACTAGTCAACATCGTGTGTACTGGGTTGAGTTCTAAGCTTGTTATTTAGCTGTATATTTCCTCAATTAATCACATAACCAGTGGCTTCCGGCATTTGTCGTGAACAATATATTTCTCGTATCGACGACGGTTACTCGTAGCATCGCGATCGAACATCACCAAATTCCTAAGCAACCTAAGTGTTCAATTTCAATATACTTGGCATTGACATCAACAATTGAATTCTAAGGTGATTGTCAATTGTGAGGCAAGGCAATTAACGATACTACCTGAATCCTTCTTTACATGCGCACCCGCTTTGGGCAGCTTCATACCTATGATGGGATAGTTACAACCAAATACATTAGTTGCGATAACATTGCTCCTCGAGTTAAGCCAGAACTGTCGCTGACCGCTAATTATTGTAGAAATACTTAATTGTATTTACATAATGTGTAGCTGAGGTCTGAAAGTACAACCCAAGACCATAGCCACGTACGCCCGCGGCTCTTGGCTGTTAAGGCCCCCGGGGATATGCAACACACTTGGCGACATACCCCTGACCAAAAATAATCACTGTAGGCCTTACTCCGTATTGTGTTTTGAAAGAAGTTCGCCAAGTGTGGAGTTCTCCACAATCTTCCTATGGTTTTTCACATTTGCTTACCAGCCCACAATTATTGACCGCAAGCATGATGCAGCGCCACAAGCCAGGACAGCTGATGGACAATACAAACAGTACGTGGGCTCACGACACACAAATAAGTTAATCAATAGGTCCAAATGAAGAGATCTCCAAAAAACAATGTCTCGCGCACCATACTACTCAAACAGGAAATAGAGACCAAAATCGAATCTATAAGAGCAGCCTCCGATCCCCAATCCAAAAGCTCGTTAACAATAAACCATTCATCAACACTCATCAATACCAACTCCCTCCTCATTACAATTAAAATGAAGTTCAACCTTGCCCTCACCCTTCTGGCCGCTTCTGCTTCCTCTGCGGCAGCCTGGACTCTCAGGGGCTTCAAAGACTCAACCTGTACCACTCCTAATGATTGGGTTTTATCAGGCGCAGAGCCTCAAGACTGCTATGCACTGGATGTCTGGCCCCGTGCGATAAACGTTGCGGGACTGCCGAATGACATTGAGTTCTCGTCTTACAGCGATGCTAACTGTGAGACCAATCAAACCTCCGGTGGTAACAACTGCTACGCACCAAGCAAGGGTCCAATCGTTGCCTTTAAGTTGACCCAACGGTATGTGTTTCCATGGGAATGGCTCAATACAAACAACGATACTAATCAATGATATAGCTCCGCCAACTGAGTTTGTGAGTTTGTCATGATTGGGAACGACTAAGGCCATGAGAGATTGGCAGATGGAAGAGCCACTGTGTGATTAAGACATACACGGCTTTTACAGGAACCCTAAGAGACGACAGTTTTCACGGGGAAGATAGAACTGAGAATTTATTGTTTATCACCTTTATTATTTACTTTACTTTAGCAAATACCCTCCCCGTAGCTCATTTCTGCTTTGTTGCTCCCATGACCTCCAGTCTAGATGATCGATCCGGATCTTACTCTTTCAAGACTTAATTTTTACAACCTCTTATGATATGATCTTCATCAGGAACCCCACAGCTGCCCCGGACCTGGTCCGATTCGGCGGGCTGCTTCGATCCACCGGTAAAGAGGCGCTCGGCTGCTTTCCGCTTAGAGAAACGCCGACGCGAGATCGCGAGTTGCATCAACCAGCACCAAAATGCCATTTAATATGACCTCAGAGCCGGATCATTTCATTCCCAAAAAATCAAAATTATCTTCTACTTTTACCTCGATCAAAATGGGTTCAGTTCAGCACCCGTATCCCCCAGGCATTCACGTTCCATGCTTGACATGGTTCAAGTCCGACGCCACTCAGTCCATCGACTGGGAACTCCAGGAACGGCATCTTGAATTCCTCGTGAGCAGTGGCCTTCACGGAATTGTTATCGCTGGTACCAACGGCGAGGCTGCGACGTTGACTCCCGAGGAAAAATCACGCCTAGTGCGTCTGACTCGGTCCACGGCACAGAAGCTCGGTCGGCCCGACCTGCCCATTACCTGTGGTACATTCGGCGGATGTACTCAAGCCATTATTGAAGATACCAAGCTGGCTGCTGAGGCTGGTGCAGACTATGTACTGGTTCTGGTGCCTTCTTACTTCCATTTTGCCCTTGACTCGGCTGCGATCACCGAGTTCTTCCAGGAAGTTGCCAGTGCATCTCCTATTCCAGTCGTTATTTACAATTTCCCCGGTGTCGCTGCTGGTCTGAATGTCAACTCGGAGATGCTGGAGACTCTGGGCGAACACCCCAATATCGCTGCGGTGAAGTTGACGTGCGGTACTATTGCATCGGTTGCTCGCACGGCGGCCAAGTTTGGTCGGGCGATGGATGGAAATGCAAAGTTCGTTGCACTGGCTGGTCAAAGTGACTGGTTGGTTCCCTCTCTCAGCGTGGGTGGTGCCGGAACAGTTACAGGCCTGGCGAACCTGTACCCAAAGGTCAGTTGTCACGGTGGTCGAGAATGAGACGGTGAAAGAAGACTAACGGAGGAATATAGACACTCATTGAGCTCTTCAACCTGTATAATTCCGGGGAGACGGCGAAGGCTGAGAAGCTGCAGCTTCAAATTGCAGTTGCCGAGTGGGGATTCGGCAAAGCAGGCATCAATGGAACCAAATGGGTTGTTGCCAAGTATTTGGGCTATCCCGAAGAGAGCTCATGCTGCCGTCGACCCTATCCGAAGTTCCTGGATGAGGAGAAGCGGGCATGGGTGGCGAAGCAAGTGAAGATGACGGGCCACTTTGACGAGGGAATTTGAAACGAGATCATGATATTTCATAGACTGCATAGAATCATTACATAGACGAGAATTTTGTTACACGATAGCAAATGCACGATCAAAAGTTTCGTGCATCACTTTCCTGATATCCACTCGCTGCTTTGTCTCATCTTGTCGTCGGATGACTTCTTGGAGAACATTTGCCGTGATACCGGCATTTGATGCTACATTCTCCATGCCATTGATGCAGGATATGACCCAAGTGCGTTCTTCTGGTCCTTCAACCTCGACGCCAAGCATCAGTAAAGGCCAGAGCATATTCACGGGCAGCGAGGGCAGCGTCGTCGTTGACGCATTGGGGGTCCCTATTACTGGAACTTCCTGAGGCGATGATATCCACGGACTCTCTAAGATCATTTTGGTGACCTGGCGGATCTCGTTCATTGCATCCATAACGTCTGCGGTGCGTGGAAGATCTATAAATCACGTAAGCGATCAAAGTATGTTTGACCATGGCTGGGCGGAACTTACTTTTATATGCTACACGATGCAGATGAATGAAGCTGGCATAGTAGTTGGCGTGATATACCCGCATGGTGCGAGTGATTGTCTCCGCTAAACTGGGGGATAACAAGGTGGCTAATTTCCCCGCCACTGCATGGTCCATTAACGGCGGCCGCTGCTGCCATAGGGATTTGATGTCCCGAGTAATCGCGGCTGAAAGAGCCATAACTTCCGTTTCGTCTTCGACGGTACCTCGCCGTCGATGCCAAGGGTCGATCTTGGAAATTCGGCCCATGAAGAGCTGGACTTTCTGGAAGAATAGGAAAGCTGGTCGCATGATGAAATCTTCTAATGCTGCTTCAGCATCGTCTAGCCCAGAGTCAACTTCGGCGATTGAGCTGTCGGGAGATCGCAGATCTGTATTCACGGCACTATCGCCTTCTGTAAGAAACAAGCCTTCACCACCTGCACTGACGGCCCTCGCATCAAGAAGCCGTAGCCACGAAAGAAGTCGTCTCTCTGAAGAGGTTCAAATGTGTTAGCGATGCCACATATTTTGAGTGTTTGGGACATACCAGTCACGCTTAGCGAGTCAATGTCAACCATTTCCAAAGCATGGAACCCTTCTCGCAAATTTGCATGCGCTCTGGACACGTCTTTTGTGAGAAGGTCGATGTATGATAAGAGAAAGAGAACTGCTAAGATATGCCTCAGCTGGGATGAGATGATTTTGCGGTCGCGGCTGATATCCTTCAAACATTCCTCTAATCGTTCTTTTGCAGTACGATAGTATTGAGTGTATGTTGATGGCTCTAAGCTGCCGGCAGACTCGAGTTCCAAGGCAACAAACGCAATGACTCCGAATTTAACCATCCGCGAGGTCGAAGTCATCGAAGTCAGTTGTTTTCGCATCCAGAACCAGCGAGCACTGGTCTCAACGGTAGCTAGAATGGGCGGGGCTGCTGAGCGTGCAAAGTACTCGGCCAATTGCGTCTCGCTCCATCCGATCGCTATGGTTGGCGAGGTTATATTACTAAACCTTGGCTGCCGGTCCAAGAGGGCTTCGGTGTTGGTCATGGGGTTTGCGTTGGTGATAGGAATGGATATCGGAATAGAGAGAGAGCCATCAGACCAGGGGACCAACTCTTGGGAGGAACTGAGGTCTAAGGTATCCCAGCCCGGGGATAAATCCGTAGGTGAAGAGTCATCCCACATGAAACTTGCATAGCTGAACATGCGATTGAAGCTGGAATCATCATCAACGAGAGCATCTGGCGCTTGAAGTCCCTCATTGGAAGCCGGTAGAACAGTGGTTTCTGCATTTGCCGTGACGGGTTCAGATTGTGCAGGTAGCTCTTCGGTCTGCTGTTGCTGCTGTTGCTGCGGCTTTTGCTGAAGTCGCTGTCGTATTTTCTTCGTTCTCACACCCAACCTGAGCCCAGAATCTTCCTGCCATGAGCAGTTTAATCGGAGGCGACTACAATGACCACAATCCGGCCGTTTTTCATCGCAACGCACTTTACGCCGCCTAGCGAGTACTTAGCGGCCCGAAAGTACCCCGGAGGAGGACTCCACTTACCGGCAGGTCAAGCATCCGTTGCGGGTGCGAGGGCGATGTCGCCTATCCTGGTTGGGATGCTGTTCCCACTGATAGAACATGATGAGGATTTGCGAGGAGATGGCCTGAATCAGCGAGGTGCATCGGTGTGGGATCCTCTATGCCTTGTCTTGCTCATCTCCTCCATTCTGTTTCGGCCTCCGGGGAAATCTCCACATCCCCGGTTCCTCGTCTCGGCTAAATGCCCTTTTGGGGAATTAAGCGACCAATGGTTCAATTCCCACGTCGAAACAGGAGATACACCGATGCCGATGGCTGCGACTAGTCACACTGTAGGAGGGTAGGAACCCGGGGTTGGGGCCACAAAAATTGGCTTTCAGGTTAAATACTTGTGCAGAGTCTAAATTTAAAATGGCATCTCGAAAGGTTATCGTTCTCTTACAGCAGGATATTGCACTTCCCTCGAGACACAATTCGACATTTAGATGGCATCATGTCGCCTAGAATGATACAGAAATGCCTGTCAGAACTCGGAGCATTCTGGAAAGGCAGCTAAATAAGCATGTTCAATCTCGCGTCCCATACCCCCAACCCCCTCAAAGATAATATCAGATTTCAAAGACATCCCCAAAAACTCGACTCCATGTCGCAGCTCTTCAATCAGCCGTTCGGCATCAGAAATCTCCGTTGCCGTTTCAGGCTTATTCAGTAAATGGTAACAGCTCGCCAGGCGATCCGTAGCCAAACACGCACGGATTTTGTGAAGAATCATCAATAAAGAATAACAACTTTGCATGGCACAACATGCAAAGTAGGGAATGGTATGAGGGGATTTTCGGACAAGTACCACCGACGAAATCATAGATCTTGAGGTCATTGGAGATTCACGATGTTGAGAGTCGTAGAGATTTGGGTATGGTAAGTTTCGAAAGGCTGTCGCCACGACAAGAGCAGTCTTGAGACAGATGTTGGAGGATTCTTGTTCAGTAAAGGGGAAGAAGGAATTTCGATCCTCTACCCAGGATGGAGAGGGCACGGGTGTTGAGCTAGGGTACTGGGTGTTTATAGAGGCGAGGTGACAGTATCTGTCTAGGAACAGTGGAAAGTCCATGAAGGCACGGAATCGATGCAAGCGGGCGCGAGCACTAGTTGGTAGTTAGTGAATTAGTCGTTTCATTACCTTGCAGATTGAAGAAAAACTTACGTATAGATCACAATTCTGCTAATCCTCCACATGTTCTCAGCTATAAGACCTTCCCCGTCCTCATCAAAAGTATACCGAAGGTATTGATCAGACTGTGTCATCAAATTGGTGATCACATCATCCAAGCTTTTGATCTGCGTGCCGAGGTCAGGAGGAGGCGTTTGGTTCGTAATGCGCTCGATTCGTTGGACCATTTGATTGGATGAATATAGAGTCTGCTGAGCTTTGATCAAAAGAGCCCAGGGCTGTGCTGAGTGAGTAAAATGTAGCCAAAATGTAAGGATTGCTATTTCTTTACCTCCAAGTGTACCCCGAGACTGGGATAAGCTGTTGTTATACGAGGATCGTCTGCTGTGACAACTGGTGGCTAGAGACACGCTATTAGTTTATGATATGATGTGAAAACAAAGCTATATCCATACCGCCAGGTGGAGATTCGAGGAAAGATAAGCCACAAACATCTGGGGATTCATTAGAATTTAGATCAAGAGCCAGTGCACGAAAACTCACTGTTATCCACCACCCACGTCTTTGTGCCTCTGAGGCTTCTGTACTTGTCGAGCCAAGTTGATGGAGAGAGATATCCATGGCCGTGGTAACAGCTTGATTAATACGACCCCGCATCCTTGAGACGTTACCACGCTGACAATACTCATAAATCGCAAGCACGACAAGCGCCAGAATAGGCTCAAGCTGAAGAGGCACCTGAGAATGTAATGGGCTGTGTCCTTGAGACAGACAGGAACCAGGTGCGTTCAAATGTACTGTAGGCCCTATATCATCAATCTCTTTTTCCACGCTTGCCAATGCAGCTTGTGCAAAGAGCTGAGCATATGTCCGCCTAAGAACTATACTTGCCTCGGTCATCGAGAACGGACCCTGGGAAGGTGGTATCAGGACAAGTAGGGCGGACAATGCAAGGCTAAGGGAAGATTGTGGCCAGAAAGGCAAGTCGGTCTTTCTAGCTTCATTGGTCTCTTTTGATGGGCGACTGAGAGTAGGTTGATCTTCCCGTTGCGGTACTACCGATGGCGGCAGCAAGGGAAGATATGGATGTATGTAGATATAGTATGCGTTGGCGCTATGTGAAGTTCATTAGCATCCTGGTTTGTAGATGAAAGGTTTCCCGAAAATTCTCATCGTACATATCTTCTTCGCACCGGTATGATCGGACAGCCGAAGGCTCTGCCTCTGGAATCGACGTCGACCCAAACGGGTCATCTGCACTTGGCGTGAGCTGACCCCAGAGTTGCCGCGTCCCACTGGTATCAGAAAGGGCATCTGGAGAGATATCAAGATTATGGACGCCGGCGAGTGGGGTCACAAGACCAAGCATGTTGTCAAGCAACGGTTCTACTCAGTGTTAGGAACATCTTTGTTGAATTCTCCACTATTCCGGTAAACCTTACCGAAGCTTTCATCAATCTCCGAGGGCGACGATAGATTCTGTGGACCCTGATCATCCGCTGAAAGACGATGCTGCTGGAGCTCTGCATAGCGGATGCCTCTTCGGGGCCCACCACGGCGACTTGGCTGATAATGACATTCTCGGCCTCTGCTCAAACACTGATATACATCATGTTGTTAGCTTCGCCTTTATTCGTGGGTATTGGTTCTATAATACTTACACTTCTACACGGTCTCTCACCATCGCAGCGAGTCTTTGACGAGCGACTGTGTTTCGTCAGATATTGGATCTTTTTGGTTGAAGCGGCATTCTTACCAGGCAAGGCATGCAGCTTTCACCGGCGGCTTTGAAGCGCGGGGCATGGTCGATTGTATAACGTGTAGGGCCTAGATATTGAAGACGCCACTGGATTTCCAAGAAACGATCTTACCAGATTTGCAGTGGGTTTCGAATTTCCTGTTTGTACAGTATTGATGTGTAATTGGGCTTGGATCCACTGAATCCAGCTTGTCGAATGGGAGACCGAAGGACGGGATGTGTTGTCACCTCCTGCAAGGAATTGATGCGGCCAGTGGCATTCTCCGCTAGGCAGAAACAGCAGCTGATCTTCGCTCTTGCTCCCGTTACCGTATACTGTAGTCAGTACCAGTCGTGGCGAGTGTTGGTTAAGAAGAGATCTTTTCGGCGTTCCGACGGCAGCCGGCTTTTGGGTGACATCGGCATTTGGAACACAGCGACCAAATGCCGAATATTTTACTTTGAATCTTCCAAGATTGGAAGATGTACCTGACATAACAAATGTCTTTATGGGTTTAACTGCTCTTCGGAGTACCTCTGAACGTATAATATAGATAGAAAAGGTCTTGATTCTTGCGGATCTTGCATCGATACTTCGTACCAGATCATTTCATCAAACACCCACATCATCCATTTGAAGCCATCATTGAGTTATTGGAAACATGATAATGCCAGAGGATATTCATATTGTCAGCCATGCTAAGAGCTGTCTCTTAAAATAAATATCAGAATGTCATAGAACAAATATTCGACAAAACCACTTCACCTTCTTTTTAAACCAGGACTCGCCTTTCCCTAGACGTCCCAACCAAGATAACCCTCTTTTACAGATTGCATCCGCCCTTGGAACAGGTACCCGGCAACTTGGGCGCCTTCTCAGTATCAGTCCGACAGAAACAAGACGACGTAACGGGCACATCAGCCAAAGCAACAGCAGTCGTCAACTGCGGTCTGACAACCCTCGCCTCATCCTCTCGTCCCAATCTTACAAGACACTCGTGATAACCCTGCAAAGCCCAAACATTATTCGGATGCTGACGCGCACGAATAACAGAATCATCAAGGCCCAGGTCAGCGCGGTACACGGCCGCCGCTTCCTCTACATGATTCTGCTCTAGCAACAAGGCAGCGAGGGCATGACGCGCTGGCTGCATCCAGCTCCAGGGCTCACTGTAGTCCAGGCCATCGTCTAGATCGACGGAGCGGCGCAAATGCTCAAAGGCCTCTGTGTAGTTGCCACGACGGTATTCGATTTCGCCGTCCAGCATCGCAGATGCGATACCCAGGATCGAGACGCATTTATTTGGCCAGTCGAGACGAGTTTCTGGGACGCGCTTTGCCGCTTCTCGGTATAGATCTCTCTGGGTTTCTGCCTCGGGGATGTGACCGGTTGCAGCGTACGCGACGCCCTTGGCGTAGTGTGCTACCGCGGTAGTAACGGAGTATAGCTCGGGGTCATCGGGGAGAGGGAGGTCGATGATTTCCCTCCACATGCCGAAACGAACCATGACGTGCCATCGGACGGAGACGAAGACTTCGGCATAGTCGGCCATTGATTTCAACAGCTCTCTTGGTAGGGAGTTTTCCATGCGATCGACGGCGTCGAGTGCGACGGCTTTTTGTCCGGCGAACATTGCTGCGTAGATAAGTGTGTGGTAGACATGCATGCGGTAGACTGTATAGAAGTTGAAGACACCGTGGTGTTCCATGAACTTCTCGTCTGCAATTGAAGCGCGTTGATTACTTCGGATGGCGGCTCGATAGTCTCCGACAAGAATATCTAGATGCGATGGCATGTGGCACATGTGGCCCGAGTCGGGGACGAGATCACGCAAGTGGTCGGAAGGAACCAAGCCGAGCTCTGGAGTGGGCGACATCTCGATGAGATGAATGTAAATGTGTAGCAGACCAGGGTGCCGCTTTCCATCTGGATGTTTTAGTGCCGTCTCCAGCACCAGCTTAGCATCAAGAGTTCGTGTTCCAGGGTTGGGCTGTCCCGTAACCAGGTTCCATAGTTTCCATGGTGTGAGCGTGATAAGGGAATCAGCGTAGAGAGTGGCGACATCCAAATCATCTCCGTATTGGCGATATACAGCTTCCATCTCAGCGGCATAGGCTCTATCTTGAATCTTATACTGCTCCATGGGTGCAGGTTCATCGCTCTGATAGCGAGCCTGGATCGCATTGATGAGCGCTTGTTCCAACGGGGTTCCGCCAGTGGCGAACTCCAGCGCCTTACGGGAAGCGTGATAAGTGCGTTGCACTACTTTCTTGAGATCGGCGCCGAAGAATTCCCATGGCTGGTTATAGTTTGGACCGAGTGTCCATGATAGACCCCAGTAGGCCATCGCGAAAGATTCATCGAGGGCGATGGCCCGCTCGAAGCAGGCGGCTGATTCGTGGTGGTTAAAGGCATACGCCCAGATCAGACCTCGATTGAACCAAATTTGAGCCTCGGGGCTTTTGGTAGTAACCCGTCGTTCGAAACCACCGAGATCGAAGGCATAATCTGTTCCATTGGGGGTTGTGGTGTCTTGTGTCATGTTGGGTACTGATAACAAAGGATGTTGGGTAGTGGTGAGGGGGAGGAGGACTGGTGAGGGGAATTATGAGGGGAGGGTTAGGCGCACGACATATGTACACCGCAACACGTTTACCATCACGTAAGATTGGGAGCCAGGCCAGACAGTGCAGCAAAGCTGAGGTTAGAGTTTGAGATACGCTGGGCGCCTTTAAAAGTGGGCCAAACGTATGGTCTTTCCTAATGTAGAAATCGAAGCATTCCCTTCAGCTTGTGATTTGCGACAACCTGGTACTTGGTGGGGGCTGAAGTTTCATTAATCAGTGCCAATACCGGATTCAGTATCCAGTCTACGAATTTCTAGAGCTTTTTTCTCATATCGTGATCAACTAGAAAGCAACTAAAAATCACATATATGCAAGAGGTATCTCGAGTCTACGTACAAGACGTTCGCGCTGCACCTACAGGGTTGAGACACCCATGGTACACAAGCGCTGACACCAAGAGAAATACAATTCAAAGCAAAGAGCACATGGGAATAGAGCATATCAAGCAAATACAAGGGGAAATCAGAGAACATCTCCATATGTACCAAGGGCCTATGCTTCGCGTACTCGATTAAAGAAAATGCCCACACAGGTCGTCGCTTGCAGATCAGGCCAAGCTACGCGAGCCGCAAATAAACCAAGAAAAAAAAAAGGGGGAAGATCACTTATGGAAATACAGATTTTCAGGGATATTGTTTGAAGTCGTTTTCCCTAGGTGGCGACGGAGCCCGCAACAGATCCTGAGTTGGTCAATGAGTGAATACTCCCAGCTGGTGCGGTGCTGTCACCGTTGGGGACGTTGGCTTCGCCCGTAGTGAGATGGGTTTCGTCAATGTTCATCAAGGACCGAGGGGGACAGATCTGCTTTTTGCCATTGGCCTTGTAATGCAAAATCATGTCTCCCGATGTACGCCAGAGATGCGTGCGGATCGTGGCCAAGGTCATATTGGGCGGGCAGAGCTAGGACGGAAATGTTAGCATGTAATCTCACAAAACGGATGGAACAAATCCTACTATCTTCTGGCAATACAGCTCAAGGTATTCCTCGGGAGGCATTTGGTTAGCCTCGGGCTCATCGGGGTTCGGCGGATCAATGCGCTCGGCCACGTAGGCAAGGACCTTCTTCGTTCGGAGCATACGATTGGCATTGAGCCGGGAGCTATTATTGACACCATTGGCCGGGCCAGTAGTAGCGCTTGGTCTACAGGACAAGCCATTAGCTTCTAAAGTCAACTCTCAGATGTGGCTTTTTTGGAACTCACGGTTCGGGCTTCACCACTGGTGGCAAAGAATCATCAAATGGCTTCAAGACGAAAGCTATCTTCACATGCTCCTTGAAAGGGATTTGGTTCTAGAAAATGGTTAGAAAATGACAGGTGGAATCGTAAAGAGATCACAGAACATACCTTCAAGAGCAACTCCCCAAGCCAGTGAGGAATGGCCTTCTCTAACCGTTCAATGTCCTGTCCAATGATGCCCACACTACCTCGGTACAGATCCGAAGCCACGGCAGTATCACCAGTCTCCTCCTGGATAAACACCGCAGTCCGGGGAGGAATATCCAACCGAGGAGTCTCGTTATCCAGACTGGGAGTAATCGCCGTCACCAAGTCCCGACCGGGATTGTTAGACAGGAACTCCTCGTAATCATCATGGATGCGATCAATGACTCCGCTAATATTAGGATCGTAGACCTTCTCTTCCTTGACAGACGAAATCTCAGACTCCTCAGGCTTCTCCTCCAGGATTGGAGGCTTGGTATCGGTGGAAGTGCGCCCAAGCTTCTTCGGGAAGTTCAACTTCTTTCCGAAGAACGATCCCTTCTTCCGCTCTTCCTTGTCAGGCTCGGCTGGAGACTGGGGAAGTCCAGAGTTGGGAGCGACCTCAGACGGGGACATTGGAGGTTTCTCGGTCTCGACCTGTGGCTGCCGGGAGGAGAAGTAGTCGGATCTATCCGAGAAGGACGATGGTCCTCCGTCGTGTTGTGGGTGCATTGAGGGTAGAGCATCCGGAGTCTCAGCATCGAAGGCTGGGAAGTGAGAATTACTCTGCATAGACGTGCTCAGGTATGTAGCAGACGCGGGCGTGCCAATGTTGATGCCAAAACCTGGAGTCGCCGGGCTCCCGGGGAAGTCCATCCCAGGACGCAAAGTGGTCGAAGAAGCGTCGTTGTGAATGGGAATGCCAACGCTACGAGGAATATCGTCACCAGGGGCGGATGTGCTAGGAGGATTGAGTTTGGCAAGCTCCTCTGCTTTGGCGATGGCGGTCTCGCGGTATTCGTTATCACGTCGAATCTCTTCGTCCACCAGCGGGGCGAATAACCAGCGCAGGATCCATTTTCCAAGGTTGACTGGACAAATTGTTAGTAAACAGAAGATTAGGAAGACAATTATGAGGAAAACACATACTTCGTTGGTCCTCCCGGAACTGTGATAGGTCAGATGCAGGCAGGTCGGCCTCATCCGCGTAGACCTCGGCATCAAAGCAGCGATTCGGCTCGAGAATTACCGATAGTCTGCCCGTCCGGATGTCAATCGTGCACCAATGGGATATGTTCTCAGTGGTGTTGATTTCGGTAGCCACATCCTCAATATGACGCTTGCCGAATGTTTGAACGGGAATGCACTAAAGTCATACTTAGTCAAGAATCCTTCAAGCACTGACGAAGGAGGTCTGTAGATTGGCCGAATTCTTACCTTGAGCAGGTCCCAGAGCACGACTTCTCCGGCGGAGTCTTGAGTCAGAGTTCGTTTGCGATCATTAAGCATCAAGCACTTGATCAGACCATGTTGGCCCTCGATGGTTTCCTCGGGCAAGGAATGCACTGGAATGGTCAGGCCAATTTCATTCTCGAGTCCTGTTTCGCCAGAGTGTCCACTAGAAGGCGAAGCAGGACGTAGCAGCTCGGAGGTAGCGGACACTTGCAGCACCGCATTGAAAGGAATCTTCTTGGGTGTTTTGTCAGTCGGCTTCTCCGGCGCAGCTGCGGTCGAGTCGATAGTTCGTGCCGGGTCTGGAGGTGCCTCAATCTCAAGCGTAGTATCCACATTTCTCCAGCGGTTAATGCTCGACTTGGGCGTAGCTGTCCAGATGAAATCACCAGCTGCCACAACCTTGACGACACCCTCATGTTCCTGTAAAGCTGCAACGCAGGTGCCCTGCTCGACATCCGCGGAACCACGAGTATCAGTCTTGGCAACCAAGCCAGAGCGATCACTAGAGTATAACACGGACAGGTCCGGTTCGTCCGAGTACAAAGACCAAACGCTATCGTTATGCATAGTTAGGGTGTTCATGCAGCGACCCGCGGTGAGCGACCAGACCTTGATCGTCTGGTCTGACGAGGCGGTAATAATCGTATCACCAGCCTCATTGACCAGGATATCCCGAACGTTATCCGTATGACCAACGAACTTGGTAACGAGTTTCCCAGACTTGGGATCCCACACTCGGACCACGTTCTCGGGCCCGCCGCTCGCAAGCACGGAATTCACCGCGCCCAAGGCATAGACGGATCCTTTCTCGGTCGTATCGTCTCCAGCAGCATCGATGCTCAACATCTCACCGCCGCCATTCAGATCCCACAAGTAAAGCTTATGGTCCAGACCGCCCGACGCAACCCAGCTAGCCTGGCCGCCCGGAGTCGCGAGCACTTTGACATAATCGCTATGTTTTCCGATGCGTTCAGGGACATCCGTGGACTCGGAGTGTGGCCGCCATAGTCGAACGGTGGTATCCGACGAGGCTGAGACGACTGCCGAGTTATCCTGGGTTAAGACGATATCATTGATCCAGTGGCTATGGGCCTGGACCTGGGTCTTGAAGCGAGTCGGGCCAGGCTTGCGATTGGACGAGGAATACGGATTCGAGGCGTGAAGAGTACTAAGAGAGCAGTCAAGGTCCCACGAGCAAATGACACCGTCGCGACCAGCGGAGTACCTAGCGGGAAGAAACAGATCGTCACATTAGAAAGCTGTGCAACCCACGTGGAGAGCGGCTACCAGGGAGAAAGAAACCCGAGTTGTACGGGGTCGAGGCACCAATCGAATGCGATGACATTTTTTTTCCTTTTTTGGCATGGCTCTCTGGGGATGGGGGTGACGAGGGCGCTGCTTACAAGATGGAGTTCTGACGGTCGACGGTCAGGCCGTTGACCCCCAGCCGGTGCCCACCGGGGGCATCAGGCAGAGGGAGCACTGGGCCAGGTTTAGTGTCAGCAGTGGACGATCACCGGTTGAGATTTCAATTTTTGAAAAGGTGTTCAACTTACCGTACGTGACCCTCTGGTGGCTTAGTTTCCGTGCCATACATGCAGTTGTAGCGTGGGAAAGGGAATTGCGGAGGAGATGCGGAGCTTATCTGCCTTTTGAGGGCCGATCACACGGTGGGGAGAGCGACGTCACAAGTCTAAACCCACAGTCCGCCAGTAAATTGGCGCAATGATGATAAGGGTAAAGAGGAAGATAAGGATTTCTTAAGAGAAGGGGTATCGTCGTTCAATAGGGAGAAAGGGGAAGAAGGATCGGTCAGTGAGGGGAAGAGGGGAGAAAGCCGCCAGGGGCATTTGGATCGCGACGCCAAAGCGCATTTTCTGGGGTCGGCCTTGGTCCGTAACACCGAGTTTCCCTTTTGATTGTATGGGGTTTCGCTTTGGGAACGGAGGATATAGTGTTTGGTATTACTTGAGTACTCTATCATGTTGTACATATAATCACTAGTATAAACTGATGTCATTTTCATCTCTGGTTCACATCGAAGTCGAATCGACGTAATCATTTTTCCCGATAACTGCTGGTTTGTATATACCCGAAGGACAACAACCACCTATCTATACCACATTCATATTAATCACTTCTACTATGGATATCCCAGTCTCCCAAATCAAGCCAATCTACAACCCTCACAATCATAAACCCTCCCACAACTCACCCTCTCTCAACGCCCTCATCCAAACCCTTAACCTCCACCCCCATCCCGAAGGCGGCTACTTCACCGAAACCGATCGCCATCCCTCTCCCCCTCCCTCGAACAAAACAAGAACTGGAAATACCCCAGAAAGCGATCCCGCTCTCCGCGCAGCAAGTTCAACAATCTTCTACTTGCTAACCCCCAACGCCCCGCTAGGCAGCTTCCACCGTCACCGGGGCCGGACCATCCATACCTGGCACCGGGGACGCGGGCGGTACGTGATCATCCACGCAGATGAGGCTACGTGCAGCCACGAGGGCTCGGAGAAATTCGAGGGAGAGGAAAAGGGACGACTGGAGAGCTTTGTGGTCGGACCCGATGTGGCGCGTGGGGAGCGCTTGCAGTGGGTTGTTGGCGCGGGGAAGTATAAGGCGAGTTATTTGTTGCCGGATATTGCTAAGCAGGGGGGTTCGGAGGGGTTGTTGATTAGTGAGGTATGTTTTTTATTCTATGATATAAATAGATGGATTCGTATATCTGGGATATTTATTAGTACTTAACTATCTGTATACATCACTGACTCGCTCAGGTGGTCGTGCCGGCATTCGATTTTGCGGATCTCGACTTTCTACGCAGAGATGAAATGGAGCAATTGGTCACTGCCGAGCAAGTACGAGAACTTAGTTGGATGCTGAAGGTCCCGGAAAAATAACCTTACAGGGCTCAGGCATCCTGCATTAACAATATAGATCGACAAATAGAGGACATCTCTATACATGGCATTCCCGACTCTATGTGCCCCATATCCCCTCTATGTAGTATCCAGCCAAATTATAGAAACAAAAAACAACATGATAATATACAATTCCACACTTAATCTTAACTCACCACCTTCTTCCTCCCTTATTCATCCTCCTCCTTCGCCCCCTCAAGCGTATTCCACGCCCACTGATAACTTCCCAAAAACACCGCCCCACCAATTCCAATCCACGCAACCCGCGGCCCAATTCCGCGCCAGAACGCACCAAGACCCTCCTGCGCAATCCCTCGCACAATCTCCTTGACTCGCACAGGAGCATCCACACCGCCGTCTCCACGACGCGCCAGCATAACCCGCGTCTTGATCACGTCCAGCGGGGTGGTCAGACCGGCCGCAATTGCACCGGCCACACTACCGAACATGGCGCTCGTGGTAGCCGGGATTTGCAACTCTTTCGTGGAAGAGCCCTCCTCGCGCCGTAGATAGCGTTGGGCGTAGGTGGCTTTCATAGACTCCCACATGGTGAATTGGAGGACGGTGAAGGGGATTTCGCGGGCGATGGTGATTCCGGCACCGCGGTACAGTTCGCGAATGACCTGACCGTAACCACGCTTGACAGGGACAGCGGTGCCTGAACCGGCCGTGGTCTGTGATTCCGGCACGGCGTGGCGGAGGGATAAGATATCCTTGAGCGCAGCCAGACTAGAGCCCCCGAAGAGACCGGCCTGAGCTCGCTGCTTGATTACCTCCGTTGGTACACGGACGGCACAGGCGGAGATCTCGCCGAGAGAGGAGGCGAGGGAGTGTGTGAAGAAGGCATGGGCGCGGGAGGGGGGTTCGGAGGAGGAAGAGGATGGCGGGAGGAGGGAGCGTTTGACGCCGTCGTAGACGATGAAGAAGGATGCGGCGGAGGGCGCGGAGCCAAAGAGGACGGAGGGGAGACCTGCGTAGATACCGCGGATTGTTTGGCGTAGAGAGAGGCGGGGGGCTTGTGGTGCGGTGGTGTCGCGTGCTTTTTGGAGGCGGGTTTTGATAGTGTCGAGGGGGTAGAGGGAGCAGTCAACGGTTAGACCAGCAACGGCTCCGGACTGTAGAATGAGAGGCAATTAGTCCGAGGTCTAGGTTGAAAGTGGTCTGTAAGGTGTTTGTTGTACCAGGAGGGACCTCGTCCACAGGGAGGAGACCAATGGCTCCCCGTCGGCTTGCTGTGACATGACGAGCGGGAAAGAGTTCAATTGTCGAAGGAGATTTTAGTGCAAGAACATGCTGTCCGGGCCAATGGGTCCGGATAATTGACAGAAGCAGCTTGCAACGACCAACCCTGTTAAGCGCAATACAGACCGGTTGGGGTAGTGTGAATAGAGCTCCGCAATCCGATGGAGTTCGAAGGTTTTGCTCCGCGGCCAAGCTAGCCGATATCGCCGATTCGGGGGTCTTCCGTCAGGTCGATCCCGAACAACCTTATCCTGAACTGCCTGTCTTCGGAGAGACGAAAAGAGAGGAGTACTATGTTTATGATTTTCTTGAAAAAAGGTTATGTTCTTTATATTCAGAATGTATCTACTGTCCCGAGGGCTCCACAATACACCGGACAATACCCACAGAAACGAAGCACCAGCCCACCCGCAGGGACTTTAAAACGAAGAATGTTCAGTGCATGAAAGAGAAACAAAACTTCCTGCAAAACATTTCAATGACGATCTAGCAGGAGACATCTAGCGCTGGATACCCGGGTCACGGGGGACTTGGCCTTTAGGTTGCCAGCAGACCCGGGACTGTCCATAACGCCAGAAGCACATTCTATTCAATCCACTTGCTGCCTTCCCAAAGTTAACCAGGATTGATAGTAGTCAGGGACAAGTATACCAACACCAATCACACTGATCATTGATCTGACAGAGATCGACTGGGACAAGAAGAAGGCCAGATGAGATTATGGCGCTATTCGCAGCGAAACAAAATCATCTTGACAAAAGCGAAAGGGCACCGCGGGATTGAAAAGACGGAGGGTTGAAGGAAAAAGGAAAAAGGTGAAAAAAGGGGGGAAAGGGGGCTAGGATCCGGGCCTCGGAGGGAATTATGCACATGTCGAGTCAAATGATACACGAAAGGAGGTTGAATATGGAGGAAATTATTTAGCCTTGGCACCCTTGCTGGCAACAGCCGGGCTCTGCGAAGGCGGCTCAAGGACGTGAGTGTGGTTGGAGGCACTGATGACCTCGCCCGAGTCCTCCTGTCGGCAGGTAAGGATATTGCGCACCCATTCATCTGCCAGCACCTCATCCAGGGTTGCTCGCTCGTTCGGGTTGACCTTCAACATGCGGCCAATGATGTACCGACTTTCCCGCGGCAGGATGCGGAGAAGTCGCCAAGGACCCTTGATAACCTCCTGGCGCTGAGCCGGCGGCTGAGCATTCGGTGGAAGAGGCGGGGCCTCCTTGCTGGTGGTACGTGTAGTCCGGTTGTTGTTGACGCTGGTCTGGCTGACCTGCTTCTGTGCAAGTTCGCCGGGTTTGTCGCCATCCTTGGTTGGAGAATCGGGCGGCTTTGTGCCGTTTTGTTCTGGGGCAGCTGGGGGAGGTACCAATGCAGCAGGCTTGTTATGGGCCTCGGAGTGCTTGTGTTCATGCGCTGCCGAAGGCAGATCGGGGCTAGACTTGGCTCTGGGTTGACGCCGAGGATCGACATCGGGAACCGGAGTGCCAGGGGTCGGGGTGGCCACAAAGAGACGGTAGGAGTTATCCGTGGTGCGCGGCTGCTTCCACGGGAAGCGGCGCAGGGTCATACAACAGAAGATGATCGCCAGCGACCAAACATCTGTGGGACGGGGGTCATATTTCTTCTCGTCATACACCTCGGGAGCGAGATATGGGTCGGAACCAACGATGCCTAATTACTTTTGATTAGTACTGACTTGGGTTGTGTTCTAGAAGAACGAGATGATACATACCTGACGCAGGCACGATATCATTCTCAAATGGATAGCGGAAGACGACCGCGCTTCCAAAGTCGATCAGCTTCATGATGCCGCGATCATTGACCACCACATTGTCCAACTTCAAATCTCGGTGAGCGAGACCCATCCCGTGGAGGTATGCCACACCGCTGAGGATTTGCTTGAATGAACAAGAAACCTCCTCCTTGGTCATCTTGCCGGTCATGACAATGGCGAAGAGGTCAAATGGTGCGTATTCCATGACCTCATACCAATGGCTTCCTTCCTGAATGATATCCAGAGTCTCGATAATGTTGCCGTGGTGCAAGGTAGAGCCGATACAGAATTCAGCAGTGACTTTCTTAGAGTACTCCTTCAAGCTTTCCCAGCTGTGTCGGTCTCGGAACTGCTTCACCGCAAAAGTCACACCGTCGCTATTCCGCTTAAGAAGTCGAACTGAACCACCAGCGCCGGATCCAAGGACACGCCCCATTTTGCCGTACTTTGAGTTCAACCCATGATCATCGGCGAATGGCACATTGTCAGGTGCCATCTGATAGGGTGTGCTCTTTCCTGAATTGCGGCTAGACCGCTTGGAAGCCGACGTGGGTGACTCTGGCCGCTTGCTACGGTGGCCCATCTTGAAGAACCTCTTAAGTTCGGACATTGAGCCATGGTGGTGGTGACCGTGGCCATTCTTATCGCTCGATTCCTTCTTGTTATTCCGCTTGTCGTTGGATTTGGCCAGATCGCTGGCGCTCGCTGACCGTGGAGGGTTACCAGGACGGAATGATCGCTTCGAATCCCGACTCCCAAAGATGAACCGTGCATCGAGCTGAGCAAGGTTCTTGGACTGCGGAGGCCGCTTGCTGCGGGCATAAGGGTCGTTTGGCTCACCCACGGGAGTGATGGCACCCGGTGGCGTGTGGGAGTCTCTTGGGGTCGGTGGTGGACTCTCTTCCTGGGAGCTCGCATCGGCACCTGCAAAGAACTGCGCACGGTGTCTCGGGACGGCCGTATTGATCTGGGATGGAGGTTCGGAGGTTCCGCTCAGTTTCATGGGAAGATAGTCGTTGGAAACGGGTCGAGAAGTTGGTGCACTTCGTGGGGGCCCGTTCATGTCACCGGATGTGACCGGAGGAGATGTTTCAGGTGTGATTGCTGGATGTTGTCCAGTGGCTCGGCCAACGGCGTGCAGGGCTGCCACGCTGTCGCCAGCTCGGCCCTCGCGGGAGGTGGTGACGGCTGGGGTCAGGGGAGGGGACTGTACCGCAGAAACGGGGGGAGATGCATGAGGGGAGGCCACAAAAGAGCCGGTGCCATGGGCACTGCGGTCACTCGATTCTCGAGACCCAACCTAGAGAGAAGGAAGTAGTAGTTAGCATTGAGGTGATGGGGAAAGTAAAAAAAAAGTAACTAGCTCGGCGGACTTCAAGGAGAACCCAACGGAAGCGCGTTGGACAAGGCTTTCTCAATCTCCCATTCTCCATAGTCCCCCTGCAAGCTCCTCCCACAGTAGCAGGGTGGATTGGCAAAAGAAGGAAGAGAAGTGTAGAGACATACCCTTGAAGAAGGAAGAGACATTGGCTCGAATGAAAAGTTGCGGAGACGGGATTCCTGAAGCTGCGATCTTTGCAAGCTCATGGCAAGCGACCGCAATTCCTCTTCATTGGGAGCCTGTTTGGGTGGATCGAGCTGCTGGGGGGTCTCTGAGACAGGCGACAGCATCGCCTGGGAGGGTTCGATCTCCTGCGTGACGGAGGAAAAGCGCACCTGGCCAGGCTGCGACTTCGACTTGGCGTCGGCGTCAGCGGCCTCCGACGGCTGGGCGGACATCTTGGCGGGAGATTGAACAGTCTGGAAACCTGGAGAGGAATTCAAGCATGCGGAGTCAGGATACTGAAATGCCAGAGATGCCAATCGCGAGAGGTCGAGTAAGCCAAGACATACCTGACTCCATGGAGTTGGCGGTTGGGGTCGAGCACTCGGCCGTTTCAGACGTCATACTCATCGACGAACCAACTCGGGACCTCAGGTGGGACGCATGCCCCTCACAGAACGGAAGCAAAGTATCACGAAAAGGTTAGGAAGGACGTGATGCTTTGGGTACGGTTTTTTTCGGTTCTTGATGATTGACCGTTGAAGGGGACAAAAAGTCCAGAAGAGGATGGCGATCCCGGGGCGAAAAGAAGCCGGTTGTCGATTACGTGGGTGAGGCAAATCTTTTCCCTTAAACTTTTCGGCGCCGAATCCGTGCGATAAGCCCGTGCGAGTGCAACGGGACGAAGCGGGGAGTGAAGTTTTTCCTCGAGGGAAGAGACCACGGGGAAAAGGTGAAGAAGGAGGGATATACGGGAGGAAGAGGAGAGGAGAGGAGGGAGAGAGAGAAGAGGGGAGGAGGATTTGGAGGGTTGGAAGTGCCGGAAAGGTTAGTTCGTCGTAGTTGGAGGAAGTCTGGGCCTGAGGGCTGAGGCCAACGAGAGAGAGAGAGTGGGGGTAAAGAAGCGTCACGAACTTCCCCTCATACCAGTCACTGCTGGGTGTTTCTCTCTAGTTTATCTTCAAGTGATGAAACAACTATTCTTCTTTACTCTACTATTTTGAATTCCTATTCTACACTCCTTCTCCTACAACCTGAGTCAACTCGGAAGTCCGCGGAGCTGGGAACAAGCTCGGAGGGCGTGGCCTATGATGTCGATGTCGATGACCCCTCGTGAAGGTCACCCTAGCTCCTCGTGCCGGCTTCCCGGGCTTGCGCGAAATACGGATTTGACGATGATTATTTAATTATGATACTCATGATGATTATAGGGACATCAGCAGTGACAGACTTCTTTAGCTGTACGGAGTACAGTACTACATACTCTGAGCAGTAGTAGTGGTAGTAGTACTCGAGTACACCGAACACCCCCGATCCAGAGATAATCATCGCTTATTGCGGCTGCCACCACTCACGACCCTCGCTGTGGCATGTGCTAACGTTGCTAATGTGCCAATCTCTCGGCCCATGCACTGGCCAGGGATCCCCCTTCGATCATTACGATCAATTCTTCCGGAAGTCTGGAATTTTGCCCAAACCGGCTAGCCCCCTGGCTATTCCCTGCTTGCGGCCTGCATCAGTGCATCAACAGGTTCAGCTGCTGGTACTCGTTACTCCTCCTCAAGGAGTTCCTGATTGGCCTCCCACTCGGAAAAGGTCAGATGGAGAGGAGAGGGGGAGGGGGTTTGTACTACATAATTCTGCCGCTACTCTGTCCACTTTTAGCCTTTTTATACCCCGTATAAACAGGCATGTTGGCGGGCGGAGAGGCGTAGTGGATAGTGGGACAGCATAAGCGTGGCTCCCCCTCCCACGGACCATACAAGTGGGCGCTTCTTCTCCACGGGGATCTTCCCCATGCTGTGCCCCAGGGACAGTTCTTCGATCTGAATAATTATAGAACTGTTTCACCAAGCCTGTAGCCTCCATATGTATATAACCACGTCACCCACCCATCTCGAAACATCACGTCTAGACTGGGCCTCCCATGGCCAACTTCATACTTGCCAAGGCTGTTTGATCGACCCCGTGTTGCCTATCCTCTTGGCCCTCATACTCGCCAAGCTAGCTGGATTCCAAATAAAAAGGCTATCCTCTTCCCTTCGACTGGTCCATGTTGTGTCTGTACAGGAATGTACATACTAGATAGTCTAACCGGATCATGTGAAGCAGGCACAATCTAATCAGCCTCGTGAACATAGACGACTACTAGCGACAGATAGCATACCTATTTTAGCATCCATTTCGATATAGTGGTCAATTCTTCATTGCTGAAATCGCTTCTTAATCTGAGACAATGGTCGAATACATGGAATGCACTATGGCAAGTGTGGCACATTGCAATGGCCTAGACTACACCGAGCAGATTTGATTGCATTCCATCGTGTATATTAGCATTAGGGATGGATCTCTAGATCTAACTCGGCCAAGCCTGAGAGGCTGGATGTCTTCCATGTTGTAGTACATGAAAGATCGACCAAAAGGTAGTATATGAATGTGCTCAGATGACCATTCCTGCAGGCCGGTCCCGAATCTCTATCCAAATAGCTACAACGTCGTGTCATGCGCCATTCCCAATTTGACTTTCTATTGTTTCCCCTTGGATCAGAAAGATATACACGGCTCAAACAGCATGCATTGGGATAACTGAATTCAGGACAATCTGGAATATTGGAGTATTGGAGTATGGAGTGTATAATACAAGCAAGAAGAGGCGCCCCCATCTCGCCTCTCCGCAGATAAACGCCTTAAAAAAACCTCAAACACATGAGAAGTATATCGCACAAAAGATCATCCGGCTAATGAAGTGGTCTCTGCCCAAGGTATACCCAACTGACAAGTGGCCAGCGACCGGTCGCTCGCAAACCACCGGCGCTGAATGCGATCGTAGTGATACAGGAAAGAGAAGAAAAATCAACACCGAGGCCTATCGAGTAATCTCTCAAGGAACAACCTGGATACCAATCGACTTGGCTTGCGCAATAACACTCTTGCACAATCCCTGCAGACTCAATCCCGATAGCCGCGTCTCGCTGTGCTTGATCTTGGCAATTTCGTAGACGTGCTTGAGCGAGATCTTGCCGCAGATCTCATGGCCGGGGTTCATGGCTCCGCGCAGACGGTTCTTGCGAGGCTCGACATTGGCAGCATTCAGGAGGAGGTAGGTAGTAGTCGGCGTGCGGAGGTCGAAGAAAAAGGAGCGGTCGGGGCGGACGGTGACGCGCGCGGGAATAGGGACACCGACGTTGATGTGGGCAGTGCGGGCATTGAATTCCTTTGATTCGAGATGTTAGTTGAGATCTAGAGATATTCAGAGAAGAAGTCGGAGCTCACCTTGCAAAAGTCCATGCTCTTGACACCCTTGCTACCCAGCGCCGGACCGACAGGAGGACTGGGGCTGGCCTGGCCAGCGCCGACGATGAGCTTGACGAATTGGTCCTTTTGCAAAGCGTTCCTGGCCATGGTGAAGGATGTGGAAGTGTGTTGTTGGAGAGGAAACAGGAGGGACAGGAATCACCAAAAAGCACCGAAGCGGACCAAAAGTGAAGCCGCGCTGAAGACGGGCAGATTTTCCTGGCGCGGCTGCTGATTGGCTCGGGCGCCAAGCGAAACAGCTGAAGACCGCCGAACGTCATCGTCCCTTCTTTCTTTCAAAGCTCGAAGCTCCAAGTCTCGATCTTTTTTTCATCAATCGGTGCTTTCCTATCAGACCAACTCGATCTTTGTTTGACCGCGCAGATCCGGTCCTTGCGTGGTTCGTCTCAAATCGGATCGCCGGCTTGCCATTCGTATCCGAACTAGACTCGCCCCGCGTGTCGATCTCCCTTCTCCTCTTCACCTCCCCTTTCCCTTTTATTTTTTTTTCTAATTTGCGTGAATCGCTTCCAGAACTTCCTTGACGTGGTTGCGCATTACGATACCTTAATCATGAACTGGCTGAAATCTACGTAAGTTATTCTCTCTATGATGTTGTGTGGTGGGGGATGGTGACTGACCCAAACGCATGGCGGGCAGTCTCTCTGCGGCCGTCGGCACGCAAGAGCCCATCTATGGCCCCGAGGCCATCCAGTCGGTCGCTCAGCAGGCCAGCGAGACGCCTTACACTGTCCTGTCCAAGGACCAGTTGCGCTGGAAGGCCTACCAGTACACCAATGTCGAGACTCAGACCTTCTACATCATGGCCGACGACGGAAACCTGTTCATGGTCCAGGTCATCTACAGCAACATTGCGTGAGCATAACCCTTATTTTACATTGGACGGATCACATCGGATTCATTCGATCTCTTGGTCCCATATGACAAATAACTGACGATGTGCCTTGCGGCTCTTGCGGATCTATAGGGGTATCCACACCACTGCGCACTTCAACACCAAGATCTTCAACCTCAAGGGTGATAAGCCCCATGTCTGGCACACCGATGCGCTCTCCAACTGCATGTTCGACGAGCAGATGCACTCCTTCGGCGCTGATAACCTGACTCTCACCCTGAACGAGGAAGGCGACGCCTACCACATCAAGTCCACCGTCAACGCTGACAGCATTGTCGACATCAAGTTTACCCGCAAGGCCCCGGGCTTCGTTGCCGGCAAGGACGGCACCTCATACTTTGGCACCGACCCCAAGAACCCCTGGGGCTCCATGTACCACGGTTTCTGGCCCCGCTGTGCCGTCGAGGGTACCCTTACCACCAAGGAGAAGACCTACGACCTGACCGGCCGTGGAGTCTTCATCGGAGCTCTGCAGGGCATGAAGCCACACCACGCTGGTAGGAGCTATACAGTTGTTGTTAAAAATCCAGGAAACTAACGTATATATCTAGCTGCCCGCTGGAACTTCATCAACTTCCAGACCCCCACCTTCTCCGCCGTCATGATGGAGTTCACCACTCCCCCCTCTTATGGCTCGACCAAGGTCAACGTCGGCGGTGTCCTGAAGGATGGAGAGATCGTTTACGCCGGTGCTAGCAACTCTGTAACTCACACCGCGTCCGCACAAGACCCCGAGAGTGACTGGCCGGAGCCCACCTCCATCAAGTGGGAGTGGGCCGGCAAGACCGCCGACGGTCAGGACTTCACCGCCGTGGTCGACGGCCCGCTCGGCAAGCGACAGGATCGTGTTGACGTTATGGGAGAGGTCCCTGGCTTCATCAAGACCATTGCTGGCAGCGTTGCTGGTACCCGCCCATACATCTTCCAGGTATGTACAACCCCCACCTTACCCCACATTTTTAATCTACCCCTGGCTTTGATGCTAACCAGACCCCACAGTTCTCTCCTCAGGAGAAGCTGAAGCTCAAGGTCAAGGTTGGCGAGACTGAGATCGAGGAGGAGGGAACCATGTTCTCAGAGTCGACCTTCATCTCCTAAACGTGGTGATGCGAGTTCTTCTCTCCTCCGTACATAGGAACCATCACCTCGTTGGCGTTTTGTTTTTGAAGTAACTCTACATGATGTGTTCGGCAGTCACTATAGACTCGTCTGATACGTGCCAGATATCTTACAGATTGTATACTGGATACTTAATGCTATTGACCATATTCCTCTCTAAATTATGAGAAATGCACTCGTTATGTTACATTTGAGAAACAGTCCGGGTAAAGCGAACTCTACTTTAAAGAGAGTAAATAATACAAGGGAGAAAGGGTGATTGTAGAAAATATTGTGTAGGAACGACAAGATTTGAAGTCTTAGTAGAAATATGAAACAAAAAGCTGTACAACGAAAGACAACCATAGATCTGAGAAGATGTACACCAGAAACAAACACAAAAGAAACAAAATATCCGCCGGTGGTCTTGGGGTATGAAACCGATCATCTTCTCGCCGACCCCAATTCTAGAGGTAATCTACCTCAACGCCAAATCGAGGACAAAATCTCAATATGAAAAACAAATAAAAGAAAGAAAAGACTAGTTGTCAACCATCAGCTGCTCGCCTTCATCCAGCAGCGTAGTAATGCGAGACAAGTCTGAGATCATCTTGCGGCCATGGCCAACAAGCAGCAGCTTTTCTGCGTTGGCCGGAAGACCCAGGTAGGTAGGCGGCTCGCGCTCGGGGAGATTGTTGACCCAGCTGATGAAGTCGCGGATGCTGGTGCCGGAAGGCAAAGTAACGAGTTCGTCGTTCTCAACACCCGAAACAAGCTTGTGCTCGTCTTCGAAGGCGGCGGGCGTGAGGAAGTCCTTGACCAGGCCGTCTAGTTGCTGGAAGTCGCCGGCGTCGTCTATCTTGCCACCGTACATCTCTGTGATCAGAGTGCGGATCATCTCCCAGGGGAGTTTCTGGGGTGCAACGTTGGAACGGCCTTGAGCCACTGTGTTGACCCAGTGGTCAATGATGTGGGCGGAGCATTCGTACTGCATGAGATCTGTTAGTATATTGTGATGGCTAGATTGATAACTGTGAGAGGGTCACTTACGTCGCTGTCATTGAACTCCCAGAAGCCCTTCCATCCAAGGTTTGGTGCGTAGCGAAGACGTTCTTGAACCACAGCGTGGAGGAAGCAAAGAAGAAGGTAGACACGCGCCTTCTCGACGGGGGCCTTGCTGGCACGAGTGGTCAACGAAGATAGAGAGTCCTTCATGTTGGCACGAACACCGGCAGGTTGCTCGTACATCAACACGCGAGAGGCACGGATGAGGTTGACTGGGATCTTGGGGCTGGATTCCATGGACAGGAAGAGTCGGAACTCCTTGTGAGGCTTGAGAGAATCCAGTCTCTTTTCCAGACTCTGGAGCCATGATGGCGCCAGGTGGACGTTCTTGACAAGCACCCAGTTGCCCGTTGCGGCAGCATTGCTGATCGCCTTGTCAGCGCTCTCGAGACCTTCATTCGAACCCATGGCAATATTGGCGCAAGTAGCATGAGTGCGTTCAACCAGGGCGTCGACCTTGTAACTAGCGTCGAAGCCAGGGCTGGAGCTGAGAGAGATCGGGGTTGTCGCAGTGACCTGGTCAACCACATCCTTGAGATCGCTGCTACCCTCGTAGAGTTCACGACCGAACACAGCCTCGACGAAGCGCTCAGCAGTCGGAACAAAGCGATCCATGCGGCAGAGCTTGACAAGTAGCAAGGAACGAAGTAGCTGATCAAGCTTGGGGGTGTCCTCTTTCCAGACGACTGGAACGGCGTTCTCTGCGATTTCCTCGGTGAAGAAGCGATCCCACTGCTCCTGGGGCACCTCGGTGACGAATTCCTTGAAGAGCGAGATATTGAGAAGCTTGCTCATAACCTCCTCACGAGCGTCAGAGGCGGTTGACAGATCGGTATCCTCGACAGACTCATCCAAAATGCGGTCCAGAATGGCTCTATCCATCGGGAAAGGAGTGGCCTGAGCAAGGAGGATCGCCAATGTAATGCGGTCCTTCTGGACAAGACCCAGCGAGGTTCGCTGGTAAGTGGTAATGAATAGATCCTGAATGATGATCTGCACACGAGCGGCATGGTCCTTCTCCTGGGCAAGTCGCTTGTTCTGATAGAGTACGGCATTGAAGATATCAACAAAGTACTGAAGCGAGAACTGGTAGAAGTGGTTGATGTGATGCAACTGCTCCAGGACTGCGAAAACGGCACTGCATGCCCTGGCAATACTGCTGTACTGGTGGGTGATGCTCTCCACTTCAGACATGACACCCTCCGTCTCAGACATCTTCTTTGAGATTTCAGCAGCCTCCTTCTTGAGAGTCTCGAGGGTCTCGATGACGTTGTCATCGTCAAGAATGTTACCACGAGACTCGTTCAGGGCCTGCAGCAGGCGCTTCTCAAGCTGTCGAAGGTGGACCTTGAACTCGCCTTGCATCTTGACAAGGTTGTTACGGCGTTCGTCCACATCGGGGCGCTCGAACTTGAGGACATCATTAAGCGACTGGGTCTGCAAACTGCTTTGGGTGACCGTGAAGTTGACAAAGGTGGTCCGACTGCAAACGTCCGGTGGGAATTGTGCAGAAGGATCTCTGGTCGAAAGGAACAGTCTGAACGAGGGAGAGAAATCGATCTCTTGCTTGCCGAGCTGGATAAGAACACGACCGCCGGTCTTCTGGTACTCCTTGTTGAGGACGTGGTTGAGAATCGGGTCCAAATGCTCTGCGTCCTGAATGAGAATAGGGTTACCGAAACGCAGCGCACTCTCCAATTGTTTGACGAAGGAGTCGTCCAAGAAGCTTGTGACAGTGAGCTTGCGATCCTTGCTCTCCTTCTGCAGGAATTCGGTGACGCGACCGGATGGGTCGACAATCAGAGGGTATCTGTTGAAACGCTTCAAGATAATGGCGTTCTCCGTGCAGAGATCGTCAACAGGGAGAGAGTTTGCTTGCCAGGTAAGACGCTCGTCGGCATTGGAGAGATATTCCGTAATCGGGTTGTGGGGCTTGAAGTTGATGCCAGACTGAGCAAGCTGGTGAACCCAGTCATCGATCATCGCCTTACGGAACTGCTGATCATAAAGACCAGCATAGGCAAGGAAA